TAGTCAGAAGAAAGCAAAGACAACGTAAACTAGAGCTTAGAAAATCACTTTCAAAGGATTGGTTTTCACCATTTAAAATCGTTGAACCCCCCTTCGGTAGCAGGAGAAGAAGGGGGATCTTTTTTGACTGTTTAAACCTGCAGAAGTGAGTTTAAAGTAAAGTAACTTTCCACCGTCCTGATCCTGGAGCGGGGTGTCAGAATTTACGTTTGAAGCTCATTGACCAGAGACAAATGTTTTTGACAGACAGTTAAAAGAAGAGTAACATTGTGATTCCACTGTTTCCTTTCACATTTTAAAGGAACAAATATTGACAAAATATCTTTAAAAAAGAAACTTTGTTGCTATTGTCCTTAAAAGAAAGAACAACCAGAAGTTTTCCCCTAGAGGGGACTGTGAAACTGTAACTAATTCTAGGGAGCTTGCAGCTGCCACAGATTACAACCGTGGGAAAGGACTTGTCACCTTGTAGGACAATGTTCTCAGAAGCACTGTTGGGTGCTTTCTGTAAAATAAATGCCCTATTGGATCAGTTAAGCCAGAAGACGGATCTGATGACTAATGCGGCCAGAACATTTGAACAGGTAGTGGGAAACTATATGGAGCCCACCCAGGAACTTAAACAGGAGTGTGCCATGACAGAACAGTTGAGAGAAGAGGATGTTGCTGAATCTTGGGCGCCAGAAAGGGAGAAACTTTTGGCCCTGCAGGAAAATGAGCCTTTGGATCTGATAAATGAACTTGGAAAAAACCAGATTTGGAAAGATAAAGTTTGGATTGATTTGGAAATGGGGGGTTGGACTGACCCCCCTATGCAGAGATGTTTGGACTTTCCGAGTCTGGCAATGGGCCGTCAGATGCTTGGAGCTGTGGGGGCTCTCAATTTTGGAGGGAATTTGAAACATGTCTTAAAATACCACATGGAGTCTAATCTGGACTATGGGAAAGGGGCTGATTTGTTGAAAGGGGTCAAAAACACTACCAAGCTGGAGTTCCCACGAGTGAAAGGAAAATATGAAGAAGAGCTGCGGAAGGGACATGGAAGAGACTTGAAGGCCTCGGATATAAGATCACCAGGTTAATGTGCCAGACTAATGGGATAAAAAGGACTGACAAACCCGGGACCAGGAGGAAGGGACGCTGGAAGAAGATTGGATTGTTCTTATTTCTTTTTCTATCATTAGGAATGTTTTATAAAATTGATGAATGTTAGAAAAATGTTGAAATGAAATTACTTGGCTCTTGTAAAAATGTTTAAAGAATTAGGTAAAATGTACTGGTTATGAGAAGTTGGTAAAAATAAGATTTAAGTCTTAAGCTTTAAGGTTTTTTATAAGATAAGATGAAAATAGAGTAAGGCAATGTAATGACAGAATACTATGAATTATGGAAAGGATTTGCTGTGACAACTATTAATCAAGATACAAGAAAAGGGAGGAGGAGGAGGTCATAGAAAGAAGGTAATGAAAGTGGAGAATTTGAAAATGATGGTTTTATTTTTTTCTTTTTCTTTTTCTGTTTTGTCTTTTTTCCTTGTAATTTTTTAAAAAAACTCTTTTTTCAATAAATATCATTTAATAATAATAATAATAATAATAATAATAATAATAATAATAATAATTTATTTATACCCCGCCCATCTGGCGGAGTTTCCCCAGCCACTCTGGGCGGCTCCCAATCAAATGTTAAAAACAGTACAGCATTAAGTATTAAAAACTTCCCTGAACAGGGCTGCTTTCACATGTCTTTTAAAGATAGGATAGCTGCTTATTTCCTTCACATCTGGAGGGAGGGCGTTCCACAGGGCGGGCGCCACTACCGAGAAGGCCCTCTGCCTGGTTCCCTGTAACTTGGTTTCTCGCAGTGAGGGAACCATCAGAAGGCCCTCGGCGCTGGACCTCAGTGTCCTGGCAGAACGATGGGGGTGGAGACGCTCCTTCAGGTATACTGGACTGAGGCCGTTTAGGGCTTTAAAGGTCAGCACCAACACTTTGAATTGTGCTCGGAAACGTACTGGGAAGCTGTAAAGCACCCACACGATTGATCCACACATTACAGCCGCGACGTGATATGAACCCATGAAAAACAACTCCCATTCAGCTTCTGTAAAGTCAAAAACGGACAGGGGTGGAGGCCAACAGGTGTCTCTCCAGATGTTATTGAACTTTAATTTCCATCATCTCTATCCCGTCTAGGAGGAGGAAAACTCTGATCCGAAACCTCTGCTGCCTTGCCGGACATCTTCAGAAGAAGAAAAGATTGAACCCTACACAAATCCAGAGTGGGGTCCCTAAGGCGGTTGGATGGCGTCTTGCACGCCTCCCTCCGTCAACTCCTGCAGCCAAGCTGGTGCCAAACATATTCCTTTCCTTTCAACCACATCAACAAGGCTGAGAGTCTGTTGTCTGGGCAGCTCAGGACCTCCACACACACTGCCCAAGCTTGCACCCCAGGGAGGTCACTTGGGTGTAGCTAACAGAGGGATCTGAGTTCACCCCCACACTCCATGTCTCTTATAAATAATAATAATTTTTTTATTCATACCCCACCCTTCCCAGTTCAGGAAACCGGGCTCAGGGCGGCTAACAACAAATTTAAAACAATTGATGCAACAAAAAAAACAGCATAAAATACAGTATAAAACGTGAATAACAATAAATTCAGAATTCAAAAATCAATTTAGGGGGGAAGTCCATCCAATAAACATTAGATGATCACCAGGGCTAGCTGGCTAAATTAGTCCTCTTTGGCCTGTGAGGAGACCAGGGGAGAATTAGGTGTGGGATCCCAGCGCGGGTAATCTTCATAAAAAGGGGGGGGGGGGAGGAAGGGTAATAAAAGATCAGGCTAAGTTCAAATTGAAAGCCAAGCAGAATAGCTCTGTCTTACAGGCCCTGCGGAAGGAAGTTAAATCCTGCAGGGCCCTGGTCTCATGGGACAGATCATTCCACCAGGTCGGAGCCATCACTGAGAAGGCCCTGGCCCTGGTGGAGGATAATCTGACTTCCTTAGGGCCCGGGACCTCTAAACTATGATTATTCATGGAACTTAAGGTCTTCTGTGGGGCATACCAGGAGATGCGGTCCCATAAATACAAGGGCCCTAAGCCAACAGCGGATGCCAAAAAGATCAGCGTTTAAAAGCTGTAGTTTGGCACAGGCGTTCACAAGCTTTGAAGTTACTCAGGACTCAAAACTTTGCATGCCCATACCTAGAAACAATGGTCCCAGAAAAATGATATCTGACCTATTTTGTGTATGTCAAACTTCTAACACGTAGGTAACACCCCAGAGGGGGGTCTAGGGGCTCAGCTGACAGTATGAAAGAAGCTAACAGCATGGAATTCTCCTGGCCTGTTGCTCCACCCAGATATTCCCATTGTGGGGGCCCAGACAGCTATAAAGGACCCTGCCTTTAGACCCAAAATTTGGCTCATTTCTTCCATTTGTATAAGATGGAACTTTCTATCATTCTGGCAAACATATGCGTTTGCCCATAGGATATCTCCAAACTTGCATTTGCTTCAAGGATGGGGAGGAAGTGCAGATATCTCTCAGATCAGCTGGTGGGGGGGTGCTTGCTTAACCTCCCTCACACCCACCAGTTCTCCCCTGCAAATGGATTCCTTGCCCACTGCCCCCAGTGGGCTCATTGCAAGTTACAGAGCACAGTATTTTTCGCTCCATAAGACGCACCTAGTTTTCAGAGGAGGAAAACAAGAAAAAAAATATCCTGAACGAAACAGTGGATGTATGATTTTTGTGGTTCATGCTGTAGCTACAGACATGATATGTGATTTGATGGTGCGTTTGGGGTAGCCCAATGCAAAAATCCTGAGAATCCATGTGGATCCGTGCTTTGTAACCAGGTTTTTGCACCATTGCGGCCTCACGAAACAGTGGATGTGTGATTTTTTTGGTGCAGGCTGTAGCCATGGACATGCTATGTGATCTGATGGTGAATTTGGGGTGACCCAGTGCAAAAATCCTGAGGATCCATGTGCTTTTACCTCTCCCCTCCCAGGCAGCCTCCTTTATCACTAGCGTCCCTTATCTCCCTCCTGATCGCTTGCCAATCAGCTGCTCAGCGGCTTCATTTCAACACCCGTTCCCTCTTGTTTGCCTTAGCGTCTTTTCCTTAGCTGGAGCAGTTTTTTTCTCCTCCTTTTCTTCTAGTTTCTCTCCTCATTGCTTGTTTTAGTATTCCTGTCTCCCTCCCAGGCAGCCTCCTTTATCACAAGCGTCCCTTATCTCCCTGCCGATCAGCTGCTCAGCGGCTTCGTTTCAACACCCCCTTCCCTCTTTCTTTTTCTTTTTTTAAAAAGCATGATCTGCTTTTTGCCCCTGGGCAATTCGGCTCCAGGGACCACGCAATCGCTCCATAAGACGCACAGACATTTCCCCTTACTTTTTAGGAGGAAAAAAGTACGTCTTATGGAGCGAAAAAGAGCGAAAAATACGGTATTTGAAGGAGGGGGTCCTTTTCAAGAAAGCACAGGCAGAGAGGGAGCTGCATTTGTGCAGGATGGAACTGGTTTGCCTCTGCAATTGCTTACTCCTACATTAGTGTTACAAGGGACTGGGAACCTGGTGTTTGCTTTGTAGCATCTAACATGCCTTCCCTGTGTGAACGGCACTGCTTGTTAGGGACACAGCAGTCATCTCTGAACCTATAACTTACTCCTGCACTAACCACAACTAGATACAAAAGTACAAGTTCGCCTCACTTCCTGATTCTGCTAGCTCTATGTAATCTATTTGCCTATGTGTATTGATAACAAGAAACTGTAGAAGCTGTACTCAGGACCACCTTAATGTTAGGTAGGATGGAATTAGGTTCCAAGGAGCAATTTTGTTATGCTGGAGGAGATGGGGGTAAATAGGAGTTGAGAAATGCTGAAAGGGAGGGGAGAAGAAAAGCAAAGTAGGCAATAATTCGAAGAGAACAAGAACTGTTGGAAAACGCTCTGGGGTGCCCCTGCAGCCCCCGAACTCCAAGCGTCCTCCGATATGCGCAGCTCTGGAAACGGCATTTCCCTTCTTCTCCAGCGCGCTTCAGCGACACATATCAAATGATATATGCACACTAATCTTCTAGCGTAACACAGCAAGAAGCGTGAGAGATCATAGAGCTAATCTATGTATTTATTTACACACTATGTACAGACAAAGGAGTCATGGCAACCTCTCTCTCCAGCTCCGAGAGAAGAACAGGAACAAGGAAAAGCAAAAGTACAGTACAACAGGACATACAGCGGAAGAGATAAGACTGTCTTCCGTTCCCACACTCTTCCCAGACAGGCATGTGATTTACACAAATCTCATCTGGAGCATCAGAGGTGTGAAATACTAACACTTCTATTACATCTCCTATCATATACAGTGGTACCTCGGGTTAAGTACTTAATTCATTCCGGAGGTACGTTCTTAAGCTGAAACTGTTCTTAACCTAAAGCACCACTTCAGCTAATGGGGCCTCCTGCCGCTGCCGGAGCACGATTTCTGTTCTCATCCTGAAGCAAAGTTCTTAACCTGAGGTACTATTTCTGGGTTAACAGAGTCTGTAAGCTGAAGCGTATGTAACCCGAGGTACCACTGTAGCTACATCTATCCTGCCTATGCCAACCTGATTTAGGAAGAAATACTCATTCAGAAATTTACCACACATAACACATACTATTCCCCCCCCCCCCAATTTTCTCAACAATTTGTCACAGAAGGTGCAATCGGGAGTCATTTTTAAGAAGCCATTTTAGAGTTTTTCTAATTATCCTTATGTTTCCATGTACTTCTCAGATCGGGAAGAGTCAAATGTACTAAATACAGTGGTGCCCCGCAAGACGAATGCCTCACAAGACGGAAAACCCGCTAGACGAAAGGGTTTTCCGTTTTCAATGCGCTTCGCAGGACGAATTTCCCTATGGGCTTGCTTCGCAAGACGAAAATGTCTTGCGAGTCTTGAGATTTTTTTTTCGCTCCCCCCCCCCCCTTTTTCTAAGCCGCTAAGCCTTTAATAGCCTTTTAGCAGCTAATCCGCTAAGCCGCTAAGCCTTTAATAGCCGCTAAACCGCTAATAGCGCTAATCCGCTAATAGGGTTGCTTCGCAAGACGAAAAAACCGCTAGACGAAGATACTCGCGGAACGGATTAATTTCGTCTTGCGAGGCACCACTGTATGTACTAAGGCATGTCCATGAGGTTTGTGTGTGTGTGTTTTATAACATGTCCCTTGTCCTTGGCATATCTGTTTCTCTCACAAGCGACGCTAGCACTTTCTTGTATGTGTCCAAAACTGTCTGAGCAGAAGGTCTTTCAGCTGGGATCCTTTTGCAGGCCCCGTGGATGTCAAAGAGGTGGAACCTGACCAGATCACTCCCATCGACATCCCCCAAGATAAAATTGGAAACATCGGGGATTTTCCATATATCTGTCGTTTCATCATAAGGAGGCATGAGGCTGTCTTCAAAAGCCATTTCATTTCCACGAGGCCAAAGCTGTTCTGGAGCAACAAAGTCACCCTGAAGTTCCCGATGGCCACATTTGATCAGTTTGCCAGCATTCTTGTCCACAAGAGGCAAAGCATCCAAGTCATTCACAATAACATGGAAGCTGCTCGTCAGCAAGTACTGAGAAAGAACTTTATCCAAGTCGCTGGAGTCACACATCACAAGGGTGCCGAGGGGACTGTTGTGCAAGTAATGGAGGATGCTCACATAATCGATGGCAAGCAGGAACCTGATGTGCCATGTGTTGAAGCTCTTGTACTTTGGAAGGTTCAATACCTCGTTCAGATTCTTCAGAGAGCCGAATGGGTGGTACTCCGTAAGAACGGTGAACTCCTCCTCACAATATCCAATCAGCTTGACCACATGTCTGCTTTGTAGAGATTTCAGCATCTGTAAGCCATGAATGAAGTCCTCTTGAAGTTCCGGCACAGTTAGCTGGGAAAGGGCGACTTTGTTTTCCTTCCACTCAGAAAGGAAGACCTAGAACAAGGAGAACAATGTTCAAACTTTGAGATCCAAACTCTGAAATGCAGTTTGTAAAAGCCAAGCTGTTTTTCAATATGGGGGACAACAGTTTAGTCTTGACAAACACAAAATCAAACCTATGTGTTAAACACACACACACACACACACACACACACACACAAACAAAACACATGAATAGATACAAGGTCTATGTCACAACAAAGCAAGTTATGTCACAGCAAATATCTGAAAATTGGTAAGGTTTACAAATCCCAGAGTGTCTGGAAACAGAGAGGTGAATATGTACAGTCACTCAGACGTAACTGTGAGCATTCACTTGGTGTTGTGCTCCTGCAACATGAGGAAACACAGTGGTACCTTGGTTTGCATACGTCTTACAAGCCCAGAAGTATGTGTCTCAGTTTGCAACCTTTTTTTGGATTACAACCCATTATTTTGGATTACGAACAAAAAATTTTGGAGGCGCCATTGGCGAAAGCGCGCCTTGGGTTACAAGCTGTTTTGGTTTACAAACGGACCTCCGGAACAGATTATGGTTGTAAACCAAGGTACCACTGTAGATATGTATTTCTTGACGTAGATTCAGCTGGGATTGTCAGCATCCACATATAAACAAGGACAAATTTAAGATTCACTGAAACATACATCAAAGCCATTCACATCCATCACCTTCCTTCCCTCAGTTGTTCATGGTAAGTTTCCATTTTACGACCCTCGTTACAGCTCTGAGTTAATTTGGTCAGGTGTCAAATTCAGGCAAGCGCGATATTTGACCAGTTATGTCAAGTGTCCATTGCCCAAAGCTTGTCTTTCTTCAGAATCCACTGCAAGCAAGCGTCTCCTCTGGCCTCGTTCGGATGATTTTGCTTGACATCTGAGGTGGCCCAGATCACGGATAGAACGAACATACGGCACCCTCAGTTTAGAGGCTTGTCAACTATACCCCCACTAGGTGTGTCCATGGAGAAGAGGAGACCTCTTAAATCCTTTAAGTCCTCCCTCCCTTGTTACTCTCTTTTGCTATAGGATTCGGGTTCCATTCAGGCAAGCCTAAACACCCCTGCTCTTTTCCCTTGCTACTTCCAGTTCACAGAGGAATTGTCTCCTTTTTATGCCTTCCCCACCTATCCAGTCCTTTCTCCCTTTGGACCCTCCTTTCCCTGTTTTTCTGCTCTTCTTCTCTGTCCACCTTTCCTTCTCCGCCTCCTGGCATTTCTCATGGCATCAGCTGCAGTTTATATGCAGCAACGTCAACACCTTGCTCTTTCCTTACTTCTCAGCTGAGATGTAAGGTAAAGGGACCCCTGACCATTAGGTCCAGTCGTGGCCGACTCTGGGGTTGCGGCGCTCATCTCGCTTTATTGGCCGAGGGAGCCGGCATACAGCTTCCGGGTCATGTGGCCAGCATGACTAAGCCGCTTCGGGCAAACCAGAGCAGCGCACGGAAACGCCGTTTACCTTCCCGCTGGTGCGGTACCTATTTATCTACTTGCACTTCGATGTGCTTTCAAACTGCTAGGTTGGCAGGAGCAGGGACCGAGCAACAGGAGCTCACCCCGTCGCGAGGATTTGAACCGCCGACCTTCTGATCGGCAAGTCCTAGGCTCTGTGGTTTAACCCACAGCGCCACCCGCGTCCCCAGCTGAGATGTAGTGTGCCTCTAAGCTACTTCCTGGCTGGCATGTGAGCTCTGAGCAGCTGCCTCCTCTTCAGGAGCTCGCAGCCGGCCAGAACCAGTCCGCTTGCCCCCATGGCTGGAGCCTGACAATCCTATCAGCCTTTCTCCCAGCTGACAATGTCATTTTCTGAAGCATATGTCAAGGCACTCCCCCTCTGGTACAAAAAAAGGTGAATGGCAAATTTACAGAGCAACATTTTTTATTATATTCAAGATTCATTATGACAAACCAACCCTTTTCACAGCTCCTTCACCAATGCGTTTCAGTTTGCGGACTTCTCTTTTCAGCGCTTCACAAGACAACCATGGCGAACAGTTCTTCACTGTTCCTAATCTGAAGTAACCATGCTGGCAAGAGTTGTGTTCAACACCGGCCTGTCCATAGGAAGGATATACGTAGCTGAAATATTGGTAGAGTAGCAAGTTCACAAGCAGCACAGCCAAAATCAGATACAAGATGGGAGGGATCAGCTTTTGCGTAAGATCAGCTTTCGTATCAAACGATTTTTTCTCCATGTTGTAACAGTCATCTTTCAGATTTTCTGCAAGACATTAGAGTTATAATTGTTACTTTAATTTAGCAATTCTGGGGGAGGGGCAGCTGAGATACACTTCCTTTTGGGGGGGGGGGGGGGCGAGATTCCAACACAGTCAATCTCTCCTAACTTTACATAGCAATACTACAAACAGGCATTAAACATGAAACATGCTACTAGCAGATTAATAGCTCTGCTAACCATTGTGATGGTTTCCTACCATAGATAGAGATCCAGCAAACAGCTTTACAGACATGGAAAGAGAAAGCATGCAATGGCCAATATGATGTGGATATAGGAAAGAAGTCTAGTCTTTTCAGGGATTACCATTAGGACCAATAAGTGTTTGGACCAAAAATACTGGTAATTTAAGAATCACTTGTTTTCACAAAAGCACTTGGTAATAAGACAATTTTGTGGGCCCCTGATGAAAACCAGTTACTCATCATGGGTAAATGTAAAGGGACCCCTGACCATTAGGTCCAGTCGTGACTGACTCTGGGGTTGCGGTGCTCATCTCGCTTTATTGGCCGAGGGGGCCAGCGTACAGCTTCCGGGTCATGTGGCCAGCATGACTAAACCGCTTCTGGCGAACCAGAGGAGCGCACAGAAACGCCTTTACCTTTCCACGGGAGCGGTACCTATTTATCTACTTGCACTTTGACGTGCTTTCGAACTGCTAGGTTGGCAGGAGCAGGGACCGAGCAACAGGAGCTCACCCCGTCGCGGGGATTCGAACCGCCAACCTTCTGATCGGCAAGCCCTAGGCTCTGTGGTTTAACCCACAGCGCCACCTGCGTCCCACTCATCATGGGTACCATCCATTAATTTCAGTGGGAGATCTCTATGAGGCAATCATATACCTGTAGGAATATGGAAGATCAATGGAATTCAACAGGCATTATTTCTAGTATGTTTATAGAGAACTGCAGCCTTAAGCATGTAACTAACTCTCCCTCTGAAAATAAAGAGACTTAGAATGTTTTTTTAATTGGTATACAGCAATTGTAGGGAAAATAATAATAATAATAATAATAATAATAATAATAATAATAATTTATTATTTATACCCTGCCCATCTGGCTGGGCTTCCCCAGCCACTCTGGGCAGCTTCCAACCAAATATTAAAATACAGTAACTATAGGTGGAATGCAAAACAACTATAAAACGAACACAACATAGTATCTTATTAATTTTTTATAACACCCTTCATCCAAAATTCATAGGGCAGTTCACAACTTAAAAATACAAAATGATAACCCAAAATACATAATAAAAACAAAAAGAAACAAATAATTCTCATCCCACAAACACATTTAAAATTATGTAGAAGTAACATCAGCCAACGGCCTGGTTAAAGAGAAACATTTTTACCTGGCGCCTAAAGATATGTAATGAAGGTGCCAAGCGAACCTCGCTGGGGAGAGCATTCCACAAATGGGAAGCCTGTTCTCATGTTACTAGACTCAGGACCTCTTGTGGAGGTGGTACACGAAGAAGGACCTCAGATTATGATCACAGGGTCTGGGCTGGTTCATACAGAACTAAATGCCTCAGTTATGTTGAAAACATTGTACTTTTACTAACCAAGTCCCCTCAAAGATCTCTCTCACACACATAACTATATACACACACTAAAATTTTACAATTAAAATGGGTGTATGGTTTTTCTTTACAGCTTTTTATATTAATCAACTTTTTAAAAAATCTAATACAGTATCTCATATTTAAACACAAGTAATGTATCATGTATGATAACCAATTTAATACAGAATAACTACTAAATAAGAAAGTATTTATAATATAATTTTAAAAATGAATATTAAAAAATTCCACAATACTCTTCTGATAAATTTCCTTTTTCCAAATCAAACTGTTTTGCTTTCTCCTTATTCTTCACTTATGTGTAATTCTTGACACTGAAATATTATTGATACTGAAATAACAAAACTAAAGGAGGCATAAATTAACTCCCACAATTCTATCTTATGCGTTGTAATATTAGAAATAGCCTTGCACCTCAAAATGTGCAAGCAAGTGTGTAAATCCTGAATTTATCCCAGCAGCCTAATAATTTGCCTGAGTGTTCTAGCTATATTTTCAGCCATGTAGCACAGCAAAAAGTCACAGTCTTAAACTACCAGAAACAGTAAAACACAAGGAATGTATTTTCAGATTTTCTAGTTCAGTGTTTTAACAAGCTTTTGGGAAATGACATTTTGAATGAAAGAGCTGGTGCCATATTAGGCTTTTTTTGTCATTATCTGTATGCTTTTATATATAATTTTTATTCTACCAGTGTTTAATTGTTTTTATTTATTCCCCCCACTCTGTTTTTAACTGTTCTTATTTTTATCTGTAAGCTGCCTTGAGTCTGTTAGGGGGAAAGGCGGGGTATAAACAAATGTATAACAACGACAACTGAACATTTGTTTAAAGTATTGAAGGCTTTTTCATTCATGTCTGGATTATAGGAAGCCCGTCTTCTCATAGATCGATTAGCAGGCACAGGCAAACTCCAGCCCTCCAGATATTTGACACCACAATTCCCATCATCCCTAGCTAACAGGACCAGTGGTCAGGGATGATGGGAATTGTAGTCCCAAACATCTGGAGGGCCGGAGTTTGCCTATGCCTGGGATAAGGTTAAAATTTGGATACTTCCAAACCAAGAGGAAGCAGCAGATCCAGCCAGGAGAAAAAGACTGAAAATCGTTTCAAGATCTCAGCATCACCTCGCAATAATTTCTGCTATCCAGCGACAACCTCGGTTGCGCCTAACTCTGCAGCTTGCTGCTCAAAGAAACGAGGCTTACCTTACCCTGGGCTATTGTGCATCACTCTCATCAGCTGGCAGCCGCCATGACAGTGCCAACACCACATGACACGAGTCACGTGACGCCTTCCCTGTTTTGCACATAGAGATAAGAGGGTAGAGTTGAATTTGGGATCGTCATTTCACAGCCTCGGGAAGGGGCAAAGCTAAACAGATTGAGTTGAATGGGGAAGAAATCGTGCTTGCATTTAACAATTGCTAGGGGAACAGTGAGGGAAATAACCAGGTTTACATTGGCTGCAACATGAGGTGTGCTTTGAATTAAGTGTCTTTTGCTTGATTTCTGGGGTGAGCTCCCGTTGCTCGGTCCCTGCTCCTGCCAACCTAGCAGTTTGAAAGCATGTCAAAGTTCAAGTAAATAAATAGGTACCACTCCGGCGGGAAGGTAAACGGTGTTTCCGTGCGCTGCTCTGGTTCGCCAGAAGCGGCTTAGTCATGCTGGCCACATGACCCGGCAAAACTGTCTGCGGACAAACGTGAGCTTCCTCGGCCAGTAAAGCGAGATGAGTGCCGCAACCCCAGAGTCGTTCGCGACTGGACTTAACTGTCAGGGGTCCTTTACCTTTTTAAACATGTGAGCAGTGCAAGTGAAATGGATTCACTTGACACTGAACTGTGTTTTTTTTAATGACAAGTTTTCTGCAGGCTGCATAGTATTAGAACCACAGAATCACAGAACTGTAAAGTTGGAAGGGACGCTGAGAGTCATCTAATCCAAACCTCTACAGTACAGGAATCCTGCCCACAGACATCCCTGGGTGTGATTGAACCATCAACTTTCTGGTTAGCCGCAAGGCATACTGACCCATTGCACCACAGTAGAAATGTGCATAAAGGTAAAGATAAAGGGACCCCTGACCATTAGGTCCAGTTGTGACCGACTCTGCGGTTGTGGCGCTCATCTCGCTTTACTGGCCGAGGGAGCCAGCGTACAGCTTCCAGGTCATGTGGCCAGCATGACTAAACTGCTTCTGGTGAACCAGAGCAGCGCACGGAAATGCCGTTTACCTTCCCGCCGGAGCGGTACCTATTTATCTACTTGCACTTTGACGTTCTTTTGAACTGCTAGGTTGGCAGGAGCAGGGACCGAGCAACGGGAGCTCACCCCGTCGCGGGGATTCGAACCGCCGACCTTCTGATCGGCAAGCCCTAGGCTCTGTGGTTTAACCCACAGCACCACCCGCGTCCCAGAAATGTGCATATGCAGCCCTTTATTTTGCCAATAAATATCAAATCAGTGCACTTCCAGATACTAGCTTACTGAGAAATTGTTTCTGCTCATGCAAGTTTTTTGCAGGACTCGCACGACACCATCGAAATGCCTGTTCATACCTTTATAAATCGGCAGTCTCTGCTGCTGTGGAATCTCTTTGGTGCATTTATTTATTTGGCAGGCAGTTTGTCATGTGTGGTGACATTCTGATAGATGTGGCTTCTTCCAGACTTCTGCTTCAGTTTGCTCCTCACTTGAGCACAACTTAGGCATTTTGTTTCTGCCAGTGGCCCAAATGATACAAGTACCGGTATGCCCATTTACACCAACTTTCAAAGGCATGTTGGAATTGCAGCAACTTGGAAACTGTAAATTCAGTACATACATCTATTTATTTATTTATTTATTTAATTTTACACATATATTACAGATATACAAGCATACAAACATACATTTCACACAAGCCTTAAAAGTGTTCAAATGTACTTACACTCAATCCCACAGATAATTCCTTTTCCCATCACCATCCACCACCCCTCACCCCACCTTTGTGTTAGACTTCCAATCTACTCAGTTGCAATTTCTTCCCACTTCTATTACTTTCTTTCACACACCTTTAACCTAATTTCATACTTCTTTTTTTTATTACACATTGTTATCCATCTTATTTAGTATTTCAGTATTTGAAACGGAACTTGTTTATTCTAATAGGAGTTCTGATTTTTCAATATGACTTTGCAAGTATCCTTTAAACACCTTCCAATCCCTGTCTATCTTCTCTTTTGAGATCCTTGCAATTTCTCCCATTGTTTTGGATATATTGTAGTACTCCAATAATTTGGCAAGCCACTCTATTTTTGTCAATACAATACCACTTTTCCAATTTTTCGCAATCAATAGCCTTGCGGCGACTGTTGCGTATAAATATAAGGTCTTGTCTTCTTCCTTTAGGCTTCCTGGTACTATTCCCAGTAGAAAACCTTCTGGTGTTTTCCTAAATGAATATCTGAACATTTTTTTCATTTCATTATATATTGTTTCCCAAAATTGTTTGATGTTTAAACAATTCCACCATATATGTATCATGGTACCTTTTCCAGTGTTGCATCGCCAGCAGACATCGCTACAATTTTTATTCATTTTTGTTATTCTTTCAGGTGTTAAATACCATCTATGTTGCATTTTGAAGTAATTTTCTTTCAATATGTAACACATAGTGAATTTCATATCTTCTTTCCACAATTTTTCCCATTGTTCAAACATAATATTTTTCCCAATATCTTGCGCCCATTTAATCATTGATGCTTTAACCAATTCATCCTTTGTTTCCCACTCTAAGATCAGATTATACAATTTAGATTTTTATTTTATTTTTCTTGTATTAAGTATTTATCAAATTTTGATATTTCTTTTTCAAATCCTAACTTTTTGTCTTTCACTAATCTGTACTTAATTTGAATATATTGGAACCAATCACTAATATGAGCTTTAATTTCTGTATAATCCTTTAATTCCAATTCTCCGTTTTCTTCCTTTAATACAATTTTATAGGTAGCCCAATTTTCTTTCATATTTAATTTTTTCACTGCGACAATTTCTGCCGGCAATGCTCACCAAGGAGTTTTTGGTTCTTGGAGTCTTTTATATTTCTCCCATATTTTATATATAGACTTTCTGACTATATGCCCTAGGAAGCCTTTGTGTACTTTGACTTTTTCATCTATTAGATAGGCATGCCATCCAAATCTCGTCTCTACTTCCTATAAATCCAATACATCCGAGTCATCTAATTTGATCCATTCTTTTAGCCAGGTCAGACCCACCGCATCATGATATAACTCCATGTCAGGGAGGCTAAATCCTCCTCTCTCCCTCTTGTCTATCATTATTTTGTGTTTTATTCTTGGTTTTCCCCCTGACCACACGAATTTAGCCAAATCTCTTTTCCAATTATTAAAACATTTCTCTCCTCCTAATATTGGGATACTTTGAAATAAAAACATACATACATCTGACTCTGTGGGAAAAATAGAGACGTCTTACGCAAGACCTTTCTGTCATTCTTTCGCAAGCCTTACTCAGGCAAATATACAGTAACACTTGTGCAAGACCTCAGTATTTTTTTTAAAATGGAAATGAATAATGTCCCTGGACCTGCAAGAAGGAAGAAAGAATAAAAAACAAGCTTCTGTTTTGTCCGATGTAAACATGTACACTTCCTGGACATTTTTTAAAGAAGGAACACACAGAGAAATATCTGCATGCAATTTCCAGAAAAACAAAAGACAGTGGGGAGTGTGAACAGCAAGCAGTGGATTAGCAATTAATAACCATGACTGAATAAAGGGGAATGTGTGGAAGCCAATGTGCCAAACACACAAAGAGAGAAATAGGATCTGAATGGTTCGTTCACAATATTATTATAACAACATCAACAATAATAAATTTATTTTTTATACCTTGCCCATCTGCTTGGGTTTCTCCAGCCACTCTTGGCAGCTTACAGCACATATAAGGTCTCTGTCCGGAAGCATCCCATTGATTGTTCTTAAAAGACTTTAGAGTTATATCTGCAAGTCTCAGACCCTGGTCACCCAAATATATAACACAGTGACGGTAACTTCAGAACGGGGACAACACTGCCAAATTCACTGTTAATGATCCGGTCCTGATTTTCTTACATTTTGTCTTAAGCAGTCATCACTTTATCTTTCTAATACAAGTTATTCACACAGCATCCAACTGCCCAGTTTGCTAGTTTGATTGAAGCAGGTTTGAGGGAAACAGCGGTATTTCTCAAGAAACTACAGGACTGACACAAACGTGTCAATGTGACTACAAAAATTAGCAGCGGGTGAGCACTGGATGTAGAATAAGCAGTAATATGTGAATATAATCTCAATTCAAAAATAGAGATTGCATGCTGATTATGCCCCACCCAGGCGCTACAGGATTTCTTCAGCAATCGTTGTCTTGCAGGCTAAGGTGCATTCCATGAGATTTCACTGACACCAATTACACTGCCACAAAACTCTATGGGAAAAAGTACCGGTAAATCCAGTCCACTAAGTTGCTAAATGTACAGGCTTGATCAGTACAGATTTAGGATTTTTTGCAAATGTAGCATCTAGAGCACATTATCTCAAGCGAAATAAAAAAGAAAATGGCAAGTATTTAAACATTTTCCACAGTAAAAGATGAGCCACTGACTCAATACTGCCATCTCCACAGGGACATAAGCCTTTTTCCAGCAGAATTTTTTGGAATCAGCCCTCAAGTGCAGCCGAAGTCGGTATATTCCATTTGCAAAAGCAAAAATGCATTTGTACTTTGGAACTGTTAACAATTTTGCAAACAGGGTGCCGATGTGTCAAAACGACTAGGTGGAAAATAACCACACCACGGGCAAAATTTCCTTATTGCACCAAATTATATTGTCGCTCAATATCATAGAGGCGCCGTCTGATTAAATTATTCACTTTACCGAAGCCCAGCGTTAATAACCGTTATGGCGATAAACTGGAAAAATACAGCTTTTGGTTGACAATTTTAATTCGAGCGCTCTTGTGACAATTTTGCGATAATAAGGGCAGTAGGGTTTAAGGTGAAGCCAGCAATTAAATGTCCTGCGGCAAATCTGTCATTCAACAGAGGGGAGGTTAGCTTCCAAGAGCAATGAAGAATTTGGAACACAGAATTTGGAACAGGGGGGGAAATCACCTTAGGAACTTATAGATTGAACAGCTTCTGTAGATGCTATAGATTGAACAGCTTCTGTCCAAATCTGAGCCCCATATAATAACTGCACTTTAAACTTTAAACACTGACGGGTTGTGGCTGCCACCCAGGGCTGGATTTAGGTTTGATGAGGCCCTAAGTTACTGAAGGTAATGGGGCCCTTTATATGTCCAGCTGTCCTTTGTCAACAACAAATTGGCGCTGTTTTTTGTGTTGAATATACGCTATATGGTCATTTATGGACCTAATAGGTATCTAAAGCCATTGGTACATGCAGAATGTAGGCACCCTATATATAGAAATGAGCAAACCAGTTGATATTTTAGGGAGCAGGCTAGCAGGCGGGGCCCATTACTTACATCATAGGAGCCTACACAATACAAGACACTGTTGCTGTATGTAGGTTTCATCTTATTTGTTTTTTGTCTTATATTTTGGACATGTACATCCAGTTGTTTTTTCCCTTTAGATTTTTTTGGGGGGCCCCAAGAGAGTGGGGCCCTAAGCCAGGCATAGGCAAACTCTGCCCTCCAGCTGTTTTGAGACTACAACTCCCATCATCCCTGCCCACTGGTCCTGCTAGCCAGGGATAATGGGAGTTGTAGTCCCAAAACATCTGAAGGCCCAAGTTTGCCTATGCCTGTCCTAAGCTATAGCTCAGGCTTTCTCAACCTCGGCCTTCCAGGTGTTTTGAGACTACAACTCCCATTATCTCTGGCTAGCAGGACCAGTGGTCAGGGATGATGGGAGTTGTAGTCCCAAAAACATCTGAAGGCCCAAGTTTGCCTATGCCTGCCCTAAGCTGTAGCTCAGGCTTTCTCAACCTCGGCCTTCCAGGTGTTTTGAGACTACAACTCCCATTATCTCTGGCTAGCAGGACCAGTGGTCAGGGATGATGGGAGTTGTAGTCCCAAAAACATCTGAAGGCCCACGTTTGCCTATGCCTGCCCTAAGCTGTAGCTCAGGCTTTCTCAACCTCGGCCTTCCAGGTGTTTTGAGACTACAACTCCCATTATCTCTGGCTAGCAGGACCAGTGGTCAGGGATGATGGGAGTTGTAGTCCCAAAAACATCTGAAGGCCCAAGTTTGCCTATGCCTGCCCTAAGCTGTAGCTCAGGCTTTCTCAACCTCGGCCTTCCAGGTGTTTTGAGACTACAACTCCCATTATCTCTGGCTAGCAGGACCAGTGGTCAGGGATGATGGGAGTTGTAGTCCCAAAAACATCTGAAGGCCCACGTTTGCCTATGCCTGCCCTAAGCTGTAGCTCAGGCTTTCTCAACCTCGGCCTTCCAGGTGTTTTGAGACTACAACTCCCATTATCTCTGGCTAGCAGGACCAGTGGTCAGGGATGATGGGAGTTGTAGTCCCAAAAACATCTGAAGGCCCAAGTTTGCCTATGCCTGCCCTAAGCTGTAGCTCAGGCTTCCTCAACCTCAGCCCTCCAGGTGCTTTTGGCCTACAACTCCCATTATCTCTGGCTAGCAGGACCAGTGGTCAGGGATGATGGGAGTTGTAGTCCCCAAACATCTGGAGGGCCGAGTTTGCCTATGCCTGCCCTAAGCTATACCTCAGGCTTCCTTAACAGCCCTCCAGGTGTTTTTTTGGCCTACAACTCCCATGATCCCTAGCTAGCAGCACCAGTGGTCAGGGATGATGGGAGTTGTAGTCCCAAAAAACATCTGGAGGGCCGATTTGCCTATGCCTGCCCTAAGCTATACCTCAGGCTTCCTTAACAGCCCTCCAGGTGTTTTTTTGGCCTACAACTCCCATGATCCCTAGCTAGCAGCACCAGTGGTCAGGGATGATGGGAGTTGTAGTCCCAAAACATCTAGTGCCAGTTTGCCTATGCCTGCTCTAAGCTATAGCTCAGACTTCCTGAACCTTGGCCCTCCAGGTGTTTTTGGCCTACAACTCCCATGATCCCTAGCTACCAGGAGCAGTGGTCAGTGATGATGGGAGTTGTAGTCCCAAAACATCTAGTGCCAGTTTGCCTATGCCTGCTCTAAGCTATACCTCAGGCTTCCTTAACAGCCCTCCAGGTGTTTTTTTTGGCCTACAACTCCCATGATCCCTAGCTAGCAGCACCAGTGGTGAGGGATGATGGGAGTTGTAGTCCCCAAACATCCGAAGGCCCAAGTTTGCCTATGCCTGCCCTAAGCTGTAGCTCAGGCTTCCTTAACAGCCCTCCAGGTGTTTTTTTGGCCTACAACTCCCATGATCCCTAGCTACCAGGAGCAGTGGTCAGTGATGATGGGAGTTGTAGTCCCAAAACATCTAGTGCCAGTTTGCCTATGCCTGCTCTAAGCTGTAGCTCAGGCTTCCTCAACCTCAGCCCTCCAGGTGCTTTTGGCCTACAACTCCCATGATCCCTAGCTAGCAGGACCAGTGGTCAGGGATGATGGGAGTTGTAGTCCCCAAACATCTGGAGGGCCGAGTTGGCCTATGCCTGCCCTAAGCTATACCTCAGGCTTCCTTAACAGCCCTCCAGGTGTTTTTTTGGCCTACAACTCCCATGATCCCTAGCCAGGAGCACCAGTGGTCAGGGATGATGGGAGTTGTAGTCCCCAAACACCTGGAGGGCCGAGTTGGCCTACGCCTGCCCTAAACTCTAATATCGCTTGTTGACCTTATATTGTACTTTGCCTGGCTGCGGCAAACGGGACAGGCGGGGCGGCGGCGGCGGCCGTTTTCCTGAGGGGAAAAAGAGGAGGAGGAGGAACCGGGAAGCCGCCGCCTCTCCTCCTGCTCCTCCTCCTCCTCTTCCAGGAGGGCGGCCGGCGCAGGGCCCGTCCCTCGTCGGCGGCCGTGCGGCTTCGACAGCGGCAGGGATGGCATCGCTGAGGCCGGGCGGCTGGGGCCAGCGGGCCTCCTCCCTCGGCGGGCCGCTCCTGGCGCTGCTCATGCTGGGCTTGGCGCAGCCCCACCACACGCCCCCCAACCCCGGTAAGCGCCGCCGCCGCCGCCGCCTTCCCTCCCTCAGTCCTCCGTCCCTCCAGCTCCTGTCTCGCTTCGGGTTTTTGTTTCCCCCACCCCGTTTTTATAATGCATATTTCCACCTCGTGTTTTTATTTTTATTTTTTAAATGGCGTGGCTGAAGGGCTTGTTTCGCAAAGTTAGTTAATAATGCTAAAGTTAAAGGCACGGGTTTTATTTGGGGGGGGGGGTGAGGGAAGGAAAACGGGGTGGCGCCATTGAAAAATGTTTCGCCTGCCCCGCCTTTCCTCTCAGGGCGAAAGGTAGGTTACAGGTTTTTAAAATTACATTTATATGCCGCTTTTCCCCCTCCCAGGAGCTCAGGGGTGGTGTACATGGTCCTGGGCGTGGCGGGGTGGGGTGGGGTTGAGGGGACAACTAAAGTAAATAAATAAAAACAAAAGTTGAGAAACTGGAGATTTTGGCAGGTTTTCCTGAGCCCTTGGGGCTAAAAGAGAGTGCTGTATTATCCCATGTATAAGACTGTATTTTTAAACCAAATTTTTCAAGTTTGAAATTGAGGGTCGTCTTACACACGGAATGTTGAAAATATTTATTTCTTAATTTTGAGCTCAAAAAATAAGAGTCGTCTTATACATGGGGGCATCTTATACAGTGGGATAGTGGTGCCTCGGAAGACGAAATTAATCCGTTCCGCGAGTCTCTTCGTCTTGCGGTTTTTTCGTCTTGCGAAGCACGGCTATTAGCGGCTTAGCGGCTATTAGCGGCTTAGCGGCTATTAACGGCTTAGCGGCTTTAAGAAAAAGGAAACAAACTCGCAAGAACTCGCAAGACGCTTCGTCTTGCAAAGCAAGCCCATAGGGAAATTCGTCTTGCGGAACGACTCAAAAAACGCAAAACCCTTTCGTCTAGCGAGTTTTTCGTCTTGCGAGGCATTCGCCTTGCGGGGCACCACTGTACCTCTAATTATGTTCACCTCCGGTTACGTATCCTTCGGGATACATGGCAAACCCAGAAGTATTTCCCCAAGTTTCGCCGCATGCGCAGAAGCACTAAACCGCGCGCATGCGCAGAAGCGGCACCTCTGGTTGCAAATTCCTCGGGATCCAACCCAAGCACTGGAACGGATCCGGTGCCCAACCGGAGGTACCATTGTACAGTCATACCTCGGGTTGAATGTGCTTTGGGATGAGCGCGTTCGAGTTGCGCTCCATGGCAACCCCAAAGTAACGAAGCGTATTACTTCCGGGTATCGCCGCTTGCGCATGCGCAGACGCTCAAAATGATGTCACGTGCATCCGCAGAAGCGGCAAAAAGCGATGTGCGCGTGCACAGACGTCCCGTCGCTGGTTACGTTTGCTTCTAGATGTGAACGGTGCTCCGGAATGGATCCCGTTCGCATCTAGAGATACCACTGTACACAGAAATATACGGTACAGTGGTACCTCGGTTTACGAACAACCCTGTTTGCGAACTACAGTGGTACCTCGGGTTAAGTACTTAACTAGTTCCGGAGGTCCGTTCTTAACCTGAAACTGTTCTTAACCTGAAACACCACTTTAGCTAATGGGGCCTCCCACTGCCGCCGCGCCGCCACAGCACAATTTCTGTTCTCATCCTGAAGCAAAGTTCTTAACCCGAGGTAATATTTCTGGGTTAGCGGATTCTGTAACCTGAAGCATCTATAACCTGAAGCGTCTGTAACCCGAGGTACCACTGTATTCAGTTTATGAACTCCGCAAAACTGGAAGTAGTGCCCCAGTTTGCAAACTTACCTTGGTCTACGAACAAATGGTGGAAGGGCACTGGCAGTGTGAGACCTCATTAGGGAAAGCGCGCCTCGGTTTAAGAAAGGCTTCGGTTTAAGAACGGACTTCCGGAACGGATTAAGTTCGTAAACCGAGGTACCACTGTAATTTAAAACAACGGTTGTTGAGACACATCCTTCCCAATCTGCTAGACAGAGCCAGGCAGAGGATGACAGGTGGGTCTCCTGCCACCCCCCCCAAATAAATCCTGTCTACACCCATGTACATGGCTCTCCCCCCACATCCCCACCCTGCTTCAGCCTCACAACAGCCTTGTGAGGCAGGTTGGGGCTGAGAGACAGGCCCAAGGCCACTTCATGGATTAGTGAAGGATTTGAATCCTGATCTCATTCCCGGCGGCCTCAACCTTGAAGTCTCTTAGTCCGGTGCTCTAACAATTGCACCACACTAGCGCTTTGGTTGCGCCGCCCTGGGAACAGGATGTTGGACTCAGCTGGCCTTTGCTGGAACGATTCAGCAAGGCTTAAAAAAAGAAAATATTATTACAGTCTTGTTTGTCTTCAATGGAAGTACAGCTCACGAAAGACAAAACGGAGCAGATTAAAATAAAATAAAATATGTTTTAACCTAGCTTTTAAAACGGAAAGCTGCCGCCGCCACCATCATCATTTTGTTTTGCATGCCACCCTTTCCCACAGTTTCAAGGTGGCTCACAGATCTGTGTAACCACGAATGTGACAGAAGCCATAAACAATAAATAAAATTGTGTCAGCAAGAACGCAGCCAAACGGAACAATTTCCACATGAATCGTAGGAAGAGCGAAAAATAAAGATACAAAAAATTTATACGGTATCAGTGGTGGCAACAACATCTCCCCTCCCCTGCCGCAAACAAAACCCCAGCCCAAGACCCAGAACAATATCCCAACCAAATAAGATAACTTTGGGGGGGGGGTTGGGGGTGTGAAGCTTTAAATATCATCATATTTAACCCACTTTCCCATCCAATATTCCCACGCTACTTGGATTTCAAAAAGTTTTGCAATGTCTCCCTAGATTGACTCTTCAGCCTGGCAGATGTTAAAACATGATAATTTCCACCCTTTATTGGGCAAGGTGGTAGAGAGGGAGGTGGAAGAGCTACTGGAATATATGAATTGCCTGGATCCATTTCACAATCTGGATTCAGGCACGGTTCAGGGACTAAATCAGCCTTGGTTAACCTTATGGGTGACCTGTATCAGGAATAGGCCAGGGGATGTCACAGACCATGGTATACACTGTGGGATGGGTATTAGAGACAATAGAAAAAGGTCATGTCTGGAAAGTAGCAACGGGAGACTGTTTCAACTCCATGGACTTTGTGCTGCAGTGTACCACAAGGTAAAATTTCCTCCCCAATGCTGGTTTTAAAAGCCTCTGGGTGCAGCCATTAGGAGTTTTGGGGCAGTTGCCTGTTCTGGATGGAGTTGCACTCCTTCTGAAAGAACAGGTGCAGAGTTTAGGGGTTCTCCTGGATTCTTCTCTGTCTCTGGAAACCTCTGGTGGCCTCAGTGGCTAGGAGAGCCTTCTACCAGCTATGGCTGGTATGTCAGCTGCAGCTGTTCTTGAACAGTTATGGTCTAGCCCCAGTGATCCATGCATGGGTGACCTCAAGGCTCAAGCCTTGCAATGCACTCTATGTAGAGGCTTCAGCTGGTGCAAAACACTTCAGCTAGACTGTTGATTGGAACATACTATCACTAGCACATAACTCCAGTGTCCAAAATTCTGTACTGACTGCACTTGCGCTCCTAGGTTCAGGGGTCTTGTACTAATTTACAAGGCCCTTTACAATTTGGGCCCAGGATACCCGAAAGACTGCCTAATCCTCTATAAACTTCCTGATCATTGAGGTCATTTTCAGTGGTCTCCCATGGCTCGATACACAGCTCGTATCCCCCAGGAGTTATGCATTTAGCATTGCAGGCTTAGTTCCTTTCTGAACTTCTGGCACATATTGAACACATTTTTATTCCAGCAGGCATTCTAATTGAAGTTTGGTTTTATAGTGATTTTCATTTTTTCATATTTTATCTTTGTAAACTGCTTAGAGGCTATTGCACTTAAGCGACATGGTTTAAAACAAACAAATCCTAACGTTTCTGCCAGGGACCATCCCCACAAGTGTCTGGCTAGACAGATTTCTCAATGGAAAAGCATTTTTTCACACTTACTTTATTTATTCAAAAGGCTATATCCCATTCTTGTGCAGATGCATTTCTCAAGGAAGCTTACAACCATTAAAGTGTCATAGGCTTTGTAAAAAATATAAAATAGAAACAGGCTCAGCCAAATTCACTGTACAGTATAAAGGTATTTTACCCAGCAAGACAAAAGTGTGCTGGAACAGAAAAGTCTTCACCAAACAGCAGAAGACAACAAGGGATCAGAGCCACTTGGCCATTAGTTTCTCTTTTAAAAACTTTAGCCCGTGCTTAGAGGCCCCTAGCTCAGAGGACATGACATCGCCCAGTGGTCAAGCATATGTTTTGCATTCATTAGGCTGTAGTCACAGTCCCTGGCATTATGTTTGATTGTTGATGTAAAAATATATTTTTGGAACATGATTTTTTGAGTTTGTCATTTCTAAAGATTAGCCATTATAGTCTTCTACGATCAGCCTGCTTGACAAATACATCGATTCCCAGAACAAAGGCAAGTCGTGACCCACAGCCACATTTGGGGGTGTCAGCGAGAAAGGCAAAAGCCAGTAGCAGTCCAGTATCACACGCACTCCAGGGATGTTCACAACAGAGGAACAAGACATACCAAAGAGGTGGAGTAAAGAAATTGTTCCAATATCTCTGCAGTGACTGAATGCTTATGTGCAGCAGCCTTATAAGCCCCTTCCTAGGCACAGCTGTTGGACATATGAGCTAACCAAGGATTTGGGTCTACTTGTGAGGAAACTGCTGTGCTTGAGTAGCCCATTACTTCTGAGGACTAAGCCAGGCACCATGGTGTCTGGCCACAGCCTGGTACTTCACCTTCATGTGCTGACATCCTCTTGGGCTTGGATGTGACTTGGCTTCCATCTCTGCCTCTGAGCCCATTTGCAAAGGTGTTTGGGGTTTATATGATGCCTCCGAGTATGTAATCTGGAAAGGATCTGTCTTTGCAGAATTCCCAGTTCATCAGCAACACTGGCTAAACGGTGAAGCTTTCTCTCCATGCTTTATCTCTCACAGACGTATCCAGAAGACAACCCTGGGATCTGAAAATTGACCAGGCTTTGCTACAAATTCATAATGAGTTGCTTGGTGAGAACTTAACCATCTCCTGGATCTCTGATTATTGCTACCAGGTAATTCGTACTCATTGATGGGTAGGTGGGAGTTATTGAATGCTGCCCTAAAACTTTCACATTTAGAAAGCAATGATGCAGTATAGTTTAATACGTCGTTATTTTCCAGAATCTGACATTTCTCCCCTAGGAAAGGAGGACTGGGACTTAGGACCATGAAAATTAAGAGGGGCCCTCCAGGACTCAGGGTTGTGGAAGAGCACCCCTGTCATGTACAATTTAACAAAATATCTTCACGGTAAAGGAAAGAAACACACAGAAGAAGCCAGATTTTGGCATTATTCCCTATAGTTGGCTCATTATAGCCATGCAGAAGCCTAGTCTCAGCTCAGTAGTTAAGACCATGCAAGTATGGGTACTTTCCAGAATTTTTCCTGATTTGCAAAATAAAAACTGGGCAAAGAGACATGGCATGGGAGGGTGCTTACTCAGGAAATTGACACTGAGAACTGAAATGGTTTAATTTTCTATCCACTCCTGTGTCTGTGGCCTGCTAATGTACTGGAGGTAGAGTGATGGTAAAACCACGGTTTGTTGATTTAGAGGTTGTGACAAACCACAGTTAAGCTTTGTATTTTTTTTTTAATAAATATTTATTAAAGTTTTCACAATATTACATAATAAAAAAGAAAAAAAACAGTTAAAAACAATTCCATCTTTTCATCACTTATCTTTCATTTACTTGTTTCCCGGACCTCCTCATGCCTCCCTTTTTTGTATTCCAGTTCAATTTATTAGTTCAGCAATTCCTTTCCCTCCTTATTTTATCCTGATCTTTAATCTTAATATATCATAGCATTAAATTTTTACCTATTAAAAATCCAATTTTTCCATATTCTTTTATACCATTACAGCTAGAAACCACTTAACTTCAATCCAACATCATTCTAACATTCATTAATTTTGCAATATTTCTGTAAATAGTCTTTAAATTCACAGTTAAGCTTTGTAAACCATGATCCATGTCTCAACTGAACCTGTGTGAATGCTGATATATTTTCAGTGGAGAAAATTAGTTCTAGACTCTAATCCCAAGATAATGTGCAAACAAACCAGTGGTGCTAATGCACATTTCAGTTAGTATAACTCTTAACATAGGAAACAGATCACGTAGTATTTTTTATTTTAAGATACCATTGTACAATTTTGTCTGATAATCATTTCTTTTTTTCAGAACAAACCACTACTTTCCTTTAGACCAGTGGTTCTCAACCTGTGGGTCCCCAGCTGTTGTTGGACTTCAACTCCCATCATTCCTAGCCAGCATGACCAGTGGTCAGGGATGATGGGAGTTGTAGTCCAACAAACATCTGAGGACCCACAGGTTGAGAACCTCTGCTTTAGACCCTTCTATTTGTGTTATACAGTGGTACCTCTAGTTGCGGACACGATCCGTTCCGGGGTGCCGTTCGCACCCCGAAAAGTCTGCAACTGGAGCGGCGCTTCTGCGCAAGCGTGGAGGGTGATAGAGCGTTTCTGCGCATGTGCGAAGCACGCAGAACGCTAGAAAGCCAGGGCTTTTTCAGCTGTGGCTCCGATCTGGTGGAACGCTCTGCCACAAGAGACTAGGGCCCTGCGGGACTTGACATCTTTCCGCAGGGCCTGCAAGACAGAGCTGTTCCACCTGGCCTTTGGCCAGGGCACAGCCTGACTCCCTCCTTCGGCAATCTTCGCGGAGCTCTGGCCCAATGGTTGCCATTGGTTTGATTTGAGTTAATTTTATAATGAATGATTTTAGAGTGTTGTGTTGTGTTGTACTGTTGTACTGTTTTATTGTTGTTAGCTGCCCTGAGCCCGGCTTCGGCTGGGGAGGGTGGGATATAAATAAAATTTATTATTATTATTATTATTTTGCACATGCACAAAGCGTGCAGAACGCGTCTGCGTGTGTGTGCAGGGCGAAGCCCGGAAGTATACACTTCTGGGTTTGCTGTGTTTGCAAGCTGAAAAGACGCACATGAACCTAACGCAACACGAGGTGTGACTATTTCAAAGATGGTCTTTTTATTGTGTCTAGTTTTGGTTACTTCTATATCTTAGTGTTGTTCATTTTCCCTTATTTTCCAGTGCTTGCCTCAGGAACTAATTCCCATCAACAAAACACCTGAAGAGCCTAGTGTTAGCACTGCTGCTGTGGATTCTCAGCATGCAGTCACCCTGCTGGTCAGTAACACGAAAGACAACAAAGAAATTTGCAGGTCAGAGCCTTATTTTAGTGTACTGTTCCTTGAAATAGTTCACAGTTGCCAGCATCTGCAATGTCCCCATGGCTCTGCTGTGGTTATTTATTTAGTGAAATTACAGGCTTTAATTTAGATTTAGTGATTTAGTGATTTAGATTTAGATACAGTGACTGAACTGGAGGCCCCTCGACTGACTTCAGGTCCAGTGTTGGACCATTTCGATTGGATACTCCCTACTGATGTGGATAGATTCCTCCAAGTTGGTAGGCCCACCACCTGCCTCCTTGATCCGTGCCCGTCTTGGCTGATTAGGGAGTGTCCAGATGTTGCGCGGACCCCCCTGGTTGAAATTATCAATTTGTCCCTTGACACGGGGACATTCCCAGGGGAACTGAAGGAAGCAGTGGTGTCCACTCTTAAAGAAAACTTCATTAGATCCCTTAGACCTATCCAATTACCGCCCAGTTTCAAATCTTCCATACCTGGGTAAGGTAATTGAGAGAGCGGTTGCTGAACAGCTTGGTAGGTTTCTGGAGGAAACATCGGCATTAGATCCATTTCAGTCCGGTTTCTGTCCTGGTTTTGGGACGGAGACGGCTCTGGTTGCCCTAACAGATGATCTCCGTAGACAACTGGATCAAGGCGGGTCAGGACTGCTGATCCTTTTAGATTTGTCAGCAGCCTTTGACATGGTCGATCATGATCTTCTGGACCACCGCCTCGCAGACGTGGGGATACAGGGCATAGCCCGTAACTGGTTGTGCTCTTTTATCTCTGGTCGGGGACAGAGGGTGGCACTAGGGAGGGAAATGTCGTCACGCCACACCTTGGTGTGTGGAGTGCCGCAGGGCGCAATTCTCTCCCCGATGCTTTTTAACATCTTTATGCGCCCCTTGCCCAGATTATCCAGAGCTTTGGGCTGGGCTGCCACCAATATGCTGATGACACTCAGCTCTATCTGCTGATGGATGGCCACACCGACTCGGCCCCGAACACACTGACCAGATGCTTGGAAGCTGTGGCTGGATGGTTTCGTGGGAGCCGATTGAAACTAAATCCTTCGAAGACAGAGGTCCTATGGCTAGGTCGGGATGGCATGGGGATGAGGGACCAACTCCCTTCTCTTGCGGGGCCCAATTAGTGCCATTGCCTTCCGTTAAGAGTTTGGGTGTAATCCTTGACGCCTCCCTTTCCATGGAGGCACAGGTTACAGCAACAGCCAAGGCGACATTTTTCCACGTTCGCCGCATCAAGCAGTTGGTCCCTTACCTTTCCCGCCCTGACCTGGCCACAGTGATCCATGCGACGGTCATCTCCAGGCTTGACTACTGTAATTCGCTCTATGCGGGGCTGCCCTTGAAGCTGTCCCAGAAACTCCAGCGGGTGCAGAATGCTGCAGCGAGGCTCCTCACGGGGTCTCTGCCATGGGAGCATATTCATCCAGTGCTTTTCAAGCTGCACTGGCTCCTGGTGGAGTACAGGGTCAGATTTAAGGTGCTGCTTTTGACCTTTAAAGCCCTTCACGGCCTAGGACCCTCGTACCTACGGGACCGCCTCTCCCGGTATGCCCCACGGAGAGCCTCAAGGTCCATAAATAACAACACCCTAGTGGTCCCAGGCCCTAAGGAAGTTAGATTGGCTTCAACCAGAGCCAGGGCCTTTTCAACTCTGGCCCCGGCCTGGTGGAACGCTCTGCCTCACGAGACCAGGGCCCTGCAGGATCTGATTTCTTTCCGCAGGGCCTGTAAGACAGAGTTGTCCCGCCTGGCCTTTGGCTTGGAGCCAATTTGATTCCCTCCCTCCCTTTCTTTTTTCTTTTCCTTCTCCTCCTGCGATGAGGCTACATTTTAATATTTTAATGTTCCATTATTTTAATTTTGTATTTTATTTTTGTTTTTAAGTTGTAATCATTCATCTTGTTTTTATTATTGCTTGTAAGCCGCTCTGAGCCCGGCCTTGGCTGGGGAGGGCGGGGTATAAATAAAAAATTATTATTATTATTATTATTATTATTATTATTATTTAATGAAAGTCCAGTAATATACTGTAATGTAAGCATAGTTCCATCAGTAACCATTATTGGAGAGTTTATGTAATTCTGCAGTAGCTGAAGCAGCAAAACCATTATGTGCTGAAGCAGCACATAAGCGGCACACAAAACACTAAAAAACCATTCTACGTTCTAAATCTTAGGCTTAGTAAATGAATAGATGCTTAAGTCAAGAAAGAACTTGGCATATGAAGTTGAATGTATGTAAATACACCAAAATCTTGAGGGAGAATTTCCTGAAGAAAGAAATTAAATATTATAGCTTAATCTAAGAAGAAATGTAACATATGGACTTGAATGTTTATAAATATATCAAAACCGTGAGAGAGAATTTACTGAAGAAGCCTGAGACTCTTCATGGGCGAAACAGGTGACAAACGCCGGCACCCTGTCTAACTCTTGTGCGTAACATCACCAACACTTTGTTTGATCCAACTTACCTTTGTTGATATCTACAGGAGCCTGGCTAAAGGAACCTTTAAAGACTGAATCTTCCTTTTGGACACAAGTTGAATGAGTTTTCTGTTTGTGGCTTCTGTAGTAGATCTTGTACATAGCTCTCTCAATTTTTGCATTATTAACGTAAGATTTAGAACCTAGAATGGTTTTTTAGTGTTTTGTGTGCTGCTTATGTGCCGCTTACTTTATACTAGTCTACAATGAGAATTGGCAGCATAGGTTCATTTCTTCAGAAGCAGCAGAACTAGCAAAGGCAATCTGAATTCATAATGAGAGAAAAAGACGTAGGAAATCAGCCCAGTGCTGAAGAACTTAGATGGGAGCATAGATAGAAGAGACTGTAGAGGAGAAGAGTTGCATAATATCAGGAAAGTGAAGAGAGGTAAGCAGAAAACAGAACTAAACCCAAAAGTTTTAGCAGATCCTCTAAGACTCTACCCTGCTGTCAGCTAAATGGGCACAGGTTCTAAACTGTTTGTTTTGTGTGTTCTGCAGGCCATGGGGTGGGGAGCACAGCAGGCATATTTGAAGCACTGTTTCTACACAACTAGTGATCATTGGATCAGCTGGCATCAGGGTGTGTGGGGGTGTGCGTGCATCAAGTCATCACACAGCTACCTATAGCAGAGTGTTAGCACACCAGAAAACAGTGGGTCAACTTTTAGGCCATACTAACATGTAATTATTTAAGTCTGGCTCTTTAAAGGTATCATACATACTGCATTGTGTTAGTGTGGTTTCAGAGGTAGTTCTAATTTAAAAGTAACTTCCAGGATATTTTCCCTTTGCTGTTTGCAGGTTACATTATCATTTTGGAGAATTTGGAAACTATTCCCTAGTGGTTGGGAATCTCCATGGCAGCATCCCGAAGATTTCATGCAATATAACTGTCAATCAGAGTCCTTCCAACAGCTACCTCCGTATGTTGCTTTATATGTTTATGGTTTTTTAAATTTTTTTTATTTAATCCCAAGTATCAAAACATACTAAAAAACAAAAATTGTATATTCTAATTTATACAGTGGAACCTCGTGTTACGGATGGGATCCGTTCCGGAGGCCCGTCCATAACACGGAACTGATGCAAGCTGAAGCGCCGTGTCTGTGCACGCGCACGGTGCGATTTAGCACTTCTGCGCATGTGCAAAGCTCGATTTAGCAAGCATTTGCGAGCGGCAAAACCCGGAAGTAACCCATTCCAGTACTTCCGGGTTGTCGCGGGACGCAACATGAAAACACGTAACCTGAAGCGGACACAATATGAGGTATGACTGGATGGATGGATGCCTCTGAGCAAATTAAAGTTAAGGAAAGGGCCGTAGCACTGTGGTGGAACATCTAGTTTAAATGCAGAAGATCCTAGGTTGAAACCCTGGCATCTCCAGGTAGGGCAGCGAACGTCTGCTGTCTGAAACACTTGAGAGCCCCTGCCAGTCAGTGTAGCTTAGGAGTTCCAGAACCTTGGTCCACTGACAGTAGCTTCATTCAGGTAGTCCATGGCATGTCTGCAGAAACACAATTAAAAACCACACAGCATCTAGCACATCACATTAAAATTGCTACAAGAGGTAGACAAATCATTAAGTGGGCAATCCAGGACCCTGGATTAAAAAAACTAGGGCTCATCTAATATCAGTGCCCCTGTTTGTATGCATATTTTTTTTCAATTCAGTTAATTCATTACAGCCTGACTAACAAGTCACTCCCCCTGCAATCTCTAACCAGGATCGTTTGCCCAGTTGTTGCTTTCCTGAGCAGATATTCCAGCCCCAGTTTGTGTTCCTGTGAGCTGTTTATTGCAGGAAACATCCTGAAAGAGGTGTAGCTGTAATATTGGATCATCACAGAGAGCTAGTCAGTGAGAAAAAATCTAGCTGGAGATGCTTCTATGCTTGAGCATATCACACTTTTCCTCCTCTGTGTTTTTATTATGTTTTGTTTACTGTCTTGAGATGTTAGCAAATCTTCCAATAAAAACTAGGCTGGGGGTGTTTTTAGTTTTCTGCAGATATGTGGAATTCTGGCCCAGGATTCTACTTTGCAATTTGGAGTAATTAAAACTTACTATTTTCCTTTGTATAGCAATTTTTTTTGCATTTCTCATCTACGTGGGATTCTTCTCTATTCTGGCATTGGGACAGGTTTGTGTGAAGTAAGTAAAATGTCTTAATAAGATATTCCTGTTACTTCCTTTTGAATGTTTCTCCTGCTGGCTAATTGAGAACAGTTCATTTATGCAGTCTGGGAATATGGCTTGTGGAGCGGTCCTCAGGCCTGTCTCAAAGAACATTAGCTGAGAACCTGGCTCCTAAGTGCAAAATATATAATGAACAATCAAATTTCCCTGAAAAATAAAGAACAGAGTATCTCTGTTTATTCCAAGCCTTCTTTGAACAATGTTGTGCTGCCATTGATGACTGTCTATGTGCAGCTTTTCCACCACTGCTTTTATTACTTGCCTGGTGGAAGCACTTACCGCAAGACCTTTCTTGATGTGTCCAGGCCTCCCTCTGCATCACTTGCTGGGACATTGTTACGAAAGTGTCCTGGGTGCCAGGGATCCGGGTAACTGGGATCCAGGGATTCCACTATGGAGAGCAAGATGACTGCCCTACATAATTAAAGGGTCCTCTCTGGTGTTACAAAGATGATGATGATAAAAATAATAGTAATAATAATAATAATAATTTATTTATACCCCACCCATCTGGCTGGGTTTCCCCAGCCACTATGGGCAGCTTCCAACAGAACACCAAAATACAATAACTTATTAAACATTAAAAGCTTCCCTAAACAGGGCTGCCTTCAGATGTCTTCTAAAAATTTGGTCCTTTTGGACTGATATTCCAGAACAGGGATGGAAGGCACTGTAATCCAGTAGCTCTGTTTCTCTCTAGATACAGTGATGTTGCCAGAAACTGCTTCTGGAAGACAATTGCTCTACCCCATAGCACTTGAGCTCTGGTATTCCACAGTGCTTTCTTTTGGGGGGGGGGGGCTGGGGGAGTCTATGTGAAATGTACAAGTGAGGTTATTTAGAAATTTGGAGTGAGGGTGCCATCAATAAGTTGGTGACACCCAGCTGGTGTCAACATTCTACTAGCTGAGGTGGTGCACCAGCTTTGACACCTTGCACAGAAATAACCTGATCACTGTTGCCAGTGCTCTGGTAACCTCCAGATTAGACTATTGCAATATGTGGCACATGGGTGATGCTTTTGAAGGCTGCTTAGGAGGTTCAGTTTGTCTAGAACACAGTGGTTAACAATGGACTGGGACTGGTCAAACAGGAAGCTTTTAATATTTGATGCTATACTGTATTTTAATATTTTGTTGGAAGCTGCCCAGAGTGGCTGGGGAAGCCCAGCCAGATGGGCGGGCTATAAATAATAATAAAATATTATTATTATTATTATTGTTATTATTATTATTATTATTATTACAAATGTCACAAGTGGTTAAATAACTTCGCTGACTGCTAGTCCACTTCAGAGCACACTTCAAAGCTCTGAATTCAACCTTTAGACCCCTATATCGCTTAAGACCCAATGACTTCCTAATCCTACATGAACTTGCCCAAACACAGAGGTTATCTGCATATATTTTTCTATATATCTCCCCGCCTTCTGCTTTTGAGGGTGGGTTGTGGGGAAAAGAATATTTTTGGTGGGGGGGCATCTTTTCCCAGAGAGCACTGACCTTTCCCTTTTAGTGTCTGGTGAAAACCTTTTTATTAATGAGACGTTTACATTTTTATTTCTTTACTTTTATTTTCCTCTTAAGCTTGCTAATACCACTGATACTTTTAGACTGTTTCTGCCTTGCATAATTTGTTGTGTTTTTACTGTTTTAGTCGTCACTGTAAACTTCCTTCAGATTTTCATTGCAAAGTAAAGGACAGGTGATCAAATACTTTAAGTGGCTAGCTAGCTAGTTCAATCACTGAAGGTGTTCATAGTAAAGAATAAAAGGGGACCTTTCTTTACTCTTAATTCACAGCATCGAACCAATCAGAAACTGGCTTTACAAGAAGATGAACCCTACAGAAACTGATCGACTAATTAATTCAGTAAGTTCTTGGAATAATACAAATTGTCCATTAAAAAAAAACACTGTCAAGAATTTGCTTTGAAGTTTGAGGGGTCATGAAAACTTAATCACATTGTTTAATAATTCAGTTTTTTGCCTTATAAATTGACTGAGTTAAGGCATGTTCACACATGTCTGTTGATTTCTTGATGAGTGCAACACCAAAGTTATTACTTCCATTCTAGAAACCACTATCACGGATCAGCCATCACCTAGCGTTACCTTAAAAGCAGTTGTTTTTCAGAGTGGCAATGCAGTTAACTCAGACATCAAATGATTGTACATGTGTATGAATCAGGTCTTTTGGCTGAAAAAGAGTACCGATTGCTTTTCTTTTTCTTTTTCTATTTTTAAACTTTTTTTTTTTAATTAAAGATTTCTTGGTTTACAAAAGTATGTGCGATGTCTCTTTTTCCAAGTTACATTTTCTACAGATCAGTTTCATTTGTTGAGACATTAGGGTTACATTAAGAGTACTGATTGCTTTTAAGGGGTTTTTTGTCTGGTAAATGTATATATAGGATTGAAGCCTGAAACTATGCTGGCTACAAATCACTAATGTGACATTAATTTTGTTATAGCTTTGATAGGGGAGGGTATTTCACTGAAAGGCTGTTTTTTTGTGTGTGTGTGTGTGTAAGGAATGGTTTTTACCTTCCTTTAGTGTTTTTTTCTTTATACAGGAAGCAGGGTAAGACCCAGCATCTGATCAATAGCCAGCCCAATGCGAATAATCATAGCATTAGTAGATTCATTGGAGTGAGTGGCCCTGTTGTGTGGAGAAATACTTTTGTAGGTGTGGTTCTTTTCACCACAGCAGGAGCATGATGAGAGAGAAGCTGCATTTTTGGAAAGGCACTGGACCCATGTCTCATATTTGGAATCTGGTAACGCTAAAGAGGAACTCTCACAAAAGACAATAAATAAATAGATGCCGATAAACCTGTTCTAAATGGCTTGGGCTTATTCGAGAACATCCACCTCATTGTTTTAATTTTTTCTTGTTTACTTTCTATTCAAGGAGCTTGGATCCCCAAGCAGAGCAGATTCTGCTGGTGGCGATTTGCCGGCTGGGGTATGGAGTTCCGCTTCCTCCCTGCAGAGGCTTCGTTCCCTGGACACGTTTAGAGGGTAACTTTCAGCTCTGAAGGATTTCATACCAGAAAGCTTCAAAGACGTTTCTGTAATGTGTTCGGGGAAATTAAAACCAGTTGCTTTCAGAGTTACCGTATTTTTTGCTCTATAGCAAGCACTTTTTCCCCTCCAAAAATTAAGGGGAAATATGTGCGCGTCCTATGGAGCGAATGCAGGCTCCTTGGCTTCAGCGATAGCAACATGAAGCCTCCGAAGCGCAGAGGGAGCGCTCCCTCCGCACTCCGGAGGCTACGCGTTGCTTTTGCTGAAGCCTGGAGAGCGAGAGGGGTCGGTGCGCACCGACCCCTCTTGCTCTCCCGGCTTCAGGGACAGCCGCCTGAAGCATTTGGAGCGCAGCGGGAACTCGCGCTGCGCTCCGAAGACTTCGGGTTCCTTTTGCTGAAGCCGGGAGAACAAGACTCTCCTGGCTTCATCAGAGAGGGAGAGCTGTGCAGCGCCCCTTCAGCGAAACAGGAGGAGAAATGGAAGGGGCTCTGTTTCTCCTGCCGCTTTGCTGAAGGGGCGCTGAGCAGAGAGCGGGAGAATTTTTTGTTCTTCCCCTCTAAAACAAGGTGCGTCCTATGGTCAGGTGCGTCCTATAGAGCGAAAAATACGGTAATGCTGTTTTCTGTGACAGTAGGGCTCATAGAGAGGAGAATCCATTTGTGCTAGATGCCATGAGAAATCCAGCAACCGTACAAACAGAACACTGTCTGTTTCTTAAGGGACTCAACCCAGCCACAGATTACATGCCGCCCCTCCCCAGTTCCTCTCAGCTCCAGCACATGAAAGAAGGCATGATCTCTTGGTTCATTCTCTATCCCTTAACTGTGGGCTGTCCCCAAAACATAGGAAGCCCAGGGAAATGCTGGAATAAAATGGAAAACACAAACTCTGCATTATAACCTTCTCTTGGCAGATGGAGAAGAGCATTTGGTAGGAACTTTCTGCCTTCCGTATGCAGATTTGTTCCATTCTCCCATTTGTAACAGACCTGGGACCAAAAAACCGTGATAGATTTATTTAGAGTCTCAGAACTTAAAGTCAGTTACAATCACCTGCAAACCAACCACCGTAGAAGTAATGAAACAAAATAGTCTTCTCTTAACAAAGTACATAGTTCAGTCGGAAGCATGTGAGACTGTTAAATTCAGGGTTGGGGGTTTGAGCCCCTCTCTGGGTGATAAATTCCTCCATCACATGGGGTTGGACTAGATACTTGCCTCCTTACAAGGAGATAAGGTTACATCAAGAGAAGCTTCTGAATCATACCTTGTAGGATTAAATAAATACTGTGGGTTTTTTCTGGGGGGGACCCATACCCCTAAACATTTTGTGAATCTTTGTACTTTTGTCCATTTACTGTATTTATTTTCCCAATTTGAACTACAAAATGGTGATTTTCTTGAGTTGAAATTAGAGTACCCCTAAACATTTTTTTTTAGAAAAAAAGCACTGAATAAATACATAATAATTTAGAAATTTTCTTCTCAGACAGCGATAGTTAACCATTTTAATGGTGAAATATGTGAGGTAGATAATCTTACTTTGCTTTCCCCTTTGTAGGTTGGCCCTTGTAATTATGGTCTTCGTCAATTACGGTGGAGGAAAGTACTGGTTCTTCAAGCATCAGAGCTGGAATGGTAAATGTTGTTCTTGACTTTCACTTCATTCATAGAAATGGGTGTTGTTGTTTAGTCGTTTAGTCATGACCGACTCTTCGTGACCCCATGGACCAGAGCAATCCAGGCACTCCTGTCTTCCACTGCCTCCCGCAGTTTGGTCAAGCTCATGTTGGTAGCTTCGAGAACACTGCCCAACCATCTCGTCCTCTGTCGTCCCCTTCTCCTTGTGCCCTCCATCTTTCCCAACATCAGGGTCTTTTCCAGGGAGTCTTCTCTTCTCATGAGGTGGCCAAAGTATTGGAGCCTCAGCTTCAGGATCTGTCCTTCCAGTGAGCACTCAGGGCTGATTTCCTTCAGAATGGATAGAAATGGGTAGAGAGAGCCAAGCATGCCTGATCTGCTTTCTGGGACCAAATACCAAATGTCTGCAAGAGAAGCTGAGTGTGCAGGTAACAAAGCCCACGCTAGGCCACACTTGCCGAGGCCTAACTATAGATGGCATGTAAATGCACATAGTTGAACCCCAACAACCCCCCTTTTCAGGAAAAGCTTCTTCAGGAGGGGGCAATTTGTAGTGGAAAAACAGTGGGAGGGTGAGGGGGTATTTAAGTCTTTACCTATTTATCACTTAAGGTAAAGGTAAAGGGACCCCTGACCATTAGGTCCAGTTGTGACCGACTCTGGGGTTGCGGCGCTCATCTCGCTTTATTGGCCGAGGGAGCCGGCGTACAGCTTTCGGGTCATGTGGCTAGCATGACTAAGCCGCTTCTGGCGAACCAGAGCAGCGCATGGAAATGCCGTTTACCTTTCCACCGGAGCGGTCCCTATTTATCTACTTGCACTTTGAGGTGCTTTTGAACTGCTAGGTTGGCAGGAGCAGGGGCTGAGCAACGGGAGCTCACCCCATTGCGGGGATTCGAACCACCGACCTTCTGATTGGCAAGTCCTAGGCTCTGTGGTTTAACCCACAGCGCCACCCGTGTCCCTATCACTTATTTGCTCTAAATTGCTCTTCTTGAAGTGTTTTTATCCTACGCTTGGAGGGAAAGCACACATTCATAGCCATGCGGGAAGAAAAGCAGTGGTGTGTTGTGTGTGTGTGTGTGTGTGTGTGAATTGGAGCAGAGAATAAAAGGTTGGAACGAGTTACGGCTTGCCTGCCCATTCTACTTCTCCACTACAAAGTCCCTCTTCCTCTATTGGCTTTTCCTAAAAAGAAGAAAAGTGTTGTTTGAGCTTCGTTACACGCATTTTGCTTGGAACATTTAGTTAAACTCTCAGTTGCACATATTTTAGCAAGGGAAGAAAGTTATTGATATGTTTTAGGTCTAAACATTTGGTGGACCCAGGGACAAAGAATTATGAAGCGTTAAAATCAAGATGTGGGAAATATGGAAACGAGGAGGAGAAGCAGGACTAAGATGTGGAGATATGCTTCAGAGATCGTGAGGAGCTCCGAGAAATTAATAAATACAATTTGGACTATAATTTGATCTTTTTATTTTAGTTTTTTATTTCAATTGAAGTATTATGATTGGATATATTAATTGGATGTTTTTTTATTGGAAAATCAATAAAAATGGTTTAAATAAATAAATAAACATTTGGTTTCTACCTAGAGACTAACTACTAGTTGACCTTTTATTATGAAGTTTAATTAATTTCTCATTTTCTCTTTATAGGACTAACCGTAGCAGACCTTGTCTTTCCATGGTAATTCATCCTGGTTGTTATTATGACTTCACAGAAGTCAGGGAAGTTTATTCAGAAGAGACCCATCTGGGGTTTTCTTTTACTGTATGTCAGTTGGATCAAACTTGTTTTGTCCTGGATTCTCAACAGGTTCAATCGTCACAATTGTTTTTTAGAATTACTGTAGTTTTTCTCACTCTTGTAATTTTAAAGTAAAAAAGCACAAATAACAGCATGAAATCTTTTTTTTTTTTTTATGTTAACATCTTTATTGGGACAGGGAACCATTCACAAGAAACACAGATATATCTGTACAATTTGAGGGTATTTAACACACATTTAAGTTCTAATCTTCACTGGCTGTAATTGTTGAATGGCAATGAGATGTAATTGTTGCATCTCATTGCCATTCAACTCCCACCTTACAATTTTCCCTTTAATATAATTTCCACCTAAGATTTCATTTCATGCATCTGACAAAAGTGGACTTTAAATCAACCAAAGCTAATCTTTTAAGTTGCCGTAAGAATGTTGCTTTTGCTGCAATTTACCAACATGGTTACTTCTCGAGATATTTTTTTAGACAAAAAATCAGTTTTAATATATTGTCACCCCTGAGAACTTAAATGACATACGAGGGGAAAGGGTGGTAGAGGAGAGGGAAATTAATTAAAGTTTTAGTTCTTGTAACACACTTGAAAACCAAAGCTTCCATGGGTGTAGCCAGGGTGTCAACTGCCCCCCATCAAATAAATAAATAAAAATAGTTTACTGACCAATTGCTTCACAGATAACTCAGTTCTGCCCCCCCCCCCCAAATAAATCCTGGCTACGCCCATGAACCCTTCCCTACAAAAACCACTCCTGTCCCATCAAAGTTGAAGCAAAGCAGGTGAACATGTTCAGGGGAGGGCTGCTCCTGCCTGTCATCCAGTTGTCTCAGACAGCTGAAATGTTTCTATCAACAGCTATTTGCAGAAAATAAAATAAAATAATTAAGACATAAGCAAATGGTTAAACGGTCACCAAGTCGAGTTTTTTCTTCCTCTAGCTCCCATATTTCCTTTGTGCATAGTAACTAGCTCATATTTCTTGTTCAATATAAAAGTGTCAGAATTTTTGAGCAGCTATCTATCTATCCTCCTAATGGCCATGAGGATTTTACACCACCTCAACAGCATGAAATCTTAAATCTTCCTGAAACAGGGTGTCCAAAAATGAATTAGCTGATGTTTACAAATCAGTTTTGAAATCCTGAAAAGACAGACAGATTCCTGCCATACACCTATATACCGATTTTCACTTTACATGTTGTGCTTGTCTATAAATTCAATATATAGCCCTTGGAAACAGTTACCATGAAGAGACTGAGTTCTCATGTTTGAGGGTGTATGCTTGGAGTGATGCGGCTCTGTTTTGTTCATAAAATTCAGGGAGACTAATTTTGCCTTTTTACAGCTCCAATTGGCAGAACCATGGCATTATTTATGAACACCGATCGCCTTTACCAGTTTCTCAACATTAATAAAAACTGATTTGGTTTGGGCTTTTTAAAAAACAAATTAAAAACCGGAGTACAGAAGACAGACAGCCTGCCTGAAAATTGGGAGCTGCCATATATCCAACAGAATTCAGTTTTCTGTTTAATATGTATGCCAATAGGCAACACATGAGTGGGCTCACCTTATATAAGAGAAAAAGATTCAAAGTCCTGTTTTAAAGACTGCCCGCACCTTGAATATATTTTTAGTGCTTCTGCCTTCCTCAGTCATACCCCCCACCCCACAAAATAAGACCCTGAATTTTCCAGTGACAGTCTTCCCCAACTGTAGGTCCTCAGATGTTCCTGGACTACAACTCCCATCATCACCACCATCCAGCGTGGCCTATGCTCAGGGGTGATGGGTGTTGTAGTCCAACAGTGGCTAGAGATAGCTGGTCTATGACATATGAAGGGCTCTTGGGGGAAATATGAGGACAGAAGCCCAGGCCCGTGTCAGTAGTAGTAATAATAATAATAATAATAATAATAATAATTTTTATTTATACCCCGCCCTCCCCAGCCAAGGCTGGGCTCAGGGCGGCTAACAAGCAATAATAAAAATAAGTTGAATGAATACAACTTAAAAACAAAATTAAAATGCAACATTAAAATATTGAAGCATTAAAATACTAAAATGTAGCCTCATCGCAGGAGGAAAAAGGAAAAGAAAAAAGAAAGAGGGGGAGGGAATCAAATTGGCTCCAAGCCAAAGGCCAGGCGGAACAACTCTGTCTTACAGGCCCTGCGGAAAGAAATCAGATCCCGCAGGGCCCTGGTCTCATGAGACAGAATGTTCCACCAGACCGGAGCCAGTGTTGAAAAGGCCCTGGATCTGGTTGAGGCTAATCTAACTTCCTTAGGGCCCAGGACCACTAGGGTGTTGCTATTTATGAACCTTGAGGCTCTCCGTGGGACATAGCAGGAGAGGTGGTCCCGTAGGTACGAGGGTCCTAGGCCATGAAGGGCTTTAAAGGTCAAAAGCAGCACCTTAAATCTGACCCTGTACTCCACCGGGAGCCAGTGCAGCTGAAAAAGTGCTGGGTGAATATGCTCCCATGGCAGAGACCCCGTGAGGAGCCTCGCTGCAGCATTCTGCACCCGCTGGAGTTTCTGGGACAGCTTCAAGGGCAGCCCTGCGTAGAGCGAATGAGGGTGGATACCTTTTCATTATTTGTGGATTCCTCTCCCACCATTGCCTTCACCACATCTGTTAGTGAAGGGCTCCCCAAATCCCCTGCTCTTTGGACGACATGCTTGTTAGATCTGCCTTGAGCAGGCATGATTTTTTCCCCCCCTCTTCCTCTTGCCTCTCTAGGTTTGTGTTCATCATGGGCACCTCCATTTCACTGTCGCTGAGTTCCATGTTGAGAAGGGGCCGTTCCAAATGGCAGCTGCTGGGGAAAGTCCTGTGGAGAAGCATCCTCTTGTTTTTAATAGGGGTCATAGTTGTGAACCCAAATTACGGCCTTGGGCCATGTAAGTGTTGAGAGATTTGCTTATTTTCATGCTGACTACAAAATGTGCCGCTTCACTTTTACAGAGCTTCCCCTTGTGTTGCTTGCTTCCGCCTTAATCTCTGTGGCAAATCCCATTAGAGTTGTAACGCTACTTCCCCACCCACCCCATATATTAGATGGGATGAAATGATCCCAGAAGAAATGAAGCCTTCTCAAGCTCCCACACAGTTCAAAGGATAATTTTCTAGTCTGACTTCCTGAAAGGTAGCGCTGAAGACTAGGGGCCCTCAGACCTAAAGGATTGCAGAAACAAGAGAGTGAGGCCCTTTGTCTGAATTTTTATTTAGTGAATAGAATTTCAGACTTTATAATACAGTGGTACCGCGGGTTAAGTACTTAATTCGTTCCGGAGGTCCATTCTTAACCTGAAACTGTTCTTAACCTGAAGCACCACTTTAGCTAATGGGGCCTCCTGCTGCTGCCGTGCTGCTAGAGCACGATTTCTGTTCTCATCCTGAAGCAAAGTTCTTAACCCGAGGCAATATTTCTGGGTTAGCGGAGTCTATAACCTGAAGCGTATGTAACCTGAAGCGTATGTAACCTGAAGTACCACTGTAGTAGAATACAGTACTGAAAAACTCAGCTTAACATATAGCAGTCCTCACAAGTGCATAATGTTATTTAAGCTGGTAGGCTAAATGACAGAGAAGCCCCTTAGAAGGAATGTATTTTTCCAGAGTGCCCCTTGGCTGAGAGAAAGCCAGACTGTGCAGCTTAGTAGCATAAGGCAGTACAGAACTGGGTTGTCCAGAGGTTATCATAGGATTAGACTCAGTCCCAGTTACTTCTGCAGTAAATATTCTGAGCACAATTAAGGCGCCGATTAAAATAAGCAGCTGAAACATCTTAATATGAAACTACCATCTGCAACAGCATGTATTGTCTTCGCATCAGATCCAGATTTGAATCAGTTAGCTCCCTAATAATGCAGGACTTACTTTTACATTGCTTTTTATGCCTTCTGCAGTGTCCTGGGACAACCTCCGAATTCCAGGTGTGCTTCAGAGACTAGGCTGCACATACCTTGTGGTTGCTGTGCTTGAGCTCCTCTTTGCCACACCTGTGCCTGAGAACAGTGCTCTGGTAAGTGAATGGCCGAACAGCTGGATCTGAACATAGGGGGTGAACAGAAGGATGCTTTGGTCACAATTGCCTGCAGCAGCGCAGTCGTAGTCTTAACTGAGGAAAGCTGAAATGGCTCCAGAAGTAGAACCCTTGCTGTGCATACATTCTTCTTAATGAGTGCTGTTAAAAAGTTACATGAAGCACTGGACAAGAAATAGAAGATAAGGTTCATAGGAACATAAAATAAGAAGCAGCAAGGTGATACTAAAACCTAAACTCAGTACCCAATGAAATATAATGCTACCTATGTAAAACAGCAGGACACAGGTGGTGCTGTAGGTTAAACCACAGAGCCTAGGACTTGCCGATCAGAAGGTCGGCGGTTCGAATCCCCGCGATGGGGTGAGCTCCCGTTGCTCGGTCCCTGCTCCTGCCAACCTAGCAGTTCAAAAGCACGTCAAAGTGCAAGTAGATAAATAGGTACCGCTCCGTCGGGAAGGTAAACGGCGTTTCCGTGCGCTGCTCTGGTTTGCCAGAAGCTGCATAGTCCTGCTGTACGCCGGCTCCCTCGGCCAATAAAGCGAGATGAGCGCCGCAGTCCCAGAGTCGGTCACGACTGGACCTAACGGTCAGGGGTCCTTTTACCTTTTTATGTCAAACAGCACCCATAAGAGGATGTGGCATGTAGAAGGAAATTGTCTTTCAGCAATAGCAGAAATAAGCTGCACCTTCATTCACTGCTCAGACACAGTTTGTGGTCCTATAAAGGTGGAAGGGCATTTAATTTTGTAACTTGTTCTCTTTTTTTGCAACTTGTGCAGTGTCCCCTTTTTATTGTTGTATTTCTCTCCCACCCATAAATTAAAGCAAATAAACATAAAAGCAGCTATACTTTAATCAGTAGTGCCAACCAAGAAAAATAAAGCCTTTTGCTGACATTATGAGGTGGTAATCCACCTGCTTAAAGCCTAGATCCAATACCTAAAATAGAATAAAGAAAAATATCATATGATGAAATTAGAGCCTGTAGAAAATGTTTGGGGGAGGGGTCACTTAACAAAGGCATAGGAAAAAACAAGCCAGGATGCTTTTAAATAGCCGAGCAGTTGTGATTAGTGGTGGTGCTTGTTCTTGAAGGCATGTCATCTGTTGGGTTACTCAGTCAAAATTTACTTTTTCTTCTGTGTTTCAACAGGAAGCTCCATACTCTGCTCTCCAAGATATTCTTCCATATTGGCCCCAGTGGCTTTTCATGATGGCGCTTGAAGCAGTTTGGCTGTGCCTCACCTTCCTGTTAAACGTACCTGGGTGTCCAACGTCAGTCAAAGCTTAGATCTTTTTTTCTCTTTGTTTGCTTTTCTAAGTGTGGTCTTTTCCAGATATCTAGAGAACTGGTTTCATTAGGACACCAGGTCACCCACATTTTGGTGTCTGACATTTGGAAATCCTGATGACATCTTCCTTCTCCCCCACCCTGCCCCCAATTGACTTGGAGGCAGAACTTGCTATGACATTTTCACCTGCAAGCCTGTTTGAAATTAATAGAAGTTGTGCAGTAGCACTACTAGGTCCTTGGGCAGCCTCTGCTGATTTTAGCAGGGCTTATGTAGGGGAATTTCCTGGTACGGGGTGGGGTGAATAGTGCCCACAGCTCAATTCTGCCTATCTCCAATTCTGCCATTCTTCATCTACTACCTGTGGCAGTCACTTCAGGGTCGCTGCTCTTCTGTCAGGACCTCTGTGTGGAAATGCTGAAGTTTGGTGGACAAGCAACACTAGTGGTTGCTGGCTCCAGGATTTGTGCCCTCAGTGCCTTTCCCAAGGACCCACAAATCCTGGAGACAGCGACCAGCAGAACGTCACGCTGCCTGTGACATTCTTGGGTGCTCCATGCAAAGTGAGAATAGCAGCCAAGGTGGGTGGTGGGCTGTTTTCCAGGTGTGGGGTCCCAGCAAATGCCTTGCCACTCTGATAACCTGACAACTCAGGATGCTGATTTCCAGCCACACTAGAGTTCCCCAGAGTGCTGAACAAAAGGAGAGAATTGTCTCTTTTCCAATAACTCATCTCAGGCCACTTCTGACCATGTGGCTCACTTCCTTTTTTTCCCCTTCTAGAGGTTACCTTGGCCCTGGAGGCATTGGAAGTTTTGGAATGTACCCCAACTGTACTGGAGGAGCAGCTGCTTATATTGATCAATTGCTTTTAGGAGAAAAACACATCTACCAACATCCATCTTCTAACGTAAGTGGTTGAAGCTTCTCGTGCACCCATCGGCCATCTCCAAAATGAATAGATTATCAGTGGCCTGCTTAATTTTTTTTTATCATCTGGTTATTCTTAAGAACAAAGTTACATGGCAAAATGTGGTGTGTATTTTTTTAGTTCCTCAGCTCTTTAATGCAGCTACCAGCTATTTGGCGCTGCTTTACTTAGAAGAGAGGTCAGGGTTCCCTTTACCTTTACTTAGAACAGGTGCTGGGTTTATAATTTACAGAAATGCAGTATTATTTTTAGTGGCAGAAGACATGGCATGAAAACACACATCTGACATCAGCTGAGGAGATAAGCTTCACTCCATTCAAATATGGAATCATGTTCTATAAATGGTTGCTCAAACGAAATCAGCACCCTGTACGTTAATTGTAGTAGCTTTATAGCCGCACACTCCAGGATTAGTCAAATTTCACTCATGCCAAAAAATGAAGCAAGGACCAGGAGCAAATCTCACTAAGGTCGTTTATGCGGCCAAATTCTTTACTGCAGTGATGCCCCATAGCCAAGAATGCACAAGTGAGGCTTCATAGCCAAGCCAATACTGTTCAACAGGTTGTTGCTATCACTACAGCAATATTGCAACCATATCAGTAACTCCAGTGAACCGACTTTTGGTTTCTTCAGTTGCTATTCCATCTCTGAATTTCTGTGAATGAGATCAGTAAGGGGTGGGGGTGGGTTCTCAGTGCAAGTGTTACTTTCAAAGTGCAGAGAGTAAGTGCACAGGCCCCAGACTTTCCCCTAATCTCACAGAGGGATTTGGGGACAGAAGTAACATGCAAGCAGACGTTTCTGAACATTGAACAGTGATTCCAGTGCTAAACCCAAATTGCAACTGAGGAGAATAAATACCAGAATAGTATGTGGAAAAGGTAAGACAAAAAAGGAGACTCTAGCTTAAGCAGACTTGTAAGACTAGAATAACATGCACATTTCCACATACACACACATAGCTGATAAATCATATTCTGATTAATTTTAAGGAAACTCAAGAGACACAAAATATGGGGACATAGAATTATCGGACATACATAGCTAAGAGCAGTTATGAACTCTCAACATACGCAGACAAGAGAAAAACAACTGAATCTTCAGCAGGAAATATGCTTAAGTTACAGATTTCAACAGGAAATGTGCTTAGGATATTTGGCATGCCAGTCTGAAAAACATCTAAATTAAGAAATGCGGAACCTAATGCAGGGAGCCTTTATACTGTGTTTGGAAACCAAATTTGCTTAGCTTGTCTGGAACAAGCAAGGCAAGGAACTGGATGAGTAGGGCGTGTCATTTTAGGGGGTCAAACTTAATTTTTGCAAATTTCTTCAGTGAGGTGTCTTAAAAAAGCGTTTTTGGATGTGAGGAATTCAAATGTGCTATAATTTTTGTGATTGAACAACATCTAGCTTGGTAAGTTTACATTTGATGAAGCAGCACATAAACTGTTTTGGGAAAACCAAATAATTTTAATTTTTTCTTCTGAAAATGTCAGGTAATGCATAAAATAATAATTATAATTATAATATAACTGCAAGTACTTGGCAATCATTTTTAATGATTTCTATGCAATTTTACACACTTTTTACTTACCAAGCAAAACTAAATTATATTAACCAATAACTTTGTATGTGTTGCTTTTTATTTTATGTTTGTTCCAGTTGTACCTTAATAAAAACTAAAAATAATTCAAATTTCTCTGATCTATCACTGCTTAGTTCAGATGGCAAGGAAGGATCCAGTAGACCCCAGGTATACACTTTGAAGCAGGGATACCACCACCTTGTCTAGAGAATTGGGACCATGTTATAAAACACCTCGCAGAAAGTCTGCCAGCCTTTCATAGTGTGCACTTCTTCATTTATAGGTTCTTTACCTGACGACAGTAGCCTTTGACCCTGAAGGAATTTTGGGAACCATCAATTCTGTTGTCATGGCATTTTTCGGACTTCAGGTAGGATACCTTATTGTCCCATTTAGGCAGGAAAGCTGTATGGCATATTACTGTAAAACGCAGGTGTTGTAGTGATGAAGTTCCTTCTCTACAGAGCATAACAGCCCAAACCTATAAACTTGTAGGGCGTACGAATGGCTATCCCAGAACATCTCTCCATAATATAGTCTTGCAGATATGACGCAGTGTTCAGTACCATGGACGATTGTCCCAGGATAGAAACAGAAAGAATCCATCTCAAAGAGGACAAACAAACAAGAAGGGGGGTTAGAGATTTTGCATAGATATTTTGAAGCACTATTATTATGTAAGACGTGGGGAGAATGTTTGCATCAATATCTTGGAAAATCTGCAGAATTACTGAATTCTACTTTAGATTTTGGTTGTAGTGCTCTTGTCACCATTGCCCGCCCCCCCAAATTTCAGTTAGTTAGTCCCTTTCCCTATTTAAACCCATTCTAGGCAAGGCCAATGTGAGAGAGCCAGTGTGGTGTAGTGGTTAAGAGTGGTAGTCTCGTAATCTGGGGAACTGGGTTCGCGTCTCCGCTCCTCCACATGCAGCTGCTGGGTGACCTTGGGCCAGTCACACTTCTTTGAAGTCTCTCAGCCCCACTCACCTCACAGAGTGTTTGTGTGGGGGAGGAAGGGAAAAGGAGAATGTTAGCCGCTTTGAGACTCCTTCGGGTAGTGATAAAGCGGGATATCAAATCCAAACTCCTCTTCTTTTCTTCAATGTTCATGTTTCCAACATTTATTTATTTTTTTACTTCTAAGGCAGGAAAAATTCTCATGTTCTACAAAGACCAGCACAGACAAATAATGCTCCGTTTCTGTGTGTGGAGTATAGTCATGGTAAGTCTCAAATGCTGTATTAATACAATTCAAGTCACAAATACCGAATTAATTGAATTCAAAGTGTTTCCTTCCCAGTCCTTTTAAAGCTTTTTTTTCTTCTGAAGAATTTAGTTCAGAATAATCCTCTGTTGAGTATCTTTTTCTGGGAATACCTGTTTCAAAACCCATCAAACCTCATTTTTTATTGCTGCCTAATAAAAAAGCAAACCTATAATTCAGTACAGAGTTAAGGCCCAAAGGCAATGTTGGACAATGGTCTATATATCAGTAGTAGTAAAGAGCACGAATATATGGATGTTTCCCCCAGTGGAGGGGAGTAAGAAAAGGGGTTCCACTAGGATTTGTTTTGAGACTGGTGCTCTTTAACATGCCCACAAATGACCTGAAGTTAGAAGTAAGCAGTTCGGGTGACCAAGTTTGCTGGCAGCACCAATTTACTCATGGTAGATAAAACAATAATAAATTGTGAAGGATTCCAATCTCTCTAAACTGAATGTGTGACAAAGTGACAAATACAGTGGAACCTCGTGTTACGGACGGGATCTGTTCCGGAGGCCCGTCTGTAACACGGAACTGACGCAAGCCGAACGCTGCGTCTGCGCGTGGCGCGATTTAGCGCTTCTGCGCATGCGCAAGCGGCAAAACCCAGCAGTAACCCATTCCGGTACAGTGGTACCTCGGGTTACATACGCTTCAGGTTACAGACTCCACTAACCCAGAAATAGTACCTCGGGTTAAGAACTTTGCTTCAGGATGAGAACAGAAATCGTGCTGCAGTGGCAGCGGGAGGCCCCATTAGCTAAAGTGGCGCTTCAGGTTAAGAACAGTTTCAGGTTAAGAACGGACCTCCGGAATGAATTAAGTACTTAACCCGAGGTACCACTGTACTTCCGGGTTGCTGCAGGACGCAACACGAAAACAAATAACCTGAAGCGGACACAACATGAGGTATGACTGTATGGTTCAATGTGAGTAAGTGTAGAATGATGCACAATTGGAGCAAAAAATCCTAAATTCACATATACACTGATGGAGTCTTAGCTGGAGGGTCCGGCTGACTATGTGGATATCTCTGTAAAAATACTGACCCAGCATGTCATAGCTGTGAAAAAAGAAATATATGCTAGGGAGCATCAGGAAAGGGATTGAAGAATAAATATGTCAATATCTGAATTCCTTTGTACAGATTTATGGTGCAACTACACCTGGAATACTGTGCTTCGTTCATTTGTTTTAAGTCACTTTGGAAGTTTATTAAAATGAAGGGTAGCAATTTCAGTACAGAATAGTTCTGATCTGGGATGATATGCTTTCTTTCATCCTTCTCCGTTAGATTGCTTTGGCTGCTTTTAGTGTCAGGATTCTTTTTTTACAGTTAATAAACAGAAAATTACCTGTTTTTCAGGGTGTTATTTCTGCTGTATTGACCAAAGGCACAAAAGACCAAGGCTTTATTCCTGTCAACAAGAATTTATGGTGAGTAGAATAAAAAGTCGCTTCAATGCTGTATGGTAGCATTTGCTAGACATTTCCTGAATGGCTGTTTTGAAATTCCTGCAGGTCCATTTCATACGTGACAACACTGAGCTGTTTTGCCTTTGTGCTTCTGCTGTTAGTGTACTATCTTGTAGATGTGAAGAAGGTGTGGTCAGGTGCTCCCTTTTTCTATCCAGGTAAGTGTGCTTTAAAGGAAATTGTTCTTATTTGAACTAAGTAAATACAGAAATGGAAGGGGAAAGCATGAATACCCTGTCGGGTTTCTTTTTAAAACAGTGTGGTTTCCAATTTATTCCATCTAAAATCCTTGCTTGGTTTCTAAACAATTCTGAATTAATTTTGGGAGTCTGCAAAATCAGTTTTCTACCCAGATTTAGTATTTTCAGATTAGACATTTGCCATGGTTGCCCCACCCCCCTTCAATATGTAGTGGTTTGCTGGTTGCACCCATCAGTCACTGAACACACTCACCACTGCCTATAGCAGGGAGTAGGCCTAGCGGTTGCTAAGCAACTGCCTCATCTCCCTCAAATCAGCAAAGCATCCCTGTTCAGACATGTGGTGGAAGCAGAAGTTCTTGTGGCAAGACCAACAAGCACAGAGTAAGTCCCTGGGATGAAGGCCAATCTAAATGATACGCATCAGTAGGAAAGTCTGCTTAAGCCTCTCTGTTCTAGTCATTCACTCAAAATCATCATCTCTAGTCAGCTTCTCTAAGCAAGGGGGGAAACAGAGCCATATTCATCCTCCTGTAGGATGAGAAAGCAGATGAAGTATGTGCGATTTTGAGCAGAAACCTGCTACTCTTCTACTCCCCGTCACAAGTTTCTGATACTGCTTTTAAGTTTGCTTGGTTTAAAAAAAATGGTGGGAGATGGTTCTCACAACTGTCTAGTTTGACCCTGAATAAACTGACAAACCAAGAAAAATTAGGGAAAGGATAAAAATGTGAGTCTCGTGAAACCCTAATGGCAATCCTTTTGGGAGTCTCCTCCTCCCATTTGCGAGATAAGAACGTCAGGATATTGGGGAGAGACAGGCAGGTGTTTGAATGGAAAACATTTCATCTAATTGGGCCATGAGACTCAGTGGTGGCAGTGTAGTAAAGAGAAATGAGGGGAAACACAGAGCACAGACTGCAGGTTCAGGCAGCAGCCCAGAGTTCTTCTATGCTACACACTGATAAAACATTTTTCAGCCTTGTTTGTCACTAAAACATGGTGTCAAGAGCAGAAGACTACACAGATATGCCCCTAAAGCATGTTCTTTTGCTCAACTCCACTCTTGAGTTTGGCAGCAACAGCCTACATCACTTTTATCTCAGGTCCAAAATGCCAGCAGTTGTGCTTTGTAGCTTACCAAGTCCTGTCATGCAGTATGGCTGTAACATGCAATTTTTCTGATGGCATTCTTGGTCTCTTTCACAGGTATGAACTCCATTCTCGTCTACGTTGGGCATGAAGTATTTGAAAACTACTTTCCTTTTAAGTGGAAGATGCAGGATAATCAATCCCATAGTGAACACTTGGCTCAGAACCTAACGGCTACATCTTTATGGGTTATCATAGCATATATACTCTACAGGAAGAGAATATTCTGGAAAATCTAACTGAAGAAGCCAAAGGAACTTGTGGTATAAGAATACTGGATTAATTACTCCCAACATATTGATGTTACTTTTTTTAAAGAAAGGGATCGTGTGTTTTGTTTACATTCCAGGTCATCTCGAAGAGACTTGCATATTTAAAATTTGCTGACCGACTTGCCATTTAGCTAAATCAAGGCTTCTACATATTTAGTGTATCATTCCATTTCTAACTCGACACACTGAACAGCTTTTAAAAGCTGAGCAATTTGAAAGGACTTTCACAAGCTGATAGTCGCTCTGTTACATGCGTGGTTCATATGAAGACGCAGAAGAAAATAAAAAATATTTTTTAAGAGACTGTTACCATGCCAAACAACTGTGCCTGAGACTGGCAGAAGTCAACCAGGAACCTTTTCATCTGCATGCTGTTGCTGTTTGTGGGACATTACTCAAAATGATAAGAGTGGAATGAGAGAGTGTCATTAATAAGTTCTGGAAGCTCCAGCATGGCTCCATCCCAAGATAGACCTGACTAGGCCAAACCAATGAGCTCAGCCGTGCCTTTTCGACTCGCTAGCTTCCTTCATCCTGATCGCCTCAGAAAAAAACTGACCGTAATTCCACCCAGAGTTATAGATTCTTTGCTGCATGACACCTTGAGCTAATGACCATTCATTCTTCCCTCTTCCAAGATGCACAAATGGGGATTGTAGGATCATAGAACTGTAGAGTTGGAAGGGGCTCCAGGAGTCTGAGAGTTTAAGGCTGAAACCCAGCACCTTTTATCAAAAACTTAACTTTCAAATGCATTTTAAAAAAACCTTTTTATTTACAGTACACAGCTCAAAGGTTTTACTGAATGGTGCTTGAAGTTTTGGTGGTATGAACCACCCATTGAGACTTTAGTTAACCATGCTCAACTAGCACTCATTCAGCAAGCTGAGCTATGGATTTCAGGGGAATTCCAGTCCGGCATCAAGGCAACCACATGGCTCTCTACTCTGCTTGCCTGTCCTTAGCAAGATGTTCCAGTAGAAAGTTCATGGTACTCAGGTCAGCGTCTGAAGGAGCAAGATCTTCTCGTTGATGCAGAATCTGTGCAACACGGTCATCAGATTTTCCCCACAGCGCGACACTTGGCGCTCCATTGCCAGGCGGAAATCCTCCTTTACGCCTTTGGTTATTCCCCTGGTAACTGTGTGATGCCTGCAATTATAATACACAAAATAATTAAAACGGCATGGAGCTACCATTTCCATTTAAATATTTTTGCATTCTGTGTGGGTTTTTGTGGAACCTAGCTTCCCAGCTTAGCCTTTCTAAGAACATTCATTAAGAAAAAAAAGTCCTGTTCTCCAGGAATGCCATACTTTTATCACAAAATTATACAACAAATCTCCGCCTGATTTTTAAACCTCTGGGCAACACCCTAGCAAGGGAGATTCAAGGATTTTTCATGTATAAAAGAACAACTGCTACGAATGGTATTTTCATGTTGGTGTGTCAAATAGTGAAAGAACCAACACAAGGTGCTTTGCCAGCGTAAGTTGTTCGCCCAAGGCAAGGTAAAAACAGATTAAGAAATGAGCATCATGCAATTGCAGAAAGTTGGAGATGTTAGCAACTAATCTGATCCCTGCCCAAAGACTAACTCTCTCTCGGAGAAATTCATTTGAAGCCCAGTAAGGCCAGAGAAATCAACTGTCCCATTATTATTGGTCATAACACTAAGCTTCTTTAACAAATACTACTACAGCCCCGAGAGCTGCAAAACTGCCCCATCAGCATATGAGAATGGAATTTGCTCCCCCTGCTGCTGCAACTGACCCACTAATTTTCAAGCAATTTGGGAGGGAAGGGGAAGATGTGCCTTCCACGGCTATTAAAACAAGCAAAAAGGGTTCATTCCATGGATTGGGAATCAGGATGTCAATAAGAGAAGGAACTGTTAGAGCCTAACAGCTACACATCTACTAAACACTGCTACAGCTTGCCTTGTGCTAAGTAGGACATTGCAGAGACTTCCAAAATAAGAATGGGACACAGGCAGCAGGCAGGACTTGTATATCACCTAAACTTATATGTTATTGTGACAATCTTTACCCAAAATCCAATACACACTACCCCACAACAAGTGGATATAAGTGTGTGCACCCCCTGAAAAAGATGGCTTCATTAAGTAAATTCATCTAACTAGATTGAAAATAACTTTAACCCCTGCACACCTTGCAGCATAATCCTGACCATGTCTACTCAGAAGTAAGTCCTATTGAATGAGACTTGCTCCCCCCCCAAAAACCTAGTATTTTAAACGGTATTACGCCCTGCTTTTTCAGTGCTTCCATCTTGCCCAAGCAACGTTTTGAGAGGTGGGGACTAACTTCCTATTCCTGTGCAAACTGCAGACAGAAAACGGCCAACATATTTTTGCAGTACTGAAGGATTATTAGCAGAAATGTGCATAGGATGGAATTTTTAACTGCTGATGGCCAAAAAAATCCAGATCTTAGAGGCAAAGAAAACAGAAGCAAGCAAGTACAGGTGAGGGTAAAAGGCAAGAGAACCTAGCAGCATAATTAACATATTTAACAATTGGGAGGGGCTTCTTTACCCAAATTGGAGTATTTGAATAAAATAACAGACTGGACTGTCCACAAAAATCTACCTGGGGCACCATTCTTGTTTGGTTGTAGAGAGACCCATTTAAAAATAGAGTAACATACATGTGCCGGTAACTTATGGAAAAACAACAAAAATGTTAACAACTGTAAAAAGATGGCTTTCCAAGTGATGTAAGGCACAAATGGAGAACAAAAGCATGGATAAAAACTACTGAGTTAACAAAGGGCTGATAACCATGGGCAGTAAAACATATTGACAAAAAAGACAGCACACTATGAGCAGGGTAAGTCCCCTGCTTGGTACCTGTCAGCAGTCTGCATGCTGGGCTGTAGTACAGGCATGAATTCCTGCTGCAGTAACCCCAGCGGAGGGCTAGAAGTCCTTTAAAAAACAGCAAACAGCAGCATTCAAATACTCACACCAACTTCCCCTGTGCTACAAAAATCAACGCTCCAGAGAACTAGACACAGAAAAGAGGAAAGGGGCTGCAGACCAAGAGCCCAAACCCTAGTCCTGAAGGCACACAATGGATCTTTCGTTTGGGATTAGGAAAGCAAAACAAACTAAATCCAGTAGGCTTGGGGCTCCCAAATGCAGTATTGGAGAAGCCACTGCAAGTTAAAAAACAAAAAACCAACGGCATAATATGAACTACATAATATGTTGTATTTACAAAGAATTGCGAACTGTGGCAAAATAATTCCTGCATTATGTTCCTCTGCGGATGTAGCAACATTTTAGCCTGGAGTCCCAGCAAATGCTTATGCACGTTAAAGTGAATAATAAAGTCCTGCTATCCCCTTCTTCTTTGCAAAGCCTCCCAGGGAGGACCAGAGAAGCAGCAGTGGGTGTTTATTCCTTTCCTTTGGTAGTCTTTTCTCCACACACAGGTCTGCAACTGTGGGGAGGGGAGACGTGGTAGTTTTTGGAGAAAATGGACTGGAAAAGAAATGGTTAAAGATTTTCTGGCTAGGGGAGAAGCATCCTTACGCACAACTGCATTGGGGAATTTACTTTGGCCATGGGTCCATAAGCAGCAATTGGGTTTGTTCTGCTATAAAGCCCCAGGGATCGCTTTTTGCAAACATATATTTAAATTTAAATAGAGTACATACTCTGGGCGCATTAACTGTTACAGGATGCCACTTAAGTTTTGCTGTTCGTTTTGGTTTTCACAACTTAAGGTACAGACGAGAGCAGCTCCCATATTTGGCTTATTGAATCCTTTTCCAGCTTAAGTGTTAATGTTACAAAGCAAAAAGCTACAGTAACTTCAAGGAGATGCAAGTCAAGCAGATAAAAGATTGAGAGATGCCTCAAAGTAAGGGGGGGGGGGATTTGGCCCAAATGGTTGTATTTGGTGCATTTTAATCAAGAAGAAAATATATTTCCCACAATCATTTAAACTAACCAAAGGGGAATTATCCAAAGGCCTCCAGAGATGGGGCAACTAAGCTTTTTGTAAAGGCAGAGGGAAAGGGTGGGGAGTGCGCAGAGTGTCTCCCTGACGGGATGAGCTTGCAATTCTGGTGAGCCTCTTAAAACACCAGCAGCAAACATGAATCAGAACCACAAGTTAGCCTGCTTTCTTCTTCATCCAATATATAATTAGATTAAGTTGGCGGGATGTGCTTTGATAGACATTTCAGAATCTTTTCCATTCTGCTTCACTACAGATGCGCTGCCAACCCCCGATAATTCATGGAAGATAAAAGAACAAAATCAGCTTTATTTCAACATAAATTTGACCTAAGGGGAATGCCGTTGCTATAGCCCTGCGGACAATCAGGAAATTAGACCCGCATGAAGTTCCCTTGTGGTCAGCAGACACACAAGGAATAACTTGTTTCAGCTGAAGGGACAGCTGGCAGAATTTTATGCCCTTCTGGAGAGGGGAACTCTGGTTCTCAGAATATAACAGCAGGGCCACTTCCTCAAATCCAAATGCCTGGCACAAAAGCTTCAACAAAGATCAGATCCAGCCCGAGGTAACAGGCTGCAACTGAAAAGTGCAGAGGCAGAAGGAACTCAATGGAGTCAGAAACTGTCCTATTCTAGGGCAACTACTCATGTGATCACGATCCACCCCAGAACATGGATCTGGGTGGGTTAGTCTGCTAGCCAGAAGGGAACCCATAGTAAGCCCAAATTAGTCAACAAGGGATGTGAAAAGCCATGCTGGAACCTCAGGTCAGGACAACTATACAGTGTTACCTCTAGTTACGAACTTAATTCGTTCCGGAGGTCCGTTCTTAACCTGAAACTCTTCTTAACTAGAGGCGTGCTTTCGCTAATGGGGCCTCTTGCTGCCGCTGGCACATAATTTCCGTTCTCATCCTGGGGCAAAGTTCTCAACTCGAGTTAACTCTTCCAGGTTAGCGGAGTTTGTAACCTGAAGCGTTTGTAACCTGAGGTGTTTGTAACTCGAGGTACCACTGTACCTTGGCTACACAGAACCTGCTACCAAAAGGCAGCATCAGAGGCAAAGGCATCTATCCAATAAAGTAAAGGTAAAGGGACCCCTGACCGTTAGGTCCAGTCGTAGCCGACTCTGGGATTGCGGCGCTCATCTCACTTTATTGGCCGAGGGAGCTGGCGTACAGCTTCCGGGTCATGTGGCCAGCATGACTAAGCCGCTTCTGGCAAACCAGAGCAGCGCTCAGAAACACCATTTACCTTCCTGCTGGAGCGGTACCTATTTATCTACTTGCACTTTGACGTGCTTTCGAACTGCTAGCTTGGCAGGAGCAGGGACCGAGCAACAGGAGCTCACCCCGTCGCGGGGATTCGAACCGCCGACCTTCTGATCGGCAAGCCCTAGGCTCTGTGGTTTAACCCACAGCACAGGTTGCTGTCACCTCGTTAGCTTCCAGAAGGGAACTGGTGCTCAAGGTGGGTGGTGTAGCTGTGCTAGGGACGGAGCAGGCAACATTATTCACTGGCAGAGAAAGACTGATCTGTACCCATTCAGTTATCTCTCTAATACTTGATCTGGCAATTTTAACCCCCGGGATCTGGGTTTGAGACAGTCAGAATGTCATGTGTACATTTGGCATGACGTTTCCGTGACACATATTTCTTCTTGGGATAGAAGAGATGGGGAGAAGTTTGGCAGAATTGACTCCTGACTCCGGTGATAAAGACAGAGTGCAAGTCTTCTGTGTCTTGCTCCCGAGGACATCCTCTTCTAGCGTAACGGGATGGACTGTGACAGGTCCCTTGCAGTAGGGCCATGGGGGAAAGGTGTGCTATCTATTACTGGGGCTCAGGGCATGATTATCTAGTGGGCAGGAAGAAAGGTGAGGCTGCTCATAGCTCCTGCCCTTTCACCTCAACTGGGGCAGGGAAGTGGAACAGGAGGAAGGGTTGGAGCTGGGACTGAAAACACCTCTCCCTTCTGTGCACTAGGCACTTAATCTTGGCAAGAGAGGCTGCAACACCCTTCCTTAAAGGGTAAAGGGACCCCTGACCATTAGGTCCAGTCGTGGCCGACTCTCGGGTTGTGGCGCTCATCTCGCTTTATGGGCCGAGGGAGCTGGCGTACAGCTTCCGGGTCATGTGGCCAGCATGACTAAGCCGCTTCTGGTGAACCAGAGCAGCGCACGGAAACGCCGTTTACCTTCCCGCCGGAGCGGGACCTATTTATCTACTTGCACTGCATGCTTTCAAACTGCTAGGTCGGCAGGAGCTGGGACCGAGCAACGGGAGCTCACCCCGTCGTGGGGATTCGAACCGCCAACCATCTGTCCTAGGCTCTGTGGTTTAACCCACAGTGCCACCCGCGTCCCTAACACCCTTCCTTACCACCCAATTAATCCACCGCCTGGTTAATCCGCCAGGCAGCTTCCAGAAGTACCGTATTTTTTGCTCTATAAGACTCACTTTTTCCCTCCTAAAAAGTAAGGGGAAATGTGTGTGCATCTTATGGAGTGAATGCAGGCTGCACAGCTATCCCAGAAACCAGAACAGCAAGAGGGATTGCTGCTTTCACTGCGTAGCGATCCCTCTTGCTGTTCTGGCTTCTGAGATTCAGAATATTTTTTTCTTGTTTTCCTCCTCCAAAAACTAGGTGCGTCTTGTGGTCTGGTGCGTCTTATAGAGCGAAAAATACGGTAATAACCTGTAAGGCAGGCATAGGCGAACTCGGCCCTCCAGATGTTTTGGAACTACAACTCCCATCATCCCTGACCCCTGGTCCTGTTAGCTAGTGATGATGGGAGTTGTAGTTCCAAAACATCTGGAGAGTCGAGTTTGCCTATGCCTGCTCCAAGGCATCAAGGGTGGTGGAATCAGATGGTGAGGACCTCCTTTGCAGCAGACAGGTCTCGGACAGATGACTAATCATAATTGTGAGCAGATTCATACTTCTCTACCAGGATAACTCCTCCCCAGCCACTATCAGGGTCTCCCTCCCCCAGGGGGCCTTGCCAAGCAGTCGTGTGGCCCTCAACTTGCTCTTTTCCTCCCCAGGCAGCTGTGGGAAGAACCAATCTTGGCATGAACCACAGGTTGGACTCCCTTCCCTTTCTCATCCTTTCAGGTGGGGAGATGGAAGAAAGCAGGCATAGCTTGGCAGGAAGAGAGAACTGTCTCACGCCACAGACGGAGAAAGCGGGAGATTGTTCATTTCTAACATTGCTGCTGTCTGGGAGCAGCAAAAGGGTTCCTGCTCCCAAGCGGAAGGTGGAGGGTGTCTCCTTTTGCAAGTCTGCTAGCCGTGCTTTCACAGCTAGAGGAATTACCCCTTTCTTGCCCTGATTCACTTATTGATAACCAAAATGCTATTGATAACCAACCATGCATTTCATTTCACTGCATATTGGGGCGGAGGAAAACAGGTGTGGAAACAATATTCTTGATCTGCTGCCCTCATCAGCAAGTGGCTTCCATTACCTAATGGAAAGTAAAGATTGCTCCTGCCCATCTTTTGGGTAGCAGTGTGCTGTATCCCCTTTCCCCAAAAGCACGTATGTTCAGATGGGCTGGGTTGTGACCTCTTGCTCCAATGGGCACACTGGTGCCGCCCCTCCACATCCTAAGAAGCTTCAGCATCAATTTTGACATCAGCAAGTGAAGTTCACGGCATTGTGTAAAGGGACCCGACCATTAGGTCCAGTCGTGGCCGACTCTGGGGTTGCGGCGCTCATCTCGCTTTACTGGCCGAGGGAGCCAACGTTTGTCCGCAGACAGTTTTTCCGGGTCATGTGGCCAGCATGACTAAGCCGCTTCTGGCGAACCAGAGCAGCGCACGGAAATGCCGTTTACTTTCCCACCGGAGCGGTACCTATTTATCTACTTGCACTTTGACGTGCTTTCGAACTGCTAGGTTGGCAGGAGCAGGGACCGAGCAATGGGAGCTCACCCCATGGCGGGGATTCGAACTGCCGACCTTCTGATCGGCAAGTCCTAGGCTCTGTGGTTTAACCCACAGCGCCACCTGCGTCCCTGTATCTACCATACAAACTCATAATTCAGCATCCTGAGACTCTAAGGCACTTTAAAAAATAAATAAATAGTGAGCTTCTGCCAGATCCTCTCTCCATTATTATTTCTTCCCTTCTCTGTCTTGATCATTTATCCAAATCTCTCAGAGATATGAACACCTATGAGGACTGACGCCTTGTGAGATTGTTGTCATCAGCCGAGGCATGCTACTAAGCTGTCACCCTTTTTCGGAGATTGCCTTGCTTCTCCCCTGTCAGAGACTAGTGGACTGATTGCTACCCCAAGCTCCCCTCACCCTCATTCCCATGGGATGCTCCCTGTGTCCATCCTAGGGAACAAATTCCATGCTACCCTTTGACTGCCAATGTGCGGAGCCATTTCAGGGCTGCCATGAATTTCTGAATATTTCTACTCAAATGAATGGTCACTTTCTCAAATTCACCCAGGCACGTGTCAGGTACTGAGAAACATCAGCTGATGGACATTCAGGTATACCAAAAAAATCAAAAAATGAGAGAAGCCACAATTGTGGCTGAAAGGAATATGAACAGGAGGCAAGGGAAAGAGACTGGACACAGGAAGATGTTTATAGAGCTACCAGGGAACATGCCACTGGATTTGGTACCCCAAATATCATAGGACTCACATAACCCACACCTGCCGAAGTTGGGATACACTCTGAAACAGTCATCATACCCTTATAGAACTAAAGAGGCAAAATAACTTTTCCCTCATAGGAAAAGTTAAAAATGGATAAAAGCCATTCATTCAACAGCCTGAAACAATATAGCTGAGCTTACAGGGTTTTTTTGTGACCTGTTTTGTGCAATCTATGGAAAGGGAATGTAGCAGTTTCCAGTTATCAACCCACCTGGGGATTTCACCATGACAGAACTCTCATTTGAGATTCCTGGACTAACCAGCTGCTGACTTTGCAATTGCTTAAAATTATTTGTTACCTGCTCTTCATTGTTACAATCATGGAAGACTATACGCTTTTAGACAAAAGGTCTTGCGATTCTGCCCTCTATATTAAATGGAGCAGTCTGCTTGACAATAATCTATGTGGCTACGACATACCATCTCCCTAGCATTGTGCCACAGTTTGAAACATTTTCCCCTCTAAGCCACTTAAGTTTTTACAGCCCTGCAGAGACTCAGCACTTACTGGCCAGGCTTCACACAGTCCCACTGCACTGACTAGCTCACCCACAGTTGATTCCAATGCCAAAAATAAGTTTAAAATTCCCATTTCCCCAATATATTGCATGCATTTAGTTGCCTGCTTACCTGGAATTTTAAATGTACAACAAACACAGACCTATCAACTTAAGTCGGATGCTTTCCAGTACGTACACTGCTTTAACTAGCCACATCACATAAATTATATTCTCATCAACTCTAAAATTGGAAAAAATAGTCTTCTTACTTTATCAACATTCCCTGATTTGGCAACAATTCCAAGTGAATTTTTCCTCCTTCTTGTGTTCTTAAATAGGCAAATTCTTCCAGCATATCAATATCTGGAGCAATTGTTCAGGTCCAAAAAGGAAAGATTTGAACACAGAAAAAAGTATTACGATGTGTTTTGCAAGTGATCTTCAAAATCCTGTTCCTTGTTATTGTCCTAGTAAATCACTTTATGTTTCCCCTTTATTAACTGTATGCAAATGGATGGATTTAATTTGTCTTTTGATGTAATAAGCTAGTACAGTGTTGGCTGCGGCACATTGACCAGTCTTGCAATAGGGAGGGAACTTTTTACACTTAAAGGTATCCAGCAGTTAACACATGCCATAGTTCCCATGAACAGGTTGTCCCACAAACAGAAGTGTCTGGGCCCCTGTGCCATCCTAAATGTTTATCACCATTCTCCTGAGTCTCTCTCTTTCCTCCTGCTCCATTGCCCCTTCCTTTCCCAGCTATTATAAAACTTAAATTCCATTCCATTAGACCTCTACCCCACCTTTTCTAAGATCAGACCCCTCTTCTCTTGGGAAATTCTGAAACTGTTAGCTTCCTGAATGGTTAAGCTGGTCTCATGGCATTTTTGGAAAAAGGATACTTGTAACATAGTTGAAAAAATTTTCATACTGGAAGTTTCCTTGTAGGCAGATTTTGTTAATTGCTTTCAAGAAAAGGTTTTCTCCCCTTGGCCACTCCTGCTGCAGCAACACAATCACGTGACCCAATGCCATATCGTCTCTGTTGTCTGTGAAAGCTCTCAGCTGCAAGGGGGAAAATGCAGAGACACTTAAGAGGAGTTGCTTCCCATTTTGCATGTGAATCTCATTTCCTGAGATTCTGCCAGGCTACAGATTACGACATTCATATCTATCCACAAAGCACTGGTCTAAGCAGCATGTCAATGTAGACGGCTGGCAGAACAGAACCTACAAGTTCAAGGAACTGTTCAGAATCTCCAAAAATACCATATTTTTTGCTCTATAAGACTCACTTTTTCCCTCCTAAAAAGTATGGGGAAATGTGTGTGCGTCTTATGGAGCGAATGCAGGCTGCGCAGCTATCCCAGGAGCCAGAACAGCAAGAGGGATTGCTGTTTTCACCGCTTAGTGATCCCTCTTGCTGTTCTGGCTTCTGAGATTCAGAATATTTTTTTTCTTGTTTTCCTCCTCCAAAAACTAGGTGCGTCTCATGGTCTGGTGTGTCTTACAAAGCGAAAAATACGGTACATGTTTGGCTTTTGGAATGAGGCTGAATCAGTCGCAAGCAGACTTTAGAGACTTGTGACACAACACCACCACTTAGCATTCAAAGTAATTTGTGTCATCTCAATAATTCATAGAATTGTGGAGTTGGAAGGGACCCCAAAGTTCATCTAGTCCAACCCCCTGCAATGCAGGAATCTCAACTAGATCAGACATGAGAGACCTCTTCTTAAAAAGGAGAGTCCACCACCTTCTGAGGGAGCCTGTTCTACTGTCGAACAGCTCCCACTGTCAGAAATTTCTTCCTGATGTTTAGTCAGAATCTCCCTTTCTTGTAAACTGAAACTGTTGGTTTGATTCCTACTCTCTGGAACAGGAGAAAACAAGCTTCCTCCACCCACATTGTGACAGCCTTTTACGATATTTGAAGATTGTTATCAAATTTCCTCTCATCCAGGCTAGGTAAAGGTAAAGGGACCCCTGACCATTCCACCCATTCGTGGATGACTCTGGTGTTGCGGCACACATCTTGCTTTATTGGACGAGGGAGCCGGCGTACAGCTTCCGGGTCATGTGGCCAGCATGACTAAGCCACTTCGGGCAAACCAGAGCAGCGCATGGAAACGCCGTTTACCTTCCCGCCGGAGCGGTACCTATTTATCTACTTGCACTTTGACGTGCTTTCAAACTGCTAGGTTGGCAGAAGCAGGGACCGAGCAGCGGGAGCTCACCCCGTCGCGGGGATTCGAACCGTCGACCTTCTGATTGGCAAGCCCTAGGCTCTGTGGTTTAACCCACAGCGCCACCCGTGTCCCTCATCCAGGCTAAACATACCCAATTCCCTCAACTGTTCCTCATAAGTTTCCAGACTCTTGATCATCTTGTTCACCCTCCTCTGCACACATTCCAGCCTTTCAATATACTTTTTAAATTGTGGTGCCCAGAACTGGGCACAACTGCAGCAACACTGTAAAGTAGACCACTAGTATTATCATGATATTTCAGATGGGGTACTGTGGCTTGCCTTGGACACCTGGTTGGGTTCATGGAGGATACAAGCTTTGAACCGGGGACTCCCTTAAGTCACAGCAGAGCCTCTTAGTCAATATGCTAGTTCATATAAAGCAGTAAAAAAAAATTCCTGTTTTTGAGGGAGGATTAATACAATAATTGGGAATGTTAATTTGGAGCAAACATAGTCAGAAAGTTTATTGCCAAATCTTGTAAGCTCTTTCAGTGGATATAGGTAACCATTACCCACTGATGGTAAAAATCTTCCCTTCCAATTCTATGATTCTGCTTAACAGGATCATAGAAATGACCAAGTCTATCCACTCCAGAAACCAAGTGGTAACAAGGCATATTTTCCTCACTACAAATGGAATAACAGCTTACCTTAAAACAAGCTAACAATAACCGTAGGCAATAGGGCATAATTGCTTTACTGGTACATGGCCAGAGCTTCAACTCCGTAGCTAAAGACAAATGACAGATTGATAATTATTACAAAATCTGTGACTTTGCTAAGAACCAAGTCGCAACAGTTAGCCATTAAAAATAATTCCCAATTTGCCAGTGCCACCTCTTCTTCCCAACTCAGTAACATCCGTAACAAAAACAGAGATCCAAATCATCATAATTTAACCCAGTGACTGACTGATTGATTGATTGATTGATTGGAGGGGGAAGGGGGACGTAAGAGAAAAGAAGTACTTAGGCTTTTTTGAAAAGGTGTATTTTTAGCAGTTACTACAGACTTTTTCTGAACAGATTTAGGGGCTAGATCACTAGAATTTTTAATTCTGAGTTTTCTTGTCTGCTATTCAGAGATCAAGTAATCCAGTACCTTTCCTGAATTTGGACTTCACTGTAGGCTGCTCTTCCGGAAGCTTAACCCCTTCTTGTATGGGAAGCACAATGTAGCACATCAGGTCAAGTACCTTTTCACAGGTCAACTACAAGAAAAAAGATCAACGATTTTAGAAGCGAACCCACACAAGCCAGCAGATAAGCCGCAATAATTAGACAGTTAAGATTGTCACTATCTTGTTAAGGGGTCGATTCAGGCTGCCTGTAGAAGCCAATGGTCCTTCTTGATTTCTGCAAACAGAATTGGTGTGAGAAGCATAGCCCATCTTGAGCAGGAGGCTCCCCAGTTTTGCTTGCAACATCCAAGCAATGATATAGAAGTTATAGGGGTAGCACCATCCCTTTTCTGAGCCAATGGGAGGAAAGACTACAAGAGTTTTGGTGGCATCCCCAGCCCAGTTGAGAATCTTTCTGAGACCTGCACTCTGTCCCATAAATCCCACTCTTTGCAGCAGGTCAACAGCAAGAAAGGGAAGAGGCGGGCTAGATTAAGGAGGAGCACAGAGACTTACACGGTATTCTCCAAGGGCAAAGTGACAGGTTGCAAGCTGGATTAGGGATCGTTGGTTCTCTAGGGATCCTTGCCCCAGGATCTGCTGCGGAGAGTGAGATCCCTGCAGAGCCGATAAGTGATGCAAGCTGGCAATTGCTTTTTTATATTGACCCTTTCCAGAGACAGAAACAAAAGGCGGATCACTCTAATTTGACCATTTTCAGAAATCAGGGGTCTCTAGGCAACAAAATACTACACTTTCTATAAAGCTAAGTTTAAAAAACACCATGCTTAACATTAGGAATAGAGACAAGACTACTACTACTACTACTACAGTGGTGCCCCGCAAGACGAATGCCTCGCAAGACGAAAAACCCGCTAGACGAAAGGGTTTTCCGTTTTTCGATGCGCTTCGCAGGACGAATTTCCCTATGGGCTTGCTTCGCAAGACGAAAATGTCTTGCGAGTCTTGAGATTCTTTTCGCTTCCCCCCCTTTTTCTAAGCCGCTAATAGCCTTTTAGCCGCTAAGCCTTTAATAGCCGCTAAACCGCTAATAGCGCTAATCCGCTAATAGGGTTGCTTCACAAGACGAAAAAACCGCTAGACAAAGAGACTCGCGGAACGGATTAATTTCGTCTTGCGAGGCACCACTGTACTACTACTACTACTACTACTACTACTACTACTATTTACATGTGCGCTCTCAGTAATTGTTACAGCAGCTTCTTAAGGAGGGCGAGCATTATTACACCCATTTTGCAGAAGAAGAGCTGAAGGTTGAGAGAGCACAGCTTGCCTAAGAGCGCCTGGTGAATTCATGAAAGAGGTGAGATTCTCGATTCATGGCTCTTTGCTGCTAGTTACACCAGCACTATATTTACTGTATTTCTACACCACTATCGGAGGGTTCAGAACACTTAAAGGACATTGCCTCAGCAATCCTCAGAGCAGCCCAACTTTTGATGGCTACTGCTGGGGACAGGGCTGAGTACTGATGACACCCAAGCAGGAACCCTGAAGTCCAAACCTTGTATGCTTGAGCACAAGTACACAGAGTTGAGCTTCATGTGCTCCCACTGACAGTAGGTTTAAGAGGCAATATGCAGCCATTGTTTGTTTAGGCTGAGTTCCTACAGAAAAGAATTCTTGGCTAAGCATTACAGTAAAATGGAAGGAATCTGCAGCTTTTACCTGATAGATGATCATATCTGTGAGGAAAATCCGCAGCCAGAGCCAAGTATCGGTCTTCCATGACACACAGATTCTTGTGAATTCTGCAAAATGAAATGGATTACAGTGGTACCTCGGGTTATGAACTTAATTCGTTCTGGAGGTCCGTTCTTAACCTGAAACTTTTCTTAACCTGAGGTACCACTTTAGCTAATGGGGCCTCCCGCTGCCACCGCGCAATTTCTGTTCTCATCCTGAAGCAAAGTTCTTAACCCGAGGTACTATTTCTGGGTTAGTGGAGTCTGTAACCTGAAGCGTCTGTAACCTGAAGCGTCTGTAACTCGAGGTACCACTGTACAGGCAAATATATCAGGGCAATTGCTTGCTTTAGCTCTCTCTGCAAGCCTTCAGATAAAGACAGCGCAGAAATACAGTGGCCTGAACTTGGTAGTGAACACTCTTCAGACCTTGTTCGCAGGCCTAGACCCAAACTGTGCTGCTAGACAACCTGGTTCTTTTAGAATAGAGATGGAGGAACCTCTTGCAGCCCAAGAACTATATTTCGTTCTGGAAAGCCTTCAGGAGGGTGGAGGGAGGGTGGTTCAGATGTCAGTGGTGGGGGCCCAGGTCAGAGGCAAAAGAGGGTCAAGCGACGAGCGAGTCGAATACACTTTTAAGCCAGTCAAAAACACTCAAGGAGGGTACAAAGCAGGGTTGGGGAGAGTAGTTTGGGAGGGTGTGTGGTCTGGGGAGAGCTTCAAAGGTCAAATAAAGGGCCAGGGGGCTGCATCTGGTTCCTGGACCTGCTGTAGGAAGTCACAATTATAGATGTGTATACTTGGGGGGGAACCATATAAATAAGGTTTGGGAGCCCCTGCTCTAAAAAGGGGTCAACCACTCCCCATGTCAACAGTTCATTTGGGATCACCAGGCTGGCAAATGAAGAACCATTTGCTTCCACCAAGGCTTTCCGTGAGTCACAGTAGAGCAAAGACTCAAAAGACACTTGTCAGTTCCCGGCCAAAAGGCACAAGACCTGGATGGAACATGATGTAACTGTCAAGTTCCAGAAGCATATCTATATATCTATATACCTATATACATATATATCTATATATCTCTATCTATATCTATATATAAAGATAAAGGGATCCCTGACCATTAGGTCCAGTCGTGACTGACTCTGGGGTTGCAGCGCTCATCTCGCTTTATTGGCCGAGGGAGCCGGCGTACAGCTTCCGGGTCATGTGGCCAGCATGACTAAGCCGCTTCTGGCGAACCAAAGCAGCGCACGGAAACGCCGTTTACCTTCCCGACGGAGCGGTACCTATTTATCTACTTGCACTTTGACGTGCTTTCGAACTGCTAGGTTGGCAGGAGCAGGGACCGAGCAACGGGAAGCTCACCCCGTCGCGGGGATTCGAACCGCCGACCTTCTGATCAGCAAGTCCTAGGCTCTGTGGTTTAACCCACAGCGCCACCCGCGTCCATATATATCTAGATCTAGATCTAGATCTGTATCTATCTATATATATATATGTGTGTGTGTGTGTGTGTGTGTGTGTGTGTGTTTCCCCATACAAACCAAAGCAGCATAAAGCTTGTCAGCACACCATCATACGTACCTTTATCCAAAGATTCAAGAGAATGGAGAAGTTCCCAGCTCTCCCTAGCCAACCTAAAGCTTTCTTGTACTTCAACGGCGTTTGGAAGGTCTGCTGCATTTACTGTAATGTGCCTGCTTCTCCCCTTCCCAGAAGGATCCTCGTCATCAGAGCTCTGGTCAAAAGCCAATGCAAAATAAACTGTTTAGACTAAGCTTGTAAGGTGACTTGATGTTATACCGTAATAGTACTATAAAAGAAGTAATTACAGCAATAAATGATATGCAATGTAAATAAGAACTTAAATGACTCAAAGATTACGAGTGCTGGTAGAGGGGGGTCAAATGGGTGTGGTACTTCATCCTTTTTTTCTTTCTTACCTTTCCCTTTACTCTCTTTGGTTTTGGGGGTTAAGTGTGTGTACTTTATTGTTGTTTGTTTGTAAATATGCTTAAGTAAAACATTTTTTAAAATTTAAAAAAAAAATAAACTGAGCAATAGGCTAACATAAATGTTGTATTTGAGTTAACGGTGTAAAAAACTGGCAGTCCATAGCGTATGTTCGTAGAAGATTAGTTAGTCCCAGATTCCTGGTAGCAAACTTTTGAAAAAGTTGGCAATGCTTTTTTAAAAAAAGCCAAAATGACTTTGCAGGCAGGATAGTAAAAATACACTTATTTCCTGCCACTTCTAAAGTAACCCAATACACTTATTTAGGTATTCCAGAATCAAAAAGTGCTTGTTCCAAGAAAACTGTCAAAAGTGCTTAAATATTTACTCAAACCAACAATAACCTGCCTTAGCTTCTGTGTCATGTGAGCTCTGCAATATCACATATTGCATTCATTTACTGCTTAACTTCCCTGCACCCCAAAATTCATTATGTTATTATGTTTACATCCTTGTAATTTTGTTTTTGCATTTTTTCTGTTTTGTATTGTTTGTTCGTTTTAGTCGATGCTTGTTTGTGTGATGTGTAAGTATTAAAAAAAAAGATACATGCAAATTCCAAACAGAATAATTGTGAACAAACTCACATCCTAAAACCCTATGCCAAATTACATCCCATTTATGCCAATAATGAAACACGTTACCATGGTTTTCTCTCTCCCTTCGGCAAGTTTCCTCTTTTTGTGCACATGTTTGCTCCGTTCAATGTCTGTATCGCCATAAACATTGGAAACATCCTCCACCAAAACCAGTGGAACTTGGTTTGGGGCATTTGGTCCTATGTTTAAAATGAAACACACCACTTAAGCACAGTTGCAACTGAGAGACTGCCAGTGGAATCTGCTTCTAGCTACCAGAAGATTCACTTCAGCAGTACGGTGACAGCATCTAGTTGTACTATAAGCAACTTATTAAGCGTATACTTCACAATACCATGCAAAAGTAAAATAATAATTTTATGGAGAAATCAACACCCATGCCAAATCCTCCTAAAAGTAATTAGGTATTTTGACATGAGGTCATACCCACAATTTATTTCTGAGCCCGTGAATCCTTGGCCAGCAATTTAAGGGCTAAATCTCTCAATCACATCTATAAAACTGAGATAACAAGGGAGGTTCATCATCAATATATAAAGCCCACAAATATTATGCCAATCGTGGTACACTGAGCAAATCACAAACTCCTGGGGCTACTGTAGGAAGATCTAAAGCAGGGGTAGGCAAACTAAGGCCCGGGGGCCAGATCCGGCCCAATTGCCTTCTCAATCGGACCCGCGGACGGTCCAGGAATCGGCGTGTTTTTACATGAGCAGAGTGTGTCCTTTTATTTAAAATACATCTCTGGGTTATTTGTGGGGCATAGGAATTCGTTCATTTTTTCCCCCTTCAAGATACAGTCCGGCCCCCCACAAGGTCTGAGGGACAATGGACCGGCCCCCTGCTGAAAAAGTTTGCTGACCCCTGATCTAAAGGGGCCCTCTTAACTAAAGCAAAGAATGAGCCAGGACTCCCCTCTCCCCAATCTGTTGTGGTCCTGATGAAAATCCCTCCTAGGTAATGCTATCGGCCCCCAAAACAATTTCTATTGTCGCCTAGCACAGATGGATTCTAATGATGAGTTTAGTGTCACATCGAGTTTGGCCTTCAGACAAATCACATCACATGCACACAGGGCTATTTGTTCTACGGTCTTCCTCATGTTTCCCCTCAAGTCTGCGCTTGCTCACCACCCAAAACAGCAACATTCCATTGCTAGGGGAATATTCTACTCTTCCCCACAGCCAGTGCATTCATTCTTATTGTGGGTGCCGTGTGGGATGCACATCTGCACGGGCTCTTGTCAAGATGCTTGCTCATTTCTGACTTTTTCATTGAGGAGCCCCTGATATACAGTGGTACCTCGGGTTACATACGCTTCAGGTTACACACGCTTCAGGTTACAGACTCGGCTAACCCAGAAATAGTACCTCGGGTTAAGAACTTTGCTTCAGGATGAGAACAGACATTGTGCAGCAGCGGCGCAGTGGCAACAGGAGGCCCCATTAGCTAAAGTGGTGTTTCAGGTTAAGAACAGTTTCAGGTTAAGAATGGACCTTCAGAACGAATTAAGTTCTTAACCAGAGGTACCACTGTACCTTCAAAGAATCCCAGGATTCTTGGTTTAAACGAAATAAAAACCTACAACCAAACAGGTTCATCTATGGGCTGGGCTAACCTATGGGCTTCCAGATGTTTTGGACTACAAATCCCATTATCCTTGACCACTGGCCATGTCAGTTGGGGGTCCAAATGGGAACCAAAGAGTCCAACATCATCTGGAGGGCTGCAGGTGAACCTACCCCTGCTCTTAACGAAGTACTTGTCCATGAACTAACCTTGGAAGAGAGAAGGTTGGATGCTGCTGACATACAGGAATGCGTTCTTGAAGAAGACCAGCATTGTGGAATAGACCACTTGGGTCTTGTATTTTGCATGAGATTCGTTATCGTAGTTACTGATGTATCTGCAGACATCTTTCATTTTGAGCAATGTGTCACCAAAGCTTCTGAAGAAGACACAAGCATACAAAGTTAATAGGCTTTCTAACCTGGTAGTTTTAATATGCTATCTTTTTAATGTGTTCTCTGAAAGAAAGTGTGCCCGCCCCTCCTGCAGCCAGCTGCACCCTTCAACAAGCATTGTGGATGGTCAAGGACCCTCTTGAACAAGATGGGACAGGACACTGGAAGAAATCACCCAAACTCGCACAGATATCTGTTGTACTCGCATGTCCCAGTCCCTATTTTTCAGGACCCATGCTCTTTGGAGAGACTTTTCAGGTGACTGCAAGGATAAAAGGAAACTTTCCATCTCTGAACTTATTTTAGAATTCAAGCCATTCACCTTCAAGCCTGCAATCCTAGACACCCTTACATGCCATTAAGTGCTATTAAACGCAATGGGACTTGCTTCTGATTAAACGTAAAAGTAATAATAAATAATAATAATAATAATAATAATAATAATAATAATAATACTGTAGTAACAACAACAAACCTTCTTGCCATGTCCATCTGCCATTCACACCTTACTCCCACTATGGACAGTATCTTGAACACCCTTTCCCAAGGATCCGTAATTTGAGAAGATTTCTCAGTTAAGCCCTCTATTACGTATTTCTGAGAGCTTCGTTTACTGGGGGACACAAGATCAGATGTATCCTGTGTACCTAGAAACCAACAGACGCATACCTTAGTTCATCACCAAAAATCAGTCCAACAGTCTTAACATCCTGAGGTCCATGCCTCTTACACTTTTTATATGCATGTGTGTGTACGTACACACCCACCCATACGCAAACACACACATATATTATAGTCCAAACTTGAATAAAAGGACAAATCTCCAAAACTGATCCTGGATCCTGCACAAACTGCTCATATCTACCTTCAAAATCCTTCACGGCCTGGTTCCCCTCTAATATTTTGACACATCCCATCTACCAACTTCAGCTGTCAGAAAGTCTTGGGCTCCATGAAAACAACTCTGTCCTTTTTGCCCCTTATGGAAGAAAGGCCCCTGAGAATGTTCTTCCTTTTTACTACCTCCATTTCCTTCCCTTCTTCTGTCGTTTTCTAGACTATATAAACCCTTTAGGGTAGTGATGTCTCACTGATTTCCTTCTAAATGGATCTATGTGGTCATCTGCTGCTGCACTGCTGGACTGCACAAAGTCTGGTATTAGCTGTTTGTGTAGGATTAGGTGACAAGTACTTACAAGGATGTTAGAAACTTTTCTTGTTAGAATCATGGACTGTGGTTCTAACAAAGCAGGTGGTAGTTAAAATTTCCCATGGCATCTATTCAAAAGTAAAATCCTAAAATACAAGCAAAATCTGACTCGAACAAATATTCTAGAAATGGAACCCATGGCATTTTTTTGGTCTTAAACCAAGCTACCTTCAAGTCAATTAGCTCAGCCTTCTTTAATATTTTGGGGAAGGTGTGGGGAGGAAATAGAGACCTCTACAGCCAGACACAGATGAGCTCCGCAGCAATTCACAGTCCAACTCCCCACTCCCTCACAAAATCCCACATACTGTTTTGACATGTAGTAATCTCCATTCCTTAGTTTGCTAGTGCATTTGGCTCCAGTGCTTTTACCTTGGTATTGATTTTCAGTCTGCGCAGATCTCGTCACATAATTAATATAAAACTCTGCTGCTTTATTCAGATACTTGTATAACAGGTTGGCCGGAAGACGCACATCAGGGTTGTTAATTATTAGGGGAAGGACATCACAGACTAAAAAGGATCCAAAAACAGTATTTTAGGATTTCCAGTTGTCCTGACAATGCAATTTAACCAAGCAAAGTGAGTGACAAGCTGCTCTGAGACTCCTCTAAAACAAGGCCCTGTTAACAACAGGTTGGACCAATAGCTTATTAAATTAGGCAATAGATTTCAAAGATACATGTCATCTTCTAAAAGCAGTATGGGGAACCTGTGGCTCTCCAAATATCGCTGAACTTCACAACTTCCATCAATTTCAGCCAGCATGGCCAGTGGTCAAGCATGATGGGGGCAGCAGTCCAGCAAATAAACATTTCTCCCTAGTTGTTTTTATTTTAGAGATGAAAACTACTACCGTGGTAAGCACTCCACTGAAAGCCATTCAAAAAAGTCATCCCCCTAATAAATCAATGAAATACGCCCCCCCCCATGGGAGGAGGCAACAGTTCCCCATCCCTACACCAGAAGAAACTCTACTGAAGTACTTTATATAAGGTTCTGCCATGCAATTAAACCTATTACATTATTAATACCTCTACGGAACCTAAGGGACGCGGGTGGCGCTGTGGGTTAAACCACAGAGCCTAGGACTTGCCGATCAGAACGTCGGCGGTTCGAATCCCTCCGACGGGGTGAGTTCCCGTTGCTCGGCCCCCGCTCCTGCCAACCTAGCAGTTCGAAAGCACGTCAAAGTGCAAGTAGATAAATAGATACCACTCCGGCGGGAAGGTAAACGGCGTTTCCGTGCACTGCTCGGCTTAGTCCTGCTGGCCACATGACCCGGAAGCTGTACGCTGGCTCCCTCGGTCAATAAAGCAAGATGAACGCCGCAACCCCAGAGTCGGTCATGACTGGACCTAATGGTCAGGGGTCCCTTTACCTTTACGGAATCTAAATCAACAGTGGAGGTTTGACAGATTTGATAGGCCTGACTTTTGAGAGGAGCTATTACCTCTTGGTGCATTTTCAAACTTCAGAAAATCCCTTACAATTGCAATGCTGTAGTTTCTCCCCATCCCCAAGAAATAATGTTTCTGCCAGTTTGTGGGGCAGCGAGGGACAGTTGCAGGCCTACTGTAGATAGGTCCCCTTTTATTGAATATTGGATCTCAGAGCCACAGTATGAACCAGAATACAACTTTTCTATTATACAGGTCGCTCACAACATTAAACTTGTGAGCATTCAACTTTATGCACTTGGCAGGCGCCCAGAAAAAAAGACTTTGGCAATCCCACCCGACATCGCACCCAATGTGTTTTGATTATATGGGATTTTGGCTGTATTGCACTATCCCCAGGACATAACCCCCTCGTAAGTTTAGTCTCACTTGCACATTTAATATTGCAAAAAGAGTAACGCAAGTCAGGTGGAGTCAGATAAACAGCAATAAAGCTGGAAGTTTTTTCCCAACAAGGATAATCTCTCAAGGATTTATCCAGTTTTTTATTCTTACTATACATGGGTTATGATGAGCAAGACAGTAAAAATATCCATTTATTAAAAATAGCGTCAAGTCCTGTCATTTAAGTACTATTTTACTTACCAAATAATTTTCTAAAACAATTGACAGGTGATTCTTGGTCTTCAATATTTTCTGCGTCTAATAATGTTTCCCCAAGGCCCACCTTTGTAAAGTTAAAATAAAATTTAAAATCTATTAGTTCAAGATTTTGTTCCCCAGAACCATACTGAACAATGAAAAGTAATTGCTTCCTGCCTTACCTCTTCCTGAACAATTTACAGTTTACACCTGCACTACTGTATTTTATTAGCAGCAATACAAAGCTGAGAAAGTGGAGGGTTTTAAAACTCTAAATATTCATAAATCAACATGTTTTGTATTTCTGAGCGTCTTAAATTAGCATTGGCAAAAGTTGTTCTTCTACACCCACTGACTGCTTTGCTATTCTGATTAATTTTAGCATGGAGTTGTAGCACAAAGATCACACAGTCCCCCAAAAATGTCCTGCCACTTTTTTTATTTCTACCAATCTGCAGTCAGGCATGAGAATGAACAAGAACAAAAAAGTATTTGAAATATGAAGAAACACCACTCTCTTACCCCATGTTGAACCACAGTCTCAGGGAAACGTCGCAAAAGCAGAAGCAACATTTCTGCCCGTTCCAACGTATTAAAGCACTGCTCTGTGGCTTTCAGTAACATTTCACACTGAACTCGACCTGGAAGGGTTTCAAATAAACCTGTAGGAGGGAAGATGGCAATGAAGCAAACAACCTGGGATATGGCTAAGAAGAGAGAATTTAAAATAATAAAGGTTTGAGTGGAGACCACTGCAAGACTCTTTCCTAGAAGCCAAGTAATTTGTTGGCTGGGAGAAACTGGAGAAAAGCTACTGGAGGAACGTTCCTCAAAAGCCTTCAGATACATTGCAGCACTGATCATCATCAAGTCAACTGTTTTGCAAGGGATTCAGTGGAAGAAAGGCATACCTCTTAAAAACTGAGTTTGCTTGTCCTGCGAATCGTTCCTTAAGGCTGCTGTAATGACACTAATCTCCCGCCACACCACTGGTTGGTCTGGGAAATTAACAAACCTGAAATAAAGAATTGAAAAAAGTTTGGAATTATTTATATTTGTAATCATTCAAGAACAGAATTTTTACTAGGAAAGCCACACTACTTAAAATGAAAGTGTTTCTTGTTTCTTCTAGGAACTAAAGCAGGTCTCCTCTTTTCTGAATCTAACAATTGCCAGCTAAATGCTTCCAGGAAGACCAAACGCAGGGTAATATCCCTGCATAACTATTTGCCCTCAAATGTGGTACACTAGCTTTGAAGCTAGAGGTTCTTTTTAGCTACTGTAGCTATAGACCTATGGACTTCTATGACTATATCTAAACTTTTTATACTTACTGCCACATCCTGGGGCAGCAGATTCCATTTGAACAAGTACTCTTTTTTGTCCATCCTGATCAGTTTCACTGGGTGACCACAAGTTCCAGTATAGATTAAGAAAATCTATCCACTTCTGTCACACCATACATAATTTTATCAACCCCCAACTGAGGTTGTTTATTTTCTGTAACTTTTCCTATCATGCCTTATAACTGGTGATTCTCAAACTTGGCTCCCCAGATGCTGTTGGACTACAATTCCCACCATCCCTAGCTAGCAGGACCAGTGGTCAGGGATTGATGGGAGTTGTAGTCCAACAACAGCTGGAGACCCAGCTTTGAGAAACACTGCCATAAAGCAGTACAATTTTAAGTAGAGTGGTTTACAGACAATTAGGGGAAAAAAATTGGAAAGCATCTTACATGTCATATAGCAATCTGCCTGCTGATGCTGTACGTTCTGCATTCCGTTCAATAGTGTACATCTCATACTGAAAAAACAAGGGCAGAAGATGAGCCATACAGAACACCTTCCATCAAACTTCTCAATATCACATCTTTCTACCTTACCACAGCAAAAAATGAGGAGGGCAGAAACATCCAAGCACATGCACTCTCTCTCTCACACACACATGCGTTTTTTAAAAGGCAGGCAGAGACACAGGCAGAAAAAACCCTTTTCCTATTTGTTTGGGATCTCCATTTAGAACTCTGAGAGGTTTGAAAGCAAAGAGCCTGTGCATTTAATGTAGAGTAGAGAGTAATTTAATGTAGAGATTGGAGAGTAGGGGTTGAAAAACGTAAGTTGATGGGAGTATTGCATCTAAATCTATCTTTACCAAAATGTGAAGTGTGTTTTGTTTGGAGCATGTTTACACCGCTGCCTGTTCTCAACATTGCAGTGTGATAATTTCAGGCAATTTAGAGCATTAGGCACTAGAACATAAACCAGATGAGTTCACTTGAGGTATGTGTATATCCTATTATAGTACTGTACTACTTCCTACACTTTTGCAGTGGGGTATATTTAATAAGGTTACCAGAATGTCCCCGGATTTACAAATCAGTCCCCTGACAAAATCCATCTATTTAGTAGGAAGTTGAAAAGTGTCCCCAGATTCATTGAAAAAAAAATCTGGTAACGCTAGTATATTAGGATCAACGAAAACATAAAGAAGCGAACAAGCATTCCAATCCATCAAAAACCTTTACCTGATGAAAGCCTTAAAACAAAGACAGCCCTTTGGCTAGTTAAAACAATCTATGGCCTTTTAGAAGAGCCTGGGGTGTTTCTAATGTATTTTTTAATGTATTTTTAATCTTTGTTGGAAGCTGCCCAGAGTGGCTGGGGAAACCCAGCCAGATGGGCGGGGTACAAATAATAAATTATTATTATTAAATTATTATTCTAATGTATTTCTTTCCCAACCCATGGTTTTAAGGTATCTACGTGGCGGGGGATGGGGGAGGTTGCTTGGCTGTGAGCCACTCTGTGCTGCCCAGGGCAGAATAAAGCAGTGAACAAATTCAAATAATAATAATAATAATAATAATAATAATTTATTTGTTCCCCAGCCACTCTGGGTGGCTTCCACAAAGACCAAAAATACACTAAGGTGTCACACATTAAAAATTTCCCTGAACAGGGCTGCCTTAAGATGTCTTCTAAATGTCAGGTAGTTGTTTATCTCTTTGACATCTGATGGGAGGGCGTTCCACAGGGCGGGTGCCACTACCGAGAAGGCCCTCTGCCTGGTTCCCTGTAACCTCACTTCTCACAGTGAGAGAACTGCCAGAAGGCCCTCACAGCTGGACCTCAGCGTCCGGGCAGAACGATGGAGGTGGAGGTGCTCCTTCAGGTATACTGGGCCGAGGCCGTTTAGGGCTTTAAAGGTCAACACCAAGACTTTGAATTGTGCTCAGAAACGTACTGGGAGCCAATGTAGCTCTTTCAAGACCGGTGTTATGTGGTCTTGGCGGCCGCTCCCAGTCACCAGTCTAGCTGCCGCATTCTGGATTAGTTGTAGTTTCCGGGTCACCTTCAAAGGTAGCCCCACATAGAGCGCATTCCAGTAGTCCAAGCGGGAGATAACCAGAGCATGCACCACTCTGGCGAGACAGTCCACGGGCAGGTTGGGTCTCAGCCTGCATACCAGGTGGAGCTGGTAGACAGCCGGTCTGGACACAGAATTGACCTGCGCCTCCATGGACAGCTGTGAGTCCAGAATGACTCCCAGGTTGCACACCTGGTCTTTCAGGGGCACAGTTGCCCCATTCAGGACCAGGGAGTCCCCCACACCTGCCTGCCCCCTGTCACCCGAAAACAGTATTTCTGTCTTGTCAGGATTCAACCTCAATCCGTTAGCTGCCATCCATCCTCCAACCACCTCCAGGCACGATAACTGCTATTGGCTTCTGCTATTGAGGGTGGCAAATAGAAGGGGAAGAAATGGAGGCAGTGAGAGATTTTACTTTCCTTTCTTGGGCTCCATGATCACTGTAGATGGTGACAGCAGCCACGAAATTAAAAGAAGCCTGCTTCTTGGGAGAAAAGCAATGACAAACCTAGACAGCATCTTAAAAAGTAGAGACATCACCTTGCCAACAAAGGTCCGTATAGTTAAAGCCATGGTTTTCCCAGTAGTGATGTATGGAAGTGAGAGCTGGACCATAAAGAAGGCTGATCGCCGAAGAATTGATGCTTTTGAATTATGGTGCTGGAGGAGACTCTGGAGAGTCCCATGGACTTCAGTGCTCACTGGAAGGACAGATCCTGAAGCTGAGGCTCCAAGACTTTGGCCACCTCATGAGAAGAGAAGACTCCCTGGAAAAGACCCTGATGTTGGGAAAGATGGAGGGCACAAGGAGAAGGGGATGACAGAGGACGAGATGGTTGGACAGTGTTCTTGAAGCTACCAGCATGAGTTTGACCAAACTGCGGGAGGCAGTGGAAGACAGGAGTGCCTGGCGTGCTCTGGTCCATGGGGTCACGAAGAGTCGGACACGACTAAACAACAACATTGTTTCTGCTACATTAGCTGAACAGAAGTGATCTCCCCAGGGCGCATGCCTGGGCAGTGTGTCTGGAGGTCCTGGGCTGCCCAGATGACAAGACCCCTCTCTTGGCCTCACTGATGGGGTCCAAAGGAAAGCAGAGCAAAACGTTTGGCACCAGCTTGGCTGCAGGAGTTGACGGAAGGAGGCGTAAAAGGCGCCATCCAACCACCATAGGGACTCCACTCCTGAGGTGGATTAGACTGAGAGAGAGTGACCAGCCCAAGATCACATAGTGAGCTTTGTGTCAGTCATTGGGATAAACTGTGATGGTTTCTCTTCTGCACATCCTGGTACAGTTTCAGAACCAGCAGCAAAACCTTAAAAGCATAAGGGTACCATAGATGTCAGCATCTTAAAAAGCAGAGACATCACCTTGCCGACAAAGGTCCGTATAGTTAAAGCTATGGTTTTCCCAGTAGTGATGTATGGAAGTGAGAGCTGGACCATAAGGAAGGCTGATCGCAGAAGAATGGATGCTTTTGAATTATGGTGCTGGAGGTGACTCTTGAGAGTCCCATGGACTGCAAGAAGAACAAACCTCTCCATTCTTAAGGAAATCAGCCCTGAGCGCTCACTGGAAGGACAGATCCTGAAGCTGAGGCTCCAATACTTTGGCCACCTCATGAGAAGAGAAGACTCCCTGGAAAAGACCCTGATGTTGGGAAAGATGGAGGGCACAAGGAGAAGGGGACGACAGAGGACGAGATGGTTGGATAGTGTTCTCAAAGCTACCAGCATGAGTTTGACCAAACTGTGGGAGGCAGTGGAAGGCAGGAGTGCCTGGTGTGCTCTGGTCCATGGGGTCATGAAGAGTCGGACACGACAAAACGACTAAACAACAACAACAACATTTGGCGGAGGAGGGGGGAGGTTGCTTGGCTGTGAGCCACTCTGGGCTGCCCAGGGCAGAATAAAGCAGTGAACAAATTCAATAAATAATAACGATAACTGTTACTGGCTTCTGCTATTGAGGGTGGGCGCTCTTGCTACCCAACGACTCGCATGGCAGAAGCCTAGATTTCTTCACAGCCTCCGAAGAGCAGCTTTCCCATCTTTGAAGCTCTTTAAACAAGCAGGCAAAAATAAAAAAAAATAGGGAAAAGAAAACATGGTAAGTCGGAAGCGCTGTCCCCAAATAAGTAAAGGAACCGCGCTGTGCTAAGCGTTCCTATCTCTATGGCGCTGAGCCCGCGGAACAGCAGCGAAAGAAGGGAGCGGGGCTTGGGGCGCGCAAAGCATTGTGGGGCAGCGCACGGGAAAAAGCAGCCGTTAAGGGAAGGCCGCACGGAGCCTGGCGCGCCCTCACCGACCTGGATGTTGAAGTCGGCGGGGTAGAGGCTCCGCGCGGTGATAAGCCAGGCCTTGGCCGCCCACAGGTCCCCCTGGACCAGCTCCCGCGCCCGCTTCACCAGGAACTCGCAGTCCCCCTGCGCCGACATCTTGGCCGTTGCCGGGAGTCGCGCTCCCTCACGACCCGCACATGCGCAGACGGGCCTCGCGACGCCATCTTTCTAGGGCCGGTGACGTAGAGGAGGCGTTTTGCGCCTGCGCCGCAGTTACCATGGCGTTCCTCCACCGCCACCCATGTGTTTCTAGTGTCATCATAGACTTATGAAAGTAGTAGACTGACAATACAATTTTCTTGAGGCAGGACTTCCGGGTTGCTTTCTGACCCCTTTCCACCCACCCTACAAGTGACTGCTGCCCATAGGAAGCAACGGGGAAATTTAAAAAGCTTTTAGCATAGCTGGGCAGGGGCGGCTGCATCGTGTTCCATCCCAAAGACTGAAGGAGGAAATGAAATCACTGCAGCATCCCTGGTAGCCATCCAGCCTCTGTTGAAATGCCCATGTCTGCAATCCGTTCATAGCCGTCAACGTTTCCCTTTTTTTTAAGGGAAATTCCCTTATTCTGAATAGGATTCCTCGCAAGAAAAGGGAAAAGTTGACAGCTATGAATCCACTGTCAAGGCTCTGTTGCTGTCAGTAAGTGGTCCAGTGCCCAGGGCCTTCTGGCGGTTCCCTCACTGCGAGAAGTAAGGTCACAGGGAACCAGGCAGAGGGCCTTCTCGGTGGTGGCGCCTGCCCTGTGGAACTCACTCCCACCAGATGTCAAGGAAATAAACAACTGTCTGACTTTTAGAAGACACCTGAAGGCAGCCCTGTTTAATGTTGTATTGTGTTTGTAATATTTGGTTGGAAGCCGCCCAGAGTGGCTGGGGAAACCCAGCCAGATGGATGGGGTATAAATAATAAATTATTATTATTATTATTATTATTATTATTATTATTATTATTTAGGAGATGCTTTGGAGAATGTAAAAGCAGCTGCATGCAACTCAGTTGGAGTGTTATGTTATGTCTTGTCCAGTGGGGGGCACAATTTAAGAAGTTTAACCTGCACTGAGACCTGAGATGGATTTTGTGGTGGAGGGTTTTTTTGGGGGGCCAGTGCAAATCCAAATTTGCAGTGCAATAAACTTCTGCAATAAAGCACTAGTTGTTGTTGTTATACCACCCTTCATCCGAGGATCACAGAGCCGTTCACAGTATAAAAGTACAAAAATGAAAAACATAATAACAAAATAATAACACACACCCCACATTCACATTGCCTCTCCAAAATCATGACTCTCCCACATTTCAGTAAGATGTAGAATCCACACATTCAACTGAGGGAGGGGAACCAAATGGCTTCTCTTTAAAGTAAGAGTGTGTGTGTGTGTGTGTGTGTGTGTGTGTGTGTGTTTTGTCTGTTTAGGTCAGGGGTTTACCAGCAAGTGTGGATTGGCCCTATGTTAAAAATAGAGGGTGCAATCTACACTTCCTTGACCTCATTGGAACTTTCTTCTCAAGTATAGGATTCAGTTGCATGAGTTTTACTATGGTCACTTCCAGGCAACTTGTCCATTGAGCATTCACTCTGCTTTTCTTCTGGGAAAGAATGTAATCTACTTCAAATACTAGCAGTGGGAGCACCCTGGAGTTGGAGTAAATGATACTGTGTTCATGCACTCAGTCTCTCCATAGTAAAGATAAAGGGACCCCTGACCATAAGGTCCAGTCGTGGCCGACTCTGGGGTTGCAGCGCTCATCTCGCTTTATTGGCCGAGAGAGCCAGCGTACAGCTTCCAGGTCATGTGGCCAGCATGACTAAGCCGCTTCTGGTGAACCAGAGCAGCACACAGAAACGCCATTTACCTTCCCGCCGGAGTGGTACCTATTTATCTACTTGCACTCTGACGTGCTTTTGAACTGCTAGGTTGGCAGGAGCAGGGACCGAGCAACGGGAGTTCACACCGCCGCGGTGATTTGAACTGCAACCTTCTGATCGGCAAGTCCTAGGCTCTGTGGTTTAACCCACAGCACCACCGTGTCCCAACAGTCTCTCCATATCAATGATCAAAAGACCTTCAGGCTGCAATTGCTGTGGATAGCAAGAAACAGGGCCAGCTTGGTGCCCAGCGTGGGGAAACTGCCTCTGGTGCAACTCCATCCAGACCACAGAACACAGCTCCATCTAGACCAGTAAAACACCCAGCTAATAGCACTTCCATCTTGTCTGGCTGAAGCTTCTGCTTATTTACTCTCATTCATTTCATAACCGCTATCCATTCATGTTGACAACGTTCTATGCAGCTGCAGTTTTTAATCAGTAATAAGAACAATTAATTTCTTAATTTATAACCCTGCACCTTCCCCAAAAGGAGCCCAGGAAAACATTTCAATAGGAATACAATTAAAATGTCTAAAAACAGTTCAAAACAACCTTCTATAAAGATGGAAGGAGGGTGTACTTCAAAATCTTATCTACTGAAGTTAGTTAATTCAATTCAGCACTCTAAAAGAACCTGAGCATATTATGGCTGGCCAAGCTATTTGTGGTTACAGCAGCATTGTTTATTGTGACTTGCTCTCTTTATCCCTTATGCGTTTGGTTCTGGCGAGTGCTGTTAATGAAGATGCATGAGATTTCCAGCTCAACCATCAGATTTGCAGCCTTGAGCTGTTTTTCAGCAAGAAATATTCTTGGTCTCTCTATGGAAGATCCAAACAGGTGGCATTTCCAATTAGCTTATCATACTTGCCTTTCTTTGTCTTTTAAAACAAGAGATTAGGGGCGGGGAGCATTTAATGCTAATGGAGGAATCTGTTATATGAGCCTTTGCATATTCTGTGTCTGCAGATGTTAAGTATCACCATCGTATAAAAGATTGCTTCTTCTTTAGACTCCCTCTTTGGACTGTGCACCCAGCCATAACCTTAGCCCAGTCATCACAGTGGAAACTTGTTTGTGTCAGCTGTGGTGGGAAATGCTTCCACCTATTTGTTTCTTCTCCTGCCTGTGCTCTGTAAGAATGATATTGTGGATCTTTCTGTCTGTTTCAGGTCTGTAAGCATGTGCATGCATGTGTTTAGCCAGTTTCGCCCTAATGACTCAGGATGACATTTATCTCTGCATAAAGCCAGATTTATCAAACATAGTACTTTTTTTTTAAGTTTCTCAAAGGCAGTTAAAGACTTCTCAATCTCTCTTTTAGGGATTCCTAAGGCGGGTGGCGCTGTGGTCTAAACCACTGAGCCTAGGACTTGTTGATCGGAAGGTCGGCGGTTTGAATCCCTGCAATGGGGTGAGTCCCGTTGCTCAGTCCCAGCTTCTGCCAGCTTAGCAGTTTGAAAGCACGTCAAAGTGCAAGTAGATAAATAGGTACCACTCCAGCGGGAAGGTAAACAGCATTTCCGTGCACTACTCTGGTTTGTCAGAAGCAGCTTAGTCATTCTGGCCACATGAACTGGAAGCTGTGTGTGGACAAACATTGGCTCCCTTGGCCAGTAAAGCAAGATGAGCAACGCCAGAGTCATCCATGACTGGACAACTCTCAGGGGTACCTTTACCTTTATCTTAAGGTGATTATTAAATAATACAAGTAATCTAAAGCTCAGAGGTTTAAGTGGCAGGACCCTCAACTGCAACAAAGAATCAGAGAATCTTAGAGCTGGAAGGGACCCCAAGGGACATCTTGTCTAACCCCCTGAAATGCAGGAATCTCAGCTAAAACATCCATGACAGATAGCCATCCATTGTTATTGTTTAGTCGTTTAGTCGTGTCCGACTCTTCGTGACCCCATGGACCAGAGCATGCCAGGCACTCCTGTCTTCCACTGCCTCCCGCAGTTTGGTCAAACTCATGCTGGTAGCTTCGAGAACACTATCCAACCATCTCGTCCTCTGTCGTCCCCTTCTCCTTGTGCCCTCCATATTTCCCAACATCAGGGTCTTTTCCAGGGAGTCTTCTCTTCTCATGAGGTGGCCAAAGTACTGGAGCCTCAGCTTCAAAAGCTCCTAGGAAGGAGAGCAGACAACCCCCTGAGGGAGACTGTTCCAATGTAGAACAGTTCGTACTGTCAGTACTAACAGGGCCGGCCCTTTGATGAGGCACCTGCCTCAGGTAGCAGATGCTGAAGGGCAGGTTGTGGACAGCGCTATGAGTGCCATGTGGTCTGTCCTGTTCCCTCTATGCTAGCCTTCTGCCCTCCAGTAGAAGACCCTATCCTTTCATGAGTATTGGAGTAAGCAAGTACCGGTCTGGTTGGTTTCTGTATGTGCCTTAGGAGAGGGCACCACCTTGTCCTTCGCCTCAGGTAGCAAAATGTCTTGAACTGGCCTGGAGTACTAATAAGAGTGTCGTGCTGCCCTCCTCCATTCCAGCGCTTCCCAGATATTTTGGATTTGTAACTCTCACTGACCTCAGCCAACACCTTAAATAAGTCCCTATTTTCATGAAATGTTAGTGCAAGAGAACGCAGGTGGCCCGAGGCAATTTCTCATCAGCCCTCCGCATCTGTAGCATGGTGATGATGTACCAGATTTTTACAGGATCATTGCAGAGACAGAGGCCAGAAACTGCCTCTGTCTTATCAGGATTCAATCTCAGCCTGATATTATGGAGTGTCTGTGGAATTCTTAATCTGCCAGGAAGTATGATCTGCATTTCCCCTCTTCAGTTTCCTGAGTGGAGGGGACCTCCCTCCCTATATCTCAGACAATTGTTCATCTAGCAAGTAGTGTCCATGTGGGAATTCTACAGAGATCATCTGTTGTTGTTGTTGTTGTTTTTTAAAGGATAAGGGGGGAGGGAGCAGGGGAGAGAGCAAAGCCAGCCTCCAGCCAGCGGAAAACAGACTATGCCAAGAGCATATTGAAAAGCTGTCTTCAGCCAGGGCTGGCCAGTTGAACAACTCCATTCCCTGTTCCGATTTGCACACTAGGCTCTTTGACGCAACAGAAAACTGTTCTCCTGTGTGTGTGTGTGTGTCCACCCCCTGCCCCCATTTCCTCTTAAATCTGCCTGGACAATTTGGGTTTGTGATTTTTTTCCTCTTCAGATGCAAGTTTATGTGAGGATATCTTCTTGACCAGTTCATTCCATGAGGCTGGGTTCTCTTCCTCGCCTCCCAACACACACTCACCTTCCTGTTTTCTGTCAGGAAACTGGAAAGGAACACAAGGCTCTCATTGCAGATCTGCGGCTGAACTCCTGACCATTTGACAGTCAAGCGCTGCCCTAGCAAGCAGTGTTCACAGCTCGCTGGCAAGTTAGCAATGCTCAGGAATTAAAAAGCTGGTGAGCCTTAAGTGTGGTTTTTTTAAAAAAAATCTTTGCATTTTAAAGAAGTCTTCCGTGATCTCCAGTGTGTCTTATGCAAGATAATAAATTATCCTCATTTTGAAAGTTGGAACAAAGTTACATCTTGCACCTCACGGAAGACAGCAATGCCCAGCAGTATGGAAGAGTACATGTAGGATACTTGCTTACAATTTTGTAAGTAACAAAGAATTTTAGGGCAGTCAGTTTTGGAAGATGTATACTTTTGAATTCCTTATCTGTCTAGTAATTTCCTTGTAACCTGTATTTGCATGGTACGGTAGACATTTATCTGAAATGCTTTGGCTTTTAAAATTTTTTTAATTGATCAAAACAGCAGTGCACTTTTTAAAGGAAAAGCAGACTAAGAAAATACTCCTTTCTCTATTCTCTGACAGAGGTAAGTTCCTTGTTCTCTTCTCTCATATTAGAAAGCATATCTTGAAAAGACATGACTGTTCACAACTGGGCTGCATTTACAATGTTGTTAGTTGCCATTTCTGCAAGCCAATTAAAATTAAATGCATGGGGGAAAACCCCAACACTATGGATTTCAACATCTTACTTGCAGCAAACTTGAGTGTTTAATAAGGCTTAGTCCCTATCAAGTTTGTGCGTTTAGGACAACCCCAGATATTTATCAATTATAACAATGCTATAACCCCAGGTATTTATCAATTATAACAATGAAATTATATGAAATTGCTTTAAAAAAATAATCTGTTGAGAAGTCAGATCTCCTTCAGCATGGCAGTGGCAAATGGATTTTGTGTATGAGTTAGCAAATTTAGGATGTCAAAGAAGATAGACAAGCATAATGTTAAGCATTGCACCTTATGGGATTTTCCAGTAGTGTATGAACTTACTTTGTTTCCAAGCAGACCTTATGCATTTCTTATTGAATACATTGGTACCTCAGGTTACATACGCTTCAGGTTACAGACTCCGCTAACCCAGAAATAGTGCTTCAGGTTAAGAACTTTGCTTCAGGATGAGAACAGAAATCATGCTCTGGCGGCACGGCAGCAGCAGGAGGCCCCATTAGCTAAAGTGGTGCTTCAGGTTAAGAACAGTTTCAGGTTAAGAACGGACCTCCGGAATGAATTAAGTACTTAACCCGAGGTACCACTGTAGTTATTATCAGGGCTAGCCTCATGGGTGATGAGGGAACTGCCTCAGGTGACAGGATCCACAGAGGCACCAGATCCCAATCCCCACTTGTTCCCAGTGTAAATCTTCACTCAGTCCTTCTCCCCTGGTGAGGAGGGGGGTGCCATTTTGCGGTTCACCTCAGGAGCCAAAATGTCTTGGGCCAGCCCTGGTTATTACTTGCAGAATAGAGATTTGCAAATATAATGACTCAGGGCTCCAGGAGAGAAGACCCTCCAATCTTCTCCTCCAATCCCACTCCTGTGAAGTAAACCAAGCCATGATTTTGTTTAACTTTAGGTCTGAAACTGGTTTCCCCTGTTTAATTCGCTCTGTGAGATTGCCACTCACAGTTTGCCTGGGGGAATTCACTTCAAGTCCGGTTTGGGATGTAAAGCTAAGCCAAACCATGGCTTTTGAAGCCTAGTGTAGACCAAATGACATCTTGAAGTCCCCTATCAGTTAAACAAGGGCTGGCCCATTCAAGAGGCAGACTGAGGAAGCTGCCTCAGACGGCTGAATCCAAGGGGCATCTTATGTGATCTTCCCAAGACTCTGGTAAGCGAGGCTTCTGTGTGATGTTGCAGTGCTCTAGTGCAATCTATATGAAACCCAAACCCCAAAGCTGTGCCACTCCAAAAAGCAATACAGTGGTACCTTGGTTCTCAAACGCCTTGGTACTCAAACAACTTGGAACCCAAAGATTGCAAACCCAGAAGTAAGTTTTCCGGTTTGCGAACTTTTTTCAGAAGCCGAATATGCTCCATTTTGAGTGTTACGCTTCCAATTTGAGTGTTATGCTGAGGTCTGTCTGTTTTTGCTATCTATTTTTTATTTTCGTTTTTGTGGCTTTTTTGTTTCGTTTTTGTGACTGTGTGGAACCCAATTCAGCTACTGATTAATTCATTGTGTGACTGCAGTACATTGTTTATTGCTTTCATTTTATGGATCAGTGGTCTCATTGGATAGTAAAAATCATGTTAAATTGCTGTTTTAGGGGTTGTTTTAAAAAATCTGGAACGGATTAATCCATTTTGCACTACTTTCTATGGGAAAGCACACCTTGGTTTTGGAACGCTTTGGTTTGGAACGGACTCCTGCTTATTGATCAATTATCCTGATTTATTTGCACAAAGTTTTCAGGGAGGTTAGACAACAACTGCTATTTATTGAAGATTCATTTTGATTTCTGTGCCAAGCAATTGTTTTCCCATACTTTCCAGCGCGTTTTGCTGCCACCTTCCTTATAGCAAAAAGTCCAGTGGGGGGGGGGGAGAAGTGGGTTTATTGTACAAGAGAACCAAATCAACTTAATCCTGTAACCTGAATTTCCCAGAATGTGATTCAATCTCACCCCAAAAGAGCAAGAGTACTCTATGTTGTTTTTACCTAAAAAATTAGTGTGGAAACATGGCAGCTTCCCATACTATTAACTGGATATTAAGGCACACACAACATACATTTGAAGCACATGCCCCTCAAAAGTAATAATTATGGGAGCTGTAGTTCACTCTTCGCAAAACTACAATTCCCAGCATCCTTAACAAACAACAGTTCCCAGGATTATTGGGGGGGCAGAGAATGTGTTTTAAATGTATGGTGAGTAGATAGCAGACATTAGTGCCAGATTAGAAGCACAGGACAAAGTCACTTAAATGAGTAGCTGTATTATCTCCCCAACCCACCTATCTTCAATCAGTTGACTGCACTTATTGCTGTAATTCAATCATAGTTTGTTACATGCTGTCAGAGAAAAATGACAGTACAATATATAAAGAAAATTAGATGGAGCAGGAGTATCTGGCTTTTCTAGTTGTGTTAATCATGGAAGCAATCTTTGTCCTGGAAGTAAATTTTAGGTTGCTAGGTAGGATGTTGGGACGCGGGTGGCACTGTGGGTTAAACCACAGAGCTTAGGACTTGCTGATCAGAAGGTGCAGCGGTTCAAATCCCCACGACGGGGTGAGCTCCTGTTGCTCGGTCCCTGCTCCTGCCAACCTAGCAGTTCAAAAGCACGTCAAAGTGCAAGTAGATAAATACTCCGGCGGGAAGGTAAACAGTGTTTCCGTGCGCTGCTCTGGTTCGCCAGAAGCAGCTTAGTCATGCTGGCCACATGACCCGGAAGCTGTGCACCGGCTCCCTTGGCCAATAAAGCGAGATGAGCGCCCAGAGTCGGCCACGACTGGACCTAATGGTCAGGGGTCCCTTTACCTTTACCTTTAGGGAGCCTCCCAGACTGGCAGGGGATGGGCAGGGTATAAGTAATAAATTTATTATTATTATTATTATTATTCATCATCATTATTAAATTGTAACTAGTTTTTTTAAGAGAAACTACACTATCCGAACAAGAAAACAAATACAGTTTCAATGTTAAGAGTTCTGAATTAAACAAAACAAAAAACCCATACATATATTTATCCACCATGGCATGATGCTGCAATCCTTAAACTAGCATGTGATGCACCTCTAAAGTATTATCGCTTGTCAAAAATCCCAGTCTGAAAATCCCATTTTTATTACTCGTGGTTGTTTTCCCATTTAATTAGAAAAGAGGCAGTCTTACCTGTATCTTATCAGGTTGTTCTCATACCTGGTTGCACAAATTGTTCCCAGAAGAGGTAAAGAGGTCGAGGGGGTGACCTCTTTCATGACCTCCGGCGTCTGTTATAGGCAGATGGGGGGGGGCAATCACCCCCCTCCAACTTGCTGCTGTCTTTGCAGCGTAATTACCTGTGTTTTAAAGATTGCTTCAGTTCCCTAGGACAACCGCAAACATTTACCGGAACATGACCCCAGAGAAAACACTTGATCCAATTGGCTTCAGGCAATCTGGGGCTTGCTAAAGCTTGTAGGTTAGTTTGTAGGACCAGCCACTAATACCCTAAGTGCCCATCTGCACCTTACATTTAAAGCAGTACAGTATATCCCAGAGTTGGTCACGACGGGACCTAATGGTCAGGGGTCCCTTTACCTTTTACCTTTATGGGACGCGGGTGGCGCTGTGGGTTAAACCACAGAGCCTAGGACTTGCCGATCAGAAGGTCGGTGGTTCGAATCCCCGCGACAGGGTTTGCTCCCGTTGCTCGGTCCCTGCTCCTGCCAACCTAGCAGTTCAAAAGCACAAAGTGCAAGTAGATAAATAGGTACCGCTCCGGCGGGAAGGTAAACGGCGTTTCCGTGCGCTGCTCTGGTTCGCCAGAAGCGGCTTAGTCATGCTGGCCGCATGACCCGGAAGCTGTACGCCGGCTCCCTCGGCCAATAAAGTGAGATGAGCACCGCAATCCCAGAGTCGGCCACAACTGGACCAAATGGTCAGGAGTCCCTTTACCTTTTACCTTTATATGCCATTTTAAACAGGTGTGACTTCCCCTCAAAGAATCCTGAGCACTGTAGTTCGTTAAATGTGCTGAGAGACCCCTATTCCCTTCAGAAAGCTACAATTCTCAAGAGTGGTTTAACCACCAACCCATCTTCCCAGGGAAGTCTGGGAACTGTAGCTTGGTGAGGGTAAAAAGGGTCTCCTAAAACTCTCAGCACCATTAACAAACTACAGTTCCCAGGGTACTTTGGGGGAAGCCATGTCTATTTAAAGTGTTATGACAGCTATTCCTGGACAGGTATTCATGTTGGTCACCTTTCCATCAATCTTCCAGCATCCAGATTACTGGAGGCATCTGATGTGCTGTATTTTTGCCAGTTAGCATCAGGAAACAATATGAGATAGTGAAATATTGTATGCCACCGAGTTGCCAGGACTCCTGAGATTCAGACCTTGAGATAAAAGTGGAGTCTGATGGACAAGCTAGGGATAGGAGCAGAGCAAAGAGCACACCCTCTGACTCGCTACCCTAAGATTTTAACTTCTGCGCTCACCAGACCACCAAAATCTCGGAGACCTGGAAACTCTGAAGCATAAAAAGGCCGTACTAGACCCTGTGCAAGGGAAGGAATATTTTAGAAATGGGCTCTTGGCTGCCAAGTTCCCATACCAAATATATTTACTTTCACCGTGGCAGTCTGCCATATCCCCAAAGCCTGGAGCGCATAGCAGTATTTATAAGGACAAAGAGAATGGTATGTTTTGAAGGTGACTTAATTTCTCAAAAGAAAGCGCAGTGTAGAAGTTTGAAAGTAACATAAAAACACAGGATTTTTTAATCAGGAGATATATTGGCAACCAAAGTAGGCGGTTTTAATTTTATTTTTTCTTGCATTTCGTGCATCTGATTTAGTGATCTCTCTAGCCCACAAAAGCTTCTTCTATCATAAATTTGTTTGTCTTTAAGGTGAGGTACTCATGATTCAAACTTGAAGGAAGTGATATATCAGGCTTTCCCAAACTTGAGTCACCAGCTGTTGTTGGACTACAACTCCCATCATCCCTAGCTAGCAGAACCAGTGGTCAGGGATGATGGGAATTGTAGTCCAAAACCAGCTGGCGACCCAAGTTTAGGAAACCCTAAAAAGAGAGAGAGAGAGAAGGGGGATTAGCTATGCCAGTCTGCTGCAGCATATGCATTTACAGTGGTACCTCGGGTTAAGTACTTAATTCGTTCCGGAGGTCCGTTCTTAACCTGAAACTGTTCTTCACTTGAAGCACCACTTTAGATAATGGGGCCTCCTGCTGCTGCCGCGCCGCAGGAGCCCGATTTCTGTTCTTATCCTGAAGCAAAGTTCTTAACCTGAAGCACTATTTCTGGGTTAGCGGAGTGTGTAACCTGAAGCGTATGTAACCTGAAGCGTATGTAACCCGAGGTACCACTGTATTTAGTCTTTAAGATACTGCAAGAGTCTGGGTTTTGTTGTTTTTGTAATTTCTATTACAGTGGTACCTCGGGTTACAGACGCTTCAGGTTACAGACTCCACTAACCCAGAAATAGTACCTCAGGTTAAGAACTTTGCTTCAGGATGAGAACAGAAATCGTGCTCCGGCGGTGCGGCAGCAGCAGGAGGCCCCATTAGCTAAAGTGGTGCTTCAGGTTAAGAACAGTTTCAGGTTAAGAACGGACTTGCGGAACGAATTAAGTACTTAACCCGAGGTACGACTGTATTACTTTAAGAGACTGGTGTGCTGATTGACATGTGTGTTGTACGAAGCCTGGGGATACTGAAGTGAAGGATAACACGAATGTTTGCTTCGCAGCAGGGCTAACTAAACTAAATCGGAAAATGTTGCCAAATGCACGTCTTGAGTTGCAGCCCACATGCAAAACCTGCCAGACTGGTGACACAAGTTCAGATGATGGCAACAGACCTGTGTCTTTCAAATCCAGCACAGTGGACGCTCGGGTTGCGAATGTGATCCGTGCGGGATGCACGTTCACAACCCGCAACATTCACAACCTGCAGCGGCACGTCTGCGCACGTGCGGGTTGCGTTTCAGCACTTCTGCGCATGTGTAAAGCGCGATTTAGCGCTTCTGCGCATGTGCGACCTCCGAAACCCAGAAGTAGCCCACTCCAGTACTTCCGGGTTTCAGCGCATCCGTAACCCGAAAAAATGCAACTGGAAGCATCTGTAACCCGAGGTTGTATGACTGTATGTACAATCATGTATTAAAGTGCAGGACTGGGGTCTGAGTGAAGGGGCACACAGGCGCCAAACAAATAATGCATTTGGAATGCAAGGTATGTTTACTCTCTTGGGCCCAGGGCCATCCTGAGACATTCTGACACCTGAGGCAGACCGCAAAATGGCAGCCCCCTGTGCGTCAAGGTAGGAGGGGCGAGGGAAGATCTACATCAGGAACAAGAGCTAATAAATATTGGCATCTGGATCTGCTGCCCTAGTGGATCCTGCCGCCTGAGACGGTTGCCTCATCTTGCCTCACGGATGGGCCGGCCCTGCCTGGGCTCACAAGCACTGGCTTTCCTGGATTACTGAGGATCCCATGTTGTTGTTGTTTAGTCGTTTAGTCGTGTCCGACTCTTCGTGACCCCATAGACCAGAGCACGCCAGGCACTCCTGTCTTCCACTGCCTCCCGCAGTTTGGTCAAACTCATGGTGGTAGCTTCGAGAACACTATCCAACCATCTTGTCCTCTGTCGTCCCCTTCTCCTTGTGCCCTCCATCTTTCCCAACATCAGGGTCTTTTCCAGGGAGTCTTCTCTTCTCATGAGGTGGCCAAAGTATTATTGGAGCCTCAGCTTCAGGATCTGTCCTTCCAGTGAGCACTCAGGGCTGATTTCCTTAAGAATGGATAGGTTTGATCTTCTTGCAGTCCATGGGACTCTCAAGAGTCTCCTCCAGCACCATAATTCAAAAGCGCCAATTCTTCGGCGATCAGCCTTCTTTATGGTCTAGCTCTCACTTCCATACATCACTACTGGGAAAACCATAGCTTTAATTATATGGACCTTTGTCAGTAAGGTGATGTCTCTGCTTTTTAAGATGCTGTCTAGGTTTGTCATTGCTTTTCTCCCAAGAAGCAGGCATCTTTTAATTTCATGGCTGCTGTCGCCATCTGCAGTGATCATGGAGCCCAAGAAAGTAAAATCTCTCACTGCCTCCATTTCTTCCCCTTCTATTTGCCAGGAGGTGATGGGCCCAGTGGCCACGATCTTCATTTTTTTGATGTTGAGTTTCAGACCATATTTTGCGCTCTCCTCTTTCACCCTCAATAAAAGGTTCTTTAATTCCTCCTCATATCAGTGCCATATCAGTGAGGATCCCATATCAGTGCCCAAACATCATTACAGACATGCAAAACCAAGTCGCTTCCCTTTAAATGCAAACAGCAGCTTCAGAGGAAGCGGTTTCGTTTCAACAGTTGCAGGGAGAGAAACGCTCAATCAGCTGGGCTTTGACCTGATCCACCAGAGCTCTGCTTATGTTTCCTCTCGGTGCTCCACACAGGTGGTTGCCATCATATCTACGGCTGACACAACATACTTCTAACACTGAATTATGTATATTTGCTTCAGCATTGAAATTACTTGTGTACCAGGCTAAGTGCCAACTCAAGTAATTAAAAACGCTTATTACGGCAGATCTGGAATGTCACCAAGGAAGTCCAGGAACACTCGACTGGCTTCTCATTCCAACAGGCCAGTGTAAGTAAGTGCCTTGTTTGTACAAACTTACCACAGTGAAATAGAGAACTGGAATTGCCTCTACTTTCACATCTGATATGGCCCAGGGTCACAGAACTGAAGAGTTTTGTCTGGGATGGTCTGCAACAGATATAATCATGCCTGAAAGCAAAGCAGATGGTTTTAGGGATGGTGGTGATGAGCTTTGAGATGCTCTCAAGATGTGGTGGTGTGTACTGGCATACTTTTTTAAAGCAATTAGGAAGACCATTGAAGGCGATAACTCTATCAATGGTTATTTATTAGGTACAATAGCAATGTCTGCTGTAGTAGTACTCTACAAAGTCTGCTGGAAAATGCACAGAGGTTTATTCTGGATGCAACTGAAGCTCTGTTTATACCTTTTGATGGAAGCTTTTGTCCAGGCTTGCACACTCTTCAGTTCGTATTTGGATAAAAACAATGCAGCCTGGTCACAAAACTTGTTAATTAACTATATATACTGGGCCCTTTAAGTCTGATTGATTGAAATTATATCAACCTTTGCTTCCTCATTTGTTGCTTTCCCATTAAAGCAGAACCCAGAAGCTGTGGGTTTCCTTTAAACATCTGTAATAAACACTGTGGCAGATTCTCATCACCAAAAGCTTCCTGTCTCGGAAGGGTCGCCTTGATAAAGTTACAGCCCAATCACCTTAATGGAAGTGGAATTAAGTTAGCAGCAGAAAATACTAAGGAGTGACTGGGAAAGTCTTCAGTTGTGATCTCATGTCTGGGAAAGGAAACTTGATCCATTATGCTGAATGCAAATCTAGCATGCTGCGTTCATGCAACCTCAATGAAAAAGTCATTTCATTCAGAAAGCATAATGTGAAATGCTGTAATATAAATAGGGGGAGGAGGTGGGATGGTGGTAGTAGTCCTGGAAGTTACCTAAAGGAGTAGAATGATGTAATGGCCAGTGGGAGGAGGCAGAGTCCCTCAGCACTCAGAATTCCCCCTGCCTTTGGACATTAGAAGAAATGCAAAACTGCCTGCTGAGAATTCCTTTTGCTGAAGGACCCTGCAAAGAAAGATTAAGGCGGACAGAATAACCTTTCCTGTAAGTTTTTCTCTTCTCTCTCTGACTGGTAGCATGTGTTATTTGGACTAAATGAAAAGCAACACTCGCCTTTGCTCGGGCCTCTCCTTTTCCTCCTCTCCTTTTCCTGTCACCCCCGACTTTGTGATTGTAAGGTCTTTGGGACAGAGACCCATCTCTTCTTTGCCATTCCATTCATGTATACAGATGACGCTATCTATGCAAAATAATAATATGCAGTGTTAAGCTGTTTAGCAAAGCTTCCTAGAGTTTAAATCGAGAGCATGTTACTGGGCAGTGTAAAATGAACAATTTACACGGTACCTATTTACCTGGAAGTAAGCCCTATTGATTTCCAGGTATCTTACTTTCAAGTAGAGGGATATAGTCGTGGGACACAAGTTTATGTCCTATATATGCACATGGAGACAGACGTTGTGCAACAGAGCTTCCAATATATACAGTAGTACCTCAGGTTAAGTACTTAATTCGTTCCGGAGGTCCGTTCTTAACCTGAAAGTGTTCTTAACCTGAAGCACCACTTTAGATAATGGGGCCTCTTGCTGCCGCCACAGCCCGATTTCTGTTCTTATCCTGAAGCAAAGTTCTTAACCTGAAGCACTATTTCTGGGTTAGTGAAGTGTGTAACCTGAAGCGTATGTAACCTGAAGTGTATGTAACCTGAGGTACCACTGTACCGTGACAGCTGAGATTCCTAATTATCCAGGAGTAGAACAACACTGTTTAAATTTCCGCAGTGCAAAATTACCGACGTACTGGGAACTTTCTGCTCGGATGTTATAGTAGATGTTATTTTTCCAGTACTTTCTGATCCTACATTTTCTCCAACTGCCTCAAGGCCATGGGCACAGCCTCTTCCCTCCTACCCCAACCCCACAATGTTATCCTTGTTAACAGCTGTTTGAATAAGATAAAGCTGCAATATAATGATCTGGTTTAAGATAAGGCTGCAATATAATGATCTGGTTTGCAGATGAGATGCCAGTAAGCCAAACTATGGCTTAGCAGGACTGCAAAAACCTGCGGGATTGCAGAGACAGGAGAAAATCTACCTTAGCCAATGGTTGAAGTGGGAATCAACGGTTGTCAGGTGGCCGGGGGGGGGGGGAGAGGGGAGCAGTGCCTCCTATTTGCCAAGAGGCCATGTAAAGGCAGCTTTTGTGGGGGGGGGAGTGCCAAGAAGGGAGCAGATCTGGCCTCAAAGGAATGTTCTGTAGCCCTTGAAACCCTGTCAGATGATGATGCATTCCTTGGAGGCTGAATCTGCTGCCCCTGTGGATCCTACCGCCTGAGGCAGTCGCCTCACCTTGCCTCATGGATGGGCCGGTCCTGCTCCCTGGTCTTTTTTGCTCCCATGTACACTGTGTTAGGGACGCGGGTGGCGCTGTGGGTTAAACCACAGAGCCTAGGATTTGCCAATCAGAAGGTCAGCTGTTCAAATCCCCGCAAAGGGGTGAGCTCCTGCCAACCTAGCAGTCGAAAGCACGTCAAAGTGCAAGTAGATAAATAGGTACCACTCCGTCGGGAGGGTAAACGGCGTTTCCGTGCGCTGCTCTGGTTCGCCAGAAGCAGCTTAGTCATGCTGGCCACATGATCCGGAAGCTGTATGCCGGCTCCCTCGGCCAATAAAGTGAGATTAGCGCTGCAACCCCAGAGTTGGCCACAACTGGTCCTAATGGTCAGGGGTCCCTTTACCTTTATACTGTGTTAAGCCAATCTTTGGCTTAGTGTGCCATCAAGACTCCTCTCTGGGAGCTGGCACACTGGCACAATCCTTGTAAACCATAGTTTAGCTTATCTTGTCACACAAGCCAGGTCATCCAGCAAACATCATGGCTGATCAGGGAGTTGAATGTTGCGGAAGTCCAACATTTCAACTGTTATACCACATTAGCTCTTATGCTAACAGGCAGTAAATACATATATCTTCCAATTACCAGCTTCATATATGCAGGGGAGCCTGTTGTGAACCACCCAGAGATCTAGAGGTGAAGGGCAGTATACAAAATGTAGTAATAATGATGATGATGATAATAATAATAATAATAATAATAATAATAATAACCTGTTCTGCTCCCCAAAATGAACTAGCATAATTTACTAAAACTGCCCATGTCTACTACTTTGAACTATCTCTTCACCATTATGAGTGAAGAGATCAACTTAGGAGACAAAGGACAGAGCTACAGACAACTTATTATTAAAGTGCTGTGAAGGATAATGAGCATTCAACAAACCATGGGTTAGATTTCTTTCCCGACGAGGTACAATCTCAGCCATATATCACCTCCTAACCAAAGAGAACCAAACAGATCCATGCAAATTTAAGTAACTGTACTATCTAACTACCAAAGATTTACAAAGCAGGTAGAATTTCAACTATTTGCCTCTTTAGTGTCCTTTGACTTATATTCCCACCTCCTAAACAAACAGGAAAAACAGGGTTGTCTTATATGAGAATGAGTAGCCCATAACACTGAATTTTGTGAAATGCCTTTGAATGATAACATCAAAGTTTTGCCTTTTAGGGGTCATAAGACTCTTTGCTGTTTTTGTTCCAACCAACTAACTCTGGCTACCCCTCTGGAAATTTAGACAATAAATAGCACATGAGATAACGGGGTTTATTATGGAAAAAGATGCAACTCAACTGAGAAAAGCTATACACAGTATCCTGGGGCCTGTGTAATCGTTAGGGATGGATTCTTTATTTGCAGTACTTTTACTTTGTTGTGTTCCCACCTTAAATCGCTCAAAGGCCTAAATGTGTAGTTACAAGAAAACAAATTAGCATATGGAAATTGTATGCAAATTTATGCCATGGACCTTTTAAGAATCTAGCAACACCCCTGCCATTGAATGTCCCCTGAGCTTTCCTTGAATATCCCCCCCCCCAAAATAAGTTCCAAAACTGGGGTGGGGGGGGACTGGTGCAGTAGGGAAGGATCTCCGAATAAGGGCCTGTATATTTAAGAAAGTATTGCTCTTGAGAACTTTTTGACAGTTGCTGTTTGAAGAGCTCTCTGACCAAAGTCTTGAAGGTTGCTGCTGCTTTAAGAAATAAACAGGAGTATTCATCTAAATTGGTAAGGTGTAATTTTAGTTTATACTGTTAGCACACAACTAATCCTTTCACGGCTTCTATCACTGCTGTCAAAGGCGTAATTGTGCAAAATGAAGTGCAGGACACAGCTGCATTTCATACGCCTTGTGGACCTACTTCGATGAATAGCTATCTGTCAGAAGCCACTTTGCACTTGGGAAACTGGAGGGTATAGGCATTTGGGAAATGCCTAAAAGAGGGGAAAGGTGTTAAGCTGTTGACACTGATGCGGGAAGAATGGAGGGAGAGGCAGGCCTCAGCCTGGTGCTAAAACTCAGTAGCTTGTCTTTTGATTAAGAATGCCCAATGCATTCCAACCATAGGCAGTCCTCAGGGCCGAGCAAATGACATATGCTTAAAAATGGATGTTCAAACGAATACAAATAGCCATAAGGAATATGAAGTAAAGATGATGTAATACTGCAAGAACGACTCAAACAGATTTTCCCGTCAACATCCACACAGTGCATTTATAAGTGCTAACAGACATGGAGGGATGAACATATGAAGGCGCTGTATGCCAAGCTTACGCTGGCTGGCAGTGGTTTTTAGGCTCAGGCAGAGGGTCATCTGCTATATGAATGGCATCCCATGAAACTGTTAGCAGACCTTGCAGCTTGGGTGAACTAGATTGGAAGAAGCACTTACAGTTTCTGGAGTTCAAAGGCTTTATGCATGCAGGAACTATTTATAGGATGAGTGGTGAGTGGAGACAGAAGGGAGGGCAATAGCAGACATCTTGTCTGGAGACAGCAGCAACAAGGCTCAGCTCTTTAGGGTGTAGTTAGTTAACTTGACATAGAGGCTTACAAACAAGTGCTGTCTGGGTTGCTAGATGAACAGTGCCCACTGGTGGTTCAAAGTAACATACACATTAACTGTGAACTATGGCCTTCTCGGTAGTGGTGCCCTCCCTGTGGAACACCCTCCCTTCAGATGTCAAGGAAATAAACAACTATCTGACTTTTAGAAGACATCTGAAGGCAGCCCTATACCGGAAAGTTTTTAATGTTTGATGCTTTATTATGTTTTATATATTCTGTAAGCTGCCCAGAGTGGCTGGGGAAACCCAGCCAGATGCACGGGGTGTAAATAATAAAATTATAGTCATCTTCATCAATATAAGGAAATGTCTTGGCTTTCCATCCCAAAACACTCAACAATAAAACAGTTGCAAATCCAAAGAGATACAGGCTGAGATAAGAATCTCCACTTGAAAGGCTTGCTGAAAAAAGGAGGTCTTCAACAGGCACCAAAGAGAATAGAGACAGAACTTATCTGATAAGTTATGGGAACGAATTCCAGAGGGTGGGCTGATTCCTGCATCACATAGAATGGACCTCCTGGTATGAAGATGCAGAGTATAGTAATAGGCTGGGTATGTAATCTGTGATATTGGTCTTTTAGGGCACCACCTGATTTTTTAAGTGGATGTGCCAAGGAACTTGGGCCTTTCAGAGGTTGCTGAGCCATGCTCACCCCCTGCAGCCCCAGGGATGAAGAATAAGAATTTTACAAGGTAAGGACCATGTCCATGATATCAGTGTAAATTATTTGCCGCCTTGTGAAATGAACATTGGAATTAAAAAAATCTTTCAAGCATCCTTATTGTGAAAACCTAATTTGACTTGGGTAAAACATTCAAAAAATAGGTGCTAAGCTTGGACAGGGCATGGAGGTGGGGGGAAACGCACAGCGCGTTGCTAAAGTGGTACCTCAGGTTAAGAACAGTTTCAGGGTAAGAACGGACCTCCAGAACCCATTAAGTTCTTAACCCGAGGAAGCTATTAAACACCAGGCCCTAGCAAACTGTTGATCAGGTTTCATTTCCACAGATCATATCTTGCAATGAGTCAGACATGAGTAAAACGGCCTCTTTTGAAGATGAATTTCCTCACACAGTGTATTCATCTAATTTGCTTTTCAGATCGCTCCCCATTGCTTCCAGCCAACAAGACTGAAACACCATCAGCTGATGCCATTGAGTTGCCTCACACTGTTGGCTTTTGCGCTTGCCTTTTGATGTATGCAATGCCGCCCTGTTCCCTCTACGTTTCCTGCATGCCGCTAAGAGAACATTCGTCAACGAATCCAGGTGTGCCCATGCAGGCAGCTTGCAAACTGGGTCCTGGGGAAAGCTGCTGCAAACCTTAGACCTGGCACCGGAGGAATATGTGGGCTCTGCCGCCAGATGCTTAGCAGAACATGGTTCGTCGAGGGATCGTGGCATGGCTCCCTCGGGTGGCCGTTCTGCTGGTGGTCCTCTGTTGTGCGGTGTCCGTGCTCTACATGCTGGCCTGCACCCCGCGAGGTGACAACCAGCAGCTTGCCTTCCCCAGAGCCAACAGCCCTACGGGTAAAGAGGAGTACCAGGCGATCTTGCAGGAAAGGGAAGAACACCACTGGGACTATATCAGCAGTCTGAAGAGGCAGATTGCAGAGCTGAAAGATGAGCTCCAGGAAAGGAGCCAGCAGCTGAAGAACATGCAAGGCCACAGCACGGACTTGTTGGGAGTGGGGATAGACCGGAGGGACCCCCAGAAGCCCCAGAAAGCCCTCTTGCAGTTCCTGCATTCCCAGGTGGACAAAGCAGAGGTGCACACGGGAATGAAGCTGCCCAATGAGTATGCTGCGGTGCCCTTTGAGAGCTTCACCCTTCACAGAGTGTACCAGCTAGAGATGGGTTTGACGCGTCACCCCGAGGAGAAGCCGGTGCGGAAGGACAAGAGAGATGAGTTGGCGGAGGCTGTTGAGCTGGGCTTGGAGACTTTGAACAGCCCAGAGAGGAACAGCAACACAAACCGCCGGGCATATTCCCCCTCTGACTTCATAGAAGGTGTGTATTCTTGGGAGTCACTCAGGGATTGGTGAGGGAGTTTCTTGAAGGGGATTCCTTAGACAAGGTGGGAGACTCCTTTTCTGTCCTCAGGTAGAAGCCGAGCTAGGCTTGGATGGGATTAAAAGTGCTAGTGTTCCAATGTCCCTTTGGTAAAGCTCAGTAGCAAAATACAGAAAGACTCCAGAAATTGAACGGTAACAAAGGGCCTATTCTACCTGGTGCCAATCTCTCCAATTACTTTCCCCAGATAATCTGTATCTGTATTTAATTCACAAATCACAATTAGGGGGTGTATACTTCCCAAACATCTTAGGTAAATACCTAAAAGACTTAATGTGTGGAATGGGTTTTAGTGAAAATGAAACCAGAACACTTATACAAACACTCTGATGACAGAAGAAGGCCTGTTTGAGGCAAATTTTGCTTTTTAAATAAATTCATTACATTTGTGTCCCGTCTTTCCTCCAAGGCAGTGGTTCTCAACCTGTGGGTCCCCAGATGTTGTTGGACTACAACTCCCATCATCCCTGAGCTCTGGCCTTGCTAGCTAGGGGTAATGGGAGTTGTAGTTCAACAACATCTGGGGACCCACAGGTTGAGAAAGGCTGCTCCAAGGAGCTCAAGGTGGCATATCTGGTTCTCTTCCTCCCCACTTTTTAACCTGACAACAACCCTGTGAGGTAGGTTAGGCTGAGAGACTGTGATTGGCCCAAGGACACCTAGTGAGATTTGCGGCCGAGCAGCAAGTTCAACGCTGGACTCCCCGATCCTAGTCCAGCCTTCTAACCACCACACCACATATAACAATAACGCATAAAATGGGAGTGCAGGATCTGTTTTTTCTTTAGCAAAATTCCCACCCCCTACCCCCGTCCACTACTTATCAACCCCCCAGCCAACCTCAGATTTTTTCTCCCAGGTAGTATTCTTTCAGATATTGGAACCCAGCTTAGCACAGGACAGGATAACAACGAAAATGAAGCTTTGGGGGAGAAAGCCACAGCCACAGGTTTAAACCACAGGGCCTACTGTCATCATTTGAGCCTTGTTAAAGGTAAAGGGCCCCTGACCATTAGGTCCAGTCGCGGACGACTCTGGGGTTGCGGCGCTCATTTCGCTTTATTCGCTGAGGGAGCCGGCGTACAGCTTCCGGGTCATGTAGCCAGCATGACTAAGCCGCTTCTGGCGAACCAGAGCAACGCATGGAAACGCCGTTTACCTTCCCACCGGAGTGGTACCTATTTATCTACTTGCACTTTGATGTGCTTTCGAACTGCTAGGTTGGCAGGAGCAGGGACCGAGCAACGGGAGCTCACCCCGTCACGGGGATTCGAACCGCTGACCTTCTGATCGGCAAGCCCTAGGCTCAGTGGCTTGACCCACAGCGCCACCCGCATCCCACTGAGCCTTATTAGGTATATCTAACTTCTGCTAAGTGCAGCAACCAGTTTTTGTGTTTCATTTTTTATACTTGCAATAAAATTTAAAAAATACAAGCAACGAAAAGGAAGAATATAAAAATATAGCCAGGTTGATATTTTGGAGAAAAATGAAAGTGAATGGGAAACTGAGGAGCAAAGTAACTGTTGACAAAGTTTGGGTGTGTAAGTTATTTAGCTGAATCATGAGGGGAAATGACCATCTATATTTGCTTGGAATGTGATCAGAAACTTGGAAGACTTCTATATACAAGAAAAAGGGAAACCATGGGATCTTTAACAGCTTTTTAAAATAAAACAGTGGAAGGCCTTCATTTCTGCACTTGCTGAGTAAGTTTGTATATAATCACTTCATCCCAAATTTGATCAATCCACTGTTGTTTGGGAGATGTCCAGCACGACTTCAACCTTCTCTGCTGCACACAGTTGCTTAAGAAGCGATTTTGACTGATTTTCTTTCCACTCAGCACTCAGAGGCCGCCTTCTTTAGAAAAAGCAAAGCAAAGGGTAGACTCTTCTGGCTTGCATATCAATAGCAAAACTGCTTAATCGTCTCCTGAAAGTCTAGCAGAGCACATTCATCTCATCTGATGCAACTCCTCTAGGTGCAGAGTCATCTTCAGCCCTACAGAATAGAATAACAACACACCTTCAAAGTTAGTCCACTTCTTAACTCTTTCAGTGGCAGTTCCTTGCTTCAGGATTAGGACTTTGACTCATGAGAACGGGAATCATTAAGGAAACACACCAGTTGCTGCAATGGCTCTGTTGAAACATGATTTTGTTTTTTTTTAAATGATATTTATTAAAATTTCAAAAGGAAACGATTACATTAAAAAGAAAATTAACAGTAAAAAGAAAAAATACAAAATACAAAAAAGAAAAACCAATTAAAAACAATTCCATCTTTTCATCACTTCTTTTACATTTACTTGTTTCCCAGACCTCCTCATACCTCCCTCTTTTGTATTCCAATTCAATTTATTAGTCCAGCGATTCCTTTCCCTCCTTTTTGATCCTGATCTTGAATCCTGATATATTATAACATTAAATTTTTAGATATTAAAAACCAATTTTTCCATATTCTTTTATACCATTACCGCTAGAAACTGCATAACATCAATCCGTCATCATTCTAACATTCATTAATTTTACAATATTTCTGTAAGTAGTCTTTAAATTTCTTCCAATCTTCTTCCACCGACTCTTCTCCCTGGTCTCGGATTCTGCCAGTCATTTCCGCCAATTCCATATAGTCCATCATTTTCATCTGCCATTCCTCCAGTGTGGGTAGATCTTGTGTCTTCCAATGCTTTGCAATAAGTATTCTTGCTGCTGTTGTAGCATACATAAAGAAAGTTCTGTCCTTCTTTAACACCGATTGGTCGACTATGCCCAGGAGAAAGGCCTCTGGTTTCTTCAAGAAGGTATATTTAAATACCTTTTTTAATTCATTATAAATCATCTCCCAGAAAACCTTAATCCTTGGGCACGTCCACCAAAGGTGAAAGAATGTACCTTCATGAAACATGTTTTTAAAAGTGTGCAGTTTTCCAAGTAAAGCTAAAGGGTAAAGGGACCCCTGACCATTAGGTCCAGTCATGGCCGACTCTGGGGTTGCGGCGCTCATCTCGCTTTATTGGCCGAGGGAGCCGGCATACAGCTTCCGGGTCATGTGGCCAGCATGACTAAGCTGCTTCTGGCCAACCAGAGCAGTGCACAGAAATGCCTTTTATCTTCCCACTGGAGAGGTACCTATTTATCTACTTGCACTTTGACGTGCTTTCGAACCGCTAGGTGGGCAGGAGCAGGGACGAAGCAACGGGAGCTCACCCCATCGCGGGGATTCGAACTGCCAACCTTCCACTTGGCAAGCCCTAGGCTCTGTGGTTTAGACCACAGTGCCACCCGCGTCCCATGCAGCTTTCCAAAGGGTGGCATATAAAGCATTTTTATGCAATTCTTTCACAGTGGCTGTGATGATGACACCTGTTTTCTGGGTGGCATCGAGAAACCTGCTAGTTCATCAAGCTTCTTTTATATTTCACAGAATCATAGAAACGCAGAATTGTAGTATTGGCTGGGATTCTGGGGCTCATCCTGACCAACCCTCGACAATACAGGAATCTCAGCTAAAGCATCCATGGCAGATGGCTGTCCAACTTCTGCTTCAAAACCTCCAAGGAAGGAGAACCCATTACCTCCTGAGGGAGATTGTTCCACTGCCAAACAGTTCTTACTATCAGATAGCTCTTCCTGGTGTTTACTTGGAATCTGCTTTCTAGTGACATGAAGTCATTGGCTTCGGTTCTGCCCTCTGGAGCAGGAGAAAACATCCCCTATGGGACAGCCCTTGAGATATTTGAAGATGGCTATCATATCTCCTCTCAAGTCTCTTCTTTTCCAGGCTAAACATGCCCAGCTCCTTCAACCAAGCTCCTCATAAGACTTGGTTTCCAGACCTTTGATCATCTTGGTTGCCCTCCTCTGCACACGTTCCAGCTTCTCAATATCCTTCTTAAATTGTGACATCCAGGATCAGACACAGTATTCCAGGTGTGGTCTGACCAAGGCAGAATAGAGTGGTACTATTACTTCCCTTCAGGATTTTTGTTGGGGGGAGTGCAGGCCTTTTGATAGAGAGGGCAGAACCTCAGTTTGCTATGACTTTTATTGATTTTTATTGATTCAGGAAGGGAAACTGCCTACTTTATGTGAATCAAATGAAATAGGAACGGCTGTTGGGACTGTAGAGAAGAGTATCTGAGAAACCAAAACAGGACTGTGCTTAACTCTTCCCGTAACATTATATTTTCCCACATTCTCAGTAGCTTGAACTTCAGCTCATCTTCCTAGGAGATTCACGAGGAAACAAATTTTAAAAGGAAATAACTTCTAGTTGAGAAGGAGATGAAAACCTTGCCTACAAAATAACAAAATTAAGGGAATACAAAATGAGTCTTGCAGCAAGCCCCGAGTGCTACATTTTCCCTCCATATGAGCAGAAAAAAAACCAAAGTATAAATCTGCACTCACTTCTGAAATTCCTTGCTAACTGCTGCTTTCCCCTTTGTTTCCCTGACAGGCCTTCGTCGGATAGAGAGAGATAAAGGCACTCTGTACGAGTTGATATTCAAGGGAGGCAAAGCATACGAATTTGAGCGAATTGTCCTATTCAGACCGTTTGGCCCCATCATGAAAGTTAAGAATGAAAACCTCAATATGGCCGACACCCTTATCAATGTCATAGTCCCTCTGGCTAAAAGAGCCAGCAAGTTCCGGCAATTCATGCAGAATTTCAGGTTAGTAAAGCTGCATGCTCTCACTGCCTCCCCAGAGCCGTGCACCGATACTTCTTCTTTGGTAATAATAGCTTTTCTTACAAATACAGTCATAGGTAAAGGTAAAGGGACCCCTGACCATTAGGTCCAGTCGTGGCCAACTCTGGGGTTGTGGTGCTCATCTCGCTTTATTGGCTGAAGAAGCCGGCGTACAGCTTCCGGGTCATGTGGCCAGCATGACTAAGCCGCTTCTGGCGAACCAGAGCAGCGCACGGAAACGCCGTTTACCTTCCCGCCGGAGCGGTACCTATTTATCTACTTGCACTTTGACGTGCTTTCAAACTGCTAGGTTGGCAGGAGCAGGGACCGCAACGGGAGCTCACCCCGTCGCAGGGATTCGAACCGCCGACCTTCTGATCGGCAAGTCCTAGGCTCTGTGGTTTAGACCACAGCGCCACCCGCGTCCGAATACAGTCATACCGCGGGATAAATACGCTTCAGGATAAGTATTTTCGGGTTGTGCTCCGCGGCGACCCGGAAGTAACGGAGCGTGTTACTTCCGGGTTTCGCCGCTCACGCATGCGCAGATGGTCAAAATGATGTCACACGCATGCGCAGAAGCGGTGAACCGTGACCCGCACACGCACAGTTGCATCTTACATTCTGTTCAAGATGCGGATGGGGCTCCGGAGCGGATCCCGTTTGCATCCCGAGTTACCACTGTATGCAAGCAGAGTATTAAGTAGTGGGTTGACAAAGCAGATGACACAGAGATTTCTCCAAGTAGTTCTTTATAAGTAAGCTGGGACTGAACTGAACTGAACACAGCTCAACCGGCTGGCTTTTATAGGCAGCTGGCTGTCAACATTGTAACAACACCCCAGGGTTTCCCGCCTAAATTAACTGACGTGGACCTGAGTGAAAACTATATACAGTGGTACCTCGGGTTAAGTACTTAATTCGTTCCAGAGGTCCGCTCTTAACCTGAAGCACCACTTTAGCTAAAGCGGCCTCCCGCTGCCGCTGCGCCGCCGGAGCACGATTTCTGTTCTCATCCTGAAGCAAAGTTCTTAACCCGAGGTACTATTTCTGGGTTAGCGGAGTCTGTAAGCTGAAGCGTATGTAACCTGAAGCGTATGTAACCCGAGGTACCACTGTACACAATACCCCTGGTGGCCAGGGTGAGAACTTCAATACATAACACAGAGCATCAGCGCAGGCAAGGCTGTCCATTTAGTTTCGCTTTAATTAGTTACAATTTTATTAAGTTTCTTTTAGGTTTTACCTTACCCTTATCCCCTAGCTCAGTGGAAGAGTACAGTCAAACCTCAGTCTCTGAATGCCTCCATTTTAGAATTTTTCGGCCAGGAGCGTAGCTAGCTGCTCTGGCACCCGGAGCAGCGGGGGCGGGGCAATCCGCCTAGGGGGGTGGCGAAGCGGGCTGCCCATGGAGTCAGCCTGGCAGTCACAAGCCCTATGCCGCCATTTCGGGCAGTGCGGTGCCCCAAGCTACGTCATTCCCAGGAGAGACGTGTGGCTCGGGTGCACTGCAGGCCAGGCCCCGCGGTAAGTGTCGCCCCCGCAGTGTGCTATTTTGTCACGCCCCGCACTCCTTCCTACGCCCCTGTTTTGGGCTCCCGAACACTGAAAAACCAGAAGTAAGTGTTCCAGTTTTCGAACGTTTTCCGGAAGCCGAACATTTGACGCGGCTTCCGCTTGAGTGCAGGAAGATACAGCAGCCAACCGGAAGCTGTGTTTCGGTTTACGTGTGACAATCAAGGTTTGACTGTACATGCTTTTCATGCCAAAGGCCCCAGTTTCATTCCTTGGCATCTCATGGCCGAAACTTTGTACAGGATGAAAACAGAGCAAACCTTGTGGGGTCTCTAGGCTCTCTCCAGCTACTGCGGAGAAGTCCGAGTCCCAAAATCCAGTTTTAACCATTCGTATCCAGGGAGGTGCATGCACATAAATGCACACAGAGCGTCCCTGCCCTTCCATCCCCCCCATCATATAACACATGATGTAACATACTCAAACTGAAACTATGAAAACCACACAAGTTACAGGGAACCAGGCAAGTTACAGGGAACCAGGCAGAGGGCCTTCTTGGTGGTGGAACGCCCTCCCACCAGATGTCAAAGAGAACAACAACTACCAGTCTTTTAGAAGACATCTGAAGGCAGCCCTGTTTAGGGAAGCTTTTAATGTCTGATGTATTACGGTATTTTAATATTTTGTTGGAAGCCGCCCAGAGTGGCTGGGGAACCCCAGCCAGATGGGCAGGGTATAAGTAATAAATTATTGTTGTTATTATAAAACCAGTAGCAGAACTAAGGTGTGCGTCACTGTGGCCAGATCATGCATAATGGAAGGAAGCTTACACATTTACTTCTGTTCCAGGGAGATGGGTATACAGCAGGACAGGAGAATTCACCTCACTATAGTTTACTTTGGGAAAGAACAAATGAGCGAGGTAAAAGGAATCCTTGAAAACACCTCCAGGTGAGTACAACCACGGATGCCGTTCTTTCTTCAGAAATCAAAGGGCAAACACTTGTTGGGCTGCCCTTCCTGTTAAGTTGTGGGTGAACATATCAGACGACACAGCGATTCTTCAAACAACTCTTGTTTATTCACAGGCCAGAACAGAACTGACTGAAGGGTTCAGTCAGCCTGCTTATATAGAGCTCCAGTACAACGTAACTGTAACCATTTTCTTTAACTATCCAATCACTGAACGTCACTTTCGATCCCTTATTTGCATAACTATCTACAGTATCCCCCTGCTGGCCCAGGGTGAGAACTTCAGTACATAACACTTCCCATCTCATCTCATTAGTGGTAAAGCCATGTTTTTGTTTGGGTTGGAAGGCCTGTTTTGTACCAGCAATGTTGTATGACCCGGCTGCGGTTTTTCAGTGGAAAGAGGAAACCACTTCGTTGTGTCTGCATGCTCAGAGGCGCATCTTATCACATGTTACCCTAACAATAGTTTCTGAAACTGGGTATCTGGGCCAGACAGAGTGGGAGGGAGCAGGAGAACCTACTGGTCATGGTTCCACGCTCAAATGGGGTCTCAGATTTAGACATATATTTTTTTTTGGCATTTGTAAGTCCCACAGTTCTTTTTAATGCTTCTCAGACTAAAATGTGACACACACTGTCATCTTAGAGCTGCCGCTTCAAGCAACTAAGAGATGCGATTTGGCAGAAGACTTTTTTTAAAGGTTTTGTTTTGTTAAACTGCTTTAGTTTCTGTCTTATGAAGGAGTTAGAAATGCTCATAAATATCAGTAAATATATATATATATACACCTGCTCTAATGGCAGTAGTTCAGGAGCCTCAAAAGCTGAAAGTGGCAAAAGCCTTTCTAGACCTGAAAGATGGTCCACTGGTTACTTGGATGAAACTCAGCTCCCTGTTAGGAAGAGAAATTCCAGTTAATATTATTATTACTATCCACAGGGGTGGCCAACTCTCAAGAGACTTGATATAATTTCATAATTAAAAACTGGCAGTGATCTATCCCCATTTTTTAGGGGTTCATCTCAAAGTTGTTGAGCTTTTTTAGGGGTTAAAAAGTTTTTTTGTGAGGGGGAACGTCTGTTTTTGGGGGGGAGGGGGTTAAAGTAGGGTTACCAGACGTCCCCAGTTCCTGGGGACAGTCCCCAGATTTGCAAATCTGTCCCCGGGGAGCATGGCAGCGGCAGCCTCAGCAGCCAGGAGCCAGCCTGGTAGCGCAATTGGCTCTGGCCGGCTTCAGGAGCTGCTCGTTGCCATGGCACCCACCATTTTTCCTCGCCAGAAGTCCCCATATGATGTGTCGTTTGCACAACACATCATATGGGGACTTCCAGAGAGGAAAAATGGGCACCACATCAGTGAGCAGCTCCTGAAGCCGGCCAGAGCCAACTATGCTACCAGGCTGGCTTCGGGCTGCCTACTGCTGCTGCTGCCGTCGCCACTGCCAAAGGGGAACTGGGGACGTCCAGCGGTACAGATCTCCTGCCCCCTTTGTTTTGACTGATCGGGGGAGGCTCGGGAGTTGCGGGCCGGTGTTGCCCAGTTTTTTAAAAAACATTGCGTATTTATGTTTCACAGGGTGGGAAAGAAGGTCTTTGCATCTTGCCTGGCAGAGAAACCGCGTCCCTTGTGTACCCCTTGGGCAATGGCCGCCCACCCATGACTCCCAAACCTCCCCTGAGCTGTCAAAACAAAGGGGGAAGGGGGCAGGAGATCGGGGAAGGCTTGGGAGTCACGGGTGGGCGGTGCACTGTTGCCCAGTATTTTAAAAACTCTGCACATTTATGTTTCACAGGGTGTGAAAGAAGGGCTTTGCACATTTATATAATATGCATGTGTGCTTGGGTCCAGGGTCTTTTGCCTCACCATCCCCGCTACTGACTCCCTGTTGCTACCCAGCTTCAAAAAACAAAACAAAACAAAAGTGTCCCCAGATTCATTGAAAAAAATCTGGTAACCATAGGTTAAAGGCAAGGGGCAAAGGGGTAAAGTCACTCACAAAAAGAGCTCTATGGATGAAACAGAGAAAGCTCCATCTTTCCTTCCAGAGATCAAACAATGGAGGGCAGGGCAAGGGGGCGTGACAGGAGTCAGTTTTAAAAATGCTAAGGAAAGGGAGCCAGAGATTGACCGCGATCTAACAAAACCTCGCGGGGATCTACCAGTAGATCGCAATCAACCCGTTGGACATCCCTGCACTAGAGAAACTCGTTTCAGAATTTGTCAGGAACCACCCCATCCTGCAAGATCTGTCAGATGTAGCTGACCCTTCTAGCATGTGGAATAGTGAACAGTGGGCGTGGAACTATTTCCCTCTGAGCTTGAGCAAGTGCCAACATTTATGACACTATTAAAAACACATTTGTGCTCTCAAGCCTTGGCTGGTGCTTGACTCCGGCAAGATAAAGGTAAAGATAAAGGGACCCCTGACCATTAGGTCCAGTCGTGGTTGACTCTGGGGTTGCGGCGCTCATCTCGCTTTATTGGCCGAGGGAGCCGGCGTACAGCTTCCGGGTCATGTGGCCAGCATGACTAAGCCGCTTCTGGCGAACCAGAGCAGCGCACGGAAACGCCGTTTACCTTCCCACCAGAGCGGTACCTATTTATCTACTTGCACTTTGACGTGCTTTCGAACTGCTAGGTTGGCAGGAGCAGGGACCGAGCAACGGGAGCTCACCCCGTCGCAGGGATACGAACCGCTGACCTTCTGATCGGCAAGTCCTAGGCTCTGTGGTTTAACCCACAGCGCCACCCACATCCCTCTCCGGCAAGATACTATACTCTTTAAAGCTGCTCTGGTTTACCAGCTGCTTTCAGTCTTTTGTGATGCTGGTGTCTGGTATGTATTTTAAGATTGTCGTTCACCAGCTCGAGACTGATGTGAAGGGCAGTCTAAAAAAAGTTTTAATACATAAAAAATACTCTACTATATTTCCCAAAGCACATTTTGTGATGTGGTCTCTCATTAAGGCCAGAAACCGGTAAAATCCAGATCAGCCAACTTAGCATTCAGGACTCAAGGCCATTCCAGCAGCCGCCACAACAAATCTGTTTGTCATTAAGGTGCCACAAGACTCTCTTATTTCTTCACTAGTGACGGGTGCTCCTGTTTGGTGCACAATTCATAGCTCTTCTTTGCTTTTTGGTTCATTTTATTTTCCAAATGTATTATTTAGTAATGCAAAAAAGACATTATATTGTCTTATCAGCAGAAAGTACTGTGCAGATCACAGTATTACATTAAACGTAACAAAAAATAAGGAGTAAGGTTAAATACCTTCCCCAAATCTTTGATTCCAAAAGGCAATACAAACCATCCATATTTCAATAACTCTATTTAAATATCTTGTTACTATTTAAATATCTCTATTTAAATATCTTGTTATTTAAATATCTTGTTTCTCACGCATGATTATAGTTGTAAGATATGCTTATGTAGCAATGACTATTGGATCTTACAGCAATATCTCACGACTTCCTGAATATTGCTCAGAATTATGCACCATTTTAAAAACATGATGACATCACCAAAAGCTCTGCACTTAATTGCCCCATATTCTCCAGCATTAATCACCAGGCATCCTTTATAAGTGCTTCAATTTGTGGGTGATTAAATACAATAAATACCCCGTCTTTAAAAATTATGTATCAAATTTACTGATATCAGAGTTTTACATATTTTATTTCCTGTTCAGTTCTAGGTATTCTCCTGTACATTAATTCCTAGATCTTTCCCCTATTTGGGGGGAATTTTGTTGTTGCTGTTGCTGCTGCTTCTGCTTCTGCTTCTTATTTTAACTATTTGTCTTCCTAAAGACAAAAGAGGCCAAATAATGCTTATGTTGCCATTCCTCCTTATATAGATCAGCCAACTTCAAGAATTATACCTTCATCCAGCTGAACGAAGAGTTCTCAAGAGGGAAAGGTCTGGACGTGGGTGCACGGTTTTGGAAAGGAAGCAATGTTGTCCTCTTCTTCTGTGACGTAGATATATACTTCACAGCAGAATTTCTCAACACATGTAGACTGAACACACAACCAGGTATAGCTATCCTTAGATTTAGACCTTGGTCTGTTTCACCAACATAGAGCGCTCATCCATGCTTGTCCCGTGCCAAGAAAGCATGGGTCGAAGTGTTTTGCCTTTGCCTTTGCCCATAGCTGTCAACTTACAGATTTGAAAATAAGGGACCAGCAACCTCAAAAATAAGGGACCAGCAGCCAAAATAAGGGATTTTCCGGAAACAGGTATGTTCAACTTCTGAGCCCCTCCGAGCCAAAGGCAGAAAGCCCAGCCAGCAGCCAAACAAAGCCTCAAGCGGTGGTTCCCACAGCGCAGCAACCCGGCAAAGGGGATGCAGCAAGGGAAACCACCGTCACCTCTCAGCTGGGAAGCGCTGAGCAAAGGCGAGTCCCCAGGCAACGCGGCCGATTTGATTGGCACAAGGCATGCAAGCTCCACCCCCCAGTCGTTCTTAGACTCCTTATTGGGTGAGCAACGCAGCCAAGCAACACAGTTGGAGCCTCCCTCCTCCCTGGCCGGCAGGGAGGGAGGGAGAGGAGCTGCTTCCTTTGAAACCCGAGAAATTTAAGGGACATCATCAATAAGGGACAGCAGCGGGACACAGCGCTGGGATAAGAGGCTTTCCTGCCAAATAAGGGACGGTTAACAGCTATGCCTTTGCCCCGCTGCTTTCCCCTGGAAAACCTACTCTTTAGTGCTAAATTGGAACAAACAGCAATCAGCAGGAAACTCGACTGCTCCCCCCCCGCCAATTCAGTGCTAAAATATGGGCTTCCCCAGGGGAAAGTGGTGGGGCAAATGGAAGTTTGGATGAGCCTTAGGTTACAGCCCCTGTGACACAAGTGCAGGATAGCTGGGATCCAAGGAACTCGACAGCAAAGTTGCTATCAGAATGATACCACTTTAATCAACAGAACAAAGCAACTCCAAAAAGTTGGATTCTTTTTCTACAAAAGGCTACAAACCCCCAAGGGCACTTAAATCTAAGGCTATGAACATAAAAGTCAACACATTCCAGAATAAAAAAACATATATGCAAACGTAGCACAAATAACCCTGTTTTTTCAACACACTCTCATTTTTAGGGAAGAAGGTGTTTTACCCAGTTCTTTTTAGCCAGTATAATCCAGGCCTAATTTATGGACACCACGATTCCATTCCACCTGTAGAACAGCAGTTGGTAAGTAAATGGGTTAAATGGCTTTAAATGATGTTCTAAATCCATATATACTAGGGAAAAAAGGCACACAAATGTTATCCCGCCTAAAATATGGAACTGTTTCAGCTCAAAATCTTTTTAAAATTGTGACGCACCAATTAGAAGGCAAAGGAGCTTAGGACTGTGGTTTATGAATATGCTGAGAAAGGGCAGCAAGGGAACTTTTGGACTGGTCTCTATTTTCAGGTGAGATTCGATCACCAGCAAATTCATGTTGTGCAATTATAGTTCATTGGGATCTCTTGTGCAACATACCTGCTCCCCCCCCCCAACTGGACTTTTTTCAATAAGGGGGCATGATGTGGAAATGCATTGGGAAGTTTGGGATAAGGCTTGCTTCAATGCAGCATCAGCTAACACCCCCAGATAAATCAGAATAAATGCTCATTAAAGAGGCAACATCATCTAATCTCCCTGCAAACAAATCAGGATGAACATGCAGTAATGATATCATCTGAAAGTGATGATGCCTTAGTATTCAAATCCCAAACCTCAGCTTGTCTGAAATCAGCAAAAACATGAATTGCGTGTTCAGACCCAGAAACCTCCCCCCTAAATAAATTCACACGACTCAAATTTTGGTTTTGGTTTTGGGCAGAATTTAGGCCACAACTTTACTGATTACAGAAAGTGACTGGTTGCATAGGCTCTGGTTCGACTAGCTCCCTGCCATGCAGGTAGCGCTGACCCAGGGTTCCAGCATAGGTCAGCCAGGGGTGAACACCTGGATAAGTGGAAAGCCGGGAATGGGCTAACTCTGCCACCCAAATGTCCCCCTGGACTCAGGCACGGGCACAACCCCCTCTCAGGGGTTGACCAAACCATCGAGTCCCTGGATTCATTTAACAGAATACCCTTCACCATAGGGATGGCGAGAGCATTCTCCATCCCTATCACCTGAACCAGAGCCTATCTGCAACCTTACAAGTTGTGACGATTTGCTACGCGGCAGGCGAAACCCAAATGGCAACAGCCCATCAGCCAAGTGGGGAGAATTCCTGCCGTGCCCCTGTCCCAATGACAGACGACACACGACGACATAGCAAGGTCAAGCGCACAGCCCTAAAAGTAGGGTGAGGTCGGCGGGTGTTCCAAATGCACACGCCGAAAGAGGAAGCTCTGGGTCACGTGCATGGGCATAAATAGGTCCCTTGAACTGTTTGGACTGCGTCCCATTGGCCAGATTGCACCCAGCCTCGAGGAACCTACCAATCAGGTGTTGTGGCTGACCAATGTTCCCACCCACAACACAGGGTGTCGGTTTTCCAGTTCTCACTGCAATATGTGCCCTCCTTAAGGGTAAAAGGTAAAAAGATAAAGGGACCCCTGACCATTAGGTCCACTCGTGGCCGACTCTGGGGTTGCGGCGCTCATCTCACTTTATTGGCCAAGGGAGCCGGCGTACAGCTTCCGGGTCCTGTGGCCAGCATGACTAAGCCGCTTCTGGCGAACCAGAGCAGTGCACAGAAATGCCGTTTACCTTCCCGCCAGAGCGGTACCTATTTATCTACTTGCACTTTGACGTGCTTTTGAACTGCTAGGTTGGCAGGAGCGGAATCGAGCAACGGGAGCTCACCCCGTCGCAGAGATTCGAACCGCCAACCTTCTGATCGGCAAGTCCAAGAGGCTCAGTGGTTTAACCCACAGCGCCACCCGCGTCCTCTTTAAGGGAGGACCCGATTAATGGACTATTACATTCCACGTCTATCATGAGACATTTTTTCTCTGTAGCCTCCCCAGGCTGCAGGTTGGGGATAATAAGAATGGGCTGCACTTGTATTAGCGGGGAAAATGTAAAAATGTTTTAAAACTCCTCAAGTCCACATTTTTTCATACAAAATAAAAGTCAAGAGTCCAGGAGTCTTTGCTTCCACTTTGTTTGGTGGTGCTGGTGTCTGCTGCCCAATCCTGGATTTCTCCATGGTTTCAAGCATCACTAACAAGCCTTGTCTCCAGATGATGGAAGTGTCAGTCTCCTTTTTTTTAAATATGTCTATAGCAGTATGACAGTTTCAAGTGGCAGATTTATTTGGTATGGATATAGCTAAAGACTGTGTAGGGACCTCACACACTAGGTGGGCCACCTGAAGACATGCCAAGTCCTTATTGTGTATCTGATTCCAGTGGCGTAGCGTGGGGGGTGCAGGGGGGGCCGGCCGCACCGGGCGCAACATCTGGGGGGGGGGCGCGCTCGCACTCACAGCTCTCTGCCCCTACCTGGCTCACTCTCTCTCTCACTGCAGTGCTGGCTGTGCGAATCCGATCCGAGCCGCTGGGTCGCCGCCCACTGTGGAGGGGGTGGGTGCCAGGCGTGCGGTGCGGAGAGAGAGCGAGGGACTATCTGGGGGAGGGACAGTGCAGCGGCCGCCCAGCACAGCGCTGAGCGTGGAAGAGAACCACACCAGACCAGACCAGGCAGCAGCAAGAAGAAGCTGGCAGCGGCGGCAGGTTAGGGGTTAGGGGTTAGGGGGTGCAAATTACTTGCCTTGCCCCGGGTTAGGGGCGCAAATTACTTGCCTTGCCCCGGGTGCTGACAACCCACGCTACGCCGCTGTCTGATTCTAACATGTGTGATGTAAGAATATGAAAGAACGGCAAAGGTGAGAGATAAGGGAGTGTTACCTGACTGCAGCTGGAAGCAGCCACCGCACAGGGATAAATGATCTTTATGTGAAATATGCACGCACATATACACAGATAAACACACCTTTCTTTCTTCCAGGTTATAAAAAAGGAGACGGGGTTTTGGAGAGACTTTGGTTTCGGAATGACTTGCCAATACCGCTCTGATTATATCAACATTGGTAAGAAATGAAATCAAATGAATATTTAGATATTAAATCCGATCAAGGCTAGTTCCCACCATGCCAAATTGGTGTTACCTTTATGTGGGGCACAGACAAGCCCCTTCTCTGGACCCTTAAGGCTCCCAAGCCATTTTGGGAATACAGTGGTACCTCCGGTTGTGGGCAGGATCCGTTCTGGAGCTCCGGTCAGATCCCGAGGTTTCCGCAACTGGAGGTGCCGCTTCTGCACATGGCTCAGTTTAGCATTTCTGCGCATGTGTGCGGTGCGTAGAGCACTTCTGCGCATAACGAAACCTGGAAAAATACATCCGGGTTTGCCGCATATGTATCCCAAAGGATATGTAACTGGAGGTGAACACAAGTAGAGGTACCATTGTATATTTTAAAACATTGAGTCGTATCCTGATCTGATCCAAAAGACTCTGCAAGTAAAGAAACGCATTGACTCTTGATTTCTCGCAGTGGCAACCATCTTGAAAGGCTTTCCCCTCAGTTCCTGGGCCCACAGGTCTCTCTCCTTGTGCCACAATCGCATGAAACCTGTCTTTTTTTTCCTTAGGAGGATTTGATCTCGACATAAAAGGCTGGGGAGGAGAAGACGTACATCTGTACCGCAAATACCTTCACAGCAACCTCATTGTGGTCAGGACGCCTGTCCGGGGCCTCTTCCACCTCTGGCATGAAAAGCACTGCTTGGATGAGCTGACCCCAGAGCAGTACAAAATGTGCATTCAGTCCAAGGCCATGAATGAAGCCTCTCACGGCCAGCTGGGGATGCTGTTCTTCAGGAGGGAAATCGAGGCTCATCGGCGCAAGCAGAAAGCAAGCAATAAGAAGTCTTGAAGCCAAATGAGGTCTTACTTGGAGATAAAAACCAAGAACCTCAAAATCTGACTCAGAAGGCTGTTCCCAAAACCACACTCGCAGGAGAGGAAATGCTTCTCTTGGTTATTTGCTTGCGGGGCTTTTGATACCACCGTAGCCTTTTCTCTGTGCCCACACTGCAGCACACTCCATTACGGCATGGAGAATAGCTTCCCCTCCAACCCCTCAACGGTTTGATATTTGAAGGACAAACAAGGTGGTTTTCCAACTTTGACTGACGCTACAATAGGATTACACAAAGCTTTACATTTTATCAAATGGGTAGCGAGGTGCTCATAAACTTGGATTGAATGAAATCCCAGGGAGATCTTTACAGAGTGGAGCCTGTAATGCTGAAATGAGGTTACTGACAATAGCCCCGATCCAGTTTTTCCTAGACTCTGTTGTTGTGAGTAACCAGTGGCCCTAGATAGGGGATGCACACGCATATCTGGGCCACATGTGCCGCCAATCCAATTCAGTGGGGGTTACCATAACACAATGACTAGGATCCAGATCAGTTGCGTGGGTCAGGGCTCTCTTTTCAGACGAGCATTTAGATGTTTATCTAATGACTCCTAGCAGCTAGAAAGCGAACAATGAAAGTTGAATGTATTAGCTCTATATGGAAGCCAACACCATTATCAAAATTCATTCTCTCTCTCTCTCATATACACCCACCCACATGCCTCACAAAGCCATATCTTCTGAACTTCTGTGGAGTCAGTAAAGATAATATGGTCACTTGTCCTTGAGTCTTCTCAATTATCATTCTTTGCTTGTCCTCAACAGCGCACTTTGGGTTTTGTGTCCCTTTGCGCACACTTAACATGCACAGAGCTGCTGAGATGTAGCACAATTTAACGGAATGGTGAAATGTTTTTGTGACTAGATCTAAGGTCAGGTGGATTGGTAAGTAAAGCCAAGAGGGGCTTTTAGCTAGAAGCACCAGTCCTGACTTGCACTGAACCTCATACAGTTTGGAGACATTAAAGAGAGATGGATTTAGCAGACAATGATTTTATCTAGGACTTGACATTAATATTTGCTGACTTGGATTCTGCTTTCTTCTTACTCTTACGTGTTTGAGGTTCCAGCCTTTAAAACAGAGCATCATTTAAATACAGACACAGATGAAAATATAAGGTATATATTTCCTGACATACCTAGCTGTACAAACAATTAGATAATACTGATAATTGAAAAGCAAGGGTATATAGTGGAGCCTTGTCCAGATTCTGCGCAGAGAAGGCAAATAGTCTCTTTTAAAATTTCAGCCACTTTGCCTTTCATTTTGGCAAATCTTGATCCAGAGTTTCTCACTCCAGGCCCCTGCAGAAAAGCGCTATTTTTGTTCTGCAACATGTTATTGGCTCAATAATAGTGCATTTAGTGATGGATTTATACTGGACCATCCACACATGATTCCACTTTATTATTCGTTCTGCGATGCTTCTTCAATGGTATTTCAGTGCTGCTGTCTAGAGGGACACTCTTTGTACTATAGCTCTACCAAAGCAGGACACAGAATAAACTGGAACATTTCCGGTACAAAAAGTGACAGGACATCGGGAGAAAGTTACAGGACGTGCACTGATTGGAAAGGAAGCAGTGTGTTCACCCTGAAACATCTGGAGGCACAAACAGTATTGGAAGTGGAATCAAGTACAACCTCTCCAATCGCATCATGAGCACAAATCATGAAGGCACAACGGGGGCCCAACCACACTTTTCCATCCCCCCCCCCCGATTCAGTGCTAAACCACGGGTTTTCTGGGGGAAAGAAGTGGGGCAAATGCAAAACCACTCAGACCCAGCTTTCTAGGCCCAGGGGAAGCGTGAGTCTAAAAAGGGTGGCCCTCCACAGTGAACTGAAGAACACAATTAAAATGGGATTCAGGCAATGGATGAGTCCATTCCTTTACAGAGAGAGGGCTTGGTTAAAAAACCCCCCCGCAACATTTCTCCTAACATTTCCTAGCAAAAAACAGCAACACCCCTTTTTAGCAGCCCTATTTTCATACCCAGAGTCAGCATTCAAAGTCCCCATCGTTGCATCCGCAACACATGAGCATCCATTGCGAAGGACGGTTCTTTATCTGCTGGTCATTTACTTCGCAACCGTCTGTACTGCACTGGGTGCTGAAACAGGTAGTATGTCTGCCTGGGTGGCTGTGGAGCAACAAAAGGAAAACAGTAGCAGTGTAGCGTGGGGACAAATTTTCCGTCGCGCACGCTGGAGTCACTTGGCTTCACTTAGCATCTGCCACCTGCAGAGACTGAGCTTCTAGCGAGTTCTGGAGAGGGCTGAAACTGGGAGAACTACCCTGCCTGGATGTGACACACTGGCAGGTTTTAATGGCACCCCACCCCCCAACAACTCCAAAGACAAAACGGCGATAAGCCAGGGACATGATTTCACCGGGGTCTGATCGCAGGAAATGGAGGCAGTTTGAAGATATGAACAGTGGCCTTACTGCTCTTGACCACATTCACTGGCTAATGGGAGCAGAGAGGGCCCACCTTTCTGAAGACGACCCTATTTCTGCATTTGTGGCTTTCGCTAATAATAATACAACCCTTTCAAGTATTTACAGGAAATGTGAATTACACTTTGGAAATGTTCTATGTCTCCTGATTGAACAGGAACACACAAGGGCAGGATTCAGCCTGAACAAAGGTGTCTATGGAAAGTTTTAATTGCTGTAATTATCTTTCAAAATAGATTTATTCTTTTGCTATTTTCTTTATGGTTCTGCTTCCTGTTCCTTTGTATCTTCTTGTCGCTTGCTGGCAGCTGCCCAGATTTCACTTCTCGATTAGCCAAACGTACTCGCACCATCGCTTCGCCGTTTACGAGGGTATTGTAAAAGCTGACGGGAGCTGGCTCAACTTTTGCCTGCTCCACATCTATCCATTCAAGAGAAGTGCTTCACATGGTAGAGAACAGAAATGTCAGGCGTCACTCGAAAAGATCAAGGTAGTCTGGCTCCTCCCCTTGCTGGCCACAGGGATAACGCAGAATCTCCTTTCCAAAAGATGTGATGGGCTCCTCCTAATAGGAAGAAAGCCAGTACAAATTTAGGTTCCAGAGGTCTAAAATCAGCCATTCATTTCCTACTAGAAACTGGTCAATCAGTTTAGAACCATAGAATTCTAGAGCTGGAAGAAGGGACCCTGAACATCACCTAGTCCAGGCATGTCCAAAGTCTGTTTCAGGGGCCTAATCCGGCCCACTGGTCGGTTTAATCCGGCCCCTGTGGCAGTTTATTTCCTGGGGTAAAATCCGAAAAAACAACTTCAATCCTAAAAAAAGGTCAACAACTTTGGTCAGCTCTCACAGCCCTTCACTTCATCAGATCTGGCCCTCTTTGAAAAAAGTTTGGACACCACTGATCTAGTCCATGGGTAGGCAAACTAAGGCCCGGGGGCCGGATCCGGCCGAATCGCCTTCTTAATCTGGTCCGCAGACAGTCCAGGAATCAGCGTGTTTTTACATGAGTAGAATGTGTGCTTTTATTTAAAATGCATCTCTGGGTTATTTGTGGGGCATTGGAATTCGTTCGTTCATTTCCCCCCCCCCCCCAAAAAAAATATATAGTCCAGCCGCCCACAAGGTCTGAGTGACAGTGGACCTGCTAAAAAAGTTTGCTGACCCCCTGACCTAGTCCAACCAATGCAGGAATATACAGCTGTCCCTTGCAGGGATCAAACCTGCAACTTTGGCGTTATCAGCACCACACTCTAACCAACTGAGCTATCCAGGCTGGTTATCAAAGCAGGCAGATGAGCAGCATTTAAGGTAGCTGAGCATACCATCAGTTGATATCAGTATAGCTTGGGGTAAAGAGAAATCTGATTTCAAACAGCAATCAAGGCGGGCTCTTCGCCCAGTGGATTTGAGCTCAGCTTTAAGACAACATATACACAAGACAGCTACATTCCTGCAAGTGAAATCCTGGAATAAACAAGCAGCCATGCTTTTTTGCTTTGTGTGTCTGGAGATCTACATCTCCTTTTTGTGGGGTGGGTGGGTATTGTTTCATATAAAAGTGGTGCACAGACATTCTTCTCTTTCAGTTTTCATCATTCACTTTGCACCAAAGATAATAAATTCGGAAACATTTTAAAAAGCATTTGCAGAACCGCTCTAGTGAAAGGAGTGGGGGAGTAATATAATATAGTACGTGCATATCATCACAAGTGCCAACCAACAGGTACTGGGGGAGCAAGCCAACAAGCAGGCCCACCCTCCAGGGCAGGGACACTTTGCCTTTCTCAACTAGAACTGGTTCAGTAGCCTTGGAGCAGAAAAGGGCATACAGTGCTACCTCTGCATTTGTACTTAATTCGTTCCGAAGGTCCGTTCTTAACCTGAAACTGTTCTTAACCTAAAGCACCACTTTAGCTAATGGGGCCTCCTGCTGCCACCGCGCCGCCGGAGCACGATTTCTGTTCTCGTCCTGAAGCAAAGTTCTTAACCCGAGGTACTATTTCTGAGTTAGCAGAGTCTGTAACCTGAAGCGTATGTAACCCGAGGTACCACTGTATTTGTATTCACAACAGTGAGGATAATCCCAGACTGGGCCCAGCTCCTTAAAATGTTGCATCGTTCTTTGTCCTTACGTTCCGATAACACTTAAAAATGTAAAGGACCCCTGGCAGTTAAGTCCAGTCGCAAACGACTCTGGGGTTGCAGTGCTCATCTCGCTTTACTGGCCGAGGGAGCCGATATTTGTCCGCAGACAGTTTTTCTGGGTCATGTGGCCAGCATGACTAAGCCGCTTCTGGTGAACCAGAGCAGCACACGCAAAAGCCATTTACCTTCCGGCCGGAGCGGTACCTATTTATCTACTTGCACTGGCATGCTTTAGAACTGCTAGGTTGGCAGGAGCTGGGACCGAACAACGGGAGCTCACCCCGTCGCGGGGATTCGAACCACTGACCTTCCGATCGGCAAGCCCAAGACTCAGTGGTTTATACCACAGCGCCACCCGTGTCCCAACCATAGCTGTCAACTTTCCCCTTTGCTTGCAAGGAATCCTGTTCGGAATAAGGGAATTCCCCTTTTAAAAAAGGGAAACGTTGACAGCTAAGGTCCCAACCAATAACACTTACAGGGCAGCTAACGTTGCATTAAGTCCTGCAGAATAACATTCCGCGCACCAAGAAGCTTCAACATAGTCATAGAATGAGGTGGGGGGGGGAAGTTGAGCATTATGAGTGGCGCACCTTGTGGTAATCGACCAGGTCAGCCAACGATGAATGCTGCTGCTGATCCACACCTAGGAAGCTGTACGAATCCCCGGAAGCATCTATCAGGAAGTGCTTGCAGCCTTTGGCCGACAAATACGAGAGGACGTAGCCTTTGATCTTTTCACTGACCCGGATCAGGAAGCTCCCAGGTGCCAAACCGCTTAGAAGTTCTTCTGCTTTCTTGGTGGTTAAAATGCCTGTCCCAAAAATGAAAGGCGAGAGCTAAACAAGAGAAAACTATTTGCTGGCTTGCTGCACATTGGAAAGATGCTGTCAAATCTTCTCTAATATAGTGGACCAGCTCCCAGCCTCTTTAGTGACCTGGCGGGCTCAAGATCCCATTAGTCATCAGACCACTTTTCCCAGCTTAACTCTGCACCTAGGTAAAGGTAAAGGGACCCCTGACCATTAGGTCCAGTCGTGACCGACTCTGGGGTTGCGGCGCTCATCTCGCTTTATTGGCCAAGGGAGCCGGTGTACAGCTTCCGGGTCATGTGATTAAGCCACTTCTGGTGAACCAGAGCAGCACACAGAAACGCCGTTTACCTTCCCGCTGGAGCGGTACCTATTTATCTACTTGCACTTTGACGTGCTTTCGAACTTCTAGGTTGGCAGGAGCAGGGACTGAGCAATGGGAGCTCACCCCATCGCGGGGATTCGAACCGCCAACCTTCTGATCGGCAAGTCCTAGGCTCTGTGGTTTAACCCACAGCGCCACCCACGTCCCTAACTCTGCACCTACTTACTGTTGAAAAACCTCTTTCGTGGCCTCCCTAAACACTGCTGGATTAAGTGAAAGCCATGTGTGTCAATACACCTGCTGGACAGAAAAACAAAATGGGGTGCATAGGGCTTGTGCCTTGCTGCTTCCTTTGCTGTTTCCAAAACAAAAGAGAGAACACCTTGTTCCCATCTCCCACTACGATAAACCTGGACGAACCCTTGGCTCATAATTTCGACCACTTCCAAGATCCCTGCTGAGTCTGGTTGGTCATCTCTGGAACCCAAACATGAAAGCAAGGAATATTTAATGAAATCCCCTTTTTTTTTGTTAGTTCACCATGTGTTACACGGCTACACTGTTAATGAGATTTGTTCCCATCCCAACATTCTTACGCAGAAAACGAGCACCCTAACTTCCTGATGAACCAATGAATAAATGGGAATGATTCCCACGAGAGGCGTGTCAGCTGAGTGAATGGTTCACAGAGGCTATCTGGGTTTGTTCATTAATGCAGTGTCCAACACACTTAATTTATGGTGCAATATAAGCGAAAAAGATGTGCCTACCCCAAGGAGCTCACAGCCTACATTTGGGCCACAGGGTTAAGGAAGGCTGAGCATATGATAGTATCAAGAAACCTACAAATGCCCCGTCTTGCAGTGTGTCAGGAGTCCAGGTTCCCAGCTTGATAACACAGTAAGCGTAGGTAATTAAAAAGGAGGATTTATTGCAAAAACAAACAGATAGCTCCGGACAGCTCTGACAAAGCCTCTGGCATCATTACTCAAGATGACCCTTCTGAAGACTCATTCCAGCTGCGACAGAAGACATTGAACTTATGACTCTTACGTCTCTTGTTTTGTTTCCAATCTAGCAGCCCTCCCATTTGCTGACTCCTCGGACTTAGGGGCTCAGCCCCACCCCCTTCTTGTTCTGAGAGGCTGTCTCTGGATCTATTCGCTCCTGCTTGTGCTTCCTGTGAGCTTTGACTGTGTTCTAGCCTGCTCTCCGCTACTGTCTTATCAGTCTGCTCAAGGTCAGGCAGAGCTGAAGGCTGCAGCTGTCAGCTCTCCCCTGCCTGACTAACATCTGAGCCTCTCTGTTCCTGGCTGCTTACTGCAGTCGGCTGTAAATTTTGCTCGGAGCTGGCTCATTCCTGACACAGTGGTCCTTAGCTTGGGCTCCCTTGCCCTATGAAAGGCAGGAAGACCAAGTACTCACCATGGAACCAAGGTGCTACCTGGCCCGTGGATTTCTCAAAACCAGCTCGGAGCTGCTGCTGCTCTTCCTTGAACCACCGAATGATGGCCTCCTGAGTAGAAGTGGAGATGGTCCTTTGTACTGCCTGCTTCCTGTTGTCGCAATAAGAAGAGAGAAAGAAGTGGGGAGCAGATTACGATCTTTGCACTGGATTTAAGTTCAGTCCCATTGCAAAGATAAGCTCCTTTACAAAAATGCAAATCACGATTTAGAATAAAGTGTGCCCGTTATAGATGTTTCGGAGGATACTTGGGCCAGATGCCCTTCTAGGAGTCTTGTCACAAGGGCTGAACCAAACTCTCTTCTGACTTCTCACCACCAGCAATGACCCCTTGCTTCCTTTCTTTAATTTGGGACCTATCTATTTGTCCAGCCAAGCAATAAGAAGATGAGGCAAGCAAAGGGAGTTGACCCTTCTCCTTGCTCCCTTCCATGAGGCCTAGGAGGGTCAGGGCAGCATTTCCAAGGAGCCGCAGGAGTTGGCAGCAGGCATGGGGCCACCACTAGTAAGGCCAAAGATTAGTAAGTGCTCATTCTGGCTGGGATTGACAGGAGCTGTACCCCAAAACATTTGGAGGGCAGCAGGTTAGTAAAGACTGTTCAACACATCCCCCAATTTACTTCAGGTAAGAAACATTCTCATTCCCTTTTAAGGTTTTTTATTGGCTTTGATTTTCCTTATATATATATTGGATTCAGTTAGGTCTCATGGGCATTTGATTGTGTGTCATTGACACGTAAACACTGTGTGCTTTAGACGTGCTCCAGGAAAAACCCAGCCTGACTATTCATCACCAGCCCTCTGCCAACATAGCTGTTTCTTCCTTCATATGACCTACTGTGGCTTTTTGTATAACTCTAGGAAGCGTGCCAGATCGCGTCAAAATAACTCCCATTGGCCTTTTTTGCACAGAAACACTCCTGCTGGATGGCTAGAGGCGTCAGTCACCTCAGTTAGTCACATTCAGGTGTGTTCAAGCCCGATATAGCTGAACTATGTCTCAGGACGCTGGTGGTGCTGTGGGTTAAACCACAGAGCCTAGGACTTGCTGATCAGAAGGTCGGCGGTTTGAATCCCCGCAACGGGGTGAGCTCCAGTTGCTCGGTCCCTGTTCCTGCCAACCTAGCAGTTCGAAAGCACATCAAAGTGCAAGTAGATAAATAGGTACCACTCCGGCAGGAAGGTAAACAGCATTTCCGTGCGCTGTTCTGGTTCGCCAGAAGCGGCTTAGTCATGCTGGCCACATGACCCGGAAGCTGTACGCCAGCTCCCTCGGCCAATAAAGCGAGATGAGTGCCGCAACCCCAGAGTCGGCCATGACTGGACCTAATGGTCAGGGGTCCCTTTACCTTTCATGTACCAGAATTGCATTTTAAAGCCAATTGCACAATTTCAACAGCTTCAGTATCCATATAGATATATGCAGAGTGTGGTCAGGAGGAAAGGACTCAACAGGAGGAAGAACAATTCAGGTTTCCTTTCTGAGTTCTCCCTTGGCCTTCCCCTCCTCACCTCCTCACCCTACCGACTTAGTCAAAGCCTTCCGGGTTACTAACCTGTCTGGTTTGCCGTTGGTCATTCCGGCACTGAGATGCTTAGGTTTTGGTGGCAGAGGAGGAGGAGGAAGCGGCCGTTTCTGCTCCCCCGTCTTAAAAACCGTGGAGACCCCCGCCACTTTTCCTTTGCGGGTGCCTTGCAACGACAGCCTCTTGTAGTCATCCCGGGCCTGTCTGGCGAGGGAGCGCCGCCTTTCATCGGCTGCTTTTGCCCGCTCCACTGAAACAGGAAAAAGAAGGTTGTTATCTGCTCTTCGTTGGAGGTCCAGACAGGGGCAGAGGAAGGTGGGTGCGGACCGTCCCGGGTGTCACCACTAAGGGGGGTGACAAAATGCCGGGTGGCACTCACCGCAGGGTCTGCAAAACGCCTGAGCCACGTGTCTCCCCTGGGAGAGACATGGTGTATTGGGTGCACGCAGGCTCCACACTGCCCAAATGGTCCGCCCGCTGCCTCCCCCCCAGCTGTAGGGCGGCTGAGTGGGAGGAGGCAGGCAGACTCCGGAGGCCCCGCAGTGCGCCCTGGCCCTATGGGCAGCTCGCCCCGCCCCAGGCGCTCAAGCCGCTTCCTCCGCTGCTGGGTCCAGAGCATAGCTGTCAACCTTCCCTTTTTTTGGCGGGAAATTCCCTTATTTCAGTGCCGTTTCCTGCTGCTTCCTGCTTGTTGTTGTTGTTTAGTCGTTTAGTCGTGTCCGACTCTTCGTGACCCCATGGACCAGAGTATGCCAGGCACTCCTGTCTTCTACTGCCTCCCGCAGTTTGGTCAAACTCATGCTGGTAGCTTCGAGAACACTGTCCAACCATCTCGTCCTCTGTCGTCCCCTTCTCCTTGTGCCCTCAATCTTTCCCAACATCAGGGTCTTTTCCAGGGAGTCTTCTCTTCTCATGAGGTGGCCAAAGTATTGGAGCCTCAACTTCATGGTCTGTCCCTTCCAGTGAGCACTCAGGGCTGATTTCCTTCAGAATGGAGAGGTTTGATCTTCTTGCAGTCCATGGGACTCTCAAGAGTCTCCTCCAGCACCATAATTCAAAAGCGCCAATTCTTCAGCGATCAGCCTTCTTTATGGTCCAGCTCTCACTTCCATACATCACTACTGGGAAATCCATAGCTTTTACTATATGGACCTTTGTTGGCAAGGTGATGCCTCTGCTTCCCGCTACTATCCCAGATTGTTAGATATCCCGTAGACTGTCCCCGGGACAGGTGAGGCTGCTGATCCCTTATTTTCAAATCTGAAAGTTGACAGCTATGGTCCAGAGGCATTTCTGGTACTTCTGAAATCTCAATGTGCACAAAGGGGGGAAGAAAGCCAGGCAGAGCAAAATAACAGGTGGAACATGATTTGGCAACGAGAATGGGGATTTGTACTGAACCCAGTCAATGCTGTACAGTGGTACCTCGGGTTAAGAACTTAATTTGTTCTGGTTCTTTACCTGAAACTGTTCTTAAGCTGAGGTACCACTTTAGCTAATGGGACCTCCCGCTGCTGCTGCTGCCACCGCACGATTTCTGTTCTCAACCTGAAGCAAAGTTCTTAACTCGAGGTACTATTTCTGGGTTAGCGGAGTCTGTAACCTGAAGCGTCTGTAACCTGAGGTACCACTGTATTGCTGCTTTGGTGCTGACTGCTGTGGTTTCGTGGTAGTTCCCCAGAGGTCTTTCCCAGCTCTGCTATCTGCTATCCTTTTGGTTGGAGATGCCAAGGAATGAATTAAACCCATGGAGGCTTATTTTAGTCAGAATCAAGTATACACACACCAAGTTAATGCTGAATACATTACTTCTGGTAAATGAACCACCATATAAGGCTGTTAGAAGGCCGTGAAAATTTGCGTCCGAGGTTTTCTAGACTTGTTTACCCATGTACTATCTGAAACCAAAGGGGCATATTGGTTGCCAGATGTGAAATATATTCAACCAACCAACCAACCAACCAACCAACCAACCAACCAACCAAATGTCTTTATTGGCATCACAGTATAAAACATTTCAAGTAACTGGGATAATTAAAAAGACAAGTGTGAAGCTATCAAGGGTTATAAGGTCACACAATGGTTGTGTGCATTTGGATATCCAGGCATAGACAAACTCAGCCCTCCAGATTTTTTGGGACTACAACTCCCATCATCCCTAGCTAACAGGAACATTGGTCAGAGATGATGGGAATTGTAGTCTCAAAACATCTGGAGGGCCGAGTTTGCCTATGCCTGTGCTATTTCCCGAAAGGATAGTTCGTTGGGAAGCCTTTTGGGTAAGATTGTGGCTAAAAAGGAAGCTACTAAAGCAGTAATATCTTTGTCCCAATCTTTGGCTTCTTCTCAGAGTTGTGGGGCGGAGTTCCAACATTTTGCTCAGCATCAGTTGGCAAGATCTACTGTGTAAAGGGCAATCTAAGATAGTGTACTTCTCGACTGCAGGCACACAAACGGGCTTGAAATGGAATGTGTGAGAATCTGCTTTTGGATTAAATATATTGTTTTCTGCTCTCCCATCCCACTACAAGGCTATTTAAGCGTGCACATCAAACTCTTCAGTCTCAGCAAAACCAGTGGGTCCCTGGTGGTGAAGGAGGGTGCAGGTCTTGAGCTTAGATTTTTTGGTACCATTTATAAGGAGCCATGTTACGGATTGGTTACAATACCACCAGTTACATGAAATGTTTAAATTAAGCTAGAAATAATGGTTTTTCGGACCAAAGCTCACAACTGGAAAAAGAACTTCTACAAAACAAAGAGAAACTTTTGTCTAAAATGTATAGTTATTAGAATGGGAAACAAAAGATGAGCTTGTTAAAGCCTCAGTGACATACTGGGCACTAGATATAGGACAAAATATAGATTTTGACCTCTGGGAAAAATTCCAGAAAAGCGACTTGAAATCTACAGCATGTTATTCTTTGAAGGAGAACTACCTGAAAAGTAGTAGACTTGCTAAGATGTACAGGACAGAATCAGATAAGTGCTGGAGATTAAAAGAGGTGGAGGCAATGTTCTTTCAAATGTGGTGGACATGTAAAAGAGTAATAGGGAAAGATCTACAGTGGTGCCTCGCAAGACGAAATTAATTCGTTCCGCGAGTTTTGTTGTCTTGCGATTTTTTTCGTCTTGCGAAGCACGGTGTCGGGAAAGTTTTGGAAAAGCTTCAAAAATCACCAGTCTTTAAAAACCTCAAAAAAGGCTACCACACCGTGTTCTATGAGTTGCTCCTCGAAGTCAAGTCGCAACTGTATTAATGCTGTTAAGAAAAAGGAAACAAACTTGCAAGACGTTTCCGTCTTGCGAAGCAAGCCCATAGGGAAAATCGTCTTGCGAAGCAGCTCAAAAAACGAAAAACCCTTTCGTCTAGCGAGTTTTTCGTCTTGTGAGGCATTCGTCTTGCGGGGCACCACTGTATAATGAATTGGGGGGGGGATGTTTAAAAGTACTTTCCTAAAAAATCCTTTCTGTTGGGGATAATTCAGACTGAAATTCCCAGGTGTCAGAAAAGGTTACCGTATCTGGCAAATAGAAGGGGAAGAAATGGAGGCAGTGAGAGATTTTACTTTCTTGGGCTCCATGATCACTGCAGATGGTGACAGCAGTCACCAAATTAAAAGACGCCTGCTTCTTGGGAGAAGAGCAATGACAAACCTAGACAGCATCTTAAAAAGCAGAGACATCACCTTGCCAACAAAGGTCCATATAGTTAAAGCTATGGTTTTCCCAGTAGTGATGTATGAAAGTGAGAGCTGGACCATAAAGAAGGCTGATCGCCGAAGAACTGATGCTTTTGAATTATGGTGCTGGAGGAGACTCTTGAGAGTCCCATGGACTGCAAGAAGATCAAACCTCTCCATTCTGAAGGAAATCAGCCCTGATTGCTCACTGGAAGGGACAGATCCTGAAGCTGAGGCTCCAATACTTTGGCCACCTCATGAGAAGAGAAGACTCCCTGGAAAAGACCCTGATGTTGGGAAAGATGGAGGGCACAAGGAGAAGGGGACGACAGAGAACGAGATGGTTGGATAGTGTTCTCAAAGCTACCAGCATGAGTTTGACCAAACTGCGGGAGGCAGTGGAAGACAGGAGTGCCTGGCGTGCTCTGGTCCATGGGGTCACGAAGAGTCAGACATGACTAAACGACTAAACAACAACAACAACACAACTGCGGCCCACATTTTGTTAGCCCCAAAATGGAAAACAAGCGAGGTCCCAGCGAAAGAAGAATGGCAGCTTAAGCTGACAGAATATGCACAATTTGCAGATTTAACATATAGAATAAGAGAGCAAGAAGAACACACATTTAAAGATGACTGGGAAATGTTTATTGAATATATGGGAAATAATTGTGTACAGGTGAAAACGCTGGCAGCGTTAAGATAAATTCAACAGTGTAAATAAGTTTTGATGGATGCAGTAATGGAATACTGATTGGTATAGTTTTTGTAAAATATGCGGGGATTTATGATATGTAAAATGAACCATGGAAAGAGAAGGAGGGGAGTCATTGATATCTTAAGGGTGTAAAACGAGTACTTTAAATTGTAAAACAGAAAATTTACTACGAGAGAGAGAGAAAGAGAGATTTGGCATCATTTTGAGGAGCAGGTTGGAGCGCAACTCAACAGTCAGTTTGTTGCTGTGTTTGAGCCCACTGAGGTGTGCTTCTGAGTCTCCTTCAGCTTCAGAAAGGAAAGTTGGCTTCGCCTCTGTTTGCACAGCTGTTTGCTCACGGCTTTTTAATATGGGCGTTTCTTGGTGCCAAGACTCTGAGCCTCAGATTCACACACAAGGGAGAATGTACACTAAACAACACGAAGTTGTACAGCCTTTGGGGTCCCCCTTTTCTTGGGGAAGTGGGAGGCTTACATATGCACACATACATTCTGGGGCATAATCAGGCTGTTTGCACATCAAACATTTACAGCACATTTAGGAAATACTTTCTCCCCTTCGTGTCCCCTCCTCACACCAGGGCTGCCTGTGCCAAGAGAAGGAAGCCTTTGCGCAAACCTGCAGGAAAGAGAGGCGGCAGCAGCACAGGCAAAAAAATGTGCCAATCTGCAACTGGATCGAATCACTGGAGATATTATAAGGCAAAGGTAAAGGGACCCCTGACCATTAGGTCCCCAAGCAGAGCTACTAACACCCCATATATATACATATCCAGCATATACAGTGGTACCTTGGGTTACAGACGCTTCAGGTTACAGACGCTGCTAACCCAGAAATAGTTCCTCAGGTTAAGAACTTTGCTTCAGGATGAGAACAGAAATTGTGCGGCGGCAGCAGGGGGCCCCATTAGCTAAAGTGGTGCTTCAGGTTAAGAACAGTTTCAGGTTAGGAACGGACCTCCAGAACTAATAACCATATTTTTCACTCTATAAGATGCATCAGACCAAAAGACGCACCTAGTTTTTGGAAGAGGAAAACAAGAGAAAAAAAATCTGAATCCCAGAAGCCAGGACAGCAAGCGGGATCGCTGCTCAGCAATCCCACTTGCTGTCCTGGCTTATGGGATAGCTGCGTGCAGCCTCTCCCGGGCAAGGGGAGCCTTCATCCCCTGTCCGGGAGAGGCTGCGCGCGACTTTCCCATAAGCCAGGACATAAGCCTTTCTCCCTCCTTGGGAAAAAGCCCCCAAGAGCCCCCTCTTTAAAGGGAGCACTGAGCAGAGCCTCCCGCCTGCATCCGCTCCATAAGACGCACACACATTTCCCCCTACTTTTTAGGAGGGGGAAAGTGCGTCTTATAGAGCGAAAAATACAGTAAGTTCGTAACCCGAGGTACCACTGTATAACAATGAAGAAAAGAGAAGAAAGGGAAATAAACTATGTCCAGGGATGAATTCCAGTCTACACTCACTTCCTCCGACAATTCAGTGAAATTATTACACGCCCAGAGAGAAAACATCACAGAATTTGAATGCCCAGTCCAGCACAAAACAGAGTTTCCCTCTTGATCACCAACTCGTATCTCTAACTGCTCCTGCCAATGCAGAGCTCTGCACATCCATCGCTCTCTCTCCCCCAGAGCCTATGAAATGATGGCAGTAGGTGTCAAGACCAATCCATGTTTCCTAGTTTATTGAATAAGGCTCAACTATTCAGAGAAGGAATCTAGCACACAACCCTCCACCAGGCCACCTTTTAGTTATGCATTAATTTTTCCAGCTATAGCGATTCTCCAGAGCCTGCTGTAACCAGCTCTCCCCTGTTAATCGACTCGAATCTCTCCAGTATCGAGCCAATTCCAGTCTGGCAGCAATAAGCTGAAACGCTATTCAAACAGGATTTTAATGTGATTAAATTGCTAGGTCCTCGTGCCAGTCAATAAAGCTGCGGCCTTTTTCACGTTCCGATATCCTAAATCTAGTCTCTTCATTCCTCGTCTGTCTGCATTGCTGCCTGCAATGATGGGGCTCACCTCTCAGCGCCGCCTCCTGGGCAATGCAGAAGAAGTTGACAAAATTGTTCAAGGAGGAAGGAAAAGCCAGAGAAAGACCTTTGCCTGCCTGGAAGAGTCAAAGGTGTTTTGAAAAAACAGGATGGTGCAAGCACTGACTTTTAACTCTGGTTTGGCAGGTTTTTGTAGTTGTTTCAAGACCTCTGTTTAACCAGAGGTAACATTGGGACAAAAGAATTTGCAACGGCTGTTGTTGTTGCAGGTCTGTTACTCTGTGTTTTTTAAAATATTTCGAATATTGTGCTTTTATTTCCGACTGGTAAGCACGAAGGTGCAACAGATGCAGGTTCTCTGAGACCTTCAAGTCCCTCTCCCCGTCTCCAGTCAGACCAAGGTAACCTCGCAATGGAATTTCCCCAGGATTCAGGAAACGCATACAGGAAAAAACAACAGCGTGTGGCAGCAGTGTGTGTGGTGGAAGAGGTGGAGCCAGAGAGAACAGCTGCAACGGAAAGCAAGCCGCTGAACTAAAGCAGGGCAAGCCTGAGGCTGACAAACACCAGCAGCTTCTCGGCAGATTAAATTCAGGATAGGCTTCTGTTCCTTTTGTAATATATAGGTTGGTGACAGGAGTGGAATATTTTAGTGCAGTCATCCCTCGGGTTACTTCCGGGTTTCAACGCTTGTGCATGCCCAGAAGTGCTAAATCGCGCTTTGTACATGCACGGAAGCGCCAAATTGCGGCCTGCACGTGCACAGACGCGGCAATGCGGGTTGTGAACTCTGCGGGTTGCGAATTTGCCTTCTGCACAGATCACGTTCGCAACCCTAACGTCCACTGTACAGTGGAACCTTGGGTTACATACGCTTCAGGTTACATACGCTTCAGGTTACAGACTCCGCTAACCCAGAAATAGTGCTTCAGGTTAAGAACTTTGCTTCAGGATGCGAACAGAAATCATGCTCTGGCGGTGCGGCAGCAGCAGGAGGCCCCATTAGCTAAAGTGGTGCTTCAGGTAAAGAACAGTTTCAGGTTAAGAACGGACCTCCTGAACGAATTAAGTACTTAACCCGAGGTACCACTGTACAAGTTATTCAGCAAAGGAGCTGGCTTGCTCATATTTTTATGTCTCCGTTTCTGATCTCTGCGCTGCTAGTTTGCAAATAAGCAAAAAGAACAAACAGGAGCCTTAGGCTGTGTACACATTACCTGCTTAAAGCTCCTGGAAAGAGGGGCTGGCTGTTCAGCCACACTGAGAATTGTAAAAGTAAAGGGACCCCTGACCATGAGGTCCGGTCGTGGACGACTCTGGGGTTGCGGCGCTCATCTCACTTTATTGGCCGAGGGAGCCGGCGTACAGCTTCCGGGTCATGTGGCCAGCGTGACTAAGCCGCTTCTGGCGAACCAAAGCAGCGCACGGAAAGGCCGTTTACCTTCCCGCCAAAGTGGTACCTATTTATCTACTTGCACTTTGACGTGCTTTCGAACTGCTGGGTAGCTCTTAGCAAATGACAGATCCTAGGATTCTTTAGGGAAAGCCAGGCGTGTGCAAAGTGGAATGATACTGCTTTGAATGGATCATGCAAGTGGGTCCTAAGTTTAATCTCATAGGCATCATCACATAAGAGATCTAATAGGGGCTTACGAGTTTCCAACCAAACAGGATCTTCCTTGTCCAACTTCTCCATTGACTCGTAGGTGCGATTTAGGGTCACTTCTTGTGTTATGCTCTCATTCACGATTGTATTCATTTCCTCTTCTTTCCTCTGTCACACACACACACAAAGTATTTTGTTTAGTGTGAACCTATCTACTTCCTGCATGGCAATCATATTTACAGGTAATGGGCAGTTCAGCAATCCCTCTGATAAGGGTCATAAACTTCTTCTAATAAGGTGATTGGCAGATGAGTCGACAAAAGCTTTAGTCACCGATCAAAATTTGTCGCCTGACTAATCTTTAGGGCCAAGGGACACAGTTGAGCAACCATGTAAACGAGCCTTTGCCCAACTCTATGATTCAGAAATGCAACAGGATGCTGGAATATCTTTCCCCTTGAGCTGCACTTTTAATGGCAGGCGTCTGGCAAATAAAACAGGGCCTGTCAACATGGCCCCTCCAACATGCTTTGGTTGCGAACGACCAGCATCCCTGCCCCACTGACCATGCAAGCAGGGACTGTTGGAGTTCCTCTAATAACCTCTGGCCAACAACATGTTGGCTATCCCTGAAATAAGGGATAATTTTCAGTTTTAGACGGACAGGTTTATCCAGGCATGCTTGGCGGGAACATGGGATAGGGCCTTCTTGGTGGCTGCTCCCAAACTTTGGAATCTCCCGAGAGAAGCTAGACTGGCTCCCTCCTTGCTGTCCTTCCTTCCTCTGGAAGCTGAAGACTTTCCTGTTCCAATAGACTCTTGGGAACTGAATGCTTTTAATGATGGGGCTGGTGATGTGCTCTTTTGGTTGTGTTTGTCTGTCTGTTACAAACACACACGAGTTTTAATTCTATCCATGTTTAATTCTTTTTTTAGGATTGTGTTTTTTCTCTTAATCTTTTTAGCTGTTCTTATTTTTGTCTGTCACCTGCCTCGAGTCCCTGTCGGGGAAGATAAATATATAATATCTATTCATCAGCTGCACTGCAGGGGATTGGAAGCCCTTCCAACTCTGCAATTCTAGGATTCTAGGATTCTATTCTGCAAACAAATGAAACCACTGCATATACAAAGGATTTGGTGACAGATGACATTATAAGATTTCTTAAAAACTATTCATGAAGTGGCAGGTTTGCTCTCAGGGTGCACATATAAACATGCACACGCGCGCACACACTGTCTGGTCAAAACAGATTTTGTAGGTTATTGGGCATACTACAAAACTACTTTAATAAACTGGATAATGGAATGAACACACCAGGGGGAATTATGCCTTTCATACGCCACTTTTAACGGTGATTTTGCAAAAGGTATAGCTTGGCACCAACTGCTGAGGATGTTGGGAAGTGCCTGTCCCCATTCCATGTCTATTAGTTGCTACGGTCTACTGCAGAGGTCAGCAAACTTTTTCAGAAGGGGCCCGGTCCACTGTCCCTCAGACGTTGTGCGGGGCTGGACTATATTTTTTGGGGGGGGAATGAATGAATTCCTATGCCGCTGAGACCACATAACACCGGTCTTGAAAGACCTACATTGGCTCCCAGTACATTTCCGAGCACAATTCAGTGTTGGTGGTGACCTTTAAAGCCCTAAACGGCCTCGGTCCAGTATACCTGAAGGAGCGTCTCCACCCCCATCGTTCTGCCCGGACACTGAGATCCAGCGAAGAGGGCCTTCTGGCGCTTCCCTCAATGCGAGAAGCAAAGCTACAGGGAACTAGGCAGAGGGCCTTCTTGGTAGTGGCGCCCGCCCTGTGGAATGCCCTCCCATCAGATGTCAGAGATAAACAACTACCTGATAATTTAGAAGACATCTGGAGGCAGCCCTGTTCAGGGAAGTTTTTAATGTGTGACATTTTAATGTATTTTTAATCTTTGTTGGAAGCTGCCCAGAGTGGCTGGGGAAACCCAGCCAGATGGGCGGGGTACAAATAATAGATTATTATTATTATTATTATTATTATTACTACTACTACTACTATGACCCACAAATAACCCATTTTACTCATGTAAAAACACGCTGATTCCCGGACCGTACGTGGGCCAGATTTAGAAGGCGAATGGGCCGGATCCGGCCCCCGGGCCTTTGTTTGCCTACCCATGGTCTACTAAGTGTGAGAAGCTAGTCTGTTCCAGGGTTTCTGCTTCTTCTTTAAACGAAAGTGGAAATCTCTGAGAAGTGGCCACGCCCCAAAGTCCTGCAATGGCTGAGCACTGAGCATTGACACGATTTACCTACATCGTGTAGCAGGCTAGTTGTCTGGTTTGCTAAATGTGCCGCATCCCAGTTTAAGGGCCTTGGGGTGGGGGGTATTTAAGATCACACTTGTCTCATGATTTGATTTGCATTCAGAAGCATGGCTTGTATCTCTAGGCGATGCCTGCATTGCAGGGGGTTGGACTAGATGACCCTCAGGGTCCCTTCCAACTCTACAATTCTATGATTCTGAGACCAGGAGACGACGGTGAATACAGGCAAAATGCAGTTGCTTCCATAAACCCACACTGTTTCCTTACCTGCCGCAAGCCGTACTTCCTTGAATGATTGATAGAGTCTGCCAGCATCTGTTCTATACCTCTTGGCTTACTGGTGGGAGCCTAAAATCCAGCCAAACAGAAAAACAGGATTGTAAGCTTTTCACACCCTGACTCCAAACCTCGAATCTAATTGTGTTCCAAAACATACAGGATGAAGAATCACCCACAGTCAAGATCAGAATTCTTGAATTTTCAGGCCCACAGAGGAGATACATATTTTGCTTCACAGCGGTGTAACAGAATGGAGAGAGTGTAAAAAGAGGGAGATCTGGGTTCAAATCCTCACTCGCTTGTGAAGCTCACAGGGAGATTTTCAGACAGTCGCTATTGCTCAGTCTAGCATACTTCACCCAAGTTACAGTGGAACCTCGGGTTGCAGACATGATCCACGCGGGAGGCACGTTCACAACCCGCAACGTTCGCAACCTGCAGCGCCACGTCTGCATACATGCAGGTCGCAATTTGGCACTTCTGCGCATGCGCAAAGCACGATTCAGTGTGTCTGCGCATGCGCGAGCACCAAAACCCGGAAGTAACCTGTTCCGGTACTTCCAGGTTCGGCATGGTGCGCAACCCGAAAATGCATAACCTGAAGCGTCTGTAACCCGAGGTACCACTGTATTATGAATTAATGTGCCAAAATGGCTTTCAAGCAGTTTACAAGTATAAAATCAATCTTAAAAGCCACACATAATGAAAATATACCAAAAGAACCCACCCCAGTTAAAAGGTATAACCATTAAAACGGTTCAACTAGGACAAGGAAGTTCAAATTCAGGGGAATTCTTCCCTAAACAAGAGCAGGCAGAATGCCAAGACTGATGGGGCGTCTCACATTTCTGTAGACTAGGGGTGATCAAAGGCTTGATTACCCATTTCCTTCCAAGGAAAGGGGAAGTGACATAGGTAAGCCTGGCAGGACAGCTTACTCTATGGCATTAACCCCTTCATGCATTCCTTGGACTTAAGCACGTTGGTGATACGAGACTGGTTACCCTACAAAATCACCCTTCCACAAAGATGGCAAAGTACAGAACTTTGTCATAGAAAAATGCTCTCCTGCATCTAGGAATATTTAATGTTGCTAAAAACATAGCAGCTCCATAGTCACTGCTAAGTTGTAGACCAAAGTACTAATGTGGTGAGCGAGTCCCATTTCCCACAGCTACCGTATTTTTCGCTCTATAACACGCACCTGACCATAACACGCACATAGTTTTTAGAGGAGGAAAACAAGGAAAAAAATATTCTACACGAAACAGTGGATGTATGATTTTTGTGGTTCATGCTGTGGCACCAGACATGTGATCTGACGGTGAGTTTCGGGTAGCCCAATGCAAAAATCCTGAGGATCCATGTGGATCCGTGCTTTGTAACCACGTTTTAAGTGGGGAGGGAGGGAAAAGCACTCAAGGGGCAAGGAACCCGCATGGGGTGGGTGGAGAAGGATGCTATTAATAATGCAGAAGAGGGGTATAAGAGGAGAAGGCTCCTCTCCTCTCCCACTTTGCTCCTTTAAAGCAAGCAGGCTCTCTGTCCCTCTCTCCTCCCCACTCAGCAGCTCTTCTCCTGCTTTGCTGTTTCAAAGTGAGCCATGGAGGAGGGAAGGAAGGGGAACCATGGATCCTCTGCTCACGACTGCAGCAGATCCCGCCGCCATCCGTAGGCATTCGCTGCATAACACGCACAGACATTTCCCCTTACTTTCTAGGAGGAAAAAAGTGAGTGTTATAGTGCAAAAAATACGGTAATTGTGCAAGTGAAGATTTAGAAGTGTGTTTAAGGAAGCCAACTGCTTTTTTTAACCTAAGGTGCAGAAGAAGGGCCAGTGACTAGTTACCAAATTTGACCTCCAAATTCTGATTTAAGCACCTCTGTCAAGGCAGTAAGGAGAGCTCCCACCCTCCTGCCTGGTGACCAACCTACTTAACAAACATTCCTTCCCATTACATATTAACACAGAGACAGACTCGTTCAGCTCTCAAAACTTTTAAGAGAAAACTCGGCAGGGAGTAAATTGCTTGCTCTCAAGCAAGAAATATTACAGTGAATCCAACTTCATTCAAAGTTGCGTTCGTACTGGGAGTCCTTGGGAATAGGAATTTTGAAGTCTTCGATATATGGTAACGTTCATGAGCGTACCAACCAAGCACGTACATAGATCAGCACAGGAAGGCCAACCTGGAACCATTTTGATTCCTATACTGAGCAAATGTTTTCTCTGCAAGGTCAAAGTGGGAAACCTCCCCATTGCCTCTTTCCTCACAAATCCTGTCTTAAGGGCACATTTAAGATATGAATAGGATGTGAGCCTGTGACCTGGCCCAGGAACTAAGTATTTATCATTACAAAAGACTGGCCAGGATCCCCAGGAAATCCAATGAAGTAACCTGCTAGACAGGAGATAAACGACGACAGTAGAAAAAACAACATTTAAATTTCTGTTTAGACCGCCTTTTTTGTGATGTAGGTATGATGTATCTGAGGGGTGGTCTTAGGTTACACCCCTTCTGTGATGTAGGTATGATGTTTCTGGGGGTGGTCTTGATCTACAGGGTGGCAATTTCAAAAGTCTTTATAAGGCCTTGCGCACCATTTTTCTGGGTTCCTCCTCTCTCCTGTGGGTGAGGGGAGCACCCTGTTGCAACAGATCAATAAAGATCAGGCTTACTAGCTGCTTTGCTTCTCAATATTCTCTGGTTGGCCTCTGTTATTTTCTCCTACCAATAGGGAACCTATGTAAGGACTCTATATGGGCTCTTGGCTACCCCATAAGGGAAAAGGGCAATTTTTATTTACAACACAGGTCAGGGATCACAAGCAAGAGACTTCAGCCAGGAGATTGAAGCAAGACAGCGTCCAGTAGGCCTGATCTTTATTGTTGCAACAAGACTTCCAACTACCACATGGAAGAAGCACGAGAGAAGCCCCGAACAAAAGATGCCCCCCTTTCTTACAATTTCCCCAATTTCCGCTCTCCCTTCCCCACAGGTGGGCGGGGTTTGCGGCACCAAACGGGGGCTCACCTGGGCAGGTGCTTCCCAGGCCTTTGACCTGCCCTTGGCCATGGAAACCAAAAGAGGCTTGGACAAAGGGGTCAGCCTCTTTTCATTGCCCTTTGCCCCACCCCCAGCCAGCCGGCCATTGTCCTCCCTGGCCGAGGGCGGGTCAAAGGCCGGCCCAAACAGGTGGGAGGCACCTGCCCAGGTGAGCCCCCACTCGGTGCCGCAAACCCCGCCCACCTGTGGGGAAGGGAGGGTGGAAATTGTCATAACTATGTTATAAACTGCGAAGGGGTCTTCTGACAGATAGCTGAGCACCAGCCAGGCTTGCCCTTTCCCAGGGAGAAGAGTCGGTGGAAGAAGATTGGAAGAAATTTAAAGACTACTTACAGAAATATTGTAAAATTAATGAATGTTAGAATGATGTCGGATTGAAGTTAAGTGGTTTCTAGCTGTAATGGTATAAAAGAATATGGAAAATTGGTTTTCAATACGTAAAAACTTGATGTTATAATATATTAAGATTAAAGATCAGGATGAAAAAGGAGGGAAAGGAATTGCTGGACTAACAAATTGAATTGGAATACAAAAAAGGGAGGTATGAGGAGGTCCGGGAAACAAGTAAATGTAAGAGAAGTGATGAAAAGATGGAATTGTTTTTAACTGTTTTTTCTTTTTTGTACTTTGTATTTTTCTTTTTTCTATTGTTATTTTTCTTATCAATGTAATCTTTTTCTTTTGAAATTTTAATAAATATCATTTAAAAAAATAAAAAAAGGCTTGCCCTTTCCCTCACATGACCTCCAGATTCCAATCTTTAGGTGAAACAAAGGAAAGTATTTACATTTTCCTGTTTCCCCAGCCAAGTTAAACACACCCTTTGTCTTGATTGAGACCCCAATCCACTGAGGTTGGGTTTGGATTGTTCTTGGAATGGCGACCTGTCTGGCACTCAGGTACCAGGCTGCCAGCGATTATCACCCACTCACTTCAGGGATTGCACTAAACACCAGCAACACTTCAGGGATTATGGATGTCCCTACCCATGTCCCGGGACGTGGGTGGCGATGTGGGTTAAACCATAGAGCCTAGGACTTGCCGATCAGAAGGTCGGCGGTTTGAATCCCCGCAACGGAGTGAGCTCCCGTTGCTCGGTCCCTGCTCCTGCCAACCTAGCAGTTCAAAAGCACCTCAAAGTGCAAATAGATAAATAGGTACTGCTCTGGTGGGAAGGTAAATGGTGTTTCCGTGCGCTGCTCTGGTTCGCCATGCTGGCCACATGACCCGGAAGCTGTACGCCGGCTCCCTCGGCCAGTAAAGCGAGATGAGCACCGCAACCCCAGAGTCGTCCACGACTGAACCTAATGGTCAGGGCTCCCTTTACCTTTTACCAATGTCCCAAGCTCCTCTCCTGCTAGCCATTTTCCTTCTGAGTAGAACAATGTAGGAATGGTGTACAGTGGTACCTTGGGTTAAGAACTTAATTTATTCCGGAGGTCCATTCTTAACCTGAAACTGTTCTTAACCTGAGGTACCACTTTAGCTAATGGGGCCTCCCACTGCTGCTGTTGCGCGATTTCTGTTCTCATCCTGAAGCAAAGTTCTTAACGCGAGGTGCTATTTCTGGGTTAGTGGAATCTGTAACCTGAAGCGTCTGTAACCCGAGGTACCACTGTAAATCCATCACTGGAGTGATTTTATATTCTAAAGTTTTCCCATTGAGCCAGTACAATTATCAGTGAATTGCTACATTTGGCAATGTACAGCAAAAGCTCTTTGTCTTTGCCTCGTAGTGTGGAGAGGCAAGGCTTGGGGGTGATTTTTTTAAAAAGACTTAAATGAGAGGGTTTGAAGCAGAATAGCTGAAACTGAGAAAGGGTTACCCCTCCCCTCTACCCCAGGGTTATAGCTCTGATCCAGTTTGATGCTCCCCATGGTAGGTTTAAAGTCTTCTAAAAATATGAGAAGATCTGAGCACATATATTTCCATTCATGTGTACTTTGGCCCCCTAAGCTTTGATTTCATGAAGGCACCATCCAATTCACAGTGTATCTCTCTCAATTTCAGCTGAACCTTCATCTTAACATTTGAGTAGTAACATAAGACCAGAAAATTACCTGGGCATATTCTTGATTTCTGGCATTTTCAGGAACTGGTTCTTTTTTCACCGCTTTGTACACATCCCAGTTTGCGAGGTTTTTGCTGCCTCCTTGCGATTCTGATCCAAACTGGGTGTCTGATGGATAATGCAGAGGTGACGAGGCAGAATGTTCTGCGAATCCTTCCGCTAGGTTTCTTCTGTAAATGGACCAAAAGAGGATTTTGGGAAATGAAACCAAAAAAATTGAATGAGCTTTAGATCAACAAATTGGGTGGGGCAGGGATGACAGGGAGATGATGCTATGTGTACCCACACTGAACGCACATTAGCATGCAGTGGGTACATGTGGACGAGGTGAAACACATGCACTCCCACCCTCAACACCCCCATCATGCGCATTCCTAACATTCAAACCCTAGAGGCATAGGGAGAAAGCAGTAACCTGAAGATGGACAGCTTACCAAGTCATGTTGGCAACATTTTTAAAAGGCTTCCTCCCTGCCTTCAAGAAATTGCCCTGAAGGCACAGTAGTGCACCAGGGTTTTAAACAGCTCCTGTAAGCCGTTTTATTTTATGAGTGTACTTTACAGTCGCGAACGACTCTGGAGTTGCGGTGCTCATCTTGCTTTACTGGCTGAGGAAGCCGACGTTTGTCCACAGATCGTTTTTCCGGGTCATGTGGCCAGCATGACTGAGCCACTTCTGGCGAAACCAGAGCAGCGCACGGAAAAGCCGTTTACCTTCCCGCCAGAGTGGTGCCTATTTATCTACTTGCACTTTGACGTGCTTTCGAACCGCTAGGTTGGCAGAAGCTGGGACCGAGCAACGGGAGCTCACCCCATCGCGGGGATTCGAACTGCTGACCTCCCGATCGTCAAGCCCAAGGCTCAGTGGTTTACACCAGAGCGCCACCCGCGTTCTTTTATGAGTGTAGGGCTCTCTAAAAAACCAGCCAGGAAGTCTTCAGAAAACAAATAAATAAAGGGTCAAGTACCAGAAAATCAGAACTGGCCTTAGTAAATGGGGGCCATTGGATGGGTGTGTTCGCCAACTTACAAAGTAGCAGCGCATCTCAGAAAAGGACCAGAGGCAGGTTATTGCCTTCCAGCCAGCATCAGTGGCAGGGAGGCTGTAGCTCAGGGGACAAGCATTCACTCTGCATGCAGAAGGTGCCTGTTTCATTATTATTTTTTATAAGATATTTATTAGGTTTTTTGAAATATTACAGTAAAAATGAAAAAGAAAAGAAAAAAATACAAAATAAAAACAATTAAAAACACACATATTTCCAGTTACTTATTTTCCTTTAGCTTGTTTCCCGGACCTCCTTGTACCTCCCTTTTTTGTATTCCACTTCAATTTATTGGTTCAGCAAATCCTTACCATTAGATTTTAACCCATTTATAACCCTTTTTTCATATTCTCTTAAAGCATTACAGCTAGAAACCACTTAGTTACTATCCAACATCATTCTATCATTCATTAATTTTACAATATTTCTGTAAGTAGTCTTTAAATTTCTTCCAATCTTCTTCCACCGACTCTTCTCCCTGGTCTCGGATTCTGCCAGTCATTTCCGCCAATTCCATATAGTCCATCACCTTCATCTGCCATTCTTCCAAAGTGGGTACCGTAGATCTTGTGTCTTCCAATACTTTGCAATGAGTATTCTTGCTGCTGTTGTAGCATACATAAAAAAAGTTCTGTCCTTCTTTGGCACCAATTGGCCGACAATGCCCAGAAGAAAGGCCTCTGGTTTCTTCAAGAAGGTATATTTAAATACCTTTTTCAGTTCATTATATATCATTTCCCAGAAAGCCTTAATCCTTGGGCACGTCCACCAAAGGTGAAAGAATATACCTTCAGTTTCTTTACATTTCCAGCATTTATTATCGGGCAAATGATAGATTTTTGCAAGCTTGACTTTTTTTCCAAACCCTGTTTCAAACCCTGGCATCTCCAGGTAGGGTTGGGAGTGATCCCTGCCTGAAACCCTAGTGAGCTGTTACCAGTCGATGCAGACAGCATTAAGCTGGTCTGATTTGCCAGGTTCCTATGTTCCTATGACATGCAGGATGGCCATTCTGGGTTTCGCTAGTGGAAATAAAGGTCTTGAAACTGACAGCCATACTCAGAACTACACCATTTCCATGTTATTTCTTTTGTTAAACTCCACACCAGTCTCCAGGTGGTGCAGAGGTACCAGGGGTACCAGACAAGCTTGCCAGGGTCTGTGTTCCTTTTGGGGACAATGAGGCACAGCGGAAACTGTGGTGTCTTTATGACATATGGTTTCTTGGCGCGCGTGCACACACACACACACACATATACACCTTTGCCTTGATGGAGTGTGTGCAGAGCATCCATATCCCAAGAGGGCCCTGTTCCTTCCAGCCTCAGATTTCAAGAGACCCCAGACATCATGTCTGACCCTCTCTGATGCATAAAACAGACACCCTTGCCTCATGCTCTGGCTCCCCACTCCAGCTTGCAAAACTGACATTTTTTCTGTTCGGTTACATCATCCAAAAGGAAACCCTACACTCTTAAAACCATGGGTAGGCAAACTAAGGCCCAGGGGCCGTATCTGGCCCAATCGCCTTCTAAATCTGGCCCGCGGACGGTTGGGAATCAGCGTGTTTTTACATGAGTAGAATGTGTCCTTTTATTTAAAATGCATCTCTGGGTTATTTGTGGGGCCTGCCTGGTGTTTTTACACGAGCAGAATGTGTCCTTTTATTTAACATGCACCTCTGGGTTATTTGCAGGGCATAGGAATTCGTTCATTTCCCCCCCTTCAAAATATAGTCAGGCCCCCCACAAGGTCTGAGGGACAGTGGACCGGCTCCCTGCTGAAAAAGTTTGCTGACCCCTTCTTAAAACCCTTTTGTCACCACCTACTAATACATAGCTACAGGACAGGACCTATCCTCCTTGTCCAACATAGTCTTCCTCTTCCTAATGACTTTCTTGATGGGTTAATGGTGAGACCATTATTAGCTTTGTTCCTCAAGTGACCCACACTCAACTAGCTATGCCAACATAAACTGGATCCAGCAGAGTTTGGCACAGTTTAATCAAACCTCCATTAATTCTAACTTTTACAAAATCCAGGAATTATGGGGCGCATCTAGCACCCAGGAGTTGAGGGGATCCTTGCTCCTCCCCCCCCCCAAAAAACCTTTTAACACTATTAATATTTTGGGTAGTCAAGGAAAGTGCATTTGGAACTGGATTTCACACTCACACAGCATAAACTGACAAAGGCAGGTCTTTAAAAGGCGAACATGGTTTGGAGAATCTTTCATCTGAATGGAGAGGTTCCCAGTTTGGACTAGTCAGTGCCTGATCCCTTCGTCTGTCAGGAAAAACCAGCTGGCCCGACCGGTTGCGCCAGATTTTTGAGTATTGTTCTGAATGTTTGGAAAGCCATACCAACCTTATTGCCCCTGCTTCTTGAAGCGACTGCTGCTTCACTTTTTCAGCAAGAAGGTCACTGCAGAGCTGGTCATATGGCTTGTCCAGGGAATGCTCACCCATCACCCACACCCATACGTCACCGTCTGCTCCCAGCTTCCACTGAACGGATTTCCCATGGACTGCAAAACAAAAAACAAGGTTCGGTAGTAAAGGCCCCATGAGAAGGGGCACGTGATCCAAGGACCTCCCAGCTAGGGCAATCATAGACAGTATGTTGACTAGGCCAACACACTGCCCAGTCCACTCCTTACTGCACAGACCTCATCCCAGCACAACTCATGATGGAGTGTGTGTTTTCTAAGCTCATTTGCAGAATACATGGCTGGCATAATGAGAGCCGATTTTCAGTACCTAAAGGTAAAGGGACCACTGATCATTAGGTCCAGTCGTGACCGACTCTGGGGTTGTGGTGCTCATCTCGCTTTATTGGCCGAGGGAGCTGGTGTACAGCTTCCGGGTCATGTGGCCAGCATGACTAAGCCGCTTCTGGCGAACCAGAGCAGCGCACGGAAACGCTGTTTACCTTCCCGTCGGAGCGGTACCCATTTATCTACTTGCACTTTGACGTGCTTTCGAACTGCTAGGTGGGCAGGAGCAGGGACCGAGCAACAGGAGCTCTCCCCATCACGGGGATTCGAACTGCCGACCTTCTGATCGGCAAGTCCTAGGCCCTGTGGTTTAACCCACAGCGCCACCCGCGTCCTAACTGGCCCCTAGCAGCCAGTTACAAATTTCATTTAACAGGCCTGGGAAAGACCTGCCTCTGTCTTCTGAGATGGGCTGGCAGAACAGACAACCCTAGGTTAGATGCACCAGTGATCTTATTCTATAAATTGAGGGTATGCAACTCTCCAGCTCCTTAGTTATCCCAGTTCCTTTGACCAGAACACACCAGGTTTACTTCTGAGTGTCTGATTATGACGTTGTGTGTTTCATGCAAACAGTTTCCACAGTAATCTCCCATCTGGAAGCAGCCCAGCAATGTACACAAAATGGCCCACGTTTGTTTGGATGTGGTAGTTTGCAGGTTTGCAGTTACCATAAGGGAGCTTGCCAAGTGGAGAATGAGATGTGACGAAAAAGTTGGTTTTGCTGGACCGGTTGGATCAAAAAGTGTTTCTTTTTCTTTCTTTCTTTCCCTGCCAGCAAATGGTTAGTGAATGGCAGCCTCTGACTGGCCGTGGTTCCAGGAGAGAGAGTGAGGAGAGAGTTGGTTGAAGTGGGTTGGAATAGAGGTTGGGAAGATAGGTAGGGAGACAGGTTAGGAGACAGGTTGAGGTAGAAAGAGTGAATGCGAGAAAAAGTTGGTTCTGGAAAGAAAAAAACAACTTCCACTCTGAGCATATTGTGAAGGACAGAGTGTGGTGTCCTGTAGGAGGAATAGACCGGAATTTTACTGGGAGGCAGAGGTTGAGCCAGGAGAAGTAGGAGCTGGAAGCCTACTTGGGACTCAAATCTAGTCTGGAGGAGAGAGATTCTTCCAAGGAAAAGAAGAAACTCCCAAAACCCAGTGAAGGGATGGGGTGTGGAGAGCCCCTGGGTCTATTACTTAAAGTACCTCAGGAGCAGGATTGTTAAAGGGGGTGGATAACTGAAAGAAAGTATCACCGTACAAAGGAACAAAACCTATACAGTGGTACCTCAGGTTACATACTCTTCAGGTTACATACGCTTCAGGTTACAGACTCTGCTAACCCAGAAATAGTGCTTCAGGTTAAGAACTTTGCTTCAGGATGAGAACAGAAATCGTGCTCCGGTGGCGTGGCAGCAGCAGGAGGCCCCATTAGCTAAAGTGGTGCTTCAGGTTAAGAACAGTTTCAGGTTAAGTACTGACCTCCGGAACGAATTAAGTACTTAACCCGAGGTACCACTGTAATGCCAAAAACAACTGAGAGCAAATTAAAGTGAAATCGCACTCCATTCCTGAAGTAACCTAAGTGTAATCCATTTGTGTTATATACTATCTTGCCTTAAATAAATCTTTATTGTTTATTTAAAGAAAACCTGTCTGAGACTCCAACTTACTAAATATCCCCTCACAAAGGTCCCCTGCAGGATACTCCGGGTTAGAATTTTAAGAGGAAAGGAAAAGAATCATTCGTGTAAGGATTGTTCAGTGAGGTAGGGGCAATTTATCTAAGTGAGAGCGGGTCCAACGGTGTGAGAGGAAAAAGTGCCGTCTCGCCCGTTGCACGAGAGCCTATGGTATGGTTGATTTCATCACTGGGATTTCCTGTTCCTACAATGAAACACACCCTGATTACTGTTATTGATCTGATGCTTTGACAAGAACACAATTGCATTCCTGTTACTTGGATTCCATTCATTGTAAGCCACCCTGAGAGTTCTTCAGAACTGAAGGGCAAGATAGCTCTACTGAGAAACCAAGGGTGGTAGTTTTACTCAGAGTAGATATTAATTGCCAGGTGGTGGTGGTGGTGGTACGACTGCAATGGCTTCCATTTCATTTCCAGGCCCAGTTCAAAGTGCTGGTGCTGACCTATAAAGCCATAAATGGGTCAGGACTGCAATACCTCAAGGACTGCCTGTCTCTATATGAACCGACCTGGACATCTGAAGTCCTTCTTTGTGTGCCTCCTCCATGAGAGGCTTGGAGGGTGGCAACATGAGAGCAGGGCCTTTTTCGTGGTGGTACCCCATTTGTGGAATGCTCTCTCTAGGGCACCTATGTAGCATACCTTTAGGCGCCTGGTGAAAACATTCCTCTTCAACCAGGCCTTTGGCTAATTAAACAATCTGGCCTTTTATACTGGTGGGGGGGGTATTGCTTTTGTTTGTTATTATGTTACGCGTTTTTGTGTTTTTATATTGTCAACCACCCTGTGATTTTTGGAGAAGGGAGGTATAGAAATTTAACAAATAATATAGAGACAGCTAGACTGGTGACTGGGAGCGGCTGCCGAGACCATATAACACCAGTTTTGAAAGACCTACACTGGCTCCCAGTACATTTCCGAGCACAATTCAAAGTGTTGGTGCTGAACTTTAAAGCCCTGAACAGCCTCGGTCCAGTATATCTGAAGGAGCGTCTCCACCCCCATCATTCTGCCCGGACACTGAGGTCCAGCACCGAGGGCCTTCTGGCGGTTCCCTCGCTGCGAGAAGCCAAGTTGCAGCGAACCAGGCAGAGGGCCTTCTCGGTGGTGGCACCCACCCCGTGGAACGCCCTTCCACCAGATGTCAAAGAGAAGAATTACCAGACTTTTAGAAGACATCTGAAGGCAGCCCTGTTTAGGGAAGCTTTTAATGTTTAATAGACTATTGTATTTTAATATTCTGTTGGAAGTCGCACAGAGTGGCTGGGGAAACTCAGCCAGATGGGAGGGGTATAAATAATAAATTATTTTTATTATTATTACAAAGGGGGAAAGGTAGACAGAGTTACTTCATTTCCATGAGAAAGGAGAGCTGTGTGCGACAGCTGAGGATTTTCCCCGTAAGAGTGATCTCCTAGAAATTGGACCTACCTGAACCACTTCAAAATAAAGTTACTGAACAGCCTGATGCTTGTGTATTTAATGTAGCTAGTGAAGCATAGTGACTGAGGTGAGAGACAGCTGCTGTTTGAAACCAAGTCCTCACCTCAAATCTCACCTCTGCAATGATCTCACCAGGTGGCCTCAGGTAACTGTAGCTCTCTCCGTCTGTCTCTCTCTCTCAGCCTTCCTTCCCGCCTCCATCCACACAGACTTCTCCCCTCTCCAGTTTAGGAATACAGTGGTACCTCGGGTTAAGAACTTAATTCGTTCCAGAGGTCCGTTCTTAATCTGAAACTGCTCTTAACCTGAAGCACCACTTTAGCTAAAGGGGCCTCCCGCTGCCACTGCACGATTTCTGTTCTCATCCTGAAGCAAAGTTCTTAACCTGAGGTAATATTTCTGGGTTAGCGGAGTCTGTAACCTGAAGCGTCTATAACCTGAAGTGTATGTAATCTGAGGTAATAGTACTACTGACCTGCATAATAGGCTTCTTATGATTATTAGTGATCTAAAGACTTACATATAATGCTTGGAATTAACTTCCATCTGTAGGGAAGTACTTTCTTACACCCTACCCCAAAGCTTCACCGTTTATTGTATTGTATTCTCATTTGCCCTGAAAACATGCTTGAAGGGCACAATAGAAATCTCAATAATAAATGCAAATAACAACAACAGCTCATTTTCTTCCCACTAGATTTCAAATGCCCAGACACCACCAGAGCTGCTTGTTCACTGACCTTTCTTCACTGCTGGCTGCGGCGAAGTAACCGCGACTTCTCTTTCCTTCCATCTTCTGATCTGCTCCTGCCTCATCTTGAAGAACAAAATCTGCTTCTGCTCCTCGCTCAGTTCTGCCAGGAGCTCCGGGTCCACGTACATGTCTGTTAGGATCTGCTTCAGCATGGCTGAACAACGCTCCTGGGCATGAACGGAGGAGACCTGTGGTGCCAAGACTGACCCCCCGGGAGACAGGAAAAGTCACTCTCCTCGCCTGGCCAGGACAACCACCTCGGTGGCCCAAGGAGAAGCAGAAGCCTCTCTCCACCCAAGAGACACAGCAGGAATGCGGGCTGTCCACATGGCAATTACGCACTCCCAAATAGCTGCACCTATTTTAGCTCTGACTTCCTGCAAGGACTTCAAAAGTAAACAGAGAGCTCACGGAGGAAACAAATAAATCAAGGACTTGGCTGCCCTCGGATGGAAACTCAGCATCCGGAGCTAAGCAGCCCTTTTACCCATCTCTCTATCCGTACATGTGAACAAAACAACAACTAGGTTCGGAGGATGCTTTGAGCCGACAAGGACGCCTCTGTCAAAGCACTCCCTTCATAGCTAAAGTCACAGGTGTGGCTTACCTCTCTGACTCAGCAAACCCTGCTGTTAGGAGACCAGGAAGTTAATGTATCAACCTCGGGAGAGGCGAACCGTAACCTTTCTCCTCACTTCAAATCTTAAGAAAGGGATCTCTGGCCAATGGCAGAAGAGGGCATGCCCACAGGTAAAAGTGATAGTGGCAATGAGTAAACACCAACGGAAAGAAGAGAGGTATTATTCTTCATGGTAAACAGGCATGCACATGGGTGCAATCACGTCAGTTCCCAGCATTTGTGACCGGTGGAATTTCTCTTGTGCCAACAGGGCCTTCCCTCCCAATGTAAATAGCAGCTGGAGGGGGGAGATTTTCGGACTGCGGTGGGGAGTGTGTGTGTGTGTGTGTGTGTGTGTGTGTGTGTCTTCCCCTCCCAGTGGTCCATTTGCCTCCCTGCTCCCGTGGCTGCTGTTTACATTTTTAAGCAATGCACATTTAAATTGCACCAACACAATCAATGCCCCAATGAGTTTGGCCCAATGTAAACTTGGCCCAATGTGAACGAATTCCAATGAAGACAAGCTCAAATAGGGAGGTGGTGAGACGTTAAGTGGAGTTATCAAAACCACTCGTAGGACACAAAGATTTTAATACGTCTAAAAAAGAGAGTTTCAAATTTAATCATGGGGTAGCGATGGGGGCACACCTTTTTTCCCCCCAATCCAATGATTCAAATATGAAATCCACCCATTTCTAGAAAATTGTCCACCCTACCTGGGCATAGAAAGAAGAAGGTAATTTTAGACAATTAAAACTTTACCCTTGACAGAAAAGCACACCCAGGAAGAAGTATAATTATCAAATACTTTGTAAATAAATAGTCATAGGCTGAGACACCACACACACCCCATATATATCACAGCATTCAAGAGGTGATCCACAGGCAAGAGGGAGGTCTCAAGTCCCAGCAGGCTTGGGGACAACTTGAAGGTTTGCAGAAGTACAAAAAATATTTTGGGTAAAAGAACCAAAGGGGCAGCTCCTGCAACAGCCCAACAAGAAGTGGACTGAGCATAGGCAAAGAGCATGGGATGTTGATTAATTGATTGTGTTAAGTTGTGGGTGAGCATATCAGATGACACAGCGATTCTTCAAACAGCTCTTGTTTATTCACAGGCCAGAACTGAACTGAACTGAACTGAAGGGTTCAGCCAGCCTGCTTATATAGAGCTCCACTACAACGCAACAGTAACCACTTTCTGTAACTATCCACTTTCACTTTCAATCCCCTTATTTGCATATATGGACCTGAGTGAAAACTATCTACAGTATCCCCCTGCTGGTCCAGGGTGAAAACTTCAGTACATAACACCTTGACTGATTGATTGATTGATTGAGGAGGGTGGGGGAATGGAAAATGGGGAGAGAATGTGGAAATAAAGCATTGCTGATAGGCTTGGAGCATAAGCAGAAGTGATCTATGCATAACATCTGCCTTTGTCATCCTGGCGCTCCCCAGAGCTTCGGGGCGACAACTGCACTGCAGCATTTTGTCGCAGGGGAGTTTTTGTCGCTTTCTCCAACAGTGAACTCAGTGCTGACAGGACTGGAGCCAAAATGGGGCACTGAGCAAAAAAATAGAGAGAGGGTGGTATCCTCTTGTTTGTCGTTGTTGTTGTTTAGTCGTTTAGTCGTGTCCGACTCTTCGTGACCCCCTGGACCAGAGCACACCAGGCACTCCTGTCTTCCACTGCCTCCCGCAGTTTAGTCAAACTCATGCTGGTAGCTTCGAGAACACTGTCCAATCATCTCGTCCTCTGTTGTCCCCTTCTCCTTGTGCCCTCCATCTTTCCCAGCATCAGGGTCTTTTCCAGGGAGTCTTCTCTTCTCATGAGGTGGCCAAAGTATTGGAGTCTCAGCTTCAGGATCTGTCTTTCCAGTGAGCACTCAGGGCTGATTTCCTTCAGAATGGAGAGGTTTGATCTTCTTGCAGTCCATGGGACTCTCAAGAGTCTCCTCCAGCACCAGAATTCAAAAGCATCAATTCTTCGGCGATCAGCCTTCTTTATGTTCCAGCTCTCACTTCCATACATCACTACTGGGAAAACCATAGCTTTTACTATACGGACCCTCTTGTTTAGGGGAACCCGGATGCATGCAGACAAGCAATATATATTTTAAAACCAAGGGAGGCATAAAGGCAAAGCAGGGATAAAAACAAGAAGACCAGGCCAATGAGGAGTGAGCCCGCAGGAGTCACAAACAATAAGTGCTAGTTGAAAGATAATAATGGCTCCTAAAACGTTAGAATGTCCTGGAGGACAGAAGGAGAGGAAAACTGGAACACTGAATAGGAGCACTCAGATTAGTCTTCACCTTTTTATGCAGCAAACCATGGAGTCTAACTATGACCAGGTGAGAGTCTGCATTAGGACAGCAGCCTAGGATTCCATATGTTTTGAGTCCTTGCTGATTTCCCTACCACGCAGAAGGGCTTCAGTTTGATCCTGATCTGCAGACATCAGAAAGTGCACCTCTAACAAACAGGGAGATAATTATACATTACCTTGCATGAGGAATACTGCGGTTAGAGTTAGGGTAGTTGTTTGGCTATTTTTAAGCGATTAAACATGCCCTTCGCATTGGCTGGGTCCCGTTCCCCCCACCCCCTTGCCCCCGTCCAACAGCAATAGCTGCAACTGTGAAACAACAATATAATTCAAGAGTTTTGGCGAAAACATGTTGTGGATCTGTTTGAAGATAGTTTTTGGGAAGAGAGCTGTGCCTTACTGAGGGTCCGTGGAAGAGATGCACCTGGTAAGCACAGATTCAGTTATTGTACTAGATTTTGCTTGCACACTAGAAAGGGTGCCTTGTGTTTGTAGCTGGTCTGTGACTCTCTTTTCTCTCTCCAGTATTGCATCTTACAGAACTTAAAGCTAAGTTTCTAACATGTCAGTCAGTGCAGACCATAATGAGTTAAACGGACCGATGATCTGATTTTGTTTCTGTATTTCTGTCTACACACACCTGGATCTTGTACATGTGATACTGAGTCGTTTCCTGGCAAGGATGTGAAACTGGACTAGCTCAGTTGGTAGAGCAAAGAGACTCTTGATCTCAGGGTTGTGGGTTTGAGCCCCATGTTGGACAAAATATTCCTACATTGAAGGGGGATGGACTACATGACCCTCAGGGACCCTCCCAGCTCTGTGGTTCTATGTGTGCATGTTGATAGTGTTATATCAATTGTTTGCACGAATTTTGTTGTGTTTGTGTGTGTGTTGCTGTTGTTGGTGTCGATTTTTTTTCTTTTTTTGTATCTTTATTTTAGGTTTTGCTGTGATTTATGTGGAAATTGTTCAGTATGGTTGTGTATCTTTTAACATTTCATTTATTATCTATGACTACTTTTATTATGCAGTAGTTATGTATTTTTTTAAAAGGGATGTGGGTGGCGCTGTGGGTTAAACCACTGAGCCTAGGACTTGCCGATCAGAAGGTCAGCGGTTCAAATCCCCACGACGGGGTGAGCTCCCATTGCTCGGTCCCTGTTCCTGCCAACCTAGCAGTTCGAAAGCACGTCAAAGTGCAAGTAGCTAAATAGGTACCGCTCTGGTGGGAAGGTAAACGGCGTTTCCGTGCGCTGCTCTGCTTCGCCAGAAGCGGCTTAGTCATGCTGGCCACATGACCCGGAAGCTGTCTGCGGACAAACGCTGGCTCCCTCGGACTATAGAGCGAGGTGAGCGCGCAACCCCCGAGTTGGTCACGACTGGACCTAATGGTCAGGGTTCCCTTTTACTTTTATTTTGCAGTAGATATGTATTTTTAATGTTGTAAGCTGCCTTGAGCATGGTTTGAACTGTGGAAAGACGGCATACAAATAAAATTATGCACAGATGCATGGATGTATGTTAACGTATTCCCCTGGATATAGACTGAGTTTTAATTTACTTATCACTAACATTGATAACATTCCTGCCTTGGTTTGCCAGAAGAGGCTTAGTCATGCTGGCCATATGACCCAGAAGCTGTACGCCGGCTCCCTCGGCCAATAAAGCGATGTGGGCGCTGCAACCCCAGAGTCGTCCGCGACTGCACCTAATGGTCAGGGGTCCCTTTACCTTTAACATTTATATTACAGGACGCGGGTAGCGCTGTGGTCTAAACCACTGAGCCTAGGGCTTGCTGATCGGAAGGTCGGTGGTTCAAATCCCCGCGACGGGGTGAGCTCCCGTTGCTCGGTCCCTGCTCCTGCCAACCTAGCAGTTCGAAAGCACGTCAAAGTGCAAGTGGATAAATAGGTACCGCTCCAGCGGTTTACCTTCCAGCGGGAAGGTAAAAAGCATTTCTGTGCGCTACTCTGCACATGACCCGGAAAAACTGTCTGCAGACAAACGTCAGCTCCCCCGGCCAGTAAAGCGAGATGAGTGCCGCAACCTCAGAGTCGTTCGCAAATGGACTTGCCAGGGGTCCCTTTAATTTACTTTTTAACATTTATATTATAACCTTCACCCTGTGCAGGTTACATTAAAAAAACCTCCCAGCCAAGAATCAGTCCAGACATAGTCTTAATACCCAAACCTCTAAAAGCAATTAGGTACAGGTTATGCTTGTTTTAATCTGTTTTGACTACTGATTGTTAGCGGCCTTGAGTCTCTCTGGTGAAATGGGCAGGGTGAGAAAATGAAAAACAACTGCGCAAGCCAAGCCCTGGTCAGGAGAGCCGTAGGGGGCGATGGGGCGGCAAAGCCACCTTCACATCTGGTTCCTCCCAGGGAGGAAGGTGGAGAAGCAGGCAAAAGACTGCTGTGGGCTGTGCCAACTTGGAGCTGGTGTAGCAATTGGCCCCACTGCTTCAAGTCATGAAAGTACAGCTGGCATGGGATCCAGCTCAGCGCTCCCCCTCCTCTTCCAGGATGCCCCATTTGGGCAATTTCCATGGACTACGGCTGGCAGGCCTCCAGCCAGCAGTGCTTCTGCCCACTTTCACTTTCTGCAGGTAGCTCCATGCTGGGAAAGACCTCTGCCCTGAATAAATAAATTCCACATTTCCAGAAGTCCCTTAGCCCCTCAAGGTACATCATTGCCAGGCATGGTGAACACAGGCAACTGGGGAGACCTCTTGACCATATTAGGGACGCGGGTGGCACTGTGTTCTAAACCACTGAAGAAGAAGAAGAGTTTGGCTTTGATATCCCGCTTTATCACTACCCGAAGGAGTCTCAAAGCAGCTAACATTCTCCTTTCCCTTCCTCCCCCACAACAAACACTCTGTAAGGTGAGTGGGGCTCAGAGACTTCAAAGAAGTGTGACTAGCCCAAGGTCACCCAGCAGCTGCATGTGGAGGAGCAGAGACACGAACCCGGTTCACCAGATTACGAGTCTACCGCTCTTAACCACTACACCACACTGGCTCTCTGTGCGCTGCTCTGGTTTCAGTGTTCCGTTGCACCAGAAGCGGCTCAGTCATGCTGGCCACATGACCCGGAAAAACTGTCTGCGGACTAACGCCGGCTCCCTCGGCCTGTAAAGCAAGATGAGCGCCACAACCCCAGAGTCGTCCGCGACTGGACTTAACTGTCAGGGGTCCTTTACCTTTTATTGACCATATCAAGATGCTAGGTCCTAGGATAGGAATGCCAGCAGGTGACCCACAAGCTGGTTTGGTCTCCAAAGCCATTTTATGTGGCCTTCGGTCATGAACCTATCAGGTTTTAAACAAGAAGTGACAAAGCATTTGTCAAAAGTTGCAGTGGTAAAAGGGGTTGGGGAATCAAAGTTGTAATACACAGAGAGAGTCACTCTCCTAGATTCCATTGCCTCCTGTAAAGGTAAAGGGACCCCTGACCATTAGGTCCAGTCATGGCTGACTCTGGGGTTGCGGTACTCATCTCGCTTTCTTGGCCAAGGGAGCCGGTGTACACCTTCCGAGTCATGTGGCCAGCATGACTAAGCCGCTTCTGGCGAACCAGAGCAGCACATGGAAATGCCATTTACCTTCCCGCCGGAGCGCTACCTATTTATCTACTTGCACTTTGACGTGCTTTCAAACTGCTAGGTTGGCAGGAGCAGGGACCGAGCAACAGGAGCTCACCCCGTCGCAGGGATTCGAACCGCCAACCTTCCGATCGGCAAGTCCTAGGCTCTGTGGTTTAACCCACAGCGCCACCCGCGTCCCTATTGCCTCCTATAACATTCACGAAACAACAGGGGATTTAAAAATGAAGTACTTATATTTAGTGGTTTTCCTGGGGGGCCTGGTACTGAGAGGTCTTGACTGCTAACATGACACCAACTTTATTTATTGTGCAGCCCGATGTAATAAAGGGGTTTCTTTTGTACACTTCCGTCTGTCAGAATGCTGCTGGGGGAACAGAACTGTCACCAAGAAATTGGTAATATCTGTCCCAGGAGATTAAAGGGTTAAAGATTTGGGCACTGCCCCATATTCTGCTCCATCTAAAAATATGGTTGGAAATGTCTCTTAGTAAGGTGGCCCACAAAGGGGAGTGATGTTGAGAAACTTGGTGGTGCATTGTATGTTAGAAGTATAGAAATTGCACAAATTAGTTTCTTCCTGGAAGGCCAAAGGCACAACACTTCTGAATACCAGTTTCTGGGAACCCAGGGAGTTTTCTCCTGGTTCTCAGGTCCTATTTCCTGGTTTCTCCACAGGCATTTGCTCTTCTTTTGTGGCTAACTCAGGCAAAACAGTCTGATTATGATTATATAGTAGACATTATTGTTTACCCAACGTCGGCCCACAGCGAAGTTAAGTCATGTATCAATACCTTGCTATTCTACCCATAAAGCATTCAACCCTCCGTTAAAACCACCACTTTGCCTGACTGGTTTGGCCACCCAACAAGCAAGCAAGTTTACAAGCACTGGCAAATATTAAATAGATGTTTTTGGTAGGTTTAAAACCCCAAGCGCCAAGTTCCTTCTAGGAACAGGAACAGTAAACAGCTATTATTTCCAGGCTACACCACTTCTTCCTTTTTTTTAAAAAAAATCAGTTTTTGTTCAAGATTTCCTTGTGTTACAAAATAAACAAATAGGCTACATCAGTTCTGTCTGCGTGTGTGTCTGTGGAGGGGCAAATAGCCGAATGCTCTCTGTTAAGTTGTGGGTGAACATATCAGACGACACAGCGATTCTTCAAACAGCTCTTGTTTATTCACAGGCCAGAACAGAACAGAACTGAAGGGTTCAGCCAGCCTGCTTATATAGAGCTCCACCACAACGCAACAGTAACCATTTTCTGTAACTATCCAATCACTGAACGTCACTTTCAATCCCTTATTTGCATATGTGGACCTGAGGGAAAACTATCTACAGTATCCCCCTGCTGGCCCAGGGTGAGAACTTCAGTACATAACACTCTCCCAGGTAGAAAGTGTGCCACCCAGATATGCTCCCCTCCTACAAATATTTCACTTGGTGATATTGAACAGGGGGCAACAGGAAGAGCTCAACTCTCCCCTTAACCGCAGACCCAGAATCCTGAGCCCAATGAACAGCTTCTTCAGTATAATAATTTATAATAATAATTTATTATTTATACCCCGCCCATCTGGCTGGGTTTCCCCAGCCACTCTGGTATGCTTCCAACCAAATATTAAAAACAATACAGCATCAAACATTAAAAACTTCCCTAAACAGGGCCGCCTTCAGTTGTCTTTCAAAAGTAAAATACAGCGGTACCTCTGGATGTGAACGGGATCCGTTCCGGAGCCCTGTTCGCATCCTGAAACAAATGCAACCCGCGTCCGTGGGTCGAGATTTGCCGCTTCTGCGCATGCGCGTGACGTCATTTTGAGTGTTTGCGTGAGCGGTGAAACCCAGAAGTAACGCACTCTGTTACTTCTGGGTCGCCACAGAGCGTAACCTGAAAACGCTCAACCTGAAGCACATTTAACCTGAGGTATGACTGTAGTTGTTTATTGCCTTGACATCTGCTGGGAGGGCGTTCCACAGGGCAGGGGCCACTACCAAGAAGGCCCTCTGCCTGGTTTCCTGTAACCTCACTTCTCGCAGCGAGGGAACCGCCAGAAGGCCCTCGGCGCTGGACCTCAGTGTCCAGGCAGAAAGATGGGGGTGGAGACGCTCCTTCAGATATACTGGACCGAGGCTGTTTAGGGCTTTAAAGGTCAGCACCGACACTTTGAATTGTGATCGGAAACGTACTGGGAGCCAATAAAATGGCAAAATACTGCTTTGCTCTTTCGTTGACAGCTCCTCGCAATAATGAAGCACGCGGACCTGCATTTTCTAATTGGAATTATTCTTTCTCCTGCGGTAAGTATTCCCCAGTGCTTCAGTCCTCAGCATCTCTGGTTAGGGCTTGGAGAGACGCCTGTCCAATCAGAACCCGGGAGAGCTGCTATTAGTCAGTGTAGACCACGGGTCTGCAACCTTTAAGACAAAAAGAGCCACTTGGACCGAAGAAAAAAAAACTGGGAGCCGCAAAACCATTGTGACATTTAAAACAGTGGGGAGTGTTGGGGCACACAATGCGCCTCCTCCCCTCGCTAGTATCCGCCCCGGAGCCGCGACAAAGGTGTAAAAGAGCCACATGCGGCTCTGGAGCCGCGGGTTGCTGACCCCTGGTGCAGACAATACCTGAGCTACGTGGCAGCTTCCTCTGCGATTCCTATATGTCCTAATGATCAAGCAAGGGGAAGTGGGTGGCACTGTGGTCTAAACTTTGGGTAGGCAAACTAAGGCCCGGGGGCCGGATCTGGACCAATCGCCTTCTAAATACGGCCCACGGACAGTCCAGGAATCAGTGTATTTTTACATGAGTAGAATGTATCCTTTTATTTAAAAGGGTTTTTTTGTGGGGCATAGGAATGCATTCATTTTTTTCCTTTCCAAAATATAGTCCGGCCCCCCACAAGGTCTGAGGGACAATGGACCGGCCCCCTGCTGAAAAAGTTTGCTGATCCCTGGTAAACCATTGAGCCTCTTATGCTTGTCGATCGGAAGGTTGGTTGTTCGAATCCCCGCGACGGGGTGAGCTCCCGTTGCTCTGTCCCTGCTCCTGCCAAGCTAGCAGTTCGAAAGCACACCAGTGCAAGTAGATAAATAGGTACCGCTGTGGCGGGAAGGCAAACGACGTTTCCATGCGCTCTGGTTTCTGTCACGGTGTTCCGTTGCGCCAGAAGCGGTTTAGTCCTGCTGGCCACATGACCCGGAAAGCTGTCTGTGGACAAACAGCAGCTCCCTCGGCCTGAGAGCGAGATGAGCGCCGCAACCCCATAGTTGCCTTTGACAGGACTTAACCATCCAGGAGTCCTTTACCTTTACTGATCAAGCATTGGAGCAAGGGCTGGAGATGCTTCAGTTCAAAGCCTGTAGCATGGTTACTTGCAAGTAGGACTCTGAGATGGGTGATTGGACGTTATGCCAGGAGTGCTGAAACTTTTTTTCTCTGAGCCACACTTTCAGAATAAAAATTTGCTCGCGCCATACTGATTTTTTTTATCGACCTGTCAATAAACCTCACTGATTATTTTATTGTCCTCTTGACAACAGGACAGCATCTTCCTGAGGGCAGCAGACTCACTTAGGGGGTGCAGGCAGGCCACAAGGTACATGTGCCCACCTCCTCCAGCATTTACTGGCTATGGGTTCTGCTTCACACTGTCTAATGGTAGGGCCAGTGTTGGTAGGAAATCGTTAAAAGTCCTTAACAGGAGCAGCAGGCTACGCTGTTATTAATTAGATGATTAATAAGATTATTAATAAGATGATAATGTATACAGTCGTACCTCGGATCTCAAACGCCTTGGCTCCTGAACAAATTGGCTCCCGAATGATCTAAACTTGGAAGAGAGTGTTCCAGTTTTCGAACGATTTTTGGAAGCCAAATGTCTGATGGGCCTTCTGCGGCTTCTGATTGGCTGCAGGAGCTTCCTGCAGCCAATCAGAAGCCATGCTTGGGTTTCTGAACATTTTGGAAGTTGAACGGACTTCCGGAACGGATTCTGTTTGACTTCCAAGGTACGACTGTACCTGCAAGAAAGGGGTCTTCCTTTGGAAATGAAAAATTAGCTACAGGTTTTTTGTTTTTGCTTATTGAACTTCTCTGAGAAAGGGAAGATCCAGATTAAATGGATTAAAAGACACACCAAAGAGCCTTATCTCCTTACATTTAATTGGTAAAAAAAAATAGCTCAGCCATGTGCATCAGATATTTCAAAATCCCTTGGGCAGGATGGATACCCTTAATTAGAGCTTTTTTCCAGCTGGAACTCTATTCTGACCGCTCTTTTTTCTAGAAAAATAGCACTGTCCCTAATGATCGCCACATATTGACATCTTGCAATAAATTTGTGATTATATATTCTGTTTCTGTTTCTTGGGCAGATTGTGGCAGCCTATCCCATTTCAAACTACAGGGCTCACTATGCAAAACTGGTAAGTGCAAAGTTCAGCAGCAGCTGCTGTTGTGTTAAAATTAATACGCACTTTAATTAGAATTGAAATTTTAATTAAAATTAATTGATCGAGCAATTAAATACATTAAAATTCAATTTTAATTCACAATTAAATTAACTTTTAATTAACATTAATGAATATGCACTTTAACTCCCTTAACGAAACATGGAGGTCAACATCAAAAGAGATGTTGTGAAACATGTTTCAAGTATAATTACACTTCATCAAGGGAAACAGTACCTCTTATAATATCCTAATTATACACAAGATAAACTGGATAGCAAAAAAATTATCTTTCTTTGATCCATTCAAGCTTTTTCCGCCTCCCATACTGGCCAGACCATTGTCCGTAGCTGACAATTTACAGATTTGAAAATACAGTAAGGGACCAGCAGCCTCAAAAATAAGGGATCAGCAGCCAAAATAAGGGATTTTCCAAGCACAGGTATGTTCAACTTCTGAGCCCCTCCAAGCCAAAGGCAGAAAGCCCAGACAGCAGCCAAACAAAGCCTCAAGCGGTGGTTCCCACAGCGCAGCAACCCTACAAAGGGGATGCAGCAAGGAAAACCACCGTCACCTCTCCGCTGGGAAGCGCTGAGCAAAGGCGAGTCCCCAGGCAACGCGGCCGATTTGATCGGCACAAGGCATGCAAGCTCCACCCCCCAGTCATTCTTAGACTCCTTATTGGGTGAGCAACGCAGCCAAGCAACCCAGTTGGAGCCTCCCTCCTCCCTGGCCGGCAGGGAGGGAGGGAGAGGAGCTGCTTCCTTTGAAACCCGGGAAATTTAAGGGACATCATCAATAAGGGACAGCAGCGGGACACAGCGCTGGGATAAGGGACTTTCCTGCCAAATAAGGGACAGTTGACAGCTATGCATTGTCATTCAGGAGGACTGCCTCCCTTCAGCAATAAAGAAGCGAAATGATGTATAGCCCATTAACTCCAGAGCTTTAAAACTATGCAAAATATTGCTTCCCTTCTGAAGGCAGCCACTGGCTGCTTTTAAAGGGACTTTAAAGCACCACTGTGAACTGCTGTGTAAGGAAATATGAATTAAAACCAGTGCCACTCTGAAAACAAGTCCAGAAATAGAGTGTGTGTGTTGCAAAAAAACTGCAGATAATCACAAAGACATTATTTTTACATGTGCGCCTAGTACATAGAAACATCTGTATGTTTAAAGGGGCTTCAGGCTGTAGACACCTGTTAATTCCCCTCCGACCTGCAAATGTAAGCAAATAAAAGAATGTGATTTGGTAAAAGACATATATTTTGTTAGCTGATGTAGACTGTCATATTAAAAGGTAAAACTACCTCTTTTCTTTTTTAAATGAATTTTATTTTTCTATTTTCCCATAATATTTTGACATAGATACAATCCAATATTTTCCACAAAAATATAACGTGGGTTGGCGGGGTTGGGGGGGACGTTATTGGGTTGTTGTTTTGATTATATACGGGATATAGGGTGGTATATTAATAATAATAATAATAATAATAATAATAATAATAATGTATTTTTAATCTTTGTTGGAAGCTGCCCAGAGTGGCTGGGGAAACCCAGCCAGATGGGTGGGGTAAAAATAATAAAAAATTATTATTATTATTATTAATTTGACTCCCCACTCCTTTTGCGGTTTCTTATATTTTTTAAATTTATAACACTGAATCTCCTTCATTACTCCAATTACTCCCTAGTTAGCTTTTAACCTTAATTTTAACTGTTTGGTTTAAGTTAATCCTGCTAGTGATCCTATATGTGTACAATAACATTTCAGATAGCCCACGAATTCCCCCCCGTCTTTTCTAAAGTTCCTCCCCCTCTTGTTTCCTTATTGCTCCTGTAGGTTTTGCCAAAAACTACCTCTTTTTTGCGGTGGCTCTCAGTTTGTGGAATATTCTACCCACGGAGTCTTGCCTTGGGAAGTTGTTGGCTAGTTTTATCCTTGTTTTTATTATGTATTTCTTCTTTTTATCTTGCATTTTTCTGCTGCGAACTGCCTTGATGTCTTCGGATGAAGGGCGGGAATGCAAATTTAAGAAATGAATAAAAGCTAAATATATAGATTTTTTGATGTCAGCAGCCTAGGGCCCTCAAAAGACCTCCGTTTAAACATGTACATATGAAAATAACCTTTCCTTCCCTTGTCCTTCAACAGGTCTCAAGAGTCAACAGCTACAAACCTTTCCCGCAGCAGGTATAATGAATCTCTTACACCAATCGCTGCTAGTTTGGAATGAAAGCAAATTGGAATTTTGCAATGTAATCCGAGATACTGCTCAGATCATACCTACAGAACCGTTTTACCGATAAGCCTGCCCGTCTCTTCCACCAGTTACTGTTTTCTGTTTGGGTTTTAACTGTTTTGGCTATATATTATACCTCCCTCACCCTGAGAGAGGTGTGTGTGGAAATGATGCATAAATACATAAAATAATAAATTACACACAAAATACAAGCGGCGGTGGGGAAATAAAGAAGCATTTTGGTCTGTTTAGGAAGTGGTAGGTGCAAATACCCCCTTGGGGTATAGACACCGAAAACGGAGACAGTATTAGCAGGACAGAAAAAGGAAATAAGGTTGACCAGTATTTTATGTTTCCCTTTTCTTCTGCTTTCCCACAGGTGATGCTGCCGCAACAGCTTTGCGTAAGTGTTTGCTAATCTCCAAACTCCCCCCAGAAAAGCCGCCCAGCCCTTTCCTAAAAATTAAAAGTTTGCTCCTATCTTAGAGTTGAAGCCAATGTTCATTAAATACCGTATTTTTCTCTCTATAAGACGCACCAGACCACAAGACGCACCTGGTTTTTGGAGGAGGAAAACAAGAAAAAAAATATTCTGAATCTCAGAAGCCAGAACAGCAAGAGGGATCGCTGCGCAGTGAAAGCAGCAATCCCTCTTGCTGTTCTGGCTTCTGGGATAGCTGCGCAGCCTGCATTCGCTCCATAAGACGCACACACATTTCCCCTTACTTTTTAGGAGGGGAAAAGTGAGTCTTATAGAGCAAAAAATACGGTACTGCTCACTTGCTCGGGGCAGCAATCGGAGAGCACCGATGTTTCTTTCCCAAACTCACGGGAGGGAAAATGAGGGCTAGTACCTTGTTTTGCAGATTTTAGACGTCATGCCAGATCCATCTGGAGAAGGCGGCATGAATCCTGACTTTTCTGTTCCTCTGTCTCTCCCCTACAGAGTGGAGCTCGCCTGCCTTTTGCAGACAGCAGTGACAGCAGCGGTGGCCTAGGCTACCGGGCAAGTCGCTGCACGTTCCCGAGACTGGTAATTTACCCGTAAACTTGTTTTTGTCTCGCCCAGGGATGGGCAACCCGAGGGCTTAATGTGGCACGTTGCTGTTTGGCCTACTTTAAAAAGGGGTCATGCGTTGAGCAGGATCTGTCCCTCCCTTGCTAGCCTCCCGGGTGAGGAGGAAGATGAAATTAGAAAGAGAGAAGGGGGGTGTCAGAAAGTAAATCACGAAAATCTTTAATAATAAGGAAAAAAAGAAAAAAGAAAAAAAGAAAATAATGTCCCTGTCACCAGAACAGCCCCCTGCGGAGGCAGCGTTCAACTAAGTTTTACTCAAAGTAGACCCACTGAAGCGAATGAACATCACTAAGCAAGCTCTGCTGATTTCAGTGGGTCTTCTGCGAGTAAAACTTTGCTGAATACTCCCTGTGTGTTTCACAGCAACATCCATCCCTTCCTCACCGTTTTAATATTTGTTCAGCTGCCCTCGCTTCGGGTTGGGGAAAATCAAGCAATTTGAGTTTTGGGTCCAACTGTTTTTAAGTCACTTCTCGTAACTACGCCTGTAAGATTCCTAAACAGGTGACTTTTTATTTTAATACAAGGCTCCCTATTCATTATTTCACCTGCACTGAAAATTACCAATAGGACAAAACAATCAACGGGGCTGAGAACTGTGTTGTGATTTATAATTAGATGCGCAGGATATAAAATTGTGATGGCATACATAATAATGGAGCACTGAGGGCAGGTGCTGGGGCCCTCACAGCTACCTGGAAACAAGGCAAACCTGGGAAAGTTTTCAACCTGAAAAACAAAAAAGCAGCCATTGCTGCCCTGTGAAGGGATAAAGGCAATTTGAGCACACAATGGCTGGATACACACCATCCATTTACAGTGGTACCTCAGGTTACATACGCTTCAGGTTACATACGCTTCAGGTTACAGACTCCGCTAACCCAGAAATAGTACCTCGGGTTAAGAACTTTGCTTCAGGATGAGAACAGAAATCGTGCTCTGGCGGCGCAGCAGCAGCAGGAGGCCCCATTAGCTAAAGTGGTGCTTCAGGTTAAGAACAGTTTCAGGTTAAGTACGGACCTCCAGAACGAATTAAGTACTTAACTCAAGGTACCACTGTAAAGCTACAGTATTGACTCCCCCACCAAGAATCTGGGAACTGTAGTTTGTCAAGGGTTCTGTGAGGGGAAAACTAAATTTCCCAGGATTTTTTTTTTGGGGGGGGGGTCATGTGTTCCAAATTCAAATGTTACACACGGCTAGGTGTATTTGAGCAGATCCGAAGTAAGACTTTTAATATCTTCCCAGCGGGGAGCATGCAAGCCTTGGGAGCAAGCCCTGCTGAGAGGTCCATAATAATAATCATAATAATAATAATAATAATAATAATATAATTTTTATTTATACCCCGCCAACCGGGCTCAGAGCGGCTAACATCAAATGTATTAACACATTAGCATAAAACTGAGCAATCAATTAAAATGCATCCTAAAATCAGATCAGGATCAGAATAAAATCCAATCAGATGGCAACCCGCAGATTAGGGTTGGGGTCCTGCTATGCTCACCAGGCCCAACTGTTTGTGCTGAATTTATATGGGCCTGTGAGAGAAATTGGGAGGCCATTTTCATGCAAGTTCTTATGAAAGGGAAGGGGGAGTCAGACCGAACCCTGACCAAAGGCCTGGCGGAACAGCTCTATCTTGCAGGCCCTGCGGAATGATGTCAAATCCTGCAGGGCCCTGGTCTCTTGTGACAGAGCGTTTCACCAGGCTGGGGCCACAGCTGAAAAGGCCCTGGCCCTGGTCGAGGCCAGTCTAATCTCCTTGAGGCTTGGGACCTCCAAGATGTTATTATTTGCGGAACATAAGGTCCTCTGTGGGGCATACCAGGAGAGGTGGTCCCATAGGTAAAGGGACCCCTGACCATTAGGTCCAGTCATGTTCGACTCTGGGGTTGCGGCGCTCATCTTGCTTTACTGGCCGAGGGAGCCGGCGTACAGCTTCCGGGTCATGTGGCCAGCATGACTAAGCCGCTTCTGGCGAACCAGAGCAGCGCACGGAAACGCCGTTTACCTTCCCGCTGGAGTGGTACCTAATTATCTACTTGCACTTTGACATGCTTTCGAACTGCTAGGTTGGCAGGAGCAGGGACCGAGCAACGGGAGCTCACCCCTCACGGGGATTTGAACCGCCGACCTTCTGATCGGCAAGCCCTAGGCTCTGTGGTTTAACCCACAGTGCCACCCGCGTCCCTGGTCCTGTAGGTACAAGATACTTAAAAAGTATTTCAGACAAGGCAGATAAGCATGGTGAGGGCTGTTTTCTTGCATCTGTAATGTCTACAGCTGCTCAGTGTTGCGCTGCATCCAGCAATTGCTGATGACATTTGCCTAACCGCAAGCCACACAGTGTGATTTAGAACAGTATTGAAGGGAAGAATGGAGTAAATTTGTAGTGTAGATACGGAATAATTGTAGAAGTTCAAAAACTTTAGCAGGTTTAACATAATTCTTGTGATGTGGATGGAGTGTAAATAAGAATCTGTAAGAGTGGATGTTAATTTATGAAAGTCGAAGCAAGGAAGGAAGGAAGTCCAAGCGCGATATAGCGCAGGGTAAATAAGAAAATACTAAAATGTTGAATGTAAGAGTTTATGTATTACTTAAATTTGTTTTTGAAAATTTAATAAAAAGCATTTGGGGGGAAAAATAGAACAGTATTGAAGGCAGTGCTGGAGCGAGAAGTACAGTGGTACCTCTACTTATGAACGCGATCTGTTTAGGGGTGCTGTTCACAACCTGAAAAGTCCGTAAGTAGAGCGCAGATTGCTTCTGCGTGTGCGGTGAACCCGGGGAAGTAAACCATTCCAAGTTTGCCGCGTTCGTAACCTGAAAAGCCGCAATGTGAAGCAAACGTAACGAGGTATGGCTGTACTGCTCTTAAAATCCCAGCTCTTAAAATTGTAGCGTATTCTCAGAAACACAGTGCCACCTTGTGGGAAGTTAGGTTGAATATAACGCACTGAAAATGTGCTGAAAAGCTCTTGAGGTGACAATACTCAGCGACAAATTCTTTCAAACCGCAGCAGTGATGCTTTGGAGCAGATCTTTATCCTTTGCTCCTAGCTGCAGGAGTAGCCTGGATCCGTACACCTGAGAAGTGTGTTATATACTTGGGGTATGCAAGCTGGGATAGGTAGATTATATCTGTATTCCAGAATACCTCAGCAGAACAGGCAGAGAACATTTTCGTCCCAACAGCCCCAAATCCCAGTGTATGAGAAGGGTAGACAAAGAGCTGCAGGGTTAAAGGAAACTTAATAATCAGGGAGACTGTTAAATGTCTTACTTAAGAGGCCATTTTACTTCTGGTGTGTTTACTGCCGTGCAGAATTAAATATATATATTAAAGATGGCTTTTCCCTCCTTCAATGAGCAACGATTTTAAGTCGTATACAGTGGTACCTCGGGTTACATACGCTTCAGGTTACAGACTCCGCTAACCCAGAAATATTACCTCGGGTTAAGAACTTTGCTTCAGGATGAGAACAGAAATCGTGCTCCAGCGGCAGCAGGAGGCCCGATTAGCTAAAGTGGTGCTTCAGGTTAAGAACAGTTGCAGGTTAAGAACGGACCTCCGGAACGAATTAAGTACTTAACCTGAGATACCACTGTATTACAATATTTGGCAATTCTATTTGTAAGGCTGATCAACATTACCACCCCTGTTGCAAATGGAGGCTAAGGCTGAAAGATGAGTAGCTTGCCTAAATCCATCTAAGGGAGTTCATGGCAGAGGCAACACTTGCGCTGGAGACTTTTCAATTTCACAGCTCCATTTCCTCAGCTCATTTGCATTGAGGTTGCATCATGGAATCGTAGAATTGTAGAGTTTGGGGGGACCCTGAGGATCATCATCACGTCTCCCGGTCTGCCCCATGGAGAGCCTCAAGGTCCATAAATAGCAACCCCCTAGAGCTCCCAGGCCCTAAGGAAGCTAGATTAGCTTCAACCAGAGCCAGGGCCTTTTCAACATTGGCCCCGGCCTGGTGGAACGCTCTGTCTCATGAGACCCGGGCCCTGAGGGATCCGATTTCTTTCCGCAGGGCCTGTAAGACAGAGTTGTTCCGCCTGGCCTTTGGCTTGGAGCCAGTTTGATTCCCTCCTCCTTTTTCTTTTTTCTTTGCCTTTCTCCTCCTGCGATGAGGCTACATTTTAATATTTTAAAGTTTCAATATTTTAATGTTGTTTTTAAGTTGTATTCATTCAACTTGTTTTTATTATTGCTTGTCAGCCGCCCTGAGCCCGGCCTTGGCTGGGGAGGGCGGGGTATAAATAAAAATTATTATTATTATTATTATTATTATTATTATTATTATTATGTCCAACCCCTGCAATGCAGGAATATGTAACTTTCCCCAATGAGGCTTAAGCCTACAACCTTGGATGTTATCAGCCCCATGCTGTTGCCAACTGGTAATATGCAAACTCTTGATTTGATGAGCCAGTTGGTTTGAGTAAGTTGGCTTCTATTGCTTGACAACTCTCAACATAAAAGGTTCAGTCCAGCATGTTCACAGTTCCTGCATTTTCTTCACAGCCCAGCCAGCGGCTCCACACAATGGCAAAACTCCCCAGAAGGCAAACAGACATGTTGGCAATGAAGGCTCCAAACGTTCCAGCATCCAGCACGATCAAGCCGGGTGTAAGAGTAGACCTCCTTGGAGCCACATCGCCATTTACTTTTCTGAAGATCCACTCTCCAAGCTACTTGCCCCGGCCTAGTAGCATCCCTGCTGCATTCCCTCACGCCAAGCCCTTGGGACCCGATTCAGAGACCCGAGGAAGTGACTACCCAGCGATTACGACGAGTGAGTCTCCTCTAGACAGCCTAGCTACAACACATCCCACGTCTCATACCACAAAAGAACCCAGAGGAGATGCTTAACCAGAAATCCAGGCATCTTGGTTCTACAAACAGCCCATATATAACTGGGCTCCTGGTACTGAAGAGACAGCTAATACCCAGGAACATTTCTGGTGTGATTTGCAGCCGATTCCAGGGAAAATGTGGAGGGAACGGCGCAAGCCCATTAATCAGGTTCAAATGACGCTTACACATGCAACTTGAGAAAATTTGCATTGTTTATTCCAATTCTCTCAGTAATGGAACTATGCAAGCAATGAAATTCTGCCATTAACCATTATTCCTTCTTACTCAGCCACCCATCAGGCTTCTGAAATTTCAACAGGCGTTGCTCACAGTTTGGAGCGCAAGATCACAGCTTAACTGCTAGAAACTTGCTGGGAGCTGGGGTTATCAGGAAAAGGAGTTCTGTCCTTGGTACTATGTTGTTTCATTGAAAAACATGGGACTCCTGACACAGGGAAGTGCAGGGTGATGACGGCAGTAGCAGGGGAAATGTGTGAGTCTTGTCTCCTGTCTGTCCTCTGTATGATTTGACAGCAAGATTTCTCACCTATTCATAATTTCCATTTATTCCTACTTTCTCTCTCTTAAGTACATCCCAATGGGGAACCACTCATTTAATTAGGCAAGGATGGGCCGTCTAGTTGTTGTTACATGGCAATGTCCATCTTCCCTGACAGCAGGCAGGAGCCAAAGGGAGTTGGGAGTTTGTCTGAAAAGTGGCACAGTGCCCATCTGAAAAGCCACGGATATCTCATTCTTCATTCCTGTGCTGGTTAGTCCTCTCACGGTGACAAATCGGTGATGTTTTGCAATTTCAATTTTTCCTAAATAAAAAAAGCGAAAGACACTCAAGTATTATTATACTATTGCCACAATAAGCAACAGTCCTCTGTTCATTTTGGTATGATGACTACCGTATTTTTTGCTCTATAAGACTCACTTTTTCCCTCCTAAAAAGTAAGGGGAAATGTGTGTGCGTCTTATGGAGCGAATGCAGGCTGCGCATCTATCCCAGAAGCCAGAACAGCAAGAGGGATCACTGCTTTTGCTGTGCAGCGATCCCTCTTGTGGTTCTAGCTTCTGAGATTCAGAATATTTTTTTTCTTGCTTTCCTCCTCCAAAAACTAGGTGCGTCTTATGGTCTGGTGTGTCTTATCGAGCGAAAAATACAGTAATCCACCTGCTGACCAGGGGAAATTGGGTAATTGGTGTTTCACTGGATAGGGCAAAGACCTCTAAAAGTGTGCAGGCCTTTCAGCAGAGAAACCAGAAACACTGTTTTGTGGCCTTGTCACTTTTGAGGACTTCTGCCCCAACTGTTATTGGCATGTGCCTGTCTCAAGAGACAACGGAGTGAAGTCAAATAGCTGTGTTCGGTGAATGCCAGTAAGATGTCTATGCAGGCCATAATGTGCTTTTTCATAACGATGTAATTCGCATATCCCTTCTGCCCTTAAGGTCTTCAACGCCAAAATTATAGCTCAGTTGCTCTATGGTATTCCAGTCTGGCTGCCAGGGTTTACCCATCTGGTAGAACGAGGGCAGGCAGCTTTCCTCTTCAAGATTTTTACTGTCCCCCACTGTGTACCCTATGCAGCCTTGTACCTAAAGGGAGGTCAACGCAAGGTAGAGATTATCGCCTGGGTGAGATTTCTCCTATGCTGGTTAAACATCTGCCTTACATCTGATAAAGATCCTCTCCTCAGTGAAGTTTTGTTAGACCCCTTTCTTTCCCCAGGGCTACAACAGTTTAACAAGAAGGTACAGCAACGTGGGCTGTCGGTGGAACTTTTGCGATCGATGTCCCTACCATCTGCCAAGGCTATAATAAAAACTAGGTTGTGGGATATTGAACGCCAGGAACTAACAGTAGCAGCAGAGAAAACATGCTCCCCTCTTTATTTTCAACTTTCTTGGGCACATGAAACTAACCATAATTACCTTGAACTTCTGCTTAACCCTCAAGAAAGAGGGCATTTTCGCTGGCCAGGTTTAATTCAAATCCATCCAACCTCCTTTGGGGAAGGTTCTCAGGCAGGGTGGAAGGAGAAAGAACTTGTCCATGTGAAGACCACCTGGTGGAAACCCTTACACCTATGGTTCTCAATTGTAAACTATATGCTGATCTCCGTCAGCAATTTCTAGATCAACTCTGTACAGTATCCCCAAATGGAAACCAGAGTCGGAGGTCATACATTTTCTATTACTGGGGAATGATCAGGAGCTCACCAAGTTAGTGGCTAAATATCTCTATTTGGTTTTTTGTCGTTGAAATACACTGCCGACGTCTGATCTCCCTGGAGACCAAGAGATGTGATGATAAGACTGCTCTGCCTCCTTTCTTTTAGCAAATGTTTTGTGCCACTGGGGAAGTGGTAATTCTGTATTGATTTGTTTGGGATGTTTGTATGTGATGCCAATAAAAGGTTTGATGATGATGATGAAATCGCTGCATTAGGCAGCTCCCCAAGGCACAAGCCTGGAGGTCCTGGGCTGCCCAGATGGTAAGACCACCCTCTTGGCCTCGCTGATGTGGTCCAAAGGAAAGCAGAGTGATATGTTTGGCACCAGCTTGGCTGCAGGAGTAGACGGAATGAGGCGTACAAGGTGCAATCCAACCGTCTTAGGGACTCCACTCTTGATTCTTATAGGGTTTACTCCTTAGCCTTTTCTCCTGAAGATATCCCACAAGGCAGGGGAGGTTGAGGATGAGTTTTCCTTCTAGATATAGCTATATCTTCTAGCTATAACAAAGGCGGCATTTTTCCATCTCTGCCAAGCTAAGCAGTTGGCTCCTTGCCTCTCTCGCCCTGACCTAGCCACTGTGATCCACGCAACAGTCACCTCCAGACTTGATTATTGTGACTCACTCTACGTGGGGCTGCCCTTCAGACTGACCCGGAAACTCCAGCGGGTGCAGAATGCCGCAGCGAGACTCCTTACGGGGTCCTCGCTGCGGGATCACATTCACCCGGTGCTGTACCAGCTGCACTGGCTCCCGGTGGAGTACAGGATCAGGTTTTAAGTGCGGGTTTTAACCTTTAAAGCCCTATTGGGCCTAGGACCCTCGTACCTACGGGACTGCCTCTCCTGGTATGTCCCACGGAGGACCTTATGGTCTTCAAACGAAAACATCTTGGAGGTCCTGGGCCATAGGGAGGTTAGGCTGGCTTCAACCAGAGCCAGGGCTTTTTCGGCCGTGGCCCCAATCTGGTGGAACGCTCCGTCACAAGGGACTAGGGCCCTGCGGGACTTGACATCTTTCCCCAGGGCCTGCAAGACAGAGCTGTTCCACCAGGCCTTTGGCCAAGGCACAGCTTGACTCCCTCCTTTGGTAATCCTCATAGAACTCTAGCCCAATGGTTGCCATTAATTGGATTTTGAATTAATTTTAGAATGAATGTGTCAGGGGTTCAGGGACAGAGGCACAGGGTAGGCAGGAGATGGAGAGCGATGGGGATGAATCCCAGGACAGCGAGGAAGAGGATGACAATGACTCAAGAGATTCCATGAGTCTTTCCAGCGAATCAGAGGATTCCCAGAAGGGGGCGCCGGTGGTCAAGCCCAGGGGAGCCCCAGGGGGGACGTGTCAGGAGCAGGGTGCCAGCTGGGCATCCCAAAGTGGCAGCTGGGTGTCAGGACCAGTCTCCCCGCCAGAGTGCAGCGAAGGGGGTGGAGGTTTCAGTGTGTCAGGGGAAGCGGCTCCGGCAGCAGAGAAAGGAGGGAGGTCGGAGCAAGCCATCCTCCCGGAAGGGGAGGGGAGCAGTGAAGGGAGTAGTGTAGCTGTTGAAAGGAAGGTTAGAGGTTGGGCGCGCGCGCCAAGTTCAAATGTAGAGGCGCGCGGAAGTACAGGGAGCCCGGAGGAGGGGCCAGGTCCCAAAGCCCGCAGGGGGGGGGGGAAGAGCAGTCTGATTCCGCGTCAGAGGAATCCAGGAGGGCGAAACCCCAGCGGGCAGAAGGACCCTGCGGAAAAGGAAAGAGAGAAAGAGGTGGAGCAGCGCAAGCCTCTTAAACTGGTGCAGGGGAGGGACGGATTCAGAGGGGACTTCAGCGGTCTAAGCGTAGCAGACGTAGGGCTGCGCGCCTAGGATGTCAAGCAAACAATGAACTGCAATAAACACTTTTGTATATAAGAAGACATAGGCGTTGGTCTTTTGTGAGCTGAGACTTGAGGCAGCCCTGACAGAATGGATTTTAGAATGTTGTGTTACTTTTTTTGTTGTTAGCCGCTCTGAGCCCGGCTTTGGCTGGGGAGGGCAGGATATAAAATAATAATAATAATAATAATAATAATAATAATACTATTATTATTATGGATGGGCTACCTTCCCAGGTTGACCAGCTACATAGTCATGCCGGCTCATGTGCTAAATGGAACTGCCTATTTTTTTTGGGGGGGGGGGAGGGAATTGCATGGGGTAGGTGTCTTAAGAAGTATGCCCTCCCACAGAACGGCAGATTACACCTTTGTAATTAGACAAATTACACAGAGGCAAAGAAGATTTAATTTGAAATTAAATTATTATTTAGAAGACCGCTTTGGGAAGGGGCCAACTTTAAAAACCTTGCATGCAATTATACACGTGCAAATTCTGTTCCTATGAGATAGCTTTAAAACTTCCGCACAACCTGTTGCTAGTTATGAATGCATTTTAACAAATTATTCCAGTTAAAAAGAGGCCTGGGGGAAAGTTTAAAAGGGCTGGGAAAGACAACTGCTGGCGGCACTGAAGAGCTGCTACAACACAAAGTTTGGTGAAAGTGCGGGTGGCGCTGTGGGTTAAACCACAGAGCCTAGGACTTGCCGATCAGAAGGTCAGCGGTTCGAATCCCTGCGATGGGGTGAGCTCCCGTTGCTCGGTCCCTGCTCCTGCCAACCTAGCAGTTCGAAAGCACGTCAAAGTGCAAGTAGATAAATAGGTACCGCACTGGCGGGAAGGTAAACGGCGTTTCCGTGCGCTGCTCTGGTTTGCCAGAAGCGGCTTAGTCATGCTGGCCACATGACCTGGAAGCTGAACGCCGGCTCCCTCGGCCAATAAAGCGAGATGAGCGTCGCAACCCCACAGTCGGCCACGACTGGACCTAACGGTCAGGGGTCCCTTTACCTTTTTACCATAACTTGCCACTGTGAATTAGGGCTGCTGAACGTCAGTCCCTGAAGTTAACTGAGTTCTGTGGGCAACTAGTTCCTACAGTTTGCAATATTGAAGTGTAACCCTTCCTGTTCCTTGCACATAGAAGCAGATATATTGGTTAAAACAGCCCAAAACAACCCATGTTGGACAGCAGAAAGCCTTTTGCACATGGAATATCCATATTTCCAAAGAGGGATTACAATATCGAGGTAGCGTTCCAATTTATTTTGCTGCAACTCAGCTTATGTTACCTGTATCTTGACAAACTGGTAAGTACAAAATAGAGTATCTAAAAATACATTTTTGTATAGCATTGGCCCAAATCCTACTTACTTTAGAGTTAAGAAGTAACTGTTCTGTAAGCTGAGTCAATAATTGGAATGAACAGAAACAGCTCTACAAATTTTGCAAACATCTTCACCAATTTGCCACGTTTCCCTGATAGATGCCATGTTTGATAGCACTTTAACAAGTCAATCTTTTTTTTTTAAAAAAAAAATTAAGACTATTTCAAATACAGCAGCATTCAAGAAACGTGATTTAAAGCAGTCAGAAGTAAACCAAGTAAATGAATACTAAATAGTTATAGCATCTATTTTTATTACCAAAACAGCAAGTTGATGCAGCAACTGCACTTAATTTCTCTTTTTAAAAATCTTACCTATTGGGCGCAAAAGTCAATAAATTATAATCGATCAGTATGTGATTTTAATAACAGAACAAAAGGCTTGTTTTTAACGTGATAATCTGGTAGCATCTTAAAACTTCTGCATGGGTTTTTGCTAAAAATAAAATTTTGTTTTAATATGCTACCAAACGCTGCTATTTGTCTACGGAAATCCCTCCCAAGTTGTTTCGGTTTCTCTTTTTCCTCTGAGGTACAGAATGCAGCCGTTTCAGGCGCAAGGCACTCAATGCTCTACAGTTCCTCTCAATCTGAAACCCACCAACAAGCAGCCAAAAGGTTAAAACCCCTTAACTTGCCAGTCCCATACACTTCAGTAATAATTTCTGTTTTGAAGTAGCAAGAAAGAGTCCGAGTTCTCTCCATGCTGAATACAGGAAGCAATGATTTCATTCAACAGATGTTAAACCATATACATACCATATTTAATCACACCGAAGATCCAAATTAGATAAGTAATGACAAACACACGGAACATATGCAAATGCCAACACGCTTGGTTAACCAAACTGTTACCTTCCAATGCTTCAGGAAAGCATCTAAAACAGCTTCTAGTGTGTTAACAATTCGGTTCGGATGTGCATGTAAAACTTAAAACGGCAGACTTCTGTTTCAGCTACAAAGCATTTCCCAACTTCACACCAGAAACTCAGGACTAGTTCTAGTGATCCTTCCGCTTCTTTAACCAGGTATTTTGCATCACAAGGCCATCAACATTTATTCTTATAATGCAGTACAGGATTCCCATATTTGACACAATAAAGCTTAATTATCTTCCTCGTCGTCTTCGTCGTCCCCTTCATCTTCCTCACCTTGGTCACCAGATTCCAGTTCATCGTCATCTTCAACCTTTAAAAGAAAAAAGAGGTTGCGGCATTTAGTTGACGGACAAAACGTATTCTGCATGTCCAACAATTAACTGGACAGATTTTTTAAATGGCATTTTATTTTTAAAAATGGCATTAATTTTACTGGGGGGTGGTGGTGGTGTGCTTTTGTTACGTATTTTGTGTTTTTATCTTGTATTTTTATGTTGTGAACCGCTTTGAGATCTATGGATGAAGGGTGATATGCAAATTAAATAAATAGAAATAAATTGTTTTAACTGTAAATAAAATGTTTTGTAAAAATAAGACGTTTACTAAAAACTTAGAACGTACGTTAAAACTGCTTTTGACATAAATACTTGCAAAACCGTGGATGAGAAGAGGAGGATGAAAGCCTCCTCTGAGATGGTTGGAGCCTGTCTGCTACAGCACATGAATACAGTACTAAAGTCAATGAAAACTAAAGCAGGGCAGCCTTTATTCCAAATTAGTTAATCCAGAATACTTCTTCTGGCTCTGCTCATCATCAGAGCAGCAAAAATGTTGCCAATCCAGACTAAAACTGGGCTGTTTGCTTTCCATGATTGGAAAAATCAAACGCGCAAACCTAATGAACGTTCATCTTACCGGTTCTCCAAGCTCCTTGAGCTTATCCTTTAACGCAATTATTTTCTGATCCTGATCAGCCAGAAGAACCAGCAGATCGTCCTGTTCCTTCTTAGATTCTGCGACTTCTTTCTGCAATTTGCTTTTCTCGTTTTGCAAAATAGCCACAGTACTGTTGGATGAGTCCAGCTGCTGCTTCAGTGAAGCCTTTTCCTCGCCGTGGGCCGCAATTTCATTCTGGCAGGAGAGGGAGGGGGAAATATTAGAATACATCACGGCTAAAATTGCTAACGCCACCCATCTGGTACCAAAACAGTACTTTAATATGAAAGCTATCCTGGATGTCCCAAACAAGGGGCCTTAAAAAAATAAAAGTGACCCGCTGTAATCAGAATCCTCACTTCCCTTCCCTCCGTGCTCAATCCATATGGAGCTAAATGGACAGAGATTTGATACAAGGACAAGCACCAAGCAATTCTTTCCTCACATTTTGGGTGAGGAATTTTATAAACATATGAAGCTGCCTTCTACAAAGTCAGACAGTTCAGTCTGGAATTATTTACCCTGATTGTACAGTACACTGGATTTGGCATATACTCCCTCAATAGGCTATGTGAATCAATTCGGCTTAGTCATAAATTTGTCAGAAAATGCACACAGAGTTTCTCAGAGGCTATAGCAAACAATGCCACTGTGGAAGTAATCTAAAACTTGTGGTGCTTAAGCCAAATAGTGTGGCAGAACATGTAACGAGATCCCCCCTGCCTGGATCCGTACATAATGGGAAGAATAATTTATAATATGATTACACCCAAAAACCCACCCTCCACCAGATTATCCAAGTATCTTCCTTAAAAATGTGCAGATAGCATTCATTGAAGTGTAAGCTTTCTAAAGGCACTATCTCTAAGTAACTAGAGCAGTGGTTCCGAAACATTTCTTGGCCATGCCCCACCTAAGCATCTCTAAAATCCTGACACATACACCCCCCCGGTTACATATAATTCTTATTACAGTGGTGCCCCGCAAGATGAATGCCTCGCAAGACGGAAAACCCGCTAGACGTAAGGGTTTTCCGTTTTGGAGGTGCTTCGCAAAACGAATTTCCTATGGGCTTGCTTCGCAAGACGAAAATGTCTTGCGAGTTCCTGCGGGTTCCCCCCCCCTTTTCCCAAGCCGCTAAGCCGCTTATCAGCTGATCCGCTAAGCCGCTTATCAGCTGATCCGCTAAGCCGCTTATCAGCTGATCCGCTAAGCCGCTTATCAGCTGATCCGCTAAGCCGCTTATCAGCTGATCCGCTAAGCCGCTTATCAGCTGATCCGCTAAGCCGCTTATCAGCTGATCCGCTAAGCCGCTTATCAGCTGATCGCTAAGCCGCTTAACAGCTGATCGCTAAGCCGCTTATCAGCTGATCCGCTAAGCCGCTTAACAGCTGATCCATTAAGCCACTAAGCCGCTTATCAGCTGATCCGCTAAGCCGCTAATCAGCTGATCCGCTAAGCCTGCTAATCCGCTAATAGCACTAATCCGCTAATGGGCTTGCTTTGCAAGACGAAAAAACCGCAAGATGAAGAGACTCGCCGAACGGATTCTTTTCGTCTTGCGAGGCACCACTGTATTCAAAAAGTGAATTCCTATTAACATGGAGGAAGCCTAAAAGGCCATTAACTGTCCATAACTCATTCTCGAATTGCTCCCCCCAAAAATCAAATTGCCCCCCTGTAGGGCGTGTGTCCCACTTTGGGAACCACGGAACTAGAGGAAGGTTGGTGTTTGAAGATAATGTGCCCTTATTATACCACCATAGATAGATAAACTTTATTTGCATTAGCCAACGGCCATAGCAACATAAAACAAGCAATATATACAATTAAAAAGACAACAATGGGTAAAAAGGGCAATCAAATGACCAAGACTATCGTTCAGATAGTGGCCCTTAATCTCACTGCACCTTCGATAAACCTTTGCTGTTGCCTGATCATTTTGATCTGATAAAAGAAAGAACAAGATGGCCGCAGATGGGCGGCCTGGGATGGAAAGTAAGAGTGGGGTGATCTCATTCCTCAGATCTTTATAAAGGGGACAGGACAGGAGAACAGGAGCCACCGTTTCCAGATTGCACAGGGGCAGAGTCGTTTCTCAGTTGGAATCTTTTGGTATCTGCCCTCAAGTACGGAAGAGTGCATCACATCCAATCTGGCCAGTGTGAAGGCACGTCTGTATTTTGGGATAGTTAATTTATACAAATATGGTGCCAGGGAATAAAACTGAGAAGGGGGGGAAAGGCATACCAAGGACAGAGTTTCTTTTTTTAAAACAAAATAATATTTATTATTTTTCCAAAAACTTAAACACTAAAAAGACAATACAATACAACACATCAAACTAACAAAACGAAACAAAAACAATAAAATAAATCAAACAATTTCATTATCCCATCTTTCATTCACTTATTTCCATGACCTCCTCACACCTCCCTTTTTGTATTCCACTTCTGTTAATTATTTCAGCAATTCCTTTCCATCTTCCTCTGTTTTCTATCCTATAATTATCTTAACTCATTCTAACCTTATTTTTCCTTTAATGCTCTATTAACCTATCTGTACTTAATTCCTTATAACATTTCTACTAAAGCCATATAACTTCATTCCAACATTTTCCTAACATTCATTAATTTTACAGTATTTCTGTAAATAGTCTTTAAATTTTTTCCAATCTTCTTCCACCGACTCTTCTCCCTGGTCTCGGATTCTGCCAGTCATTTCTGCCAGTTCCATATAGTCCATCAACTTCATCTGCCATTCTTCCCGGGTGGGTAAATCTTGTGTCTTCCAATCAAGGACAGAGTTTCTTTATAGTGGTCAGATTGTTCTGTTGCTCTAAGTTCTTCAGACGCTGTCCAATTAGCCTTTTTGCTTTAATAAAGCCCATTGTGAGAAGCTGATGTGGGTGGAGTCGGCAGGAGAGGAATTTTTGGTGCACAATTTTAGACCACACACTTTTATGGGGGTCTTGTGTCACTAAGGGCAGTAGACCGGGTGGATTTAGATTTAGACAGAGCCAATAATTAAGAGTTCTTTGCCAGGACCGAGCTTCTACAGAGGGAAGACTTGCCTCCAGTTGTAATACTGCGTTTCGGACACAAGGTGGTACAGAAAAATTCTGTCTTAAAAATTTGGATTGGACAGACTATACCACCATGAAAAACATATGTTAGCCTTCCAAAATATTCCCCAAGGAATGGCAAAAATCCTTCAGTAGTGAAGTTACACTTTACCAGTTTATTTTGACATCTCTATTATACCAGTTTATTTTGACATCTTCTAAATTCAGCTTGCACTTCTGGGAGTTCTCGGTCCACATACTGCTTGAGCCTTCCTTGTAGAATTTTAAGCATAACCTTGCTAGCGTGTGAAATGAGTGCAATTGTGCGGTAGTTGGAGCATTCTTTGGCACTGCCATTCTTTGGGATTGGGATGTAGACTGATCTTCTCCAATCCTTTGGCCACTGCTGAGTTTTCCAAACTTGCTGGCATATTGAGTGTAGCACCTATCCATTCTTAAGAAACCTATCCATTCTTAAGGAAATCAGCCCTGAGTGCTCACTGGAAGGACAGATCCTGAAGCTGAGGCTCCAATACTCTGGCCACCTCATAAGAAGAGAAGACTCCCTGGAAAAGACCCTGATGTTGGGAAAGATGGAGGGCACAAGGAGAAGGGGACGGCAGAGGACGAGATGGTTGGATAGTGTTCTCGAAGCTACCAGCATGAGTTTGACCAAACTGCACGAGGCAGTGGAAGACAGGAGTGCCTGGCGTGCTCTGGTCCATGATGTCTCAAAGAATCGGACACGACTAAACGACTAAACAACAACATTTTGACATCTCTATGGAAACTAATTATTCTAAGCAACAGAACTTGTTAAGGCGGTTCTGCCGGCTCCAGCTAAGCGGTCTCCCAGCAGTGGATAGCGATTTGTTTAATCGACGTGTTGAACTTGGAGATCTCATGCAATTGTTCTACCAGTGAGCTATGGCTATTGAAAATCAAGTATCTCAGGGTGATTATACAATCCACTGAATGTGAACATGCAGGTTCCACTTATAAAAAAACAACAACAACGATCCCAGGAAATCATCTGTTAGGTGAGCGTTTGCATAATGAGTCCACAATTTCCATTATTTCCTATGGGAACATTTCTAATTTGTGATATCTGCCCCTTTCCCACCCCAGTGTTGAGTTGAGCAAGGATGAAGCCGCCACTTCGGCAAATCTTAACTGAACACTTAAATTAAAAACGTGGTATTTTTTAATTGGGAAACAACCTTTAGTTCTTTATTCTCTTGCAAGAGCATTGAGAGTCTTCTTTCCAAGTCGGCTGTCTTTGCTACCATAATGGTGCCATCGTCTCCTGATACAGGAACCGGGGCTATGCTCTGCAAAACAAAGAAGACTCAACAAGACTGACAGGGTACAGGAGATATATTTGGTCCAACACCTGCAATGCGTTCTGTGCGGCAAAGTACAGCTAACGCAACAAATCAGACAATCTGTGTGAATGTGGGCCGCTAGAGCTTATGTGGTATAAGAAAAGACTATGGCTATTTATGGATTCTGCTGGTCAGTTGAAGGAGACAAGAGGACCATTACTGTTTATTACATCCCATAGAAACAATACAAGGACAAAAAGATAGGAGTGAAAGTCTTATATTACCAGTTTTTGAAGCAGTTCTTGCTTTTCACTCTGAAGTTTAATAATGTCTGTGGACTGTGACTGGATTTGCGCCCTCAGGGTTTCAACTTCCTGTGAAGGGGGTGAAAAATAAATCAATTATTCTGTTAAGATAATAGCATTGTTTGCAAACAGAAGTAGGACATGGAGCTAATGGGGAGGATTTTCCAGAGGTTTGGAGGGCATCACCAATGCACACAACTCATTTTTTTTTCTTATTTTTAAAAACAAAGCAGAACAAACAAGGCAAAGCAAAACAAAAGAAAAAAAAGAAAAAAAGAAAACAAAAATAAAAATCACATCTACAAAGAAAACCATATCATTATACTAACTGTTACGTACATATACACATATTGACTTCCTTCCTTTGTTCTGAGACCTCATAGTTTTTAATCTTTCTGTATTTTTTTTAAAATAAATTAATTTTATTAGTATTTTCCACACAACAACAACACGAAAGACATCAAAAAATAACAATACACAACACACAAAAATCAACATTCGAATACTAAAACAAAAACAAAACAAAAAAACAAACAAATCCATATCTTACAAGTTAATAATATAAACACTAAAACAACAGCAAGACATTGACTTCCACCAATCCCACAGCACCTCCTTTATCTCTCATTGTGTCTTCCTGTTTTCCTGTTTTCTTTATCCTCTCTATCCAAACATCTAGATATAAATCCTTCTTTCATAAATCCTATATACTCTGGTTTCTCTTTAGATCGTATAAATCTTTCGCCTTTCTGTACTGTTGTGTCTAGTGTAGATTACCTCTATCTTTATGCCTCTTGCACCATTTTTCAATTTCTTTAACCCTGCAGACCTTCATTCATTACACACCGATATACTTACTCCAGAACAATGTTTTTGCATTTCAAAGGTACTCCTGGTTAGGAGAGCGTGGTGCTGAAATAAGGATTCAGCCTGTTTTGGATGGGGTGGTGCTCCCCTTAAAAAAGCAAACTTGCCGTTTGGGGGGGTGGACTCTTGGATTCGGCTTTGCAAATGAATGTCCAAATAGTGGTTGTGGCCAGGGATGCTGCCAGGTGTTAGCGGGCCCAACTCCCATGGTAGGTTGCCAGGGATGGATCAGACAAGGAAGGTAAAGGTAAAGGGACCCCTGACCATTAGGTCCAGTCGTGGACGACTCTGGGGTTGCGGCACTCATCTCGCTTTATTGGCTGAGGGAGCCGGAGTACAGCATGACTAAGCCGCTTCTGGCGAACCAGAGCAGCACACTGAAACACTGTTTACCTTCCCGCCAGAGCGGTACCTATTTATCTACTTGCACTTTGACGTGCTTTCGAACTGCTAGGTTGGCAGGAGCAGGGACCGAGCAACGGGAGCTCACCCCGTCGCGGGGATTTGAACTGCTGACCTTCTGATCGGCAAGCCCAAGGCTCAGTGGTTTACACCACAGCGCCACCTGTGTCCCTTTTATGAGTGTAAGGTAAAGGTAAAGGTAAAGGACCCCTGGACAGTTAAGTCCAGTCAAAGGCGACTATGGGGTTGGGGTGCTGATCTTGCTTTCCGGCCAAGGGAGCGGCGTTTGTCGACAGACAGTTTCAACGCGCTATAAAAAAGAACAATGTAATACGGTGGTAAAGGTAAAGGTAAAGGGACCCCTGACCATTAGGTCCAATCGTGGGCGACTCTGGGGTTGCGGCGTTCATCTCGCTTTATTGGCTGAGGGAGCCGGCGTACAGCTTCCAGGTCATGTGGCCAGCATGACTAAGCCGCTTCTGGAGAACCAGAGCAGCGCACGGAAACGCCGTTTACCTTCCTGCCGGAGCGGTACCCATTTATCTCCCAGTACGTTTCCAAGCACAATTTAAAATGTTGGTGCTGACCTTTAAAGCCCTAAACGGCCTCGGTCCAGTATACCTGAAGGAGCGTCTCCACCCTCCGTCTCGCTGTTCTAGCTTGGGGATGGCTGCGCAAAGGCTCCGCCGGGCAGCGGGGTGAAGGCACCCTGCTGCTCTGAGGAGGCTTCAAAGGCTGCGCTCTGGGGGCTTCAGGCAGCTATCCGCAAGCCTTCGGAGCGCAGCAGGAGTTCCCGCTGCGCCCTGAAGGCTAGCGGATGCCCGCCTGGAGAGTGAGAGGGGTCGGTGCACACCGATCCCTCTTGCTCTCCAGGCTTCGCTTTGCTGGAGAGGCGCTGCACAGTTTTCCCTCTCTGCGAAGCGCCCCTTCAGTGAAGCAGGAGGAGACATGGAAGGGGCTCCCTTTCTCCTGCCGCTTCGCTGAAGGGGCGCTGAGCAGAGAGAGGGAGAAATTTTTTTCCCTGTTCTCCCCCTCCTATGGTCCGGTGCGTCCTACAGAGCAAAAAATATGGTATATAATGCTACTTTTCGATCAGGTTTCCTACTAAGGGTACCTTCACAGATTGCAACTGGGGAGGAACCATGTTCTCAAACAGCAGCAGTCACGACAGAATATCTTACGGAAGCAACAGGAATTCTTACTTTATATAGTTCTCTGTCAACGTCAGGGCCACTTGGTTTGTTCGTTTGTGAAGACTGCTCTGTTGTTGTTCCTCCTGCTGCGGGCGAAAGCTTCTGCAAATATCGGATATTAACGAAGGAAACATTTATTTAAAAAGGATAAGGATTTTTTAACAAAGCACTTCCATAAATCCTGAGAAACTCAAACATTTTCTTTTTTAAAAGCAAGCCCTTTTGGCTTCAGTTATAGGCTGACAAGTTTGTGGCAGTGCCTGATGCCGTCTTTGAAACAAGAAGATACGCGCTGCAGCGTTTTCAGTGATCAGAAGGATTCAGGAAGTACAGTGGTACCTCGGGTTACATACGCTTCAGGTTACAGACTCTGCTAACCCAGAAATAGTGCCTCAGGTTAAGAACTTTGCTTCAGGGCGAGAACAGAAATCGTGCTCAGGTGGCACAGCGGCAGCAGGAGGCCCCGTTAGCTAAAGTGGTGCTTCAGGTTAAGAACAGTTTCAGGTTAAGTATGGACCTCCGGAATGAATTAAGTACTTAACCCGAGGTACCACTGTAGTACAGACCATTGCCACTCTGCCCACGAACAGCAGATACAAAATATGCAATATAATGACATATTTTGACATACATGGCATAGAACTCAATTTTCCATGCAGGTGTTGGTGATTATTATTATTATGTCAGCTCTGGTATAGGTATTTAAAACCAAAATAAGAGGAAGGAATAATGCCTTTTCCATCCCGATCCACTACTTGACAATTTGCCAATGAACAAGCAGCACTGCAGATTTTACATATTGCTTGTGACTACACTGCCTCCATTACTTAACAACCATTCAGAGAAATGCTGCAACAAATCAGTGACTATGATTATCAAGTTGGAAGCATTTACTACATGTGCCTCCTTACAATTCAGATATTGACACTCATAAGGTTATTAGGTCAGCATATCCATTTTAGCCTTGTGAGGACACATGTATGGAAGTCACTTCCAATAGTGGACTGAAAATCATTAAAAGAAACTTCAATAATGGCTGTGAACAACCAACAGGTTATGATAGCATTTAAAACAACAGGCAATTGTTGGTCTCAGCAGTTAGGATCTGCCACAGAGTCCCATCTGAAGACCACTTTTGGAGATTAGATAAGTAGCTACTGAAAAAAGGACATTTATAGCAGTGGTACCCAAACCATGGACACCCCAGCCTAGACATGCTTTGTGCCTTCTTTACTATTTTTTAGGCAGTCAATGAAATCTGTCTTGTTCTCTTTTGCCTTTAACAAAATAGCTGTTAAAAACATCCAAAGCCCATTTAAATACATTTCTCTGTACTGGTGTTTCAAGGTGGTTTCATCAGCCGTATTTATTTTTTCCTTTTGTTATCGCAAGCCACTGCCTTGAGGCTATGTGCATTACGATGGGATAAAAGTCTTACAAACAAACATATCCATACTGAAAGTCACATTCTTTCCCATTAACCAGTCTGTTCAACTAAGGAATAAAAAGTGACAATGGGACCAATGCCTTCTTCCCCTGGTATCAGGAACTTGCCTGCCTCTGATCTGAGCAAGAAAACAAGCCTTTTCTGATCAGCATTTTACCCAAGAAAAAGATGGACTGGAATTTTCATATCAGGTATCAATAGCTGACACTCATGTACTCACCAAGCTTTCAATCAAAGAATCTCGTTCCTTCAGTTGTTCCTGCAACAGTTCAAGCTTGTGTTTCCATTCTTCTATCTCCCCATGCAATTTGCTGATTTCTTCCGGCTGAACGCCATTCATTTGAGCCACATCACCATGGGAACTATGATGCTGATTGTCTTTTCCTGTTAGATTTGAAAATGACCCATTTGTAGAGTTCTGGGACAAAAATTCCACAAATATTTCCCATCCCAAACTCATTTAAAATCTTTCCTTCCTTAGAAATGGTACTATGAGCGAGGTAAATAAAGGTAAAGGGACCCCTGACCGTTAGGTCCAGTCGCAAACAACTCTGGGGTTGCGGCGCTCATCTCACTTTATTGGCCAAGGGAGCTGGCATACAGCTTCCGGGTCATGTGGCCAGCATGACTAAGCTGCTTCTGGCCAACCAGAGCAGCGCACGGTTTACCTTCCCGCTGGAGTGGTACCTATTTATCTACTTGCACTTTTGACGTGCTTTCGAACTGCTAGGTGGGCAGGAGCAGGGACCGAGCAATAGGAGCTCACCCCGTCGCGGGGATTCGAAACCGCCGAGCTTCTGATCAGCAAGCCCTAGGCTCTGTGGTTTAACCCACAGCGCCACCCGCGTCCCCATGAGCTAGGTACATATGGATAATTATGTCTCACTGTCACTTAGCGTCAGAGTGGGCAGAGAGTGGAGAATTGGCTGCCGGCAGTCTTATCAAGAATGCTGGACTAAATGGCCCTTCGTCTGATCCTGCACAGCACTTCTGCTCTTAAGCAACAGTATGTACACCAAGGATCAGTTTATATACGTTTGTTTATTGATGCAATTTATATCCCACACCTTCAGTAAAACGTATTTCCAGGGTAGGATTAGTACACCTTAACTGTTAAGAGACACTGAATATGCATTTTTTTAAAAGACACACACACACTGATGGGGAATATAGTGACAAAAAAACCACACCTGCACAAGACTGGTGTCTGTACAGTCCTAGTTTACAGTTATTAGAATCAGTCACCAATAATGCTTTCAGGCTCAGGTTCTACAAAGATATCTGCATTTTCTCTGTGGGACCTATGAAAAAGTCTTGCATCATTTTGTATGCACACCATTTTTCTTTCAGTCTGGGGTCAGCAGTTTAGAAGTCTTCGGACTGGAATATATCTATTATTGTAGAAGACCTCTTCCCTACTAATTTCTCCCTGGCGAGTCAATCAGGGATAATTGGGGGGTGGCAGGAGAAAGTTTACACAAACACAAAGAGATGGCTACTTACGTGCATGGTGCCAACTTCTTCCTAGCTTGGGAAAAGCAGGGAAGAATAGTGCCTAGACTCTGAACTATGACTGGTACTGGCTATCCCTTCAGCCAACAAAGACTCTTTCAAGACAAGAGACATGCCACCTCCCTGGGAGGAACAAAGCCACACACCCCTCCTTCATTTTTGCTGCACTTGAGATGTGAAAAAGCAGCATAGTGATTAAATCCTACTGGGCCTATCCTAAGCACTATGGTTGTGCAAGAGCCAGACCCAAGATTAAGCGGGTTATCTTTTGCGAACCCACTTTTGAATGCAGCGATTGTGGCAAAGGAAGAAATACACTCAACCACACAGTTTTAATGCCAGTTCTGTGGGAGTAATGGATAGGATTCCAATGAAGTTCCAAGACCAGGATACCTGTCCATTCACTGCGTCTTTTGTTCCTACAATTCCAGGTTGCCACCTTACTAACTCTTCTGCCTCAGCAGGTTTTCACAGCTTTTCCCACCGACAACTTTATTTTGCCCCACTCCCAGTCCCTTGTCTTGTTTCAGTTTATAGGTCCCAGAAACCCAATATAAACTAGTACTAGGTAAAGGTAAAGGGACCCCTGACCATTAGGTCCAGTCGTGAACGACTCTGGGGTTGTGGTGCTCATCTCGCTTTACTGGCCGAGGGAGCCAGCGTACAGCTTCCAGGTCATGTGGCCAGCATGACTAAGCCGCTTCTGGCGAACCAGAGCAGCACACGGAAACGCCGTTTACCTTCCCACCGAAGCGGTACCTATTTATCTACTTGCACTTTGACGTGCTTTCGAACTGCTAGTAGGCAGGAGCAGGGACCAAGCAACAGGAGCTCACCCCGTTGCAGGGATTCGAACCACCGACCTTCTGATCAGCAAGTCCTAGGCTCTGTGGTTTAACCCACAGCACCACCCGGGTCCCAAAAACTAGTACAGTGGTGCCTCGCAAGACGAAATTAATCCGTTCTGCGAGTGTCTTCGTCTAGCGGTTTTTTCGTCTTGCGAAGCAACCCTATTAGCGGCTTAGCGGATTAGTGCTGTTAGCAGTTTAGCGGCTATTAAAGGCTTATCGGCTTAGCGGCTTAGGAAAAGGGGGGGGGGAGCGAAAAAAAAAATCTCAAGACTCGCAAGATATTTTCGTCTTGCGAAGCAAACCCATAGGGAAATTCGTCCTGCGAAGCAACTCAAAAACGGAAAACCCTTTCATCTAGCGGGTTTTCCGTCTTGCGAGGCATTCGTCTTGCGGGGCACCACTGTACTAGTTTCACGCATTTTCCAGGGCTGCTCAAACAATTTGCATCAAAGTAAAATGTGGCGTTCCATGGTCTGAAAATGCACAGCAATCTGCATTTGACAGCAAAACTTAGACAGGTCACAGCTAGCAGTCCTACCTAGCTGTACTTTAAGGAGATTGTACTGGTCCTTGTGTTGTTGGATCTGCGACATTTGCTGGGTGACTGTTGCCTGAAGCTGCTCATTTTGAACTTTTATAGATTCTACTTGTTTCTTCAACTCCTCAAGCTCCTGATCCTGGAAAATAAAACAAGAATCTACTTAATGGAATCTTACATTCATTTTTTAAATTCTGTTGATTGCTACTGTTATATATTTTTTTTAAAAAATCACCACAAAAATTAAGCACCCATAGGCATTTACCTACAGACATTTGCAAAGGAACTTGGCTCTAACTGCTTATGCTATACAGAATGCCACACAATGCCACTGGTCTAAAATAATGCTTGCACATGTCTGTGCATTTGCCTGTGTTTGCCAGTACATTAAACTAGTAAAAAGGTAAAGGGACCTCTGACCATTTGGTCCAGTCGTGACTGACTCTGGGGTTGCGGTGCTCATCTCGCTTTATTGGCCGAGGGAGCCAGTGTACAGCTTCCGGGTCATGTGGCCAGCATGACTAAGCCGCTTCTGGCGAACCAGAGCAGCGCACGGAAACACTGTTTACCTTCCCGCCAGAGGGGAACCTATTTATCTACTTGCACTTGACGTGCTTTCGAACTGCTAGGTGGGCAGGAGCTGGGACCGAGCAGCGGGAGCTCACCCCGTCGCGGGGATTCGAACCGCCGACCTTCTGATCGGCAAGTCCTAGGCTCTGTTGTTTAACCCACAGCGCCACCTGCGTCCCTTTCGCATTAAACTAGTAGCACTGTGCAATATATTTTATGGTATAAACAGTTAGTGCAACGTTCCCAGATACAAACAAAACTGCATATCCAGAATTTAGGGTAATCACAGGTGTCAGCGCACCCAGAGTGGATCAGTGCCACCCCCAAGCTGCAAGTTCTAATAATATGTTTAAATAGCACGATTACAGTAATGGGTAGTTTGGCCCTAATATATACCACCTAAAGCAGATACAGGGCCCACTAGTGCAAATGAAGCTAAGATGTTTGGTTTTTTTACCTGAACTCTAATGATGCTTTTGTAGCGTGTCACTATGTTGTCGTGTTGTTCTAAGGACTTCTTCACTTCCTCTTCCTGTTTATCTTCTTCACTAGACTTATAAACTGCCTTTGTTATAATGCCTGTTTCCAAAAAAAAAAATCGTTTCTTTTATTAAACATTCTAAGCCACATGGTTTTGAAGCAATCCCAGTGCCTGTTCAGATATAGAAGTTTAACAGGAGTTAGTCATTTTAGGGATTCTATCATCGAAAATGGACCATAAAGAAGGCTGATCGCCGAAGAATTGATGGTTTTGAATTATGGTGCTGGAGGAGACTCTTGAGAGTCCCATGGACTGCAAGAAGATCAAACCTATCCATTCTGAAGGAAATCAGCCCTGAGTGCTCACTGGAAGGACAGATTGTGAAGCTGAGGCTCCAAGACTTTGGCCACCTCATGGAAAAGACCCTGATGTTGGGAAAGATGGAGGGCACAAGGAGAAGGGGACGACAGAGGACAAGATGGTGGGACAGTGTTCTCGAAGCTACCAGCATGAGTTTGACCAAACTGTGGGAGGCAGTGGAAGACGGAAGTGCCTGGCATGCTCTGGTCCATGGGGTCATGAAGAGTCGGACACGACTAAATGACTAAACAACAACAACAACATCATCGAAAAAGCCATTCAAGATGCAATAAATGCGTTGTTGTAGTATGGAAAAATCACTTGTGTAAGCAAGCACTTCAGTAAATCGAGAGTATGACCTCTGCATATTTTCTTAGCTCCCAATCATTGGAATGCCTTTCCAACTGACATCTTCCTGGTTTTTAAATCCAAGCCCCTCTATAAGATACTTCCTGTTCGTTGTTGCTGTTCTCAACTGATCCTTGCTCACTTTCCCTTTTCCTCCTCCCTAGTGTGTTATCTATTTACCTATAGACTGCAAGTCCACAGGCATGGTCCATCTTATTTTGCAAATCTCTGTATGGTACGTAGCAATTTTACTATCTAATAGATCAACTACATTCTTTACAGCAGATAATGTAGACTAATTTTGTAAGAGGAAATCTACTAGCTGCCAGGAAAAATAAACGACAAACCACATTCTCAGATGCAGAATGGATCAGAACATGTTACCAATAATTTCAGCAGGGAAGCCTCATTGTGCTGTAAACCAATTGCACCATCGCCTTCTCACCAAAGTCAACACACATGATGCAGCAAACCCTCAAATATTAAGAAGCCAAATGAACTGGTCTTATAGCACACTGCGAACAAAACAAACCTATTGCACTTCCTGTGTAAAATTGTTTGCCTCCAGCGTCATAACATGCTTTAGGGTTGCAGAAAATTAAAAACCTTGAAAGGTATAACTTAATTAAGTTTACATCCAATTCTGAAAAGGAAAGGTTCTAAATCTTTCAAATCTAATTGTCTTAAGTAGTACAGTGGTACCTCGGGTTACATACGCTTCAGGTTACAGACTCCGCTAACCCAGAAATAGTACCTCGAGTTAAGAACTTTGCTTCAGGATGAGAGCAGAAATTGTGTTCCGGTGGTGCGGTGGCAGCAGGAGGCCCCATTAGCTAAAGTGGTGCTTCAGGTTAAGAACAGTTTCAGGTTAAGAACGGACACCCGGAACTAATTAAGTACTTAACCCGAGGTACCACTGTAAACACAAAACTCAAGAGAAGTGAAGTAACATGTCTCACCCTCTAGCTCCTTTACCAGTTTAGTAAATTCATGATCAAACATCATATGGTCCGGGCTAGAAAAGCTTGGCTGAGGTTTCTGAGCTGCTCGGGAATAGAATTCGTGTTTGCTGATGAATCCCAATTTCTCAACGAAGTTTTCCTTGCCAATTCTCTTTTCTATCAGTTGTTTCAATTTCTCCCTGGGGGTGAGAGACGGATCACGTAAAACTACTGCGAACTGCACAAAGATGCCCTCTTTTCCATTTCACCCCACCAGTCCACCTCCAGCAAATTCCTATTTAACAAATAGTTATATCAGCTATATCAAAGGCAACAGAGAGTAGTACTAAGTGGTAGAGACAGATGTGCCCTCAGATTTGGCAGTTTGAATGGAGTGCAGAGGGCGAAATAGAGAACAGATGAGTTTGCAAAACCATAAAAGCATTGTTTCAAGAGCATGGAAATAATGAGCTGAAGGGAGACTATAGTTAAAATGAACAGGATTGGTTTTCATTTTAATGTTGAGACTCAACGTTCAGTCGTATAAGAGAAATACGACTCATCATGCTAATGGACAACTTGCTAGCTGTTAATTATGGCGGAAAACATTCGACCCTACCAAAGTTTGTAATAATAAAATAAGTTTAAGTCTGTATCTAATTTTCTCTGGCTTAACCATATTGGGGGGGGTGTGTTAAACTATTTCCTAGTCTTTGCCCTGAAAATTATATTAGAATAGACCAGGGGTCAGCAAACTTTTTCAGGGGGGCCGGATTACATTTTTTGTGGGGGGCCGGATTACATTTTTTGGGGGGAAATGAACAAATTCCTATGCCCCACAAATAACCCAGAGATGCGTTTTAAATAAAAGGACACATTCTACTCATGTAGAAACACCAGGCAGGCCCCCCAAATAACCCAGAGATGCATTTTAAATAAAAGGACACATTCTCCTCATGTAAAAACACGCTGATTCCCAGACCGTCCGTGGGCCAGATTTAGAAGGCGATTGGGCCGGATCCAGCCCCCGGGCCTTAGTTTGCCTACCCATGGAATAGACCGACCACATTTGTAGGCAGAGGGGGACACAAGTTTCCCATTCACCCTTCCAAGTACTCACTTCTTATAATTCTCGAGCGAGTTGTCATTGTAATAAATGGAAATTCCTAGTAAGAGAGCACATAACCCTTGGACCAAGTGTTCCTCTTCTCCAAGGTTTTCCGCTATCTGTCCTGTCAGCTAAAAAATTGAGTTAAGGATGTGTAGACAGTTCATAGACAGAGGCATTCTAATTCTTGTACAATACTTATTTTTTTGCTTTTACTAATACTAGCTTAATCAAGCGCAAGTATCGTATTTTTCGCCCCATAGGGCGCACCGGCCCATAGGGCGCACCTAGTTTTTTGGGGAGGAAATAAGGGAAAAAAATTTATTTCCCCCCTCCCCAGGTGCGAGCCCGAGCTTCCCCCGACCCCAAGCCCCCAGAACAGGCTGCTATCCGCAAGCCGTGGGTCGCGCAGCTCTCCCACGGCTAGCGGAGAGTTGCCCAAAGCCTGGGGTGTGCTGAGCTCAGCGCGCCCCAGGCTTCGGGGTGCAGGCAGCTTGTGGATAGCTTCCTGAAGCCTGGAGAGTGAGAGAGGTCGGTGCGCACCAACCCCCCTCGCTCTCCAGGCTTCAGCGAAAGCCTGCATTCGCCCCATAGGACGCACACACATTTCCCCTTCATTTTTGGAGAGGGAAAAGTGCGTCCTATAGGGCGAAAAATACGGTATATTTATTTGTACCACACCTTTCCTCCCGAAGGAGCCCAGGGTGGCAAACATTAAAAAATCAATAGAATTTAATTAAAGCATGCGCTATTTATATGCATATGGCTGAGAGGAGAGATCAGCGTATGAGACTTTTGAGCTCCCTTGAAAGATAATGACCAGATTCTACAGAATGTCAGACTCTGAAACGTCTGTTACAACTGTTATATAAAAACTTATCTTTTGCAGGAGTACAACACCTGTCCTTCCATTAAAGTTTACAAGTGCACATTCAAATTTAAAATCCCTGTGAATTTATCCACGCGTCCCAAGCCTATACCTGTCAAAAACTCCTTAAGAAATTTACAGACACTTGTCAGTTTGCATTTCTTAGTACAGAAAGTATTGATATGATGTGTAGAGTTCTTCCTTATTCTACGTAATTCAAGTGGGTTCTGGAAGCTTCTCTGTGTGAAAGAAGCAAGCAGAAGGTGCATGATATTTGGGTTATTCCTTCAGAGAAGATGAGTACAGCTGGCTTAAACTGGGTCTGTTATCTCTTTCTGCCAAGGTCATACTGACTATAATAGTAGGGCCAGAAGGACCCTGAGTTTCACACTTTCTTTTTCTAACTCTCTTCTGGTGTGGTGTTCTGTACATAGTAAGCTTAGTGTTAAGGTTTAGCCTTGTTATAAGTTATTGTAAGTTTAGGTTAAGTCTGCTGCAACTGGATTTCTTATGGACAGAGCCAATCCTGAGTGTATTGGATTTGTGACCATTATGCTCATTTGCCTTCAGTAAAGCTCTGCTGGATGAAATATAATTGCCTCTGGTCTATTTTTGGGGAACCCTGCAACGTGTTTAAGTTTTTACTCTGCTAACTATATATTGGAATCTACTCTGGATCAATATTGAGTAGAATTTCAATGGCAATACTTCCATCAGACAGGTGGTGACTTCAAGCCTGCTGACCAGCGGCGCTTCAAAGCACCGTGCAGCTTTTTAAAAGCCCCAGGTGGTGCTTTGAAGTCCCAAAAGTCATCACCTTACATGACTGTAAAAGACCAAAAGGTTTCAACTTTCAACTTTTCACCTTTCAACTTTAGCCTGTGAAGGATAAAAACCACCTGTGACCTAAAGTGTTGGGGCAGCTCTGTAGGTTATGCAGAAAAAATTACTTCTACAGGTATAACAGTTTCCTGCAGCAAATATGTGAAATGTGGGCAATATGTACACTTACTGAGATACCTGTGTTACAGGAAACACCACATATACTACCTTGAGTTCCAGTAAGGAGGGATGTAAATGTATTTAAGAAGGAGGTAAATACAATGCTAAGGTGTGGCGCCTCCTTACTTTGAACTTGCATACAGAAACTTGCGCTCCTAAAGAACATTTCCTGTCATAATTCAGAGAGATTAATTGCTGACGTGTAAAAGGATACAAATGGAACATTGGCAGAATTGTGCAGAAAATGCGTGACAGCAATGGGGCAGTTGCTTAGCCAGGTACAAAGCAGCATTAATAATCCAACTCTTGTCTGCACTTTGCTTCCCTGGAAGAAACAAACAAACAAAGGACAAACTTTTACTTGTCTTTACAGGTTTTCTGTTTCTTCCACGCGTTGTTTCTACTTTGAAGCCTGAAGCAGTCTTAAATGTTGGGTGTCCAGAACGCTTTTCACACAATTATTGAAATTTAACAATTTCCTCTATTAGGAGTGAGTGTGAATCCTTATGTAGCAAAACTGGCAAAGTCCACACACAAGAGGGAGGTATCAGAACACCCAGGAGATGGAAAGAAGAAAACTGAAGGTTTGCAGAAGTACAGTTAGAATCATAGAATCATAGAGCTGGAAGAGACCACAAGGGCCATCGAGTCCAACCCCCTGCCAAGCAGGAAACACCATCACAGCACTCCTGACATATGATTGTTAAGCCTCTGCTTAAAGACCTCCAAAGAAGGAGACTCCACCACACTCCTTGGCAGCAAATTCCACTGTCGAACAGCTCTTACTGTCAGGAAGTTCTTCCTAATGTTTAGGTGGAATCTTCTTTCTTGTAGTTTGGATCCATTGCTCTGTGTCCGCTTCTCTGGAGCAGCAGAAAACAAGCTTTCTCCCTCCTCTATGTGACATCCTTTCATATATTTGAACATGGCTATCATATCACCCCTTAACCTCCTCTTCTCCAGGCTAAACATGCCCAGCTCCCTTAGCCATTCCTCATAAGGCATCGTTTCCAGGCCTTTGACCATTTTGGTTGCCCTCCTCTGGACACGTTCCAGTTTGTCAGTGTCCTTCTTGAACTGTGGTGCCCAGAATGGAACTGTGGTGCCCAGTTGTTGTTGTTGTTGTTGGAAAACAAGACCTTAAGGTCTGGGATGGGGAGAACCCCTCAAAACAGCTACCGTATTTTTTGCTCTATAAGACTCACTTTTTCCCTCCTAAAAAGTAAGGGGAAATGTGTGTGCGTCTTATGGAGCGAACACAGGCTGCGCAGCTATCCCAGAAGCCAGAACAGCAAGCAGGATTGCTGCTTTCACTGCGCAGTGATCCCTCTTGATGTTCTGGCTTCTGAGATTCAGAACATTTTTTTCCCTTGTTTTCCTCCTCCAAAAACTAGGTGCGTCTTGTGGTCTGGTGTGTCTTATAGAGCGAAAAATACGGTAAATGAGGACCAAACATGGGCAGTAGCCACAGAACGTTGGGCCAATTGTTGAGGTGGGGGAGAGAGAAGGGAGTGGAATTTCCTGGCGGGAAGTGGCTGGTGAAAACGGGAATGCAGCTGCAGCAACCCAAGAAGCATAAAAACACTTCTGACCAGCTAAACATGTGTGTGTATCTGTGGCGTTCGCCTCCTAGGTGGGTCATAAGGAAAGGGTTAAAATGAGCGTGATGTGATTGGCCAGTGGAAACTGATAGGAGGAGTTAGAGAGAGAGTGGGTGGTGTGTGAAAGTCAGTTGAGAGTTGGGAGTTGGAGAAGGAAGAGGGAGGATATAAGTCTGTGGGTTGGTCGAGTTGTGTGGTGAGAGAGTGAGAGGAATTGTTAGGTGGAGTCAGATAGATAGTTGGGATAATCAGTTTGAAGTTGTTAGGAACAAATAGGACAGTTAAGGAACTAAGACTAAGAAACTGCCAAGAAAAATTAACTGAAACCATAAGCTTGTTCATGCCTATAAAATAAACTTGATTATTTGTTAATGTTACCAACTGACTGGACTTCGTGTGGACCCGTGAGAAACGGGTTGGTGGCAGCGAAGAAAGCAATCACAGTGGTGGCACAGGGTCAATAGACCATCAAACTCCTGGGGGCCCTGTGTGATCGCTGCCACCACTTTTGACCCACCTTTTGACCCACCTAGGAGGCAAATGCCACAGTATCTTTCTCTATCTGCCTGTGCTCCCTTTCTTTCCTCCTCTTTCCTCACCTGAGATAAACAGGAGTACAGGAGGATGCAGAAAAGAGACACACATATAAGAAAAGAAAAGAGAATCACATCATTGTCCGGATCAGTCATCTCCTGATTTGCACTGAGAGGCTGCTTTTGAACGTTCCCAGAGATGGAGGTGAGAGCTGTCCGTAGATATCAAAGAAGAAATCAAGTATCTTGGCACAGCTGTGATTGGATGTCATCCACACACACCCCAAATAAAAGATACAGGAAAGGAAAATAATTCCAATTCACGCTAACTCAATTGCTATTCAGTGCAAAACAGTTTCCGGTGCAAATGCAGCTCATTGTCCCCACACTGGTTAGAATGGGCTGTTACTGGGAAAGAGTGGCGTGTGACATCCATGCGGTTTAGTTCACACACTGAATATTGCAGACCAGGCTCCGAGTGGTTTAAGGCAACCCTGCAGGGTTGCTCAGAGGTAGGAGACAGCTTAAATTGGAGGGAGAAAGAGAAAATACAACAACTCTGTCGTATTCAGGCTGAGGGCTTGGCTAGAGAGCAGCAGCCCTTTCTACTGCCGGAGGACAAAAGCTGGGTATGTGGTTGGTTTCAACCCCCAGTCAAAAATTCTCCATACCTCTCAGGATCGCGGCAAAGATTAAATTGCCTCCGCAGACCTTCCTCTTAGGTCAGACCAAATACTCAATTGCGTGCACAAGCCGCATGCATGTAAACTGGTTAACCCTCTTAAACGTTTAAAAACAAAATAAATAAGATTAATGAATATATGAATATTGCATACAAAAGTCAAGTCTAAATCAGAGCAGGGACTCCTCCTCCTTTTTTCAGGTCCCTCAGGCTCAGGTAACTCATGCACACCAGAGATACCCTGCAACACTTTGCATAAGCCTTTTAATGAGCAGGTTAATGAACACTACCTTCCAGTCTTGGTTCAAATGTAAAGTCCCCCAGCTTCTTAACCATGGTTAAGCAACTAGCAGACCCTCTTAGGTTAATGAATTCTGTTTCCCTTCAAATTACCGTATTTTCCACGCCATTCTGAATCTCAGAAGCCAGAACAGCAAGAGGGATCGCTGCGCAGCGAAAGCAGCAATCCCTCTTGCTGTTCTGGCTTCTGGGACAGCTGCGCAGCCTGCATTCGCTCCATAAGACGCACACACATTTCCCCTTACTTTTTAGGAGGGAAAAGGTGAGTCTTATAGAGCAAAAAATACGGTACTCCTTCCTGTTGCTATGATGAGTGTTCCACCTGCATCTAGTCAAACAACAATCTCGATAGCTTTAAGCCAGATTTTAAAACCATGGTTGGAGGCAGGTTTCACACTTTGTTTTAAAACAAAAGGGGGGGGGCACTTAACATTTCATCTGTGCCGAGTTGAACGCTAACTATGGCTAGCTCTGAAAAGGGAAGGAAGGGATCTTAGTGGGAGAGGAGGGCACAGGCCTAACGAGGAACCGAGCAGGCATTGGGAGAGAGGAAGGTGTGCTCAAGCCAGCCCCTTCTGATACCTTAACCATGGTTAAGTGACTGGGAAATATTATGCCTGCATAGAGGCGTCAAGAGAAAAAAAGCGCAAACCAAGAGGCTCAATGCAAAACCCTGCAAAAACTTAAGAGCAGCAGCATGGGAAGGGGCCTTGTTTAATACTGACCACTCATTTCAAAGAAACAGGAAATAAACAGAAAGCAACACACACTCTTGAAATGAGGGCTTTTTTTAAAAAAAAGGCACTGCCCTACTGATTTTATTGCTGACTGTATTTAGAAAGCAATGATCTGGCATTGCTGGTCATTTAACGGGAGGGTTCCTGCTCATACCCCCAAAGGAGTTCACCTTCAAGTAACAAAACCCAAGGCCCTTGTTTAAGTTTGCATACATCTGCAGCAGTCCAAACGTCAGCTGGCAAACTAATCTGTCTTGTCTATTTCTATACCGGAGATGATTTATCAAAACAAGCAAGATCTCTGTTTTTAGACTAAGAGCTTTACGGATGGAGGACTGCGCGTTGAGATTCCTTCATTGCAGGGGGTTGGTCTAGATCAGTGTTTCCCAACCTTGGGCCTCCAGCTGTTTTCGAACTACAATTCCCATCATCCCTGACCACTGGTCTTGCTAGCTGAGGATTATGGGAGTTGTAGTCCAAAAACAGCTGGAGGCCCAAGGTTGGGAAATGCTGGTCTAGATGACCCTCAGGGTCCCTCCCAACTCTAAAATTCTGTGATTCTAAGATGAATTATTTCCTTCGTCCCGCAACAGAACGTTAAGGTCTCAGTCCACAGAAACCAAGGATGCAACCCCATCTGGGAATAGGCTCCCCTGAATTCAGTGGCACTTAGTCCCACGTAGATATGCATACACTTTTCAACCAAACTCTGGCACCCGTGGATTTGAGAACTGTGCAGCGTGGGGTATAACTGTTCACCCTATGCAGCTCTCAGGGAAAGGAAGGGGAAAGAGTACTCCATATAACTTTCGAATAGATTGTTATTTTTTGTATTAAAGGTAAAGGACCCCTGACAGTTAAGTCCAGTCGCGAACGACTCCGGGGTTGCGGCGCGCATCTCGCTTTACTGGCCGAGGGAGATGGTGTTTGTCCGCAGGCAGTTTTTCCAGGTCATGTGGCCAGCATGACTAAGCTGATTCTGGCGAAACCAGAGCAGCACACAGAAACGCCGTTTACCTTCCCGCCGGAGGGGTACCTATTTATCTACTTGAACTTTGGCGTGCTTTCGAACTGCTAGGTGGGCAGGAGCTGGGACTGAGCAACGGGAGCTCACCCTGTCGCAGGGATTCGAACCGCCGACCTTCTGATCGGCAAGCCCAAGAGGCTCAGTGGTTTAGACCACAGCGCCACCTGAGTCCCTATATTTTTTGTATAGTAAAGGGTAAAGGGATCCATGACCGTTAGGTCCAGTCGTGGCCTACTCTGGGGTTGTGGCGCTCATCTCGCTTTATTGGCCGAGAGAGCCGGCGTACAGCTGCTGGGTCATGTGGCCAGCATGACTAAGCCACTTCTGGCCAACCAGAGCAACGCACAGAAACCCCGTTTACCTTCCTGCCGGAGCAGTATCTATTTATCTACTTGCACTGGTGTGCTTTTGAACTGCTAGGTTGGCAGGAGCAGGGACCGAACAATGGGAGCTCACCCCGTCGTGGGGATTTGAACCACCGACCTTCTGATCGGGAAGTCCCAGGCTCTGTGGTTTAACCCACAGCGCCACCCACATCCCTATATTTTTTGTACACTACTACTTAATAGCTTCAAATGTTGATTAAACCTCTTGCAAAGGTGACACTAAATCCACACTGAGAAAGCCGTCTACCCATGGAGGAGGAGGAGGAGTTTGGATTTGATATCCCACTTTATCACTACCCGAAGGAGTCTCAAAGCGGCTAACATTCTCCTTTCCTTTCTTCCCCCACAACAAACACTCTATGAGGTGATTGGGGCTGAGAGACTTCAGAGAAGTGTGACGAGCCCAAGGTCACCCAGCAGCTGCATGTGGAGGAGCGGGGAAGCGAACCCGGTTCACCAGATTACGAGTCCACCGCTCTCAACCACTTCACCACACTGGCTGTGCAAAGCCTCCGCTCGTGGAGAAAGAAAACACCGTAACAACCAAGTTTCCCACACCACAGTTCCCAAGAGCACCAGTAGAGAAAGAGAGCTGGTTACTGGAAATAAAACTGGGCAGCAACACCAAACTGTTAAGTAGGGGAGGGGAAAAACTTCAAAGCAGTTATTTCATAAAACACACGGCAAAGCTAAGAGAGCAGAAACACCCTAGTGTGATCCAAGCTCCAGGCGCACCAATACGTACCCGTCTGTCGATCTTATCACCCTGTGAATCATACATTAAGAATGAGAAGGGAATGTTATAGGTCTATTATATACACTTACACAATGCAGGGTTAACTTCTAAATGTTTTGTTTTTATTTTCACTGATGGGAGCTGCCCCGTGTATATTTATATCGCAGGGCAGCATACAGATTAAAATTAAATAAATTAGCAGTGGCCATTTCTGGTGCAGCCTGATCACTACCTTATTTTGCATGAGATGGAAGGCAGCGCAGGAGCCCAGAGGTCTGGTGACTCTGCAGCTTATATAAGTCAAATCTGACTCACGGGGATCATATTGTGCTTGTATGCAGGCAGCTATCCATGCTGTTTCCCCCAAATGCAAAACAGGATATTGCTCATTACATAAGTAGGCAATGGTGATTTATTGCGCTCCATACCAAGCAAGAGAAAAGCCTGAAAAGCCCATTTCAAGGCTTATCAAGGAACAGACTTGCATGTCGGGACCCAGCAGCCACCCCCTCGTTGGGAAATAACTCACACAAGGACACAAATATTAAGTTTATGTTATTGGGCAAATTTGGCCACAACTTTATTGAATTACAGAACGTGAGCGGTACTGGCTTAGGCATTGATTGGACCAGACTATATCTGACTCCTGCCCGCTGTGAAGGAAGTCCGGTAAGGGTAAACCACCGGTAGGGGGAGGAAGTGATCCAAGAGGAAGTCCTCCGGCTCGCTCCTCGGTTTAAACTGCCCCGGCCACGCCCCCCTCCGGCCAGTGGATTGGCCGGCCGGGCTCTGACGTAGCCGGGACCCCCCGGGCAACGGGGGACAAAGTCCCCCGCCCCCGGTGGAGAGTGGGTGGCCACGCGGTCCGCCGCAACTCCTCCCCACTGGGAAGTGGAGCAGATTTATCTTTCGTAATGGGCAGATGGGGGCGGGGGGGACAACAGGAAGAACGCGAACCTGTTTGGCCTCCGCTTGTTTAGCAAAGTACAGAGTTAATACAGGAATTGGTGTACCCACACAATTCTTGGCATCTTGTCAGAAAGCAACTCAAATGCTAATACTGCCCAAGCCCCCAATCTATTATGCATATTTTGATTGCCAGTTCTGTTGAAGGTTTGCAGATCCACTTGCCTATATTATTTAGTTCTCAGCAACCCACCGTTCTTTGTGTTATATAAGCCACAGATGTTGCTTGTTACGCCAGAGAGCCTGACTTTACCCGTCCTATTACGCCCAGCACGCTAACTGCAATTCAACAGGAACCGAAAGAGATCGTGTGCAACCTCTTGTGTCCGAGATAATTCACGAGACACCTTGACTTGTTACAACAAAAACAATTAGCATGAAATTTAAAATGACCAGCAGCCTTCTTTCGACTGAAGAGAACGGCACTTCTTGATATAAAGTACCGTTATTTCCCAGCTTAACAAGAGAACGATTAACGTGAGACACACAAAACGTAAACGCTGTACCTGAGACAGAATGTTGGTGCATTGTTGGAGTAAGGACACTGGAGGGTTGCCAATACTTGTTGCCAACTGCACTCTTAGCAGCTGTTCTTTCAGAGTGGCGTTTTCTTGCAAGGCGTGAGCCAGCGCCACAGCCGCGCACCAGTTGGAAAGAGAGTCTGTAGAGAAGAGTCCTCCACAGAGCAGCTGGCCAGCCGAGACGGAATTCCCAGTAGCTGCAATAGGAGGCACACAATGAAACAAAAAAATGCATTTAAATTATATATATAAAAAAATTAAATCCCTGGGAGCTCATTTAAAATACAGTGGTACCTCTGGTTACATACTTAATTCATTCCAGAGGTCCGCTCTTAACCTGAAACTGTTCTTAACCTGAAGCACCACTTTAGCTAATGGGGCCTCCTGCTGCCGCCGCTGCACAATTTCTGTTTCCATCCTGAAGCAAAGTTCTTAACCTGAGGTACTATTTCTGGGTTAGCTGAGTCTGTAACCTGAAGCGTATGTAACCCGAGGTACCACTGTACACCCGAAACATGTCAAATACAGTCGTACCTTGGTTGTCGAACTTAATCCATTCCAGGAGTCCGTTCGACTCCTGGAACCGTTCGAAAACCAAGGCGCAGCTTCCGACTGGCTGCAGGAGCTCCCTGCAGTCAACTGGAAGCTGCATCGGACGTTCGGTTTCCAAAGAACATTTGAAAAACCTCACTCATAAAACTACAGCTACATATTTAAAATTCTATACCATCAATGGTTGAAGGTAGAAGTGTTGACACAATTTCTGCTTGCCCCTTCTCGTTCTTGTATAAGAAGCACTGGAAACAATATAGGACTGCACAACGCAACACAAATGGTTGTCTTTCATTCACCATCGACATAAGTAGTACTACAATTGCAGGCCTGTCAAGTTTAAAAGAAGAAAATCTATTAGTTTGGGTTTTTAAAAAATGCATGCAAGTTGTATGCAAGTTTAAAAGAAGAAAATCTATTAGTTTGGGTTTTTAAAAATCTATTAGTTTGGGTTTTTAAAAAATGTATGCAAGTATAAAAACAATAATACTCTTGAGGACTTGAATGATTATTATTAATAATAATTTATCTATATGTCACCCATCTTACTGGGTTCCCCCCCCCAGCTACTCCAACAAACTGAAACAGCAGCTAAGAGCAGACATATTAACCATCAGAGGCTACTCAACCATGTGATTCTACAATAAGCACATCCATTATTATTTTTACTTATTAAATATGTGTGCTGCCCTGCATCTGAAGATCACAGGGCAGTTCAAAACATAAAAAAACAAAATGAGGACACAAAATACATTTGAATAAACAAATGAATAAATACACCAGCACTAGATTCTTATGCAAACCAAAGAAACAGTTACGCTGATTGCAACAGGTGCTTATGGAAGTCCTCTTACAGAATGAAAGGAAGTCTTGCAGAAATTAGAGCACAGGTAAGTGACAGAATGCACTTCAGATGGCAATGGACTACAGCTCCCATGTTCCTGGACCGTTAGCTACCTTGGCTGGGGCAGATGGGAGTGGGGAACCCAACGTCATCCAGAGGGCACCAGGGTGGCTACCCTGACTTAAGAGGACTACAAAATAACAACAACAACCCTAGACCCAAAGTGGCCTGTCTGTACAGCTATAAAGTTTCAGCTCAATGAGATGCCAGCCTTGCCATTAGAAAACAGGAGAAGCATGGATTCCCCACCAGCCATCAAATGACGTCTTGATTCTCCTTTGTTTTCACAAAGGGCTGTGGCTCGGTGGTAGATCACATGTTTTACATGCAAAAGGTCTCGTGGTTAATCTCCAGGTGAGGCAGGAAGAGACCCTTGTCTATTGCCAATGAGCGTAGAAAATATTGACTTAGATGGATCAGTGGTCTGGTCTTGGTATATACCGTATTTTTCGCCCTATAGGGCGCACTGGCCCATAGGACGCACCTCATATTGGGGGGGGGGGAATGAATAAAAAAAAAATTATTTCCCCCCCCAGCCATGGGGCTGGGGCGGGGGAAGCCCGAGCTTCCCCCGACCCCAGCCCCCAGAACAGGCTGCTATCCGCAAGCCTTGCGGACACCTGCGCGAAGCATGGGGCATCCTCGGGAGGGCGCCCCATGCTCTGCGCTGCAGGCTGCCGCCCGCAAGCCTTGCAAGCCCGTGGGAACTCCCGCCGGGCGCGCAAGGCTTGCGGATAGCTTCCTGAAGCTTGGAGAGCGAGAGGGGTCGGTGCGCACCGACGCCTCTCGGTCTCCAGGCTTCAGCGAAAGCCTGCATTCGCCCCATAGGACGCACACACATTTCCCCTTCATTTTTGGAGGGGAAAAAGTGCGTCCTATAGGGCGAAAAATACGGTATAACGCACCTTCTTATGTTCCAAAGTTCTTCCAAGGAACAAGTGTAACAGCTCAGATCAAATGCGAACAGCACTCAAAGCTAGAATGCAATGTTAACCCACTTAGGGATCAAAGAGAAATCTATTTAGCTGCTGGTGTTTTGTCAGCTGGCAAGAAAATGCTTCCTTGAGCTCTTTCCCCCTTGCATATAGGGATTCTCTGTCTGCGCACTCCAAGTACACATGCCAAGTCGACTTTCCACCCAAGTAGCTATGCTCATAACAGGAAGAGGAGTTTGGATTTGATATCCCGCCTTTCACTCCCCTGAAGGAGTCTCAAATTGGCTAACATTCTCCTTTCTCTTCCTCCCCCACAACAAACACTCTGTGAGGTGAGTGGGGCTGAGAGACTTCAGAGAAGTGTGACTAGCCCAAGGCCACCCAGCAGCTGCATGTGGAGGAGAGGAGACATGAACCTGGTTCACCAGATTACGAGTCCACCGCTCTTAACCACTACACCACACTGGGTCCAAGCTGGTACACCTACCTACAAGGAGCTCTACTTAAGACAGCCAGTGCCCCTGCTTGCATTTCCAAACAACAAGAGTGAGTTACGCTCTGCTGTGAAAGCTAGAGGTGGTAATCCAGGGTGGGCTACACAGAGGCTGGAGGAAGATCCCCAGCTCAGTAGCAGAGCACATGTTACCTCCAGAAGTCCCCGGTTCAATACCTGGCTGCCCCAGTTGAGGCTCTCAGGCAGCAGATCTAAGATGGATCCCTGCCAAAGGGCCCTGGAAACCTTCTGCAAAAGTTGATAAAACTTTTCAGAACTGGCGCCAACCTTTAATCCCAAGTCCTTCTAACTGAAAAAGGAAATGGCAGTGGAGTGCCACTGGTGGATATAACTTATGTCAGGAAACAAAACATTCTTTGTTCTAATTCCTGAGGTAGAAAACCAAAGGGCCCGACAACAATGAGCTATATGGATCAATGGTCAGCCTTGTCATGGAAATAGCTTCACAAGGTCGCTGCAAATTAAGCTTCATGAAACGCCAGAGGCTTCTGTTTTTGCCCGTTTCTGATCACATTTCTGGTTTTACACCAATCAATTCCAGTTGCAAACATCTTGCTATTTATGTTTACAATAAAGGGCATCAAAATTTTCCTTACCCTACCTTGGTGGGTTTGAAGGTGCATTTACTGAAGCAAAGTAGTCTTGATTCATTTGACACCCGCGAATGACCTCCGACACAGTGTTAATGGTCTAGAAGGCAACAAAGCAAAAGCAGGTTACTGAACCATCAGAACCGAGAGCAGTACAGTGAACTGGTCCCAGCTTCAGATCTTCAGAACTATACAACGCTATAAAACATGCAGGGACGCGGGTGGCACTGTGGGTTAAACCACAGAGCCTAGGGCTTGCCAACTGGAAGGTCGGCGGTTCGAATCCCTGTGATGGGGTGAGCTCCCGTTACTCGGTCCCTGCTCCTGCCAACCTAGCAGTTCGAAAGCACGAAGTACAATTAGATAAATAGGTACCGCTCCGGCGGGAAGGTAAACAGCGTTTCTGTGCGCTGCTCTGGTTCGCCAGAAGCGGCTTAGTAATGCTAGCCACATGACCCGGAAGCTGTACACCAACTCCCTCGGCCAGTAAAGCGAGATGAGCACCGCAACCTCAGAGTCATCCGCGACTGGACCTAATGGTCAGGGGTCCTTTTACCTTTAAAAAACATGCACATTGCTTTGTGTTTCTGTGAGTATGTGCTAGCACATGCTTTCTGCAGGTCTTGTTCTCAGCATGAAACTGTTTCAGTGAAGAATGTAAAGTAGGCAAAAACAAAGAGCCAAGTTTTCTGAGGGTGAAAAGAATCCCTTTATTTGCCAGTTCAAATTACAGGGAGGAGCAAGGGGAAGGGATAAATGATCCAAGGCAGAGCAACCTCTCTAGCCTCAACTGTACCATCGCATGGTTTTTTTTTTGCATTAATCATAATGCATCTGGTTTCATGCTCATCATTTGATGACTTGCCTTTGTGACAGAGACACTATAGGTAGCATTTGAGCATCCAACAGTCAAGAGAATTGTAGAGTTCTACAATTCCACGAGGATCACCTAGATCAGGGGTCAGCACACTTTTTCAGCAGGGGGCTGGTCCACTGTCCCTCAGACCTTGTGGGGGACCGGACTATATGGGGGGGGGGGGGATGAACGAATTTCTATGCCCCACAAATAACCCAGAGATGCATTTTAAATAAAAGGATGCATTCTACTCCTATAAAAACACGCTGATTCCCGGACCATCCGTGGGCTGGATTTAGAAGCCAATTAGGCCGGATCTGGCCCCCGGGCCTTAGTTTGCCTACCCATGATCTAGACTCTAGCCCAACTCCCTACAATGTGGGGAACTCCTGGCCAATGTGGGGCTCAAACCCACGACACTGCGATTATGAGTCTTATGCTCTACTGACTGAGCTATTGATTGACAAGTAATGCTGTTCAGCAACAGCTCACACGTTCATAATAACTCAGCATCCAGTGTGTGAACTGAGACTGTGCATCACTACTATAATGCATTCAAGGAATTTTGACTGAGTTCATAGTCCACTATTGGTTTTCTTACACCTTAGTTCTTAAAATGAAGGATATTCATAACAATGGAACTATGGGAACTATTCAGCTGCACAACCCCAAGGACACATTTCCAACATCTCCAGCGGACTCTTATGTTCTTACCAGTTGCCTTGGGGATCCCAAGCAGAAAAGTGCTGCTGCACTCATGTCCCACTTGTGAGATTCCCAAAGGCATTTGTCTGGCTGCTGTAAGAACACAATGCTGGACTAGATACGTGTCTGATCTGACCCAGCAGCGACCTGCTTTTAAAGGTAAAGGGACCCCTGACCGTTAGGTCCAGTCGTGACCGACTCTGGGGTTGCGGCGCTCATCTCGCTTTATTGGCCAAGGGAGCCAGCGTACAGCTTCCAGGTCATGTGGCCAGCATGATTAAGCCGCTTCTGGAGAACCAGAGCAGTGCACGGAAATGCTGTTTATCTTCCCGCCGGAGTGGTACCTATTTATCTACTTGCACTTTGACGTGCTTTCGAACTGCTAGGTTGGCAGGAGCAGGGACCGAGCAACGGGAGCTCACCCTGTCGTGGGGATTCGAACCGCTGACCTTCTGATCAGCAAGCCCTAGGTTCTGTGGTTTAGACCACAGCGCCACCCGCGTCCCTGACCTGCTCTTAAAAGCATCCAAATCCATACCATCCTCTCCTTGTCTGATCAGATCTGTTCTCAGCTACGGAGTTTATGGTTACTAAATGCACCACCTTCCTTCTACTCCCTTACCTCAGTAAGAATATCAGCAGGAACTCCAGTTGCCATCAGGATTGTACAAAGCTGCTGCAGCAACCCACAATGAAACATGGCTCTCTGACAACTGCTCGTGGCACCCGGGGGATTCGTGGGGGACACCAGCACTCGGACCAGCTGAAAAGGATTTTATATAGCGTCATATACACATACTAAAAAACCACCCAAGGAACTTTTCTTTTTCACAAGACAGAACTATGTAGAATTACATGAAAGTCAAAGCACACCTTCATCATGATATAGAGGTGAACACAACAGATCCGAACTCAACTCACTTTGCTAGCCATTACATTATGTTGAGAAGCATTTACCTGGAGCATCAGATGAAGATTGGTTACTTTCTGAGCTGACCACCCAGAATTGTCATCGCCAACTTCAAACCACGGCTTCATACGCTGAATATAGGAACCTTCCTTAAAGAAATTCTGATTGGAATTGTTGTTCTTCAACAAATTTTGCAGCAAGAGAAGACAATCCTCCACAACTATGCCTGAGAGGACAGAAGCGTCGAAGCACATTAGTTTCAATAGTCAGAATTACTCCGTAAAATTTTAGCGCCGCATAATACTATTGCTAGCATCTAGGCACCGAAAAGACTACAGTGAAGGCATCTGTTATCATGAGTTAGGGAGCTCCAAAGTGTGGGGGCTGACACACTAAAAGAATGATTTCTTACAAATGCAGAATGAGTATTTTGTGGCACTAAAATTTTATGAGATACTAAAAGGCCTTCACTACGTAAATACATTTTAGAACCAATTCTTATGTTATGATGTACATCTGTCTAGATTATTTATTTATTTCAGTTATAAGAACATTCATGGACTGTTTTCAAACCCTAACAAGGATACTGAAAGCAGTCAAGACCTTTCAAAAAACAATTAATGCAATATTTAGCAAGGTGAAGAGTAAGAAGAGCAAAGAGTGTAAAATTAAAACCACACTACCATAATTAAATGCCATTGGCTTCCCCATCACACTTTTAGGCTATGAAGGAAGCTATGAGCACTGGCTATTTAAAATTAAGTTTCATTATCCCACCACAAAATGAGGTAATAAGGTTTAGGCTTTGACCCACAAGCTGTTCAAGCTCTTTTTTCTCCCCCTTTGTTCCCTAGAATTCAGTAAGACATTGCAAAGAAAGCAAGCTGGGAAAGGGTTAACCAGGATTCCTTAACCCAGATCTGAAACTGAACTGGTTCATGTCTGACATTCAGTGCTGCATAAGCTATGATGACAGAGCACATCTTTCAAGGCATACCTCCGTCGCTGTTTCCCTCGTCCGTTATGATATCCAACAACCTCTCAAAGGCATTTTCAAAAGCGACTATTTTCTGGATGGCTGCATTACTTTTTGTCAACTGCTGAAGTAACAAGACACCCTATGGGAGAAAAAGGCAGACAGAAGTGACCAGCAAAACTTAAACTCTGGAAAAAACACAGTTTCTTTAAATCAGGGGTCAGCAAACTTTTTCAGCAGGGGGCTGGTCCACTGTCCCTCAGACCTTGTGGGGGGCCAGATTATATTTTTTGGGGGGAAATGAACGAATTCCACTGCCCCACAAATAACCCAGAGATTCATTTTAAATAGAAGCACACATTCTACTCATGTAAAAACACGCTGATTCTCAGACCGTTCGCGGGCCGGATTTAGAAGGCGAATGGGCTGGATTTGGGCCTTAGTTTGCCTACCCATGGGGACGCAGGTGGAGCTGTGGGTTAAACCACAGAGCCTAGGACTTGCTGATCAGAAGGTTGGCGGTTCTAATCCCCGCCACGGGGTGAGCTCCCGTTGCTCGGTCCCTGCTCCTGCCAACCTAGCAGTTTGAAAGCACATCAAAGTGCAAGTAGATAAATAGGTACCGCTCTGGCGGGAAGGTAAACGGTGTTTCCGTGCGCTGCTCTGGTTTGCCAGAAGCGGGTCAGTCATGCTGGCCACATGACCTGGAAGCTGTACGCCTCGGCCAGTAAAGCGAGATGAGCGCCGCAACCCCAGAGTCGGCCATGACTGGACCTAATGTTCAGGGGTCCCTTTACCTTTACCTTGCCTACCCATGCTTTAAATGATACACCAATGTTCAAGTGAGCAAGGTCCCATTCAGCAGAATCAGACGAGCGCCGGCGTGTGCTGCTGTGCGTGTGACTGTCAGGATTGGAAGGATCAACACCCACTATCCATTATGCGATGCCCTGAAGATCTTAATGCGCTTTTTAAACTTGAACAAATATCTTACAATCAATAATCTAGTTTGGGTATCTATTTGGACATATGGACTGCTTATATCGATATATAAATTAGGACTGATGCGTTGCTCTTATTGTTAATGTAAGCTGCCATCCCCCCTTTTTTTATCTGTTGTACTTGCAATAAAAATGAAAATATGATTAGATACAACTGTACACTCTGTTATTTTCTACTTACATCATTCCGTATGACCTCTCTAGAATCTGCTAGCAGGTCCATCAGCCTTGAGACGCCTAAAAGAGAGAACCATGACAAAATATTGTTATGCCCAGGCCTATAAAGCTGCCTTAACGCAAGTCAAAAGGTAAGCAAATTATTATTATTATTACTACCACCGTATTTTCTGGCGTACAAGATGACTGGGTGTATAAGACGACCCCCCCAACTTTTCCAGTTTAAATACAGAGTTTGGGATATACTCGCCGTATAAGACTACCCCTCTTCCAACGCACACCAAATAAAAATTTTAAAAACCAGTCTCCAGTCCGGCTCGGAAATCCGCTCCACTTCCCAGTGGCCGGGGGCTTCTGGGGCCAATTTTCAAGCGTATTTCTGCTTCATCTAGAGAGCTTGGTGTCCTCTGATTTAATTTGCTGTCGTTTTATCCTTTGGTGGGGAGTTGCTGCAGGAGCTGCTGCTGTAGCCGGTGTATAAGACGACCCCCAACTTTTGAGAAGATTTTCCTGGGTTAAAAAGTAGTCTTATATGCCAGAAAATACAGTATTATTATTATTATTATTGCTGTTGCTATTATTTATTCAACTTATTTGCCATACAGAAAGTCTCCAGGTGGCTTCCATATACAACAAAAACAACTACAGTGGTCCCTTTGTTCTCAAATGCCTTGGTACGCAAACAACTTTGGAACCCAAACACTGCAAACCCGGAAGTAAATGTTCCAGTTTGCAAACTTTTTTTGGAAGCCAAATGTGCTCCATTTTGAGTGTTGTGCTTTCGATTTGAGCGCCACACTTCTGTTTTGAGTGTTACCCTGAGGTCTGCCTTGTTTTGCTATTTATTTTGCATTTTTGTTTTTGCGGCTGTGTGGAACCCAGTTCAGCTACTGATTGATTGATTGTGTGACTGCAGGACATTGTTTATTGCTTTCATGTTATGGATCAATGGTCTTGTTAGGTAGTAAAATTCTTGTTAAATTTCTGTTTTAGGGGTTGTTTTTAAAAGTCTGGAACAGATTAATCCATTTTGCATTACTTTCTATAGGAAAGCACGCCTTGGTTTTGGAACGCTTTGGTTTTGGAACGGATTAAGTTTGAGAACCAAGGTACCACTGTATTATGTTTAGCAAAACAATATTCCTCCAAACACACACACACACGATTATCATAATTCCTCAAAAGCCTTAACCTGCTGCTAAAAGCCAAACACTTTCTCCTCTAACGGGCAATGGATCTCAAGGGTCTCAACCAAGAGGCCTTTCCCAGCCCTACAAATGGAGATCCAGGCAGACGAAAGTGATGGACTATATGGAATTGGCTGAGATGACTGGCAGAATCCGAGACCAGGGAGAAGGGTCGGTGGAAGAAGATTGGAAAAAATTTAAAATATATCATATTGTAATATTAAAGACTGTTAGAAAGATGTTGGAAAAAGAAAATTAGGCAGTTTTGGTAGATATGATATAAAGGATTAAGCAAAAATGAGCTGATGAAATCGATGAAACAGAGGATGTTTAATTACAATATTTTAAATTAAAATACGTAAATGAAAATAAGGTTGGAAGGATTTGCTGAAAAAATGATCTGAACTAGAATACAAAATTGGGAGGTGAGAGGAGGTCAAGGAAATAAGTAAAGGGAAAAAGCTATGTAAATGTTTAATCTGTTTTTGTTCTATTTTAATTTAATGCATTTTTATATTTTTTGTCTTGCTTTTTTTTTCTTCTATATTCTATTTTATTGTTCTATTTTTTCTTTTTACTTATGGCTCTGTTATGGTTAAATTTTTCTTTGTATTTTGTACTGTTTTTTTCCTCTTTTTGTAATTTTAAACTTGGAATAAATATCATTTTTTTAAAAAAACAACAAATGGAGATCCATTTAACTAAAAATGCCAAGAACTGAACCTAATAATTTCTGCATTCACACTGTGAGATGTGTCACACTTAAAAAACCTGTGAAAACAGCAACTTCTGGAATGGCTTACCAGCATTCAGAGACCTTAAAAAGCTGTGGATGCTCCCCTTTGTATCACTACAGCCTAGCAGATGTTCTGGCTACATTTCAGACGCAGAAATGTGTTCAGGCTGCTCTGGATAGAGCATCGGATTCACAGGTTGGATGATGCTATTGGGCTTATCTCTGAGAGGTCAAGTGGCCTTGAAGGGATGAAGCACCTTTCACCCGTTTACATTGATGAATCTCTCCTGGATGAAAATAGCCTGGCCACAGTAATTACAGCCTGGTAATATCCTGTTTGGATTACCGCAACGCAGCCTAGTTCAGAAACTAGACAGTAACTTTTCTGCTGTACAGTGGTACCTCGGGTTACATACGCTTCAGGTTACATACGCTTCAGGTTACAGACTCTGCTAACCCAGAAATAGTACCTCGGGTTAAGAGCTTTGCTTCAGGATGAGAACAGAAATCGTGCTCCAGCAGCACGGTGGCAGCGGGAGGCCCCATGAGCTAAAGTGGTGCTTCAGGTTAAGAACAGTTTCAGGTTAAGAACGGACCTCTGGAACGAATTAAGTACTTAACCCGAGGTACCACTGTATTCTGTGCTCAGTGGGATCAGGCATGTTGAATATACCTAGTGAGTCAGTCTTGAACAGCTGAACTAGCTTCAGATCAGTTTCTAAGCCAAATTGAAGGTGCTGCTTTTAACTTTAAAACCGTAAATGGCTTTAGAGCACAGTATTTCAAGGACTGGGACGCGGGTGGCGCTGTGAGTTAAACCACAGAGCCTAGGGCTTGCCGATCCGAAGGTCGGCGGTTTGAATCCCTGCGACGGGGTGAGCTCCCGTTGTTCAGTCCCTGCTCCTGCCAACCTAGCAGTTCGAAAGCACCTCAAAGTGCAAGTAGATAAATAGGTACCGCTGCGGTGGGAAGGTAAACGGTGTTTCCATGCGCTGCTCTGGTTTGCCAGAAGCGGCGTAGTCATGCTGGCCACATGACCTGGAAGCTGTACGCCGGCTCCCTCGGCCAATAAAGCGAGATGAGCGCCGCAACCCCAGAGTCGGCCACGACTGGACCTAAATGGTCAGGAGTCCCTTTACCTTTACCTATTTCAAGGACCACCTACCACAAGAGTATTCGACTTAACTATTAGCATCCTTAGAAGCCCTGATGCTGGACCACACCACACCCCTTGGTGGGATGGGTGTAGAAGGAGAATAGGACCTTCTTTTAGTTGTGGCACTTGCTAATGGAATGTGCTCCCCATAGAGGATTGTCTGGTTCATAATTTTATCTTTTCTGCACCAGCGAAAATCTTTTCAAGACTTCAATCTCTCTCGGAGGAGAGATTCCCTGCTATGTCCCACACAGAACAAGAAGAGACCAAATGTTGGAAGCATGGCATCCAACGCCTCTTGACCCAATTTCAATTACAGTGGTACCTCGGATTACATACGCTTCAGGTTACATACGCTTCAGGTTACAGACTCCGCTAACCCAGAAATAGGACCTCGGGTTAAGAACTTTGCTTCAGGATGAGAACAGAAATCGTGCTCCAGCAGCGTGGTGGCAGCGGGAGAACCCAATAGCTAAAGTGGTGCTTCAGGTTAAGAACAGTTTCAGGTTAAGAATGGACCTCCGGAACAAATTAAGTACTTAACCCGAGGTACCACTGTACAAGATCTTCAGGTGATCATGAAGATGGATAAGAGGCACTTAAGAGATTGTCTCTTCAAGTCCGATGCAGAAAGGGATTTAACCACGATTGCCTCTACCAAAAGTTCACTATGGTTCCCACTTATCAAAACGGAGCACATCCGAGCTAGTTATCTGACAAAGCTCCCACTTGCCGTACTAAGAATCGCTTTTACAATGGTACCTCAGGTTAAGTACTTAATTCGTTCCGGAGGTCCGTTCTTAACCTGAAACTGTTCTTAACCTGAAGCACCACTTTAGCTAATGGGGCCTCCTGCTGCCACCGCACCGCTGGAGCATGATTTCTGTTCTCATCCTGAAGCAAAGTTCTTAACCCGAGGTACTATTTCTGGGTTAGCCGAGTCTGTAACCTGAAGTGTCTGTAACCTGAAGCACATGTAACCCGAGGTACCACTGTACAGAATTACGATTCCAATTGATGCCCTCGGCGGTGGTGGATGGTCGTTATGGCAAAGTACAGTACAAGGAGAGACTTACATAGAGGACCTGTACCACTATTTATTGCAATGCCCGCTATATATAGAACCAAGAGTCCGATTTATAAAACCCCTGCTTACGAACGGAACACACTTGAACAGGACGGAAAGGGTGACATGGCTGCTGAGTGATACTGACGACTTCGTAACTTATAAAGTAGCACTATATGCGTTGGCAGCTAAGAAGATCAGGAGAAAAGAACTAGATAAAATACTGGTCAGTTGCAAAGGTGATTCGGATATTTAAGCCGGCCCATTCTATCTGAGAACCAACTGCTATTCTGTCGTATGCAACAAATAATTTCTAACAGACGTGACCGTGGTTTATTGTATTTGCGGTGCCTGATGTTTTTATGGTTATTGCTGTTTTTCTTTTTGTTTCCTTTGTGAATGATGCCATGGCCTTTGGCTAGTGCAATAAAGTTTATGATGATGTAAATCTTTTCATGTGTCCAGGATAGTATGCCTTGATGGATGGCTTTATTTGGTTCTTAAGAAGTTTTTCTTTTGCTGGCCTTTCCTTGCTTTATTGTATGGATTTTTACTGATGTTTATTTTTTTACTGTAAACTGCTTTGGGAGGTCACTGCATCTGAAAAGCTATATAGAAATGTTTTAAAATAAAATAAATACTTACCCATGGGGCTGACTAGTATTATCTGCTGCACTTGGGGGCCCTGCTGTTTTAATAGCACTGTAAGAAGTTTCACTCCAGGCCACCGGACGTGAAAATCAAATTCCTGCAAGTCAACATGCCTCAGCATTAAAATCCACTGTATTTCATTGCTTACGATTATTCTGGCCAATATTTGTGCTATTATTTTACCAAAAACAACAACAACAGCCACAAAATGATATGCTCTGCTTCTGTCAAAGGAAGTTTACTTTCTGGTCTAAATGACAGCCAAATTAAGATAATCATAACATCACCAACATTTGTATAGAACTTCATACACATAATCAATAATCCTTACTGCAAGGCAGGCCAGTATTATTCCCCTGTTTCAGCCATCTAGTATGCTGAGGGACGCGGGTGGCGCTGTGGGTTAAACCACAGAGCCTAGGACTTGCCGATCAGAAGGTTGGCGGTTCAAATCCCCGGGTGAGCTTCTGTTGTTTGGTCCCTGCTCCTGCCAACCTAGCAGTTCGAAAGCACGTCAAAGTGCAAGTAGATAAATAGGGACCACTCCAGCGGGAAGGTAAACGGCGTTTCCATGTGTTGCTCTGGTTCTCCAGAAGTGGCTTAGTCATGCTGGCCACATGACCCGGAAGCTGTCTGCAGACAAACGCCGGCTCCCTCGGCCTATAGAGCGAGATGAGCGCACAACCCCAGAGTCGGTCACGACTGGACCTAATGGTCAGGGGTCCCTTTAACTTTACCTAGTATGCTCCCAACAGGGGCAAAATTTGCAGCAGGGACTTTCTGGTTCATAGCTTAGCCACTTTAGTGCAATTAATGTATAATTTTGAAAATTCAATTACTGTTCCTGGGTACTCTACTTTAACCCTTGGACTGATCTAACAAAGCTTGAAGGCACACTGAAATTGAGAACAGGTTGCTATGCTACTTAAATGAAAGGATTGTTTTTTACATTTATATCCTGCCCTTCTTCCCAGGTGCTCAAACTACCAGGGCTCTTCTCTTCCATGTTATCCCCACAATGTGACACTGAGCTAATCCCCCAGATAGCGTCACAACTGAATGAAGATAGGAACCCCTGACTTCCCAAGTCCCAGTTAAACATCACTTCCTCTACAACCCTTCAAATGATGCTTTTCCCCTAGCCTGGCTCTGTGACTGGATTTGCTGGTCAAGTAGGGAAGACAGCAGTAAAAAGGAGTGAACAAGATCCACCCTCCCCAGATTAATACAGCTTTGTTCACCGCAATATCAACCAACAAATTTGTATGCTTATTCTATGACTAAAGGAGAACAGTTCTCACCTCCAAATAGGTCAGCAGAAGAGTGATATTGTCTTGCTGTTTAATGAAAAGCTCTGTAAATTGACTTCCAAGGTCTTCTGTTTGTTTCTGCGAATTTTCTTCTGTAACATTAACAAAGGTTCAATTACAGCAAAGCTTCAATCAGCTCCGTAATTGCCAACAAGTACTATTTGAGTAAACGTAATAAAAATTTTAGCTTAAAAAATAATTGTCATCCACCAATCAATGTTACAGAACATATTTAATGTGCACTAGAACATTTCACAACTTCAGGTGTGAAAGTTAACATGGACTGGCTGAAAAATGCTGAAGACAGTCAGGAAAGAGAGAGCTATATTTACCAATAAATTGTTCATTATTTAATAGAAGTATTTCTATCCCAGCTATCCTTCCAGATGTTCACATTAATTTCATTGGGCCTGCTCTTTGCAAACATTAAATATTTTTTAAAACTCCATATGGGCATTTAGGAATAAGGCATCAACCATGGCAATATTACTACTGTGGCATATGTTGCATCTATTTATGAATCCAAATAATATTTGCTCCAAGCCTTTATCCCGTTAGCAAATCTGCTAGAAAGTTAGCTTGTAGGAATCTGCTGTCTGACCCACCACTGACAGCAAATTTGGGAGAATCTCACATCAGGTGGCAGCAGGGGGAGTTCTTCCTGAAGCTCACATCAAGAAAAAGGCCTCTAAGAGGTCAAGTGTTTTGTTTAGCAATGTACTTTGCACATTTAGCTAGTATTATTTATTGACTTTGGACTGTTTACAGGGGTGCCCAAACAATTTTCTAAGAGGGCCCGATTTCTTAGGATTGAAGTTGTGGAGCTTTTAGGATTTTGCACCAGGACATATACTGCCACAGGGGCCAGATTAAATCGATCAGAAAGCCACATTAAGCCCCCAAAACGGACTTTGGACATGCCTGGTTTACATCACCCGGACAGTGGCTTTGTTTTTTGTCCACCCCACTCATTTATTTTCTACATTATTCCCCAAAAACTTTATAATTAGCATATGTATTCAGTGGTGTGACATGCAGAAAGAAAAACTGAGACCTCCACTTTCCTCAGAGGCAATGTGTTAATAATTGCATGTTCATGACAAACATAATTATTTGAGATGTGCAATGCTTTACACGGCAGATATGATGGAAATGCATATTCATGCTCAAAGCATAACCATACTCAAAGGATGATACCTTTAATATGAGATCACATGTACAGTTCCCTGCAGTGAAGTATGAAAATCTAGCTTATCTTGGAACAGTTGCTTTTTTAAAAATTCAGAGAGAGAAAATGAACAGACTGGTACCTTGGTAGATGAACTTAATACGTTCCGGGAGTCCATTCGACTCCCAGAACGGTTCAAAAACCAAGGCGCAGCTTCCGACTGGCTGCAGGAGCTTCCCAGTTTGGAAGCTGCACCGGATGTTTGGCTCATGAAAAACATTCGTAAACCAGAATGCTCACTTCCTGGTTTGCAGCATTCGGGAGCCAAAACATCTGAGTACTATGGTGTTGGACAACCAAGGTACGACTGTAAAAGGAAGGCTGGCTTCTGGAATTCACAAAAAGAAACAAGCATTTCTATATCAAGGACACAGGTGCAGAACCTCAGGGGACACTGCCATGGCACCTGCAACTGGCCTGGGAGCTTGTAAAATGGCCAGACAGGCCAAGATTACTGCCTCAAGATTACTGAGAGCCAGTGTGGTGTAGTGGTTAAGAGCGGTAGTCTCGTAATCTGGTGAACTGGGTTTGATTCCCCGCTCCTCCACATGCAGCTGCTGGGTGACCTTGGGCCAGTCACACTTCTCTGAAGTCTCTCAGCCCCACTCACCTCATAGAGTGTTTATTGTGGGGGAGGAAGGGAAAGGAGAATGTTAGCCGCTTTGAGACTCCTTAAAGGGAGTGAAAGGCGGGATATCAAATCCAAACTCCTCTTCTTCTTCAATTGTCAGTAGGAAAAACAGTGATGCCAAAACAGGGCACATTCACTTAGGTAGCACTAAAGGGGCCTGTGTCTACCAGAGAGAGGGCCTGCTCCCATAGGATTGCCCAACACTAGCGCAGCATGCCTGTCTCATGAATTTGTGGCAAGTATCCACCACCCCAGTGGGACGCAGGTGGCGCTGTGGGTTAAACCACTGAGTCTAGGACTTGCCGATCAGAAGGTCGGCGGTTCGAATCCCCGTGACAGGGTGAGCTCCCGTTGCTCGGTCCCTGCTCCTGCCAACCTAGCAGTTCGAAAGCACGTCAAAGTGCAAGTAGATAAATAGGTACCGCTCCAGCGGGAAGGTAAACGGCATTTCCATGTGCTGCTCTGGTTCGCCAGAAGCGGCTTAGTCATGCTGGCCACATGACCCGGAAGCTGTACACCGGCTCCCTCGGCCAATAAAGCGAGATGAGTGCCGCAACCCCAGAGTCAGCCACGACTGGACCTAATGGTCAGGGGTTTCTTTACCTTTACCTTTATCCACCACCCCAGACAGAACAGATAACAGCTGTGATCTGAACAAACGGGGAACTTACTATCACAGCAGGCACATGGTAGCAAGGTAAAGTAAAATGCAAAATGAAAGAGAGAAAGCTTAAATAAAAAAAGGAGGGGGAGTTTTTTTTTTAAAAAAAGCTCAAAATGAAGAGAAAGTTCTGACAATGTTATCACTGTAGCAACCATGATCTGAGTTGTGGCTGGGGACAGGCCTGCTGCCAAAGTGTTTCATTGCCCAGATTCCAAATGTTGCACCGTAGAGCCACAAAACATGCATGTGGGACTCCACGTAAAGAAGAAACTACCATACAGAAGTGATATCCTATTTGCCATAGGATTCACATATTCATGAGTAAAGAACATTCCCAATTTGTAGAACTTCCTTTATTCTTGAAGCATCAGAGAAACATTGTCTTGTGTTTTTTACTAAACAGGTGCAAGCAAAATTGCCAATTTATTAGCTCCTGTGGTTTACTGAGCTATACTCTTGCTCTGCTACTGGAAAAGGAATCCAAGACTCCTTTGACTTTAACCATATCCCATTCCATGTGTATCTTGCTATGAAGAGAAAATAGTGAGTTTTGTATCATAAAAGCCTGGTGGGGACAGTCCTCCATAAACGACTGTACACAAATGACAGAACAGCTTGGTTCAGCCGTAACATATCATTAAACTAAGCCCAAATATTTTATGCAGTTTGGACAATGCTATACTTGTGGCCTGTCCTAGTCACAACTTCTCATTTGTGTTAGCTAATTCCTCATTTTCAATGGAGAAGAAACAGCATGATCTTCAATACGGAAGGAGAACGTCTCCATTTTGACCACGTGTAATTCTTGGGCTCCATGATCACTGCAGATGGTGACAGCAGTCACGAAATTAAAAGACGCCTGCTTCTTGGGAGAAAAGCAGTGACAAACCTAGACAAACACAGAGACATCACCTTGCCAACAAAGGTCCGTATAGTGAAAGCTATGGTTTTCCCAGTAGTGATGTATGGAAGTGAGAGCTGGACCATAAAGAAGGCTGATTGCCGAAGAATTGATGCTTTTGAATTCTGGTGCTGGAGGAGACTCTTGAGAGTCCCATGGACTGCAAGAAAATCAAACCTATCCATTCTTAAGAAAATCAGTCCTGAGTGCTCACTGGAAGGACAGATCCTGAAGCTGAGGCTCCAATACTTTGGCCACCTCATGAGAAGAAAAGACTCTCTGGAAAATACCCTGATGTTGGGAAAGATGGAGGGCACAAGGAGAAGGGGACGACAGAGAACGAGATGGTTGGACAGTGTTCTCAAAGCTACCAGCATGAGTCTGACCAAACTGCGGGAGGCAGTGGAAGACAGAAGTGCCTGGCATGCTCTGGTCCATGGGGTCACGAAGAGTCGGACACGACTAAACGACTGAACAACAACAACAATTGGTACAGAATCAGAGAAGGCTGGTGTAACCTTTCCAAATAAGGCGTTCAGCAATTTATACATAGGAATTATGAAGACCAGGCCCACTGGCTCCCAGCCAGCACACCTGAGAATCAAATCTGAAGTGTTGAGGGCTTTTATTTCTTCTTGCAGGTTGTTATAGGTACGTTATATGCTTCTAGACAACGTATTTACTTCAAGCAGTAGGTACTTCTCCCTCAAGCAGCAGCTTTTTTCAGTCCTCTTGTTAGCTACTGCCTTCTTGTCTAGTTGCGGGACTTTGGTCTTCCAATGGCAACTTCAGAGATAGGCTTTCCAGGAGTTAGGAAAATGGACCTCTCCCTTTTGGCTTGCCCCGTGTCTCTACTTACTTATTTTTTGCTGGGCTACATCTCTACCTCTCCTGCCAACCTAGCAGTTTGAAAGCACGTCAAAGTGCAAGTAGATAAATAGGTACCGCTCCGGCGGGAAGGTAAACGCCGTTTCCGTGCGCTGCTCTGGTTCACCAGAAGCGGCTTAGTCCTGCTGGCCACATGACCCGGAAGCTGTACGCCGGCTCCTTCGGCCAATAAAGCGAGATGAGCGCCGCAACCCCAGAGTCGGTCACGACTGGACCTAATGGTCAGGGGTCCCTTTACCTTTTTACATCTCTACCTAGTTCACTTTGAGACTTGTTAGGCAGACTCTGTTCCCTTGAAGCCCCATTTTCTGCTCTTCTAAGTCGCACCAGGTTCAGGAGGAGCCATCATCCTGTTTTCCTCCTTATCCCCTCCAGCTCCTTTTAACCTCTATTCCTCAGGCAAATCTTCTTTCCTGCTAGCCATAACCCTTCTTTGACCTCAGAAGGGCAAGCCTCTCTTCAATTTGCTCCACTCCACCAGTCACTCTGTTTGTAGGAGAAAGGGCTAGGGAAAAGCCAGGAAGGGGCTGCCAGAGGAGAGTTAAGACAGTATTGGCAGCCACAGCCACAATGGAAGCATGCAATTTTGTCCATTTGTCCCACTGGACACACAAATCTGAAAGTTAAAATTCCTCAATACCATCAATTTTCCCCCAGCTTTGAGGACACTGATCATCAAAGTTGACCTCAAATCCAGTGGGCTGTAGCCAACCAAGTTCTACACACGGATAGACCCAGTGAAATCAACCTAAGCTAGTCGTGTAAAGTAACTTCAGTGGGTCTACTCTGAGTAGGACTAGCACTGGCTAAAACCCAACCAATATGCCAATGCCATATTCCAACATTATATTCCTTATCTTCCAAAATGTTAAAATAAACTGACAAGAGAAAATCCAGGAAAGGATACAGGCAAAATAATATGTTAATAGCAAGAAAGCCTCATATGCATATCAATATTATGCTATTAACCAGGTTACAATGTATTCGACATCATTAGTACAGTATTGCGATGAAGTATTTTAAGATTAGCCATTTGATATAAAAGTTTTTATTACAGAAGATGCCTGCAACATGATTCCAAGTGGACCTTGGAATCAAAGGGCTGTTAAGATGCATGCTCATGTACACAGCGTTGTTTAAAAAGGACACTGCAACAAATACACTTTTGAACTTCAACTGCTATAAAATATTTGCAATTCAGCAATTATTTCTGAACACTGGGTGTTCATATTGCCCCCTTCATAATGAACTCAGCAATCTTAGTAACAAATGGAAAAGTATTTCAGGTATTTTAATTCAGTATCTAACGTTACAAGACACATTTCTCTCCATCAATTATCAATTTGAGCAGTCACATGGCTCCCCTTTGACATGAAAGGGGCCAAAACAGATGCAAAATTTAAAAGTGTTAAGAAGAGAGGGCTAAAACACTTGCAAAAGTCTACACAGTATCCTTTTAAAAACCGATTAATGGTGTTGTGAGTCAGTTAATGCTTAGAACTATAGCTAAAGACACACCATGCTAATATAAATTCAGGTTGCTTTACCTTCAGAATCATCTGTAAAGGCAGACAAGAAGAGAGAAAGATTCAAAAATGAAGCAGATTTCAATTTAGTACGGCACAAAAGATTGGTTAATGGCATAAAACTGATTTCAAAAGGAAGAACTACAGATCAATGCTCACTACAGTGGTTACTTGATTAGTTTAACTGAGGCACCCCTAAACAAATTTAGTTAAAAACATCCTCTGGAGGCCCAGCAAAGATTCCACAATCTTGTCCTCCCTAAGCCTTGATCGCTACGCTGATGTTTCTACACTCTCTAAAGAAACAGGTGTGTCCCTGTTCTCCCCGCCTCCCATGGGATGCCTTGGTTTGGCCAACTGTCATCAAAGCATATTCGCCATCAAGAGTGAGGAGACAGCCCTCCTGATGGCGAATATGCTGGCATAGCCCTCTCCAAAATTGGCCTAACTGGGGGCAACTGCCCCTTGTTTCTTCCCTCCCTGGACTGCCTGTAAAAGTTATCATTCCAATCTGGGTAGTATATAACTGTAACGTAACTGAATCCACTGGTTTGCCTATGTCCCTTCTTTCTTTTATTGTTTCGTTAGGCATTCTGGTGGTTCAAAGCAGAGTTCAATTTTAAGTATTTAACAAATAAATAATCATCTGCTCGCAGAATATACAAAGTATTCTCAACATTCCTTCCTCGGTTTGCACTGCACAATCTAGTAGCTAAAAATTCAGAAAATTACTTCTGAAGAATCAGTACCAGAACCAGCAAGATATACTCATGCAAGTAAATATTTTGGCACATTCAAATATACCTATACAGTGCAACGAGGCCGAATTGAAAGTTCTGTCAATGCACATTCCATTATTCCACATAAAATGAAATATTCTAGAAAACTACTTGCAAGCATTTCTATCTTGAATTCACGTAAAAAGTAAGAAGCTCTGTACAGCTATTTTCATCATGATTTTCTTCCTTTTAGTTTGTAAACATTGTACAGCTTCTCAAAAACCTAGCTGACCTCCAACTCATCAGGAAAAGCATTAAAAGTCCTGCAAGAACTCTGGGGGGCCGGTTTGCCTATGCCTGCCATAAACTGTTGTACTTGTACAAATTTGGAGGATCAGCAGGGACATGAAAAGTATTTGGTGGTGTGTAACCTGGCACCTGTAAGGGATGTGGATGGTGCTGTGGTCTAAACCACTGAGCCTCTGGGGCTTGCCGATCAGAAGGTCGGTGGTTCGAATCCCCACAACGGGGTGAGCTCTCGTTGCTCTGTCCCAGTTCCTGCCAACCTAGCAGTTCGAAAGCACGCCAAAAAATGCAAGTAGATAAATACTTCTGGCGATAAGGTAAACACCGTTTCCTTGCGCTGCTCTGGTTTCAGTGTTCCATTGCGCCAGAAGCGGCTTAGCCATGCTGGCCACATGACCCGGAAAACTGTCTGCGGACAAACGCCGGCTCCCTCGGCCTGTAAAGTGAGATGAGCGCCACAACCCCAAAGTCGTCTGCGACTGGACTTAACTGTCAGGGGTCCTTTACCTTTTTAACCTGGCACCTAGTATAGGTCTTAGGAAGTACAGTAGTTCTCAGTGCATTAGCACTAAGAACACGACCAAAGGCTCTGAACGGTAGATAGGGACAAGGTACAGAAGAGTGGGTGGCCAAATTTGGCCCTGTCACATGTTAATGCAATCCCTAGATCTTAGCAAACTGTGAGAGGAAGCAGTAGCATTTGCAACTCCTGTTTTCCCACTTCTTTAGTGGAGAAACTCATAATCTCATTCATAACGAGCCATCATTTGGATCTCAGGAATATGACCCTGGGAGAGATCTGCAAACTCTACTCCACAATTACAAGCAAAAAACCTCCTGTGGTTCAAGTCACTTGTTTCCTTCTGTCTTCCTCTTATTTGTGTAACCTATGAAGGGCTCTCATTTCCTTTTGATGAATGTCCTTCACTGACTTCTGAAATGATCGGGTCAGCTAAACCTGTGTCGTTCTGTCTGAAGATCAGTAACTTTACTGTGCTCCACAGAGTGTTGCTACAAATCCAACAGCTGCAACCAACCAGCTGCTGGTTTTACCATACGGATGGAAAGAGCATTCATTGTCCTGGTTACTTCAAGTATTCAGAAAGTGGGCATATGTGTTTTGACAAGCTTACTGAGCCCTAGGTAACCAAAAAATGGGGCATGCTTATTCATCTAGTTGTTAAGAAGCTAATATAAAAAAGCAAGTGTATACCTTGTTCTTCCTCTTCCAAATCATTCGAAATGATATTGTAGAGTGTATCCAAAGCATAGCCAATTATTTCGGAATCTGAACTGTGAATACAAGCACAATCTCTCACTGAATGAAAAGCACTAACATTCCAAAAAATAAAATCATCCACACAAATAGTAAAAGTGGCCTAATTAGCAGCAGCAAAATAAAAGGCTGTAGCATTGATGTAAGGCTGCGAAGATCCAAATATGGTATCTCTTATGGGGCTGTGACTGTCTTATTCAGGGGTCAGCAACCTTTTTCAGCTGTGGGCCGGCCCACCGTCCCTCAGACCATGTGGTGGGCCAGACTATATTTTGGAAAAAAATAATGAACGAATTCCTGTGCATTTTAAATAAAAGCACACATTCTGCTCATGTAAAAACACCAGGCAGGCTCCACAAATAACCCAGAGATGCATTTAAAATAAAAGGACACATTCTACTCATGTAAAAACACGCTGATTCCCGGACCGTCCACTGGCCGAATTGAGAAGGCGATTGGGCCGCATCCGGCCCCCAGGCCTTAGGTTGCCTTCCCCGGTCTTATTGGCTATTATTGCTCTTAATCTTTCCAAATACAAAACTGATATTTTTAAACGCTTTTTGGACTTGCTGAGGTTAACTGAAAACAAATTGATGTTTTGGATTTTGGCAATTGCTTTCTTATTTAAAAAAACCGTGCAATTTCATCATTTTCACATTAATTTGAATTCAATTGCAGCTCATGCTACACAACAGAAAAAGTGACTAATGCAGAACACTTGCTTGCATACTTTTAGATTTTCCATAAGAGGCTTACCGATCTGTCTGGAGAACATGGATAAGATGAGGCATAGCTTGAACCCCCACTTCCAGGCGATATTTCTGTGAAATTGAAGAACAGAAGTAACAACTAAAAGAAAATTACAGAACTCTCAAATTGCCACCAAGTACTATTAGGTGAAGAAGAAGAAGAAGAAGAAGAGTTTGGATTTGCTATCCCACTTTATCACTACCCGAAGGAGTCTCAAAGCGGCTAACATTCTCCTTTCCCTTCCTCCCCACAACAAACACTCTGTGAGGTGAGTGAGGCTGAGAGACTTCAGAGAAGTGTGACTGGCCCAAGGTCACCCAGCAGCTGCATGTGGAGGAGCGGGGAAGCGAACCCAGTTCCCCAGATTACAAGACTACCACTCTTAACCACTGCACCACACTGGTGTCATACACAATTAAAATTTCATGTAAGGGACAAAACATACATACCTTTGAAAGAGATTTTAGTGCACGTACAGCATCCCTGCGATCATCAAGTAAGGTTGAAGATGCTACTCTATCACATAATTTCTGAATCTATAAGAGAAATAAAATTGAAGTATTTCAGAAAGTTCTCTGTTGTTTGTAAATATCTTCTCCTCACTTCATCTTTGAGCTGTTCCACCGCTGAAACTTTACCCGAGTTGAAGCTCAAACTGTTCCATCAGCCTCATGCAAAAGCAAGTATCAAGGTCAGACCGTGGTCAGTTTCAGGCACGAGTCCTTCTCAGCCTTTCCTGGAGATGCCAAAGTCTGACTCCTGGAACTTTCTGTATCCATAACATCTGCCCTACCACTGTGCTGCAATCCTTCCCCCCACCACAGGGTGGCATTCAACTAAGCTGCACTGAATGCATGACCATGGCTAAGTTGGACCCATTAATTTCAGAGGGTCGACTCTGAGTAAAACTTAGCTGAATACTACCAGTAGACTCTGGAAAAAAGGGGCAAACCTAGAATTATAGTTAGGAATGCTTAACCCACATCCATGGGACGTGGGTGGCACTGTGGTCTAAACCAAGCCTAGGGCTTGCCGATCAGAAGGTTGGCGGTTCGAATCCCCGTGATGGGGTTCGCTCCTGTTGTTTGGTCCCAGATCCTGCCAACCTAGCAGTTCGAAAGCACGTCAAAGTGCAAGTAGATAATAAATAGGTACTGCTCCGGCGGGAAGGTAAACGGCATTTCCGTGCGCTGCTCTGGTTCGCCAGAAGCGGCTTAGTCATTCTGGCCACATGACCCGGAAGCTGTCTGCGGACAAACGCCGGCTCCCTCGGCCTATAGAGCGAGATGAGCGCGCAACCCCAGAATCGTCCACGACTGGACCTAACGGTCAGGGGTACCTTTACCTTTACCCCACATCCAAATAAATTTTTTAAATAATGAATTTTGAACTTGCATGTGCCAAGACTCACTTGTTTTGTTAAAGCATCAACTATTCAACATCTATTCAATGAAAAGATGGTGCAGATCAAGAACCAAGGAAGACTACAAGTTTTTCATTTTAAAGATATTAGAAGCATATATTTCTACAAAGTATTTTCACTCCCTCAGGTGTTTTCCTGTTATGCTTATTAATAATATAGCTTGCTCACCCAAGTTATGCCCGTGTGTGTGTATGTAAAGGTACCCCTGACCGTTAGGTCCAGTCGCGGATGACTCTGGGGTTTGTGCACTCACCTCGCTCTATAGGCCGACGGAGCTGGCGTTTGTCCGCAGACACCTTCCGGGTCACATGGCCAGCATGACTAAGACGCTTCTGGAGAACCAGAGCAGCGCACGGAAACGCCGTTTACCTTCCTGCCGGAGCGATACCTATTTATCTACTTGCACTGGTGTGCTTTCAAACTGCTAGGTGGGCAGGAACAGGGACCGAGCAATGGGAGCTCACCCCATCGCAGGGATTCAAACCGCTGACCTTCCGATCGGCAAGCCCTAGGCTCAGTGGTTTAGACCACAGCGCCACCCGCGTCCCTGTGTGTGTATGTATGTATCTGTATATGTGTGCATATACACAGTACATACCAACATAAACACCATTCAGCGGTCATCTTCCCTGAGCATTAGGTACTGTATTTTTTGCTCTATAAGACTCACTTTTCCCCTCCTAAAAAGTAAGGGGAAATGTGTGTGCGTCTTATGGAGCGAATGCAGGCTGCGCAACTACCCCAGAGGCCAGAACAGCAAAAGGGATTGCTGCTTTCACTGCGCAGCGATCCCTCTTGCTGTTCTGGCTTCTAAGATTCAGAATATTTTTTTTCTTGTTTTCCTCCTCCAAAAACTAGGTGCGTCTTGTGGTCTGGTGCGTCTTATAGAGCGAAAAATACGGTAAGTTTTCTGGAGATGACGCAGCTGTAGACCCAAGGCTGAAGAACACTGGTCCACAATGACTGACAGCAGATCTCCCAGCCCTACCTGGGATTCAATATGGGACCTTCTGCATACAAGGTGCTCTATCACTGAGCTATGGCCCAAACGTTTTGCTACACTCTAATATCCATCCCAAAGTTCTCCTGTTCCTTATAATAGCATACTGCAGCATTTTAGGCTTGACATGAAGTCTCGCCTTTCCATATTGTTTTAAAATACAAAGCAGAATCAATCTGGGCATGCTGCAAATCTTGAAAGATAAATGAGCAGGCAAAGACGATTAACACTTAGTCCTGTTTCAGCTCAACAGTGGGGAGGAGCGCTACAGGATACCCATATGTTTTCCTGACACAGGTGAACAAAGCTGCTTTTTTGGGGGGGGGTTATAAACTGATAAGCAACTGGTGGGGGAAAGACGATTAAAATAAGCTCTCTCGATGCATCCTTCTCTCAGACTTGCAGCCTATCAATACTCAAATAGCTTTTTAAAAGAAAACAGGGGAAAGCAAATGGAGCTCTACATGATGTGGCTTTTGTGTCTCAAACAGTTGATTTTTCAGTGAAACAAGTTAAGACCTACACCCACACACTATTAATTGCAGACAATAGGTTTTTGTTTAGTACTCAACATGAAGATGCACGTAAAAGTTTTTAGCACAGCAAAGCAGTGGCTACTTTCCTGGCAGCGTATCTGAGAAACAAAGTGATACATACTGGGAACACTCAGAAAATGCAGGGAGTTGTTTCTCCTTCGATCAAAGGCCACAAAACATCATCTTTTATTGCAGCCTCTGCACTGAGATAACTTCCATGGAAAGGAGATTCCTGCAGTTGAGAAATACTCACCTGGTCTGAAACATGGTCAAGAACCGAACAAGCTAAGATGCTCTTGGGCAACGAAAAATCTGTGGCCCTACTGTAATGACTTTGCCTCCTTTGCAAGTATGGAAACCACACTGTTGTTAAACAACTGGGAATCAGAAATCTTTCATAAATCATCCAACAAGAGGGTTGCCATATTTCAAAAAGTAAAAACCAGGACACCCAAAAGTTGTTGAGCTTTTAATTGTTCAGCTTTTTTTAAGGAAAATCTGAAAGTTGTGGACCTTTTTATAGACACCCCCCCTCAATTTTTCGATTGTACTACTTCTTGGGGAGTTATTGGTATCATATTTGATGTCCATATGACCATATGAAGTGTGCTGGGTGTTCATCATATGCAGAATCACAGGTTACTAAACCCTCATTTATAGTGTGACATAAATCCAAACTCCCACACACAAGTTACACAACACTGTACAAGAAGTCAGTCTGGTAAATTATTTTGTATTCAAGTTATGTCACTACTGGGGAGAAAGGAGACAGGAAAGAGTGGTAACAAGTGTTTTGGGTAATATATGATCACACAAATGTAGAAAGCATTTTAGCAAACTGTAGCGTAGAGCTAGCAAAGATGTACCTACCAAAACTCTCTCTTATTAAATGGAAAGGCCTGGTAAAGTAGTACTATACGGAAGACAAATAAGGTCCTTCACACCAAATAAATGGACATGACAGTGGGTGGGACAGCAAGTTTGAAAAAGCAGATGAGGTCAAACAGTGGTTGGTAAATGGCAAAGTGGCATTATTTATTTAATTTGCATACTGCCTTCCACCCGAAGATCGCAGGCTGGCTCACAGCATAAAAGCACAGAACACATGAAAAAGAACAAACTAATAACCATGCCCCCAACATCTTTGAAAGGATGTAAGGTCCGTATAGTTAAAGCAATGGTTTTCCCATTAGTGATGTATGGAAGTGAGAGCTGGACCATAAAGAAGGCTGATCGCCAAAGAATTGATGCTTTTGAATTCTGGTGCTGGAGGAGACTCTGGAGAGTCCCATGGACTGCAAGAAGATCAAACCTATCCATTCTGGAGGAAATCAGCCCTGGGTGCTCACTGGAAGGACAGATCCTGAAGCTGAGGCTCCAAGACTTTGGCCACCTCATGAGAAGGGAAGACTCCCTGGAAAAGACCCTGACGTTGGGAAAGATGGAGGGCACAAGGAGAAGGGGACGACAGAGGACGAGATGGCTGGACAGTGTTCTCGAAGCTAATAAATGTGTTTGACCAAACTGCGGGAGGCAGTGGAAGACAGGAGTGCCTGGCATGCTCTGGTCCAGGGGGTCACCAAGAGTCGGACACGACTAAACGACTAAACAACTAAACAACAACAAGATGTTCATCGGCCCAATGTAGAAATAAAATAATAATACCATCGCCATATATCAAGCCTGCATACCGCCCTTCCCCCGAGAATCAGTGTTATTAAAAACCACACTGAAAAGCATAGCGACGAACAGGCTGTGTACACGCAAGGCCAAAACACGCGTGTTACACGTAACGTGTGAATCAGACCCGATGACGTGATGGGCGGTGAGGAAGGGCGAGTGGAACAGGGAGCCGGCCGTCAGGCCACCGGGCGCCCCAAGGGAGGGACTTCGCCGGGGAAGGGCGACCCGGGTCGCCGCCGGGGGAGGGGGAACCTAAGCGAACTTCCCCGGCGGAGGACTCACCGTCTCGGCTCCGGAGGGCTGGGGCCCGGAGCTCTGGCCGCCCATGACGCCCCGCAAGAAGTTCATCTTCCCCGGCCGGCCTTCCCCGCCTCGCCAGGCTCGCTAGGCCGCGGCTCCTCTCCTCGGGCCGCGTCAGCTCCCGTCAGCAGCCAGCAGCGCCGCCAGTGCGCCTGCGCCAAGACGTGGCACAAAGGTAGCCATCCTACGGAGAGAGACGCCGGAGAGACACCCTGCCTGAACTTCCGGTGTCGGGCACAAAGGTAGCCACCCTAGAGAGAGGAAACGGGTAGAGTGACACGCCGCCTCAACTTCCGGCTTCTGTAGACTTCTTTTTTTTTTAATTCTTTCCCTCCCCGAGGTTAGAGAAACCCGCCCATGGAAGGGAAACCGAGGGCTTTTTTTCTTTTGTTTTTTCAGCGCAGGCTCTGATTTGGGGCAGTTATTATTTCATCCCATTAAAAGCGCTTACAATCGCAACGTGTCTGCAAGCAAAGTCAAGGGAGCGCAGCTGCTATTAGGCGTGGCGGGGGTTTTTTTAATTCGTTTTGTTTTGCTAACAGTGTAAAGGATGGAATGAAACCATAAAAATAAACAATGCCATGTGCTAGAGAAACCCTTGAAATAGTATACGTTTATTACCCCTTTCACTTGGTCCCACATAAACAGAATGGAGCTTGCCAGAACAGGTATTTAATTTAAAGAATTGAAAAAATAGCGGGTTGTACTAAACACACATAAATAGCATTTTAGTCATGAAATATACGCATTTAAATGCGAATAGCCCATTCCCACCCACAATTATGAATTCAGGTCCCTGCTATATTTTTTTTTTAAAGCTTGCTTTATTTCTCAAATACCCTATTTTGCCTTTCACAATGTCCGTTAAACTGTCAACATACACAGAACGCTAACTTTTGAAAAAATTCCTTCCAGTAGCACCTTAGAGATCAACTAAGTTTGTTATTGGTATTGTTAGGATACTTCTTCAGATACATGAAAGCTCATACCTATAACAAACTTCAAGGTAAAGGGACCCCTGACCGTTAGGTCCAGTCGCACACGACTCTGAGGTTGCGGTGCTCATCTCCCTTTATTGGCCGAGGGAGCTGGTGTACAGCTTCCAGGTCATGTGGCCAGCATGACTAAGCCGCTTCTGGCGGACCAAAGCAGCGCATGGAAATGCCGTTTACTTTCCCGCCGGAGCGGTACCTATTTATCTACTTGCACTTCATGCTTTCAAACTGCTAGGTTGGCAGGAGCTGGGACCAAGCAACAGGAGCTCACTACGTTGAGGGGATTCGAACCGCCAACCTTCTGATCGGCAAGCCCTAGCCTCTGTGGTTTAACCCACAGCGTCACCTGCATCCATCTCTAACAAACTTAGTTGATCTCTAAGGTGCTACTGGAAGGAATTTTTAAATATTGTTTCGACTATGTCAGACCAACACAGCTACCCTGTAACTAGAACTAACTTTTCAGTTTTCCCCAGCCTCTTTCCCAGCACACACTCAGCATAATAAATTGGGTTACCTTCCTTATGTGTGTGGAATGCAAGATATGCTTAGAAAGTTGAAGTAATTTCACCCTGTTTTGGTATTTTAACTTTTGAAGTTGTTTTTTTCTTGGTTTTACTGTTAACTTTTGTAAGCTGCTCTGAGGCCTTTTTTGCAGTCAAATAGTACACACATTTACAAGATCAAGAATAGATCTTTAGGCACCGGGCACAAACATTCCTCTTCTTCCAGGCATTTGGCTAATTAAAACAATCTATGGTATTTTATGCAGATGGTGACAGCAGTCATGAAATTAAAAGACGCCTGCTTCTTGGGAGAAAAACAATGACAAACCTAGACAGCATCTTAAAAAGCAGAGCCATCACCTTGCCGACAAAGGTCTGTATAGTTAAAGCCATGGTTTTTCCAGTAGTGATGTATGGAAGTGAGAGCTGGACCATAAAGAAGGCTGATTGCCAAAGAATGGATGCTTTTGAATTATGGTGCTGGAGGAGACTCTTGAGAGTCCCATGGACTGCAAAAAGATCAAACCTATCCATTCTGAAGGAAATCAGCCCTGAGTGCTCACTGGAAGGACAGATCCTGAAGCTGAGGCTCCAATACTTTGGCCACCTCATGAGAAGAGAAGATTCCTTGGAAAAGACCCTGATGTTGGGAAAGATGGAGGGCACAAGGAAAAGGGGGCGACAGAGGATGAGATGGCTGGACAGTGTTCTCGAAGCTACCAGCATGAGTTTGGCCAAACTGCGGGAGGCAGTGGAAGCCAGGAGTGCCTGGCGTGCTCTGGTCCATGAGGTCACAAAGAGTCGGACACGACTAAACAACAACAATGGTATTTTAAACTTATAGGGCTGAAGAGTGGCATATAGCTATAAAATAAAAAATAATACCGATGATGATGTTTCTAAGCGCCGCAGCCAATGTGGGGCCCAGGGACTCAGTTAATACAGCTGCAAACGAAGCGTTTTGAATGTGTTGTACACTGCGATATACAATTTGTAGCACTAGATGGCGACTATGAGCTATAGCAAATTCAAAAGCTATAGCTTTTTTCAAAACGATGACTTTTAAAAAAAAGCATTTTCACGTTTTTAACACGCGTGTAGTGGCGCTGTGAGTTAAACCACAGAGCCTAGGACTTGCCGATCAGAAGGTTTGCGGTTCGAATCCCCACGACGGGGTGAGCTCCCGCTGCTCGGTCCCTGCTCCTGCCAACCTAGCAGTTCGAAAGCACGTCAAAGTCCAAGTAGATAAATAGGTACTGCTCCGGCGGGAAGGTAAACGGCGTTTCCGTGCGCTGCTCTGGTTCACCAGAAGCGGCTTAGTCATGCTGGCCACATGACCCGGAAGCTGTACGCCGGCTTCCTCGGCCAATAAAGCGAGATGAGCGCCGCAACCCCAGAGTTGGTCACGACTGGACCTAATGGTCAGGGGTCCCTTTACCTTTACAGTCCACCCAGGTTCCAGACCGGCTCTGACAGGGGCCGGAAGTGCGGTCGAAATGGAAACGTTTTCCTTTTCTTGAAAGAAAGAGAGAATTTCTTTTTTTAAAAAAATAATAATAATTTAATCATTTTTTCAATACAAACAACAACAAAATATACAACAAAACCACAATAACACTAATAACACAATTTAACAATTCAGATTTGAGTACTGATACACCTATAACTACACCTTGTTAACAATATTTCCCCACCTCTCCTCCCCCTACTTCCACCACTGTCCGCCTTATCACTTAAGTATTCCTTCCAGATTTCTTCATGTTTATCCATTCTTAATTTGTGTCGATATGCAATTCGTTCGTAGGTAACTAGTCTGGCCACATTGTCAATCCATGTGCTCAATGGGATCTTTTTGCAGCTCTTCCAATTCATCAAGACAAGTTTTTTTGCTTCCAATATGGCAGGATACATCCATTTATTTATTTTTGACCCCTTGTAATCTCCCACGTTTCCGGTATATAATTTAGAATTAAATTTAAATTAATTCAAATTTAAAGTAATTTAGAATTAAATTTAGAATGTCGTCACTCGGCGCGCCCTTCGTCACTCGGCCTGCGACGGCGCTGTAAACGGCGCCCCTTTGACCTGGGAAACGCAATCGGGAGGAAGCGGGCGGGCGGAAACCATAGAGATGAAGCCGCCACTTCCGGCCAAAATTCGAAAAAGCTACCATTGGCCCTACCTAACCAAAAAAAAGCAAGCCCGAGTGCGCGTGCGCACGCGCGTGCGCCTTCCACTCCGGCGGCCTCTGACCCCGCCCACGTCCGGGCCGATCTTCCAGAAGCTGCGCGCGCGCCACCTTCCTTTCCCTCCCTCCCTCCCCCGCCCCCCCCGCCCGCTCCTCCTTATTAGAGAGCGAGAGCGGACGAGACATCCGGTTCCGCCCCGAATCCGTGCTTGTGAGGGAAGGAGGGAGAAAGAGAGAGACGGACGCGCTGCCCCAGTCGCTCCTCCCCCCCCCCGCGCCCTCGGCCGGGAAGCGAACCCCGGACCCTGAGACGGAGAAAGAAGAGCGCCTAGGTAACCGGGGGGAGAGGGCCGGGCCGGGCCGGGCCGGGCGGGGAAGGCCGGCCTCCCTCCCTCCCGCCTTCCCCCGTGAGGGGGTGTGTGGGAAGGGGCGAAGCGGGGCAGCTTCTCCTCAGAGAGCGGGGGGGAGGAGGAGGAGCGGCGGCTGTCAACAGCCCCGCAGGCCCCTTCCCCGGGCGCCCAGAGGGGTGCGGGGCCGGTGGCTGCGCGACCTCCTTCCCTCCGGCCTCGCCCTGAGGGGGAAATGGGCCGAGGAGGTGCAAGTAGTGGCGGTAACAATAATAATAATAATAATAATGTGCAATAAGTCCTCTTTGAGGCGCCCACGCAGCTTGCAGCCACGAAACCGCTAGCCCGTTTGCAATGCTTGGCAGGGTTCAGACTTGGGGGGGGGGAGGGAGGGGGACACGCGTGCTGAGGTTCCCTGCATGGCGGGGGGGTGGGCTGGATGACCCCCCGGAGGCCCCCTTCTGACTATTCGGTTCTGTGATTCTATGGTACACAAGCCCGCCTTTGAAAGAGTAAGATTGTGAGCGTGCAGGTCTCTCTGTGTGTGTGTGTGTGTGTAAGTAGTAGCGGTAACAATAATAATAGGAATAATAATGTGCAATAAGTCCTCTTTTTAGGTGCTCTCGCAGCTTGCGGCAGCATCTGCAGCCATGAAACTGCTACCCCGTTTGCAATGCTAAGCAGGGTTCAGACTGGGGGGGGGGACGCGTGCTGAGGTTCCCTGCATGGCGGGGGGTGGGCTGGATGACCCCCCGGAGGCCCCCTTCTGACTATTCGGTTCTGTGATTCTATGGTACACAAGCCCACCTTTGAAAGGGTAAGATTGTGAGTGTGCAGGTCTCTCTCTCAGTCACTCTCTTTTTCTCTCTAATGTGTGCATGTACAGTTATGTGTGTCCCCGTATGTGCGCACATACACACACAGCTTCCTTCACTGCGGGCTCAGTGACAACTCCCAGATACTTAGTGCTCATGTGGCGCCTTTCAAGTTCCCAGCACACCAGAATAACATGCTTCCTGGCAAAAACAGCCCTGTAAGGTAGGGGTGGCACTGCTGGAAGCGTGTGGACCTCCAGCTAATATGAGTGTTAGGAATCATATAATGGTTGGGTTGGAAGAGACCCTGAGGGTCATCTAGTCCAACCCCTGCTTCAGGATGGGAAAGTACAGTACTTCTCCACACAGTGCATGGTTAGGCTATGACAGACTCACTCCCATAGCAGAGGTTGTGATGCTCACCCAACCTAGATGGCTTTCAAAGAGGATTTAGTCAAATTTGTGGAGAAGAGGGCTATCAAAGGCCACTAGCCATAATGGATAGTCACTGCCTCTGCAGTTGCAGGCTGTCATGCTTCTGAATACCAGTTGCTGCTGGAAGCCTCAGGAGGGGAAAAGGTTCTTGCGCCTGAATTCTGCCTGTGGATTTCCCATAATCAGTATCTGGTCAGCTGCTGTGAGAACAAGGTGCTGAACTAGATAAGGCATTGGCCTGTTTGCAGCTGACTCCTCTTAAGATCTTACAAGAGTGAAAGTGACTTGCGGTGGCTAAGATCTTAAGTGGGGATTTCCTGTTTAATAACACTTAGCTACTATGCTATATCAGCTTCCATTTCACATGTGAAAATGGGTGCTGTGAACCTGTCTTATCCCTACTGACACATCAAGGATTGCTGAGCTTGTCAACCAAACTGTAACCTTAACCTTTTCTTACCTGTTGACAGATGTATTTATTTACTGTGCATTATAGCTGGTCCTAGACCTGATTTGAAAACAAAGCTCTGTTTGGTTAAAAGGATAATAAAAAATAGATTTCCCTTAAGATGTATTATCATAGTTCTGAACCCTAGCCACCTTAATGTTTACTCCAATGCATTCATATGCAAATACCCTAGAGACAAAAATACATCTTCCTTCCATTCAGAAAAAAACAGCAGTTTTACTGCATGTATGCATGCTAAAAGATCCATATAGTTCCTCATCCTGTTTTCCATTGTAGCTAACCAAATGCTAATGGAAAACCCCCAAGCAGAGATGAAGAGGAGAGTGTTGGCTACTTTTACTTAGCAGTCTATGAAGGGCCAGACTAGGCTGCAAACTCATTAACTGGGTGAAGCTGCAATTGTGCTCTTACAGGAGCCTCTTGCTAGCTCTTCCTATAGGGCGTAGGGGCAGGAAATAGGTGAATTAGGCACAAACCCCCATGAGGGAAGTATTTGAATTCGGGCCAAATTCTCCTTTTGCATGTCAGACAACAAGTGGTCATGCCAAAAGATAAGTGGGGAGGGAGAAGCAAGCAAAACTGCAATCCAACCTTCACTCTCCCCAAACAGTTTTCCAACCACTCAGGTACAGCAGGAGGGTATATTATGGGGCACAGCATCCTTACCCAGCAAAGACCTAGAGGGTTGCACCAGGAACCCCATTTCCCACTAGAAAATTCTGGAAGGACTTTGTATACCTAGGATGCCCTGGTGAATTCAGAGTCTTGAGCCATTCAGAGGAAATACCACATCAGTCAATTGTATGACTCCCACGTGACCCAGTTTGCTTTTGCAGCACTCAGTTCCTGCCATATAACCTAGCCACACTATTCCACATGTTCATATGCATTATTGTCTGGCACTGCTGTTTATTTCCTCACTATGTCTTGAGGAAAGACGTCCCCAATTCTCTCCCCCAACAACAGACTTACTCATTCCTTCACATGCCCACTGCATAATTCATCACATCAGGAGTAACCAGGAGGCTTTTCAACTGTTGGGGGTCTCAACCCCCTTACCTCACTGGAATTCAAATGGCCAAAGAAGGAATGAACTACACCAAGACCTGGTGGAAAAGAAACCTTTGAGCCCCTTTCTCTTCATAATTCTATCCTGACACGAGCTCCTGTGAATAAGAACCAGCAGGCGTGGGAAGCAGGGTTCGAAATTAGCAGGGCACCAGGCACATTTCGCACCTAAAGATACTCCATTTGCGAGCACCGCAAAAGGTCTGGGTTCCATTTTTTTGCACCTGCCTGACACTCAAGGATTATTGAAATGTATGTGCTTTGAAGCCTCAAAGTATGTGTTAAGAATAGACATTAAGGAGTTTAATAATGTAGAGTGTTTTGAAAACTGAACTCTGGTACGAATATTTTATTGTAAACACCAAATTAAACACGTATTTCTTTTTAAAATGGGATATTAACAATGTGTCACTTATGTGAATTGCATATTAGTTCATGCTTATCAAAATAATAAATAAAAAGTGTTGCTGGACCCACCCCTAATCGCAACTAGATATTCTGTTTTGGCACCCACAACCCAGGTCCCACGAGCCATTTGGCTCCTAGCTTTTCTGGTTTCTAACGCTGGTGGGAAAGGGTCATCGGCTCCTAAACCCCATCAACACAGAAATGGCAGCTGTAACAAAGCGGAATGAGATCTGGAAGCAGAAAATATGAACATAGCTGCCAGTCACCTTGTCTCAGCAGGGCTCCTTCACCTTTGCTATGTGGCCAACAGCAAAGGAACAGGTGTACTGCTCCATAGTGCTCCATCTCTGTGTTGGCTAGGGCTTCGACAATACATAGCTGTCTCCCAAGCAGCTTACAAAAAAATACAGGAGCTTAGTAGAACAGGAAAGGCAGCAAAACACAAGGAATAGCACCGATCACTGCTCTTACTAACATTGTAGTCCTATCGTGTTGTCTTAGTAGGAACTTTCCTTAGAGGACTGCTTGTGAGCCAGGAAGAGTTGGGGACATTAATGAGCAATGGTCAGGAATCTGCAACATAGGCTCTGCCTAGTCACAGCTTCATCCAGCCTTTCAGAAGGGAGCTATCACTGAGACAGTACTTGCTCTTTTTCCTTTGGGGAGCTGCAGTGGAGTTCTTTGTGCAATGTCCACTTTTTTCAGACTGTGATCCTGGAAGGCAAAGGGAATAATGATTGTTTGGCTGGCACTAGCAGTAGTGGCAACACAAAGCTTACCTGTGTCACTACCCCACCCCCACCCCACTAAGTGTGTGTACTTAGATTTGCATGGAGACATCATTACTAGCTTTGGGAGAGGAAGGCTTTGTAATGCAAAAAGTTTAACCAAAAAGGTGTTGTCAAGTAAGCATGTTACCTCCTCTCCCTTGCTTAGTTTTGTGGGGTGCCTTGTCCTTTCCTCCCTTGCTGGGGTAACAGAGCAGCAGTTCCTGTTGCATTGGAGTTCCCGTATAATACTATTTAGAAGTACCCATAATGCTATTTAGAGGATAAGCTTTTTGTGGAAAGTGCTCTTTCACTTTAGGAACATACGGCACTGTGCTATACTGAGCCAAATCGTTGATTCACCTACTGTCTCCACCAATTGGCAGGAGCTCTCCTGTGTTTAGGAAGGAGCCTCTCCACCACACTCACCATGTTACCTGGAGTTGCCAGGTATTGAACTTGGGACCTAGATGTAGTAATAATAATAACAATAATAAATTATTATTTATACCCCGCCCGTCTGACTGGGTTTCCCCAGCCACTCTGGACGGCTTCCAACCAAATATCAAAAACAATACAGCGTCAGACATTAAAAACTTCCCTTTTAAAAGGAAAATAGTTGTTTATTGCCTTGACATCTGCTGGGAGGATGTTCTACAGGGCAGGCGCCACTACCGAGAAGGCCCTCTGCTTGGTTCCCTGTAACCTCACTTCTTGCAGCGAGGGAACCACCAGAAGGCTCTCGGCGCTGGACCTCAGTGTCTGGGCTGAATGATGGGGGTGGAGACGCTCCTTCAGGTATACAGGACTGGGGCCATTTAGGGCTTTAAAGGTCAGCACCAACACTTTGAATTGTGCTTGGAAACGTACTGGGAGCCAATGAAGATCTTTCCGGACTGGTAGATGTTCTACCACTGAGCTACTGTCCTTGCGTAGCGCCCATCAGCAAGGTGAATCCCAGTGGTACAGGTTTTCCAGAAAATTTTGGACTGGAAAATTTATGTTGCCCTAAGGCATTTGAGTTCTGATTTAGCGCATTTGTTTGACTTTTAATTTTTATTAAATGTGTGCTCTATTAATTTTTCATGTTGTATGAACATCTCCGAAGGTTTTCCAATATTAATAAGTATTAGAACTGAAATTTGTCGTCGTCCCCCCCCCCAGGTGCTTCAAATGTAGTTTGAAACGTTGTATTCAAGCAGATTCAAAACTTCACTTGAAAATTATTTTTATTGGAATATTTGTAAATAATTTAAGGTTTAACAATAGAATACACTTTCCTTCTGTGGCAGAGGAGGGATGAAGGCACTGCACATGTTAACATATGAACTTTTATCGTGCCGAAAGAACAAATAAGTGTGCTTCCTACAGTCACCTTATTCCAGAGTATTGTATCTATTCAAATTGTTCTGAATTGTATTAATTATGTTACATGACATACCAAATTTAAGGAAGACACTGACAAACTGGTGTTTGTCCAGAGGAGGGTGACTAGAATGGTGAGTCTGGAAACACATGCTGGACAGAGGTAGCTGGGTATGTTTAGCCTGGAAAATGATTAAAGGGAGACACAGTGGGGGTCAAAAAGATAGAGCAGCAGTTTGACTTCACCCCCGGAGGTGCATTTCATTGTCTCTTGAGACAGACAGGTGCCAACAACAACAACTGACTATTTGCATGGGGTGGTGGAGTCAACAGTGGTTTAGCTTGGGTAGTACATTGGTGCAGGGGGCTTAACATCAAACCCTAAAGCTCTCCAGCCAGCATAAATATAGGCTTGCACCCGTAGCCATCTCCAATACTTGAGCATTTCTTAGTAGGGTGCTTCAACCCTGTCATCTTCCTGGCTGCGCTTTTTAACATCTTTTCCAACTCTATATCATCTTTTTGTGATGGAGCAACTGAAACTGTAGATAGTATTCCAAATGCAAGTGCTTTATAGGTTTATTTATATAAATGTGATATGATAGCAACTGCTTCATTTTAAATTCCTTTTGTAGTAATTCCGAGCACGGTATTTTCCTTTTCCATTACCACCATGCTCTTAGTTAATGATTTTCACAGAGCTGTATCCACTGTGGTCATAATGTACATTTTTTTTGTTTAGTCACCACATGTTCAGATCTCATCAATATACAGGTTTTTCCCCTCCAACGTGTATCAGCTTTCACTTAACTTGCATTGAACCTACGTTTCATTGACTATTCATGCAGTTGGGAGAGATTTTTCAGCTTCTATTAGTTGGTAAGCTGAATAATTTGCTGTTCTCTGCAGACTTGGCCATTTTCGTGTTCACTCTTTGTCTCCAGATCATTTATGAACAAATTAAATAGTATCAGTATCTTATATAATGATTCATTGTACTTCCCATCATTGAAATAATTTTATGTTATTTTAATTCTTTGCTTCCTGTTCTTTAGCAAAGTAATGAATCTCTGTTCTTTCTCCCATGACTGCTAAATTTACTCAGAAGACTTTGGTGAGGTACTTTGTCAAAAGCTTTTTGGAAGCCAGAGTATATAATCTCTACTGAATCATGCATATCTACATGCTTGTAAACTCCTAAAAGGCTTTGGCCCTGTATACCAGATGGAGCTTCTCCACCCCCATAATTCAGCCCGGAGGGGCTTTCTGGTGGTTCCCTCACTGAGAGAAGTGAGGTTACAGGGAACCAAGCAGAGGGCCTTCTCGGTAGTGGCATCTGCCCTGTGCAATTCCCTCCCATCAGATGTCAAGGAAATAAACAACTATCTAATTTTTAGAAGACATTTGAAGGCAGCCATGTTCAGGGAAGTTTTAAATGTTTGATGTTGTATTATGCTTTAATTTTTTTATAGCCACCCAGAGTGGTTGGGGTAACCCAGTCAGATGGGTGGTATATAAGTATTCAATAATAAATGATTGATTGTAGAAAATGAAAGGTTGGCAAGGCAGCACAGGACTCCACTTTGCCAAAGCCATGTTGTTTTACTCCACCTTCCTTCAACTTCAGCCAGTGTGGCCAATGATCAGGGAGTTGTAATTCAGCAACATCTGGAGGACCACAGGTTTCCCCATTCCTGATTTAGAATCTAAATCTGCAGTCTGGAACTTACCCTGGAGTAAACATACATTGGGTCAGAACGTTGGGCATCAAAGTAGTACATTCCTGAAACTGTATATCCAAATAGTGCAAGTCCCACATAGGATGTGCATCCCATGGACATGTCACAGAGAGGGTGGTCAGGTGTTGATGAGAATTGGGAGAGGCCAACCCAAGGGAAGGTTCTAGTGGGTTGAGAACTTGCAGCGCTAGGGAAATGGCCAGTGGATTGGGAGGAGGGGATCCAGATTCAGGAGAAGGGCCTAGTGGCTTGTCAGAGATGGACTTCCCAAGCCATACATCACCAGCTGTGGAGGTGGTTCCAGCAGCCCTGTACCCTGAAAGTGAAGAGAATTCCTCTTTGAGCTGGCTACGTCATCTCCAAGGATGTGGAAGCAACATTGCTGGTGCAAGCAGACCATATATGCCCAGTCTCTATAGAGGAGTTCCCATTTGCTTCTCAGTCCCAAGGCTTGGGACGTCAGATGCACGAATGTGCCTGCTTCAGTCTTCAAACGTAGAGGGCAGGGAGCACGCCAAGTGTAGGATCAAATCTTAGTTGAGCCTAGCCATGTATCTTCGTACTCTGCCTTGCTTTAATGGCTTGTAACCTGTAGACTCATGCTGGGCTTCTGTATGAGTCAAACTTTCAGAACAGTTCGCGTTCTGAGTCCAAAGGGGACTCAGGATATCGGGCAAATATTTTAAAATAAAGAATTGCAGCTGCTGCTTGTAAAATCTGTAACTGCCCATCCCAGCTTTTATGCTTTTATCAGTCATATGTAAGTGAAGTGAACACTTGGAAGGGGAAATTACAGAAACCTTAAATTCTTTTGAAACTGAATTTTGCTGGATAGGAACTACCGTAGTTCTTTCCCTCCCTGCAGTTATAAGGTTCTACTGCATTTAATGTTCATCATCCAATAGAGTAGTGTACATTTCATCTTACGTTGTGTGTGTTCTCTTGTATTACAGCCTTTGACACTGTCTACCAAAGAAATGGTGATGGAGAAGCCAAGTCCGCTGCTTGTAGGGCGGGAGTTCGTGAGGCAGTACTATACCCTGCTAAATAAAGCCCCCGACTTCTTACACAGGTAACTTCTAAATATATCAATAGCTGGTGTTGTCTTGACAAAAGTAGCAAGTTGAATTGACCCCACTTCCTCCAAATGTAACTGTTTATCTTATGGACAGCTTAACTTGACAGTATGCACTAGTTCCGCCTTGATGTTTTTATTTTATTGTATGCAGCCTTTATAGTTTACTAAAGGGTGGCTTTAAAATCTTTAAATTAAATGGGTGTTCTTTAACTAAACAACAAGCATAGGCAACTTGGGCTATGTTTATTTTGTGTCCCATAATTTGTTTCACGCACAAAGAAAATCCACCCTTTCAAGCCATAAAAAATTATATTTCGAAGTGTGGCTTTAATTTAGGTTCTGACTAAAACAGCTGTTCTATCTAAACTTGAAGTGTTTTTTTTAAAAAAATTATAATTGTGGGCTTCATTAATAAAGAATAAGCAATTGAAATAGCAGCCGAACAACACAAATTGGGAGCACTGAGAGAAGAAACAAAGCACAGATACCCTGCCTCCTATTCCTGTGTATGTATTTATTGAAGGCTTTGTTCAACTAAGTCATATTCAGTATTGACACACTGAAATCATTGGACTTCAGTTGCTCATGACTAACAATTCCATTGATTTCAGTGGGCCTAGTTTGGGCATGGCTTAGCCAGATACAACCCTATGAAAGTATTATACAATTATACTCCCAGGGTGGTTTGCAAAAACAAAAACAATTACAGCGTGAATGCAAGAAAATACAGCAAATGAAAAAACCGCCAAATCAGCATGATACAGCAAGATTAAAATTGTTTCTTTAAAAGCTGGAAAAATAAAAAGATCCTTACTGGTGCTGAAAAGATGTTAAGGTAAGAGACCAAGCAAACCTCTCTAGAGATAGTGTTCCACGCTGGAGTTGCCGCTGCTGAGAAATTTTCTCATACCCTCCCCCATTACATTAGAGAGAGAGAGAGATGTTTATAAAAGGTCCTTCATTGAGGGTCTAAATATATGGGTAGGTACAAAGACAAGCGGTCATCAGCCAATCTCATGTTCCAAATGATGCCAAATTAAGCATACACATGTTCTGTTTACATGTAAGAGACGTAGAGAAGTTATTTTGAGTGATCTCATAAATGCAATAAACAAATATTTTGATTGGGAATTCCATACTGCAGCTGATCACAGTGGAGCTTGCTGTCAGCAGTGATCAGCTGATCAACATTTACAAGCAAGCCTTGCTTGCCAAGGCTCCGAATTGTTTCCATGATGGTGGAACATGTGGGTATAGTTTGAAGAAAGCAGCCTTGTGGGCCAAATTAGGACTCCCAGTGGACCTAATTTCACTTGCGGGGCAAAGGTTCTCCACTATTGTACCAGTTTTCAAAAAAGCAACTTCAGAGTTTGCCTGAAAACACCCTCCTGTTGACTGACAGAATTATAACACTGTGATGTAGCTTTTCAGTTACTCTCCACTGGCCACAGTTTCTTTTCTATTGCCATGATTTTCTGTTATATGCGCCAGATAAATCTCTTGTTGCAAGAAAACTCCTTGCAATAAAGCTCATTCTCCATGATGCATGGCTGAGAAGCAGTAGAAGACCTGTTACATCCTGGATACCTTGAAGTGATTTCTGACCCAGGAGCTCCTTACTGACAACAGCCAATGAGAGTGAAGTGTAAATGGTTAAGCGTCTCAACTGTGGTTTCTCGGCTTCCTGTGCCACACAGTTATGGAGAATGACAAGTGCTGTAAAGAATTCAACATGGGCAGTGAGGTCCTCAAGCAACAGTTTTGAACTGTGAAATAGAGCATCTCTTTCCCATCGATAAGTGTTGAGATAAATATGCATCTTAACTATCCCAGAAAATGCATATGACTAATACTGATGCTGGTTTTCTTCCCACTGGGGTAGTCTGCTGCTAATCAAATGATTAGTAGGTCTGCACTTCAACAAAGGGACGCGGGTGGCGCTGTGGGTTAAACCACAGAGCCTAGGACTTGCCGATCAGAAGGTTGGCGGTTCGAATCCCCGCGATGGGGTGAGCTCCCGTTGCTCAGTCCCAGCTCCTGCCAACCTAGAAGTTTGAAAGCACGTCAAAGTGCAAGTAGATAAATAGGTACCGCTCCGGCAGGAAGGTAAAATGGCGTTTCCGTGTGCTGCTCTGGTTCGCCAGAGCCACATGACCTGAAAGCTGTCTGTGGACAAATGCCGGCTCCCTCAGCCTATAGAGCGAGATAAGCGCACAACCTTCCGGCGGGAAGGTAAACGGCGTTTCCGTGCGCTGCTCTGGTTTGCCAGAAGTGGCTTAGTCATGCCGGCCACATGACCCGGAAGCTGTACGCCGGCTCCCTCGGCCAATAAAGCAAGATGAGCACCGCAACCCCAGAGTCGGTCACGACTGGACCTAATGGTCAGGGGTCCCTTTACCTTTACCTTTAACTGGCAACATAGTGGTAGCTGACAAGAAAACTAAGAATGTCAAGGGTCATCACATACCCCTTTACTGTGATGATGACCTAGCATTTCTGTCTTTGTCTTAGGATTTGGGTCACAATCTGAATGTGTGAAGAATCTGGGCAATAGTTCAGGAGTCACTGCTTCTCTTATTGGATCTCTTGCCATTAGATTTGATGGTATTGGCATCTTGGAAGCTTTCAGAATTTCATGAACAAGAAATGCTGAATCATAAATGCATATTGATGTACTCCTTACAGCTGCTTCCAGTTTCAGGCTGCTCTTGGAGACCAATATATTGTTTGATTAGTTTTGTATTCTGTTGGCTCCGCTTAAAAAGTTACTATAGTATAGTGGTACCTCGGGTTAAGAACATAATTTGTTCTGGAGGTCCGTTCTTAACCTAAAACTGTTCTTAACCTGAGGTACCACTTTAGCTAATGGGGCCGCCACGCCGCCGCCACGCAATTTCTGTTCTCATCCTGAAGCAAAGTTCTTAACCCGAGGTACTATTTCTGGGTTAGCGGAGTCTGTTACCTGAAGCGTCTGTAACCTGAGGTACCACTGTAATGACTTTGAAATTACTGGTGCCTTGTGGTTGGATGTGGGCAGGGGAGATCAGGGAGATTGTATTAGAGCTTCAGAGTACTGTATTTTAATTGTTTTATTTAGTGATAAATAAAAATTATTTCCAATTTAAAGGCATATAAACTGATCTGAAGTCTGTTCATCATATGAGGCCCTTCTTCTTGTGCCTCCTCCATGAGAGATCCAGAGGGTGGCAATACAAAAAAGGGCCTTTTCTGCAGTGGCTCCCCATTTGTGGAATGTGCTCTCCAATGAGGTTTGGCTGGCGCCTTTGTTTACACATCTTTAGGCGCCCAGCAAAAACCTTCCTCTTTAAACAGGCCTTTGGCTGATGTGGCCTTTGAAATGTGTTTGTGGGAGATGGGGTTATTGTTTTGTTTTGTTTTTGTTTTAACTATTTATTTTATGCTTCTTTCCTGGTATTTTTATCTTGTGAACCTCCCTGAGATCTGATGAAGGGAGGTATATTAAGTTTAAAAAGTAATCATAATTTTAATACAGAGAACAAATAGTAAAAATAATCCTTAATGATTTCAGAACTGTAGATATCAGCATTGTATTTCGCTAACTTAATGGAAGAAGAGCCGTCTTGGTTATAGTTGAAATTGTTCCGGCTCTGAATATTTTCAGTGATCTCCTTTAGGACTGTACCCACAGATAACCTGGAATTATGTACACTGATGCTTAAAAGACAGTTTGTTTCATCCATGTAGTTTTATTGCCCCTGGAAAGGGATTTGGGTAAAGTTGCCACCCCCTGAACACCCTAGTAGTTTCCCTTGAAACTAAACAGGTCAAGATCTGGTCAGTTCCAGAACAGGAGAATTCTTGGGAACAATTTGTTTTTATTTTACGTATTAATTAAACTTGTATACCACCCTTCTTCCGAAGATCACAGGGTGGTTCACAACATAAAAATACAAAATGCAAACACAGAATACATAATAAAACAAAAGCAAAATAAACCAATACCCACTTATGTCACCTTGGGTACCATTATGGAAGAATGGTGGGATATATTTTAAAAGAAACTTTTGTAAGGTGCCTAGATACCAAAACTAGATACAAACCAGATTTAGCGTTATCTCATGTCTTATAACATTATTATTATTATTTGCTATGGGCTTTTGAACTGCATCAGAATTTTATTGATTATACCAGGTTTTAAAAACCATATATTCCTCTTATCTAAAGCTTACATTAAACTTCTTAGCATTCTTTTTTTAATTTGCTGAAAACCAGATGTGCTCCTATGTGACTGTCCTAAACCTCATGCTCGAATGTCTTTGCAGGTTTTATGGCAGGAATTCTTCTTACGTGCATGGTGGACTGGATGCCAGTGGCAAACCACAGGAAGCCGTCTATGGCCAGGCTGTATGTACCCAACCAATTATTTTATCACGTTCAGTCACAATAAATAAAGGCATAGCCTTTGGCAATACATAATGTTAAATATGGTGTTTCCATTAGATCAAGCAGTAATCTAGAGAGAGCATAGCCATTTGTTTGCAGCAGCAAAAATATTAGGGTTGTTTCCAATGCAGAGCTGAAACCTATGGGCTTTTTTTGTCATGTATGCTGATTTCTATAGGCCTTCTTTGAGTTTGGCTTAGTTGGATGCAACCCTTAGTTGCCAGATGCTGGAAACAATTATCACCTGCAGTGTGTAAAAATATGGGATATGACTGATATACCATACAATCAGATTTCAAGGAGGAATAGGCATATAAATGGACATTGAGAGAGAACTCCAGAAATGGCGAATCTTGTTTAATTGTTTACCCTGAACTGCACTAGGGTCAAGTGATGGGGCACATCCTGTTGCATTTAACATTTCCCCTACCTTATTTTTTTAACAGATAGGGTGTCCTCCGAAGCAAAGGTGTGGACATTTGTGTCCGCCATCTTTGTTTCCCAGAGTGCTGTGCCATAGAACACACACAGGAATGTGAAAAAGCAAAGATGGTAGGCACGATTATCCGGAGCCTTTGTGGGGGTAGGTTTGTTAAAGTTGGGGAAAGACAGACAAGGTTTCTGAAAAGTTTCAAATACATTTGATTTCCCATAGAGTTTCTTGCTTGGCAGTGCTAATGTAAGAGGCTGATATCCAACAGACAGTATTGGGCTTGGATTGTGGGAGACCACTTCTTTCAAGGCCTCATGGTGTGACATTGGGTCAGGTCAGTTATTTATGCACTTCAGAGGCTTCTATGCAAAAATGAATAATAGTGACCTATCTAAAAAGGCAGCATAGAGATTATCAAGTGCCTAAGGCTTTTGGTTTTCAGAGTTCTTGGTAATTCTGTACTGAATGTCTATGCATTTTTCGTTGTCTTTCATTTCTGTTACTTTAGCAATAGATGATCCCAGTTTTTAAAATAGAACCTGATTTTTGACTTCATCAACTGCCAGAAAAAGAGCTCTAGTCTTGAATCAGCATCAAGACATGTAGATACTAATCCATGTCTTTGTATCCGTGTAATATGCTCTTAACAAAGGGAAGGGGGAATCTTAGGCCTTCTAAACATTGGGCTCCCTACTCCCATCAGGCCCCCAGCCAGTATGGCCAATGGTCCAGGGTAATGGGAGTTTTAATCCAACTGCATCTGGAGGGCTACAGACTCTCCACCTCTGCCCTAGCAGTGATACAATTGTGTTGTAGTAGAACATGCTTCAGTCTTTAAAAGATGCACCCAGAGTTTCAAAATATTTATTCAGCGCTTGCTGGGATAGCTGCATATTGCACATTCGAATCGGATGCATTTTCTATGAAGATGATGTAGTTCCACACCTGTAGCCTTCTGTTTTTCTCTGTTGTTATCCAGATTTGGTATTTTCAGGGAAATGGCCAGCCCGTTCCTTGAAATGTTTTAAGACAGCCCGGGATCCCTGATTTCATGGTTGCTGCCCTGAGGCACATGCTTTCAAAACTATATTAAAGACTATTGCATTGTTCTCTTGCTTTCCTAATTAGACACTAAAAAAAAACACCTAAAGCAAAACTTAGCCCAATTACATGTCCTCATCCTTCCCCCCCCCCCCCCAGATTTTAAAATACTAGATTAAGTTTATGACCACATGAAAGAGCTGCAGTTTAGTCCGTTGGCCTGCAGCCAGAATCCTCCTTGTATTAATTATGTAAATAAAAGTATACAAAATATACCTAGTTTTTACTGGAAAATAGAGAAAATTAGCCATGGGGATGAGGTTTGGGTTTTCTTGAAAACACTGTAGCATGCTCTAAAAATTATTACAGTGGTACCTCGGGATGCGAACAGGATCCATTCTGGAGCCCCATTCGCATCCTGAATAGAACGTAAGACGCGATGGCACATCTGTGCATGCGCGAGCGGCGAAACCCGGAAGTAACGCGCTCCGTTACTTCCAGGTTGCTGCGGAGCGCAACCCGAAAGCGCTCAACCTGAAGCACATTCAACCCGAGGTATGACTGTATTATTATTTTCATCATCGTTGTTTATTATTTTCTATCAGAAGTGCATTTCACCCACATAATGTGGCACAATAGCTGTTGAGCTACCAGCATCTGATGTGCAGAAACGTCTGAGAATTTCTTGGCTTCCCCTTTAGATTCTTTGAGCAGAGAAGATGTAGGCAGTTTGAGTTGCTCATGGCTGGGGCAGAAGCAAAAGGTTCAGAGTTTCACAAAATTACTTGTGAAAGGCCTGTGGAATTTCATGGAGGTTGAGGCAAAAATCCTTGCCCCTTCCTTTTTCACTCCATCCTTTCCCAAACCTCCTAGTGAGTGAAAGTGTATGTGTGTTTTCCTCCTCCTCCTCCCCCCCCCTTAATACCTTTCTTCCCTAGGACTTTTCCCCTACTCTTTCTAGTGTTTAACCAGTCTCCACCATTCAGGCACTGCTGTTGCAAGTACTGCAGCAGCCTTTCCTTGGCCTGTGCTGAGAAAAGCTTACTGGAGGTGGATCTGGATAGCTGGAATGGCTGCTTTGTTTGCTTGTCAGGATAGTGCCACCCTTGGCCAAACTAAACAGCTGTGTGGCTCTCTCTCAAATGCATTCAATGGAACATTGCAGCAGCCTTAGCTGTAGCCATAGAGTGAGGCACCAGGGCAGTAGGTCAGCGGCCGTACAGGTGAGCAGGAGCCTTGGAAGAGGGAGGGAACCTTAAAGAGTCACATCTTCACTCTGCCACATTTTAATTTATGTTAAACTTAGTTATGAAGCTATGTAGCATTATGGAATTTTATCAACTAGCTTGTATCTACTGGTTATTGACCAAAACACACACACACACACACAGAGAGAGAGAGAGAGAGAGAGAGAGAGAGAGAGAGCGCGCGCGCGCTTGTACAGATAGAAAAGGAAGAATGTGTCTTACATTCTCTCTGCATTGAAGGAAAAGCATTTCCATATTCATCATTTTTAAAGCAATGCATTCGGTATTAAGAGGCCCTACCTAACAAAGGAAAACATCTATACAGTGGTACCTCTGGATGCGAACGGGATCCGTTCCGGAGCCCCGAACTCATCCTGAGCAGAACGCAACCCGCGAGTTGTGACTCGCCGTTTCTGCGCATGCGCGTGACGTCATTTTGAGCGTCTTCACATGCGCAAATGGCGAAACCCAGAAGTAACCCGTTCCGTTACTTCCGGTCGCCGCGGAACGCAACCTGAAAACGCTCAACCTGAAGCGTCTTTAACCCGAGGTATGATTGTAGTTATCAAAATCAGGTACTGAGAGCTTGGGGTTTTATTTTTAATTTTTGACTAAGTGGGATTCAAGTTTCTTTTATTTTGTCTCCAGGACATACACAAGAAGGTGATGTCCCTGCAGTTTAGTGAATGCCGCACTAAGATCCGCCATGTGGACGCTCATGCAACTCTGAACGATGGAGTAGTTGTGCAAGTCATGGGGGAGTTGACAAATAATGGGCAGCCGATGAGGAAATTCATGCAAACCTTCGTACTGGCTCCAGAAGTAAGTAGCCACCGTGAACTTCAAGCAGCAGGGACCTAAACACGAGTTGAACCCAAATGATCGCCCTCACTTCAGAAACGTTTCAACCATCTGTGGCTGGAACAAATCTTCCTAGACTAAACATAGCACTTATTTCTGCAAGCTTGCTTTGGTCCCTCCACCAGCAATCTTATCTAGGTGTACATAGCTGCAATTATAGCTTCCAGGTAAAGGCCATTCATATATATGAGATGCCAAGTGTTCCAAATGAATTGAACATTATGGCTGAGAAGTCTTACATTTCGTGTCATTACATTGGTAGACACATGAATGCAAAAGGGAAAGGGCAACTGAATTTGAAAGCAATATGTAGCATTGCCAGAGAGTTAGTTAATCAACAGTTGAGTTGTTGTTGTTTTTACCCATGGTGTGTTTGTTTTTACAGGGATCTGTTCCAAATAAGTTTTATGTACACAACGACATATTCCGTTATGAAGATGAAGTATTTGGTGACTCTGAAGCTGAACTAGATGAAGGTAAGGGAATCGGTCAGAGTTGGGACATAGGAAGCCCTGCTAGCTCAGACTAAAGGCCTCTCTGATCCAGCGTTCTGTTCTCACAGCAGCCAAACAAGATACCTATGTTGTTGTTGTTGTTGTTGTTGTTGTTGTTGTTTAGTCGTTTAGTCGTGTCCGACTCTTCGTGACCCCATGGACCAGAGCACGCCAGACACTCCTGTCTTCCACTGCCCCCCGCAGTTTGGTCAAACTCTTGCTGGTAGCTTTGAGAACACTATCCAACCATCTCGTCCTGTCGCCCCCTTCTCCTTGTGCCCTCCATCTTTCCCAACATCAGGGTCTTTTCCAGGGAATCTTCTCTTCTCATGAGGTGGCCAAAGTATTGGAGCCTCAGCTTCAGGATCTGTCCTTCCAGTGAGCACTCAGGGCTGATTTCCTTCAGAATGGATAGGTTTGATCTTCTTGCAGTCCATGGGACTCTCAAGAGTCTCCTCCAGCACCATAATTCAAAAGCATCAATTCTTCGGCAATCAGCCTTCTTTATGGTCCAGCTTTCAGCTTTCATACCTATAGGAAGTCCAAAAGCAGGACTTCAGGGGAGCAGCATGCTGGAACTGAGAAATTCAGGAGATGAACCTGAGCACAACTCACTGTGGAAACTGCATACAGTCATAGTTGCGTTCACTTCATGTTGTGAATTTTCGGGTTGCAAACCCGGAGGTATATACTTCCGGGTTTTGTCGCATGCGCACAAGTGTTCTGTGTGCTTCACGCAAGCACAGAAGCACCGCTCTGGTTGCAGACTTTTTGGGTACGAACGGCACCCCGAAACGGATCGTGTCCACAACTAGAGGTACCATTTTAGAGGCAATCCAAGCTGAGCTAGCACATATTTCCACAAACATTTTGTGCTCCAAGTCGAAGGGATAACACCCTAGCCTTTGAATAAAAGTATGCTTATCTGAGTGCTGCTCAGGTTAGTATATGTGCCAGTGTGGCCTAATCCTACTTGGGTTATTGTTGCCACAATCCAGCCTGGTAACAAGCCCTGCAAGCAATTTTGCACTTGGCAGGGCCTGACTAGATTATTCAAGATTCTAACCTGACAGTTATTTGCCTGTCGTTATCCTAAGCCAGTTCCCACAAAGGGCGATTTGAATGACATTTGAATGAATCTGATTGATAATATCATGGCTGTTGTTGACCCCGGGGGGCTGACCGTTCTGTTACCCTTTCATATAACTATCAACTTGACCAGAAATCTTTCTTTCAATTTACAGTAAGGAAAGATCAGAGAGGTGGCTGTTAGGAATAAATTGTAAGGGGGGGGGGGGATTTTGTCTGTTTAAAAAAGAGCAAGTCTCCTATGTGCAGACATGCAGTGGTGTGGGGGTGGTTAATCTGAGCATTGCAGTAGTATTGTGCTGTGTGAGTCAGATTTCATTCAGAGACCAAGCACATGTTCCTCAGGAAAGATGAACGAGAAAAGGGAGCAGTGACTATACAGTGATGGAGGTGGAGCCAAAGAGAACTGCAATGTTCTGTGACTCCTCTCTTCAGTAAACAGTTTATTTCCACAGTTGTGCTTGATTGAGGGCACAAGGAGAAGGGGACAGCAGAGGACAAGATGGTTGGACAGTGTTCTCGAAGTTACCAGCATGAGTTTGACCAAACTGCGGGAGGCAGTGGAAGACAGGAGTGCCTGGCATGCTCTGGTCCATGGGGTCACGAAGAGTCGGACACGACTAAATGACTAAACAACAACAACAGTCTACTTCCAACCTAAATTACTTTCCACCATGTCAGTTTGGAGGCTAGACTGGTTGAATGCAAAGAAAGGCTTGATGAGGCAAAGAAATAAAGGAATATCAGCTATTTTTGAATGGGAAGGATTTCTGAAATAGAGCATGTGACTGACATATAAAGAGTATAATTTCGGATGCATTCGAGTAAAACACTTTATGTCTCCAGCTGCATTGTGGTGGATTCTTCTTAATTTGACGGTTTTTGGAATTTGTGGCAGATTATTCTATTAGTGTGCTGTAATCAATCTTATGAAAGGATGCAGGTGGCGCTGTGGTCTAAACCACTGAGCCTCTTGGGGTCAGCGGTTCGAATCCCCACGACGGGGTGAGGTCCCGTTGTTTGGTCCCAGCTCCTGGCCACCTAGCAGTTCAAAAGCATATCAAGTGCAAGTAGATAAATAGGTACCGCTCTGGCAGGAAGGTAAAACGGCGTTTCTGTGTGCTGCTCTGGTTCGCCAGAAGCGGCTTAGTCATGCTGGCCACATGACCCAGAAGCTGCCTGCGGACAAACACCGGCTCCCTCGGCCTATAGAGCGAGATGAGCACGCAAGCCCAGAGTCGTCCACGACTGGACCTAATGATCAGCGGTACCTTTACCTTTTTAATCAATCTTATAGTCGCAAATGAAAGTGCCTTGATCTTAATAGAGCTCCTCTTTTTTACAGTAATACAATGCACAGCAGGTGTATCTATTCTGGATTATAAACCTATGTACAACCAGTGAAAGCTGTGGGTGGAATTCAACATAGTGCCAAGTCCCTGGGCTGTGCATGTGGAGAATGAGGTCTGCTCACACAATAAGACCCCCCATCCCCATACGCGTTCCATTCCTCCACCCTTCTGATGCAGATTTAGGGGGTGCACGAAAGGAGGAGAAGGGAGAAAGGAGCACCGTGTGAGCAGGCCACATTCTGTGCAGGCGGCAACTTGGTTGAATCCAGCCCTCAATTATAGCTTTCCCTTTAGTCATTTAAAGTGAACGATCGAGTCTGATTTTGCTTGGTGCCTATTTACTGGGTAGTTTAAACTCTATAGACCTGTATGCACATGATTCAAATACTTTGGTTGGCTCTGGTAATCAGCCTGAAGTTGACATGGACATGACAACCCTGGTCTTCCCAGCTTTTGGGGTGGGTGGGGCCTTGTCCCTGCCAGCTTGCTGATCTTGAGAGGCACTCTACACACAGCTCATGGTTATGGATGATGGAGCTTTCAGTTCAAAGCTTGGGTTGGGTGGGGGAATCGTCTAGTCCACTTTGAATTAGGGGGCATTTGATGTCTCTGAGGTGCAAGAAGAATTGCCTAACCTCCTTACCTACCAAATTTTGCAGCCCTGTGAATTGGAGGGTGACTTGTTCATCCGTTTGTTGTCGTTTAGTCGTGTCCAACTCTTCGTGACCCCATGGACCAGAGCACGCCAGGCACTCCTGTCTTCCACTGCCTCCCGCAGTTTGGTCAAACTCATGTTAATAGCTTCGAGAACACTGACCAACCATCTCGTCCTCTTGTCGTCCCCTTCTCCTTGTGCCCTCCATCTTTCCCAACATCAGGGTCTTTTCCAGGGAGTCTTCTCTTCTCATGAGGTGGCCAAAGTATTGGAGCATCAGCTTCAGGATCTGTCCTTCCAGGGAGCACTCAGGGCTGATTTCCTTCAGAATGGAGAGGTTTGATCTTCTTGGAGTCCATGGGACTCTCAGGAGTTTCCTCCAGCACCATAATGCCTCCACGGCATAGGTCATAGCTTCTCTCAGTTATTCAAGCCCCTTCGCCATGACAGGGCAGTGATCCATGAGGGAGTGTTCATTGGTTAAAAGACTTTAATATGTTAATCTAACTAACTAACTAAGCATTGCCACTCTACTTCAGTCTGCACTGTTCCATATTACAGTGGACACTCAGGTTGCGAACGTGATCCATGCGGGAGGCACGTTCGCAACCTGCAGTGCCACGTCTGCGCATGCGCGGGTTGCGGTTCGGCGCTTCTGCGCATGCGCAAAGTGTGATTTAGCGTTTCTGCGCATGCGTGACCGCTGAAACCTGGAAGTAACCCGTCCCAGTACTTCCGGGTTTTGGCACGTCTGTAACCTGAAAAAATGCAACCTGAAGCGTCTGTAACCCAAGGTATGACTGTATATACAACGTTGTTGCTGTCAGTAAAGAGGCATATTCCTTTAAAAGTGCTGTTCTCCTACTTAATTACCAATAGTTAAAATGACTTTCTCTCTAATGTTTTAGAGTCAGAAGATGAAGTAGAAGAAGAGCATGAAGAAAGGCAGCCATCTCCTGAGCCTGCTCAAGAGAATGCAAGCAGTACTTATTACGATAATCACCCTGTAACGTAAGACAACTTTATATTCTTACATTGCAACCAGTCTATGCAAAATACGTTTCATTTTTTAAATTATACAAATCCCATTTTAACACTATTGAGACATCCTGTTTTCAGCTCTTTTATCTTTAGCCTGTGATGAAATCTAATGTATGGAACTTATAATCAAAAGGCGTTGAAAGGTTGTTCACGTTGTGTTTCTGAGCAACAACATACTCCCTCTGGAAGATTTTTGTAAGGATTATTGCCTTACAGTGATTCTTGTAGTGTATAGAGAAATCAGAATAGAATTTATGTGAGGCATTAATGTGTAGCCCTCTTTTTAAATATTAGGCAGATGTCGTCTTGGTTGTCTTTTTAGTGCCTACTTGAAATCCATTTTAAGTAGAGATCTTTCCCACTCTGCGTCTGTGCTGGAGATGTTTTTTTAGATGTTTTGTCACTTGTGTGTGAGCTGCCCTGGCTTTGGGGAGGAAGGGTGTGACTGAGATACATATATAAAAGAAAATGTATTTCTCTTTTGGTTAATTTTACCTGTAACCAAAAATTACTGGCTTATGTGTGCAAGCAGTAAGTGCTAGGGCTGTAAGGGGATGAGGTAATTGATAAGGCAAACTTAATCCTTGGGAATCATCTAGGAAGGAAATTAATTTGTTAAACTGTGTTTCTTGGTGTGCACACTAGTGGAAGAATGGCTATGTAGTTTTTTTATGGCACTATAGGAATGATGGATTTGTCCAGCTATCAGTAGTCAAAGTTTAAGGGGCCAGTGAAATTGTGCTTCAACAGAAAAGAGTTTAGCAAAATCATGGATTGCAGGATGGTTGAGGATGGGGTAAAGGCTGGTAGGATGTAGAGTCAGCTTTCCCCACCGATAGCTACCGTTGCTCATCGCCCTGATCTGGCCACAGTGATCCATGTGACGTTCACCTCCAGGCTTGATAATTGTAACTCGCTCTATGTGGGGCTGCCCTTGAAGCTGACCCAGAAACTCCAGCGGGTGCAGAATGCCAAGGTGAGGCTCCTTACGGGGTCCTTGCCGCGGGATCACATTCATCCAGTGCTTTACCAACTGCACTGGCTCCCGGTGGAGTACAGGGTCAAGTTTAAGGTGCTGGTTTTGACCCTCAAAGCCCTTTGCAGCCTAGGACTCACGTACCTACTGGACTGCCTCTCCTGGTATGCCCCCTGGAGGACAAATAACAACACTCTGGAGGTCCCGAGCCTCAAGGAGGTTAGATTGGTTTCAACTAGGGCCAGGGCCTTTTCAGCACTGGCCCCGACTTGGTGGAACGCTCTGTCTCATGAGACCAGGGCCCTGCGGGACTTGACATCTTTCCGCAGGGCCTGCAAGACAGAGCTGTTCCACCTGGCCTTTGGTTTGGACTTGGTCTGACCCTTATGTTTCCCTCCCCTTATGGTCTTGATTTATCAGCTACTTTAAAATGAGGCTGCATTTTAAATTGCATTTTAACCTGTATTTTAAATTGGGGTTTTCCCCCCTTCTTTTTCCTTTCCCCCCTCTTATGTTTTTACTGTGATTTTATTGGTGTTAGCCGCCCTGAGCTCGGCTCTGGCCGAGGGTATAAATAAAATTTATCATCATAATCATCATTATTATTATTAGTTATTTTTTATTACTATTATTATTATTATATTATGTCAGTATATCTGGTTCTGCTATCTGTTAGCATTTTAGAATTAATTTAGCTGCATCCAATTCTTCTAGTAATGGAATAGAAGAAACATTGGAAGAATCTACTCACGAACCTGAGCCTGAGCTGGAATCTGAATCAAAAGCTGAGGAACTAAAACCTGAAGCAGAAGAAAAAAATATTGAAGAGCTAGAAGAAAAGTCTCCATCCCCACCTCCTGCAGAAACAGTTTCTCTACCACAAGAACCACCAAAGGTTGGTTAATTTTCGATGCTTCGTGTAACTAGACTGAAGATGGCTGTCAAACTCGGATTGTGAGGAAACCTGGGTAGCTATAATCACAAATAGAACTGGTGGGAGTAGCTTTTGCGTTGAGTATTCAGTATAAATGAGTGTTCCCATTGCCCCGTCCATACAAATGGACATTCACATTACTTATAGTACAAAGCCAAATGAAAAATGTTTCTAATGGGTACTGAGGCTAGTAAAAGTATTTTAAGATACCTTCTTAAAAATAAAAACTCATTAGTACTGTTGATATAGGACAGCAAGTTTTTAACATAATTGATTCTTTACTGCTTTCTTACAATGTAAATTGAAATGCATCCAGTCTCATGATTCCCTTCCCTCCCAGTAGAAGGGGAAAATATTGCAGGCACTGTGTTCTGTTATGACAGCCTAATAATTTGAGAGCTTTGGGAAGAAGTCACAGTAAATTTACCCACAAGGTTATGATTTTGAGTACTTACACCTATTGCTTTTTAGCTATGACATATTTAGCTATTACAGAGTAATCATGTTTGGTGCCTCAGGAGAACATTCTATAAATCAGTTTGGATAGGTTCCATTCTATAAATAGGGATCACAACCAATTAGACCTGTTCCCTAATTGTGCCTACCTAACCTCTGGTATAAGATACTTTAAAAGTAAATAAAATACTTTAGTCCAAGTCATAAAGGCAACACTTGAAATAGTTAAAGTAATTCCTGGTCCACTGACGAGCACAATTCAAACACTCTGAATTGTGCTTGTCAGTGGACCAGCAATCAGTTTTAACTGCTTCAAAACAGACAAGGTAAATTCCATATAACTGGTCCCAGTCAGTATTCTAACCTGTTTTGAATCATCTGAAGCTTTTGACTGTTCAAAGCACATCCAGTGCTTTACAGTAGTCTAAATGGGAAGTTACCAAGGGGATCTGCCTATTTCCTTTCTGGTGGGACCATAGCTGGCAAACCAGCCCAAGTTGGTAAAAGGCACTTCATGCTACAAATGCCACTGGGTTGTAAAAATTGAGAACAGAACCCAGTATCATCTCTAAACTGAACTTTCTTTTCTAGGGGGGAGAGGTCCTAGTTAGGGAAGACCCTGGTTGGTTCTGATTGCAGCTAATGACAGAAATGATATCGCATGCTACCACAGTTAAGACTGACAGGGAAAGTGTGAGGGAATTTGGTCCTGAGAGCAAAAGGATTGTGGCTAGTCCCTGTGTTTGGCGTGTTTCCAGTCTCTGGGAATATTAAGTCTGTACTAGCCCCCCAAGAATGATAAAGCACGAAGAATGTACTCATACATAACTGCCCTCTCTTTCACCCCCGGTTAAGTGAGTATAGGATTACAGCCTAAGGTGATGAACATGATCTGTTGAAACGAATAGATAACTAAAATGGTAAAAACATTCACAATCTGTTTTGCTGGCATCGTATTATGATTGCACTTAATTCTGAGACTGTCTTGCCGTAGAACAAATGTTTCTATTGGTCTAGTTTTCCCATAAGAAATGTCCATGGTTTTCCATGATGAGCAGCCCAGGTTTGTTGCATTTCCTGCAGGCTTTCTCTTGGGCTTCAGTGACCAGTAAAAACCTGCCTCCTAGTGGTACTGTTTCTTCCTCTGGAATTCCACCCCATGTTAAAGCACCAGTCTCACAGGTAACCAGTCTGTGAACACCTTAGATTGTCTGCTTGTTTACATCTACAAACTGCTTCACTAACAAAGCAAGTTACAATTCCTCGAATTATGCCAATTGGCTGCTTAATATATATCCCAGCACCCTGTACCAACTTACGACTGTTTTGTAGACTGGTTCATTCATTTCTTACCAGCAGTGCTATTTTTCTAGAGAAAGGTGCTGGAACGTTCCATGAACGCCTCCCTTGTTCTCTTATAATCGCAGTGGCGCCCACTTGAGAGGTGCTGGAACTGAATTCTGGCAAGTTCCGGTTGAAAAAAAGCCCTGCTTACCAGTATTACTGTTACTCCTATTTCCAGAAAGTTTGTGGCAGTGCGATATATAAGTTGTCTGGAACAAAGGTGTAGAAGGGATCCCTTGGGGATCATCCACACTTTCGTTTGAACCGTATTTTGAAAATCTGAGAAGTCTATGTGTGCATATTTCATTATTCAGAATATCATACCCAGTTACTTTCTTTAAAACAAAAAACTTCTTTATTTTTCTGTTTCAAAAAATACATATAATAAACAATCCCTGTATACCCCCACCTCCAAGAAACATTCCATTCATAGGCAAAATAAATGATACAGTCAAACATTAAGCAGGTTTGTACAATAGTTTAGAGCTGATTATAGCAGTTAAGGGTCTTCTGCTCTCCGTCTTAACAGATTGTCCCAGAGTGAACCATGAGTAGTTGAAAAGGTAGTTGAGTTCATCTTTCTGCACCTTAAAATTACTAGAGAATGTTTTGTGGAGGACACGGAAATAGGTTTAAGCACAATGCTGCTGCTTTCCCCTTAAAAAAAAAACTTAGCAAATCTGAATAAACACAGCTACCATACCAAGAGGCAAGGTGCAGAACCCAGCTCTGTTAGTAGACATTTAAAGATGTCACACTAGCAGCATAATCGGACCCTTTGACACAGCCCACTCTTGCAAGCTTAGTTGAAATGAACAGGGCAGTGGTTTTCAACCAGTGTGCTGTGGCACCTTGGGGTGCCTTGAATGATGGTCAGGGCTGCCACGGACAACACTGGCCTCTGTCCCTCTTTCCTTCCCTCTCACCGCTGATGTCCTCTTCTGTCTCTGCCTCCCAAAGGCTTGCACAGCTGTTTGTTGCAGCAGCCCTGGCTACTAGCTCCACAGGCGAATGGTGCCTCTGGGGCTGGCCAGGGGGTGCTGGTTTCCAGGAGCTGAGGCAGCTTCGGAGCAAGCAAGCAAGCAGTTCAGAGAGCCCAGCCAGCCAGTCCGCCAGCCCTTGCTATTGGAAATGGACAGACAAGTCCCAGGCCCCTGTGGAGCAATGTGAAGAGGCACCTCTCTTTGGGGGCAGCTCAGAGACCAGGGGCGGCAGCAGTGGCTGCCCGGAGGACTCCCAAGGAGAGGAGGCTGAGGGAACACTCCACAAGGAAGGGTTTTGAAAAAGGGTGAGGGGCTACCAGCTCTTCAGGCAAGGGGTGAGCCCCACAGGGGTGCCACAGATAGAATGTAGTTGGTCAAGAGAGCCATGAACTCAAAAAGGTTGAAAACCTTTACAGTAAAACATTGCTGGCAGTGTATATAAGATTTATAGTTTTCCCAAGTGTTAAAATCATTATGTGTAAAACCATCTATTGACATGGGCATAGGAGTTGTCTCCTGTGCCCATGTCATAAAATATTTGAGGGGGCCACCCCCCTCCCAAAATTGGTAGGCATTGCCATTCAAATGGTGTGTGTCTGTTGTGTCATGTGATCGATTATGTGGGGTGGTGATTACCTGCCCACCCCTCAAAATATTTTACTCAAGTTGGCCTGGAGGTGGCCTCTCTCACTAATGAGTCGGTAGGATTGGTTAGTGTAGAAAGAAGCCACATGTTTTATTGCCATCAATCCCTTTAACACTAAATACCAACAGGAATGGAGTCAAAGTTGGGTCATTGAGAAATAAGAGGGAGGTATTGGCTTGTAGAAATAAATAATAATAAATCCATTTAAAAACAAACACTCCCTAGCTTTAAAAGGTAGAGGGACCCCTGACCATTAGGTCCATTCATGACCGACTCTGGGGTTGTGGTGCTCATCTCACTTTATTGGCCGAGGGAGCCGGCGTACAGCTTCCAGGTCATGTGGCCAGCATGACTAAGCCGCTTCTGGCGAACCAGAGCAGCGCACAGAAACGCCGTTTACCTTCCCGCTGGAGCGGTACCTATTTATCTACTTGCACTTTGACATGCTTTCGAACTGCTAGGTGGGCAGGAGCAGGGACCGAGCAACGGGAGCTCACCCCGTCTCGGGGATTCGAACCGCCAACCTTCTGATCGGCAAGTCCTAGGCTCTGTGGTTTAACCCACAGCACCACCCGCGTCCCTATACTCGCTAGCTTTACAGTCTAACAAATTAATAAAGATACGGCACACAAGGGAAAGAGGGGATGAGGGGGGAAGAGGAATATAAAATTCGAAACCTAGGCCCCAATTTCTAGGCAGTTGTTCCTATATTGACCAGCTGGCTTAGTTCATAGCTCAGTGGCAGGAGGTGCCTGATGGAGCTTGGCCTCCAGCAAAGCAAATGACTTGCACCCGGCTTCCTGTCTCTCCCACCAAGGCACCAAGCTGGCCTTTCGCAGCAGAGCCAATGGGAGGAGCTCTGCTTCTCAGCTCTCCCAGTGCTTAAGCTGCTCTTTGATAGTAGCTCTCATGGCATGGTGCTTAAGAAGGCCCCTGACTTGGGGGCGCGGCTTTTCAGGGTTGCCAGGGGCTGACCCTTGAAAACCCTCATCACCACTAGTGCTTTGGGCCTTAGCTAGTCTGAGTTCAGAACTACTCGATGTAGTTCAGAACTCGATTCAGTGCTCTGTTTTTCTGTTTTATAACAAAAAGTAAGCCCTACAGTCCTGGATTGGTACAGAGGAATTCATAAGTGGAATGTTTTTCCAACTACAAAACAAAACAAAACAAAAAAACCCAACAGCTTTATTCTGCATTTATGAGTTGCTCTGCTTCGGCTGCCCAAGTTACCTTTAGAATTTTTGCTAACCGTGCCTTTTCTCGTTCCAGCAAAGAGTAGAAACAAAACCTGAAACCCAGTCTCAGCCTCCTCGTGTGCGTGAACAGCGTCCGCGGGAGCGGCCAGGCTTTCCCTCAAGGGGCCCCAGACCAGGTAAAAAAAAATCCAAGCACCAGTATTGCAAATTTGGCTTACAGTGGGTTTTCTGGGTTTTCCTTAGAAAATCAGGTCGTTCACCTGGTTTGACAGGTTGGATGGCCATCTGTGATGGATGCTTTAGTTGAGATTCTTGCATTGCCGGGAGTTGGACTCGATGACTCTCAGGGACCCTTCCAACTCCACAATCCTATGATTCTGTGGCCTACCCTAAGTCCTCTAGCTTTAAATTTGAATGTGAAAGGCCCTTATGGCCTTGAAGTTACATGACAATTACACACATACACACAGAGAGAGGGCTTTTTCCCAAAGGTTTTTGCCAAGTAACAAGTGAACAGTTTCTGAAAATACGTTCTTTAAAAAAAGCCCACCTGTTTTCCTCTAAGAACAAGAAGAAAACACATCCAGCTAAATCTGAACTTGACTATTTACCTATCTTAAGTTAATAAATAGGCATTTCCATTTCTGCTGGAGTTCCTCTTCTAGTTCCATTTGCAGTCTTCTCTTTTGCAGTGTTCCAAGTGTGCTCTCTAACTTCCACAGTGCTCCAGCCCCTTTTATAGTACTTCAGTGCTCTATCTTTGCTCTTTTTAATTCCCTCGTCCTTCTCTCTCTCTCTCTCTCTCTATATATATATATATACAGTCATACCTTGGGTTAAAGACGCTTCAGGTTAAATCCTTTCAGGTTGCGTCCCGCGGCAACCCGGAAGTAACGGAATGGGCTACTTCTGGGTTTCGCCGCTCGCACATGCGCAGACACTCAGAATGATGTCACGCGCATGTGCAGACGTGGCAAATCACGACCCGCGCAGACGCGGGTTGCGTTCACATCCAGAGGTACCACTGTATATATATAATGTTACTTCAACTTTCTCTCCTAACCTTTTAGCCTGCCAGAAAGGGAATAGAATCCAGGATAAGTTTCTAGTCGTTGATACCTGTTAGGTTTCTCTCTTGCCTCCCCTTAAAACTTTTAGGCTTCATTTTCTCCTAACTGTGAAGTCCCCGGCTGAATTTTGACATTCCTGGTTACAACAGATAATAAGCAAAGACAGCATCCATTTTATGAAATAGAACTGAACATGGGATTGAATCCAGAGTTCATTCTCGACAGCAGGAACATTCCATATGTTTGTAAGCTGACTGCTGTTTGCGTCCTGGTTTTGTATGAATGCAGGTCGAGGAGATATGGATCAAAATGAATCAGACAATCGACGAATAATTCGCTATCCGGATAGTCATCAGCTCTTCGTTGGCAATTTACCACATGATATTGACGAGAATGAACTGAAAGAGTTTTTCATGAGTAAGTGGCACATAAGTGAAGCTTGAGGTGGTGGGGATTCTTGCTAGTCACATATTAAGTTACCTCTCTAATTAGCATTGCTGAAATTGCCTTCTGAGTAAACTGACTTGCTGCCTAATAGATGTCATACATTTTCCCATAACCATCTACACCCTGCTTTCACAGGCTTTGGGAATGTTGTGGAACTTCGCATCAATACTAAAGGTGTTGGAGGAAAACTCCCAAACTTTGGCTTTGTGGTGTTTGATGACTCTGAGCCAGTTCAGAAGATTTTATTGGCAAAAGTAAGTAATCTACCCTAGTCGCCATGTGATAAACTAGTGTTAGATTCTGTTTTCATTATGACACATTGAATTCTGCTGTCTTAGACTTTTGTAAGTCCCCACCCACTTAACATTCATCCATCAATGGAATAAGACAGTGAAAGACCGGGCTTAAAAGCCTTTCTCCTTGAGGTGCTATGGGGGGGGGGTTGTAGGTAAGTGTTCTGTGTGGAAAAAGCTTAATAATGCTATTTTCCACTTGCAGCCTGAAGTGATAAGAGTCCATTCTGTCAGGGGGGTGGGGAGTGTTGGAACCGAGGGGTGAAAAGCCAGCTGGCTCGGCCATCTCCCTCTCAGCCTTGCCGCTGTGGAGATCCATCAGTCATCCTCCTCCGACGTGCTTCTGCGACTCAAGTTGCGGTGCATGCTGGAGCACATATTACTCAGCAGAGTAATCACACAACAGAATCAGGCCCGAGGCGTGGATACGATACTAAGCTATGCATTTATTATACATAAATCAGGACCAAGAAAAACATGGCCTCTCTCCTTGTTCTTCTCAGGGAGAGAGAAAACAAAAGCAATACAGAGCGGAAGTTCCGCTCACGCCAGCAATCCGTGCTGGAATGTAAACAGACGTAACAATCCCACATATCTGCAGCTCGGGAGGAGTGTAATCCCAACAGGGTGAGGATCTGGCTGTAGGCCTGTTCAGATGGCACTTGCCTGCCTTTTGTAGATCAATACTTCACAGTGAAGTCTAGGAACAAGTTTTGCACTTCCTCGCCTTCCTCCCCACTGCACATTTATTGTAGTGGCTTTAAAACAAACAAACGGGGATCTCCCTAACTCTGCAATCCAGACCTCAATTAAAAGAAGGATTTGAATTGAAAGTTTATAAAGAGGCCACAGTTAATGCATAGCAAGCGATAGCTGAACTGATGAGAGGCAAAGTGCAGTGTAAACCAGTCCCTAGTTAATGTAATAGTGAAAATCTATCCGAAAATAGGTCACAGCTATTTGTTTGCGACACCATTGAATACTGAGAGTGTTCTAAATTGCAAAGTGTTATTACTGAAAATTACCGCTCTTGAAAGGAGTGAATTTGAGGGCATAACTTTAGATGAGGCACAAAACGGTTGATTAGAACGCATACAGAATTACAATGTAGGGTAGAAAGCGGCAAGAGAATAACTTCACAATATTTCAAGATAACAGGAAGCAGTGCTATTTTTCTAGAAAAAGAGGTGCCAGAACTCACGATGAACACCTCCCTCGTTCTCTTAGAATGGGAATGGCACATACCTGAGTTCTGGCTGACAGACCCTGACGGGAAGTCATATTCTTGTAATTATTATTTTTTTAATGACCAGTTGCTTACTGTGTTTGGATAATCAGCTCAATTGAGAATTGGCCATCCTTGCACCCAGATCCTAGACCTGAAGAAAGGAGTGATCTGGGATAACTAAGAACATGCATTGCTTCTAAAGTGGAGTTTTGTAAGGAATGTTCAAAGTATGGCAGCTTCTGCCTCACGGGGTCTCTGCCATGGGAGCATATTCACCCAGTGCTTTTCCAGCTGCACTGGCTCCCAGTGGAGTACAAGGTCAGATTTAAGGTGCTGGTTTTGACCTTTAAAGCCCTTCACGGCCTAGGACCCTCGTACCTACGGGACCGCCTCTCCCAGTATGCCCCACGGAGGACCTTAAGGTCCATAAATAGCAACACCCTAGTGGTCCCGGGCCCTAAGGAAGTTTGATTAGCCTCAACCAGAGCCCAGGGCCTTTTGAACACTGGCTCCGGCCTGGTGGAACGCTGTCTCATGAGACCAGGGCCCTGCGGGATCTGCTTTCTTTCCGCAGGGCCTGTAAGACAGAGTTGTTCTGCCTGGCCTTTGGCTAAGAATCAATTTGATTCCCTCCCCCCCTTTCTTTTTTCCTTTCTCCTCCTGTGAAGGGGCTGCATCCTAATGTTTTAATGTTGTATTTAATCTTGTTTTTAAAGTTGCATTTCAATCAACTTGTTTTTATTATTGGTTGTTAGCCTCCCTGAGCCCGGTCTTGGCTGGGGAGGGCGGGGTATAAATAAAATGGATTATTATTATTATAGATTTCTGCCATCCATACAAACAACATTGTCACAGATGGTGCAAAATAACACCCACTGGGTCTGTGTATTGTAGCTAGCAAGATAACAGTAATAAGAATTGCTAATGATATGACAACCTGAATACTAACTAGCATTGTGATTGACACACTCTAAAGAAATGATGCGTTCTGATCTGGTCTGCCAATGACTGTCAGCAGTTAGGTTAGCTATGCACACTCAGTGCTCTAATGTTGCATGCATGACATGGAGATGATGATGATGATGATGATGATGATTATACCCAGCCACTCTGGGAGCCTTCTGCATATATGTTCTACTAAATGAGCTAATGAACCTCTTTGGACACTATAAAACTAGCTAAGCTTTTGGTATTAACGCTTTATCTTCTCCTTCCCTCCCCGCCCTTTCAAGCCTGTTATGTTTCGTGGTGAAGTGCGCTTGAACGTAGAAGAAAAAAAGACCAGAGCTGCTCGTGAAAGGGAGACCCGAGGTGGTGGCGATGACCGCAGAGATATCCGGCGCAACGACCGAGGTCCAGGGGGTCCACGTGGCATTGTGGGTGGTGGAATGATGCGAGACCGCGATGGAAGAGGGCCTCCTCTAAGGGGTGGCATGGCCCACAAACTTGGCTCCGGAAGAGGAACTGGGCAGATGGAAGGCCGGTTCACAGGTCAACGTCGTTGAAGACCCAAATGTTGGCAGGCAGTCTTGGCAGTGATACATTATTCGTCGTGTTTGCATTCTTGTTAATTTTCTGGCTTTGGAATGTAACACAGCCTTTTTGATCATTTCTTTGATGTGAGAAACATCCTTTGGTTACCAGTTAAATTGAGGTGGACGTTCTTTCCCCAATTTCACAAAGAAGTCACACTGTTAACGTATAACTTAGACTTGGAGATTAAGGACTGTGAGAAATGACCATTTAAACTTTCTGCAGCAACAACTTAAAAAAAAAAAAAAAAGAAAAGGACAAGGGCGTGCCTAATTTGAGTTAAGGTCCTTTCAGTAAAACAAAACAAAAAAAAAGCACCCTCCTGCTACACATTTTGTGTAAGTGTTACTGTTTCTGCCTATTACTGTTGGAAACGCAACTAGTGCAATCTTTGCAATTGGAGAAGCTTACCCTTTTTTCCCCTTACAGAACAGTTGGCTCCAAACAACTCACGTTTTTACGAACTCAAAAGCGCACTAATGGGTATTTGACTCCTTTTACGTTGACATCTGCTGAAAGCAGCAAGGAAAACGTAGCTTGTGAAACGATGTAGGCATCTGCTCTGCTTTGCTCTGACCAATATATGTACACACACACAAACCTTAACGAGACTACAAGTATGTTCCAGAAGGAAACCATTTAGCTGTAACACAGATGTAAAAACTTCAAAAATCATAGTCCTGAATACGAAACAAGTTTGGTTTTTGTTTTTTTTAAAAAAGGATTTAATGAGCTCCCCCGCCTTTCTCCAGAACAGGGATGGCTAACTGCTCAACACACTCCTTCTCCCCTTTCCCCTTTCTGTAAGCAGTGTACAGTGAAAAATTGTCTCTACTGTATTGAGGTCTCTGGTAATGTAATAAGCATGATGGTGCCTTCTGTTAAATACATCATTCCAGTGTTGCTGGTGATTTTGTACAGTATAGTGGTATGAATGACTGTGCTGCAAAACTTTTAACAGCTGTAAAAAAAAAATGTTTATAAAATCATTGTATAAAAATTGCAGTATCTTTAAATCGGTAAAGGTTACTGGAATATTATTTGCCTAGCTCTGCGGTTGACATGTTTCTGAAGCCTTTGAAGGAGGGAGGAAAGAAAATGGCTGCATTTTTAACAGAAATGGAGTTGCGAAAGCGTGTGTGCATTCTTGCATAGACAAGTCCAAAGTTAATCAAGCACGTACCTTTATTTCAAGTATACTTCGGATAAGCATATTTAACATAAAACTTGTTACACCTCAAGGATACTGCAATTTTCACAGGGCAGGAGAATAGCTCAAAGTAATTGCTATTTCTGGTTTTTGAACTGTCGTCACCCATTTTGCACAACCTCGAAGCGACTTTGATGCCTACACGGCTCAGATTTGTACATGGAGGGAGGACCTCCTCTTGTGTATTTGGAATTTTTTTTTTTTAGAGCGTCTTGAATTTTGGTGAGAGGTTTGCTGTTTCCAGGTTCCTGTTTGCATAGATCGCACATTCCAGAAAACTGCAAATGTAGCAAAACGATGCTCCCCCGGCTTCACGCTGGACAGCTCAGTAAGCCTCGGGATTACTCTTGAGGAGGGGAGGCAAAAATATGTGACCACTCAGAGCTGCTCTAAGCATGGAAGACCTCACTTGTTTTAATGTAACAAAAATGCCTAATGCAAGGAGCATTTGGTTAAAAGTGACCATTTGCTGTTTCCTATGAATGTGGAAAATCTTGCCTGTGTGTTAAGGGGGAGGGGGAGTGAGTTTGCATCATTTTCTCCCCCCCCCCCCAATAATAATAATAATAATAATAATTGAGGTCTTCCATGTTTGACGGTAAGTCTTGCACTATTTTCATACACTTTCTGGGACACATTTCTCTCTTTCCATGGTTATATTTGGGAGTGTGTTTTGTGTTGGAACTGTTTCATTTTCAGATGATGCCTGGAAATGTACTTGAATGCCTCACCACAAACCATAAACCTTTAAGATGAAAGCCTTTCTTTAAACTGCGCTTCTCAGCAAGCGGTTTGCTTACCAGTGTTTTGTGTTCCTTGACTTTTTTCTTTTTTAGTGCTATGGTATTGCCCTGCGATCTTAAAAGAAAAAACTCTTAAAAGGCAAATGTCACTGGAGAAATAATCAGAAAAATACGTAACTGACAATTAGAGGAGCTACTGAGCCATTCAGCTTACCCGGCCGGCTTCTTTAAATGCCATGAATTAACAATATTGGAAGCATACACAGAAGTTTACATGGTGACCGTTCGCCTACTGTACTGTGGACTCATAGTGTTCTTGTCCCTCCTTTCAATAAATGTACCTCTAGAAGAAAAAAGCAACAGATCTCCTTTGACCTGTTATAAACTGCTGATTTGTTGACAATGGGGTAGTATTGCTATAATTGCAGTCCTATTTCAACAAACTTGCTTTAACCATCTGTTGGCTTTAGTAGGTATGCAAGACAGTGGACTACCATCTTTATTGCTGTAATGTGTTGAGCATTATATGCTAGTAGAATCTAGTTTAATTGTTGCAGGTGGAAAGTATTTACTTTTTAAGTTTCCATTTTTGAATGTGTTTTGACTAAACATACCAATAAACTACTGATGTCTGCAGCATTCATCAATGGTCCCGAATTCTCTTCTCAGTGGAATTGGTGTTCCTCCGTGGCAGTTATCTACATGGAAAGGCAATCGTGCCGGTGTTGTTGATCCCAAAATTGCTGTTGATCTGATAATTTAACTAGCAGTGGATTCTGCACCTTGCAACAACTTGCATCTTGCGCTGTCAATCCGCATGTCAAAATTATTTGTGCTGTAGCTGCTGTGAAAATATATGCACGTTGACACAGTTGTAATTGTCCATCACGCATGCTGAACCCATGGCCCTTTCTAAACCTACTAGATCTTTTATGCCATCAGAAGAGCAGAGTCTGTATTGTAGGGCATTAAGCAGAACTTATCAGATCACATGTACTGCACTATCCATTGCCTTTGCTGTTGAATTCTCTTGTTCTCGCTCTCCAAGGCGAAGGCTATTCTTCCACCGCTGCTACTTCACCGTAAGCCTGTCACTTACGGAAAAGTTGAAATTTTCAAACTGAATTTGTATATTCTATCTTGAGGTCCGGTTCATGCAGGCAGCTGATGAAGAGGTGAAACTATCCCTGGACTGAACCACTCAGTGGTGTTTTGATGCACGTGTGGGCAACTCAAGACTTGACAGCTCATAGACCTTAAGACAGCTTGAAAAATTGTTTTGTTGTACCTGTACACTTCCATTGTTTCCCGAGACAGATGCCAGCAACACGTTGACTTCTATTTGTCACAAGTGGCTAGTTAAGTACCAGCTGGTTATTTTGCACAGTGATGATAAAAGTCTTTTGCATTCCAGCAGAGGGCCCATGGCTTGGTGCATGGCGAAGGTCCCAGGTTCAGTGCCCGATCTATTTGAAACCTTGGAGCTGTTGCCAGTTAAAGGTAAAGGGACCCCTGACCATTAGGCCCAATCATAGCCGACTGGGGTTGCGGTGCTTATTTTGCTTTACTGGCCAAGAGAGCCGGCGTTCAGCATCTGGGTCATGTGGCCAGCATGACTAAGCCGCTTCTGGTGAACCAGAGCAGCGCATGGAAATGCCGTTTACCTTCCCGCCGGAGCTGTACCTATTTATCTACTTGCACTTTGACGTGCTTTTGAACTGCTAGGTTGGCAGGAGCAGGGACCGAGCAATGGGATCTCACCCCGTCGCGGGGATTCGAACCGCCGACCTTCTGATCGGCAAGTCCCAGGCTCTGTGGTTTAACCCACAGCCAGTTAGGTGAGACTAGAGGCCAGGTGGCCCATTAGTCTGACTTGTACAAGTCAATGTGTGTGCTCTCTTGTGAGTCATTCATAGATTCTACATTTCTCTGGCTGAAAGCAACAAGATCTCTGGATGTAGAGATCTCTGGATGCTAGGCTGGCTGGCCCCTCCAGCTTTCTTCAGCAACAAAGCAGAAGAGCTTGCTTATTGCATTTATATCCCACCTTCAAGGAGTACATAGTTCACCTTTCTCCTCCGTTAATCCCAACGAGAGCCCTGTGAGGTAGGTTAAAAGGCTGCAGCTGGCCCAAGGTGTCACTCAGTGCGTTTCATGCCTTAGTGGGGATTTGAACCCTGATCTCCCGGGTCCTAGTCCAGGGGTCAGCAAACTTTTTCAGCTGTGGGCCGGTCCACTGTCCTTCAGACCTTGTGGTAGGCTGGACTATATTGGGGGGGGGGGATCCAGTGTACCTTGGGTTACATACGCTTCAGGTTACAGACTCTGCTAACCCAGAAATAGTTTCTCAGGTTAAGAACTTTGCTTCAGGATGAGAACAGAAATTGTGCTCTGGCGGTGCGGCAGCAGTGAGAGGCCCCATTAGCTAAAGTGGTGCTTCAGGTTAAGAACAGTTTCAGGTTCTTAAACCTGAAACGAACTAATTAATCCAGAACGAATTAAGTACTTAACCCGAGGTACCACTATAATGAATTCCTGTGCCCCATAAATAGCCCAGAGATGCATTTTAAATAAAAGCACACATTCTGCTCATGTAAAAACACCAGGCAGGCCCCACAAATAACCCAGAGATGCATTTTAAATAAAAGGACACATTCTACTCATGTAAAAACACGCTGATTCCTGGACCGTCCATGGGCCGGATTGAGAAGGCGATTGGGCCGCATCCGGCCCCCGGGGCCTTAGGTTGCCTACCCCTGTCCTAGTCCAACACTAGCCACCACACCGCACTGCCTTCCAGGCGTCCTCCTGCAACGGGGCAGCTGTTTAAATCAAGCAAGTAAATATGGGGAAAGCAAAATGTCACTTAGAGAAGGATCTGAAATCTTTTCCTTGAAGTTTGATTTTCCTTTACTGTGGACTGTTCTGTTTGATGATTTATTGTCTTGTAAACCGCTTTGAGATTTACCCCCCTTTATAATGCAGTATAGAGATGAAAATAAAAATAAAAATAAATCCCATGGTTGGGTGGGGGAATGGTGCCTAGACATTCTGTTGTGGCAGCCATAACCAAGGTTTAAGTTGCTATTTGGCGATTAGCTTATATATATATATATATGAGTTTCTAACACTGACTGAGTCAGATCTAGTTCAGTATTATCCACATGGAGTAGCAGCGGCTGTTCAGGATTTCACATAGGGTTTTCTCCCAGTTTTGCAGGGCTTTTCTTTCGTACACTGAGACCCAAGTGGATTTTGCTAGCAGGAATGGAAATAATCAAGCACCTACCGTTTTCTGTAGTGGGCAGCTGTACAGTCTAGCGCTTCTAACTTCCATCACCTGCCTCCTGTCTTCTGCTAGTTGACGTTCCTCAACATACGCTGACTTCTCATCCTTCAGCTTCTTGGGAAAAAGCCCATAAACCCATTACCAATGTGAATTTAACATCCATTTTGGTAATGGTTTTTTTCTTTTTCGAGTCAACCATTTTCCTGTCCTTATCGGAGCCACAGTGGGCCAGGGCTATTAACCAGCAGGTTGCTGCTTTGAGCCAACCCAGGATTTCAGCATTGCCTGGGGTCCCTTCCAACTCTATAATTCTATAATCTTAGGTCTTTTCCTTCTTTTCTAGGTACAGTGGTACCTCGGGTTACATACGCTTCAGGTTACATACGCTTCAGGTTGCAGACTCCGCTAACCCAGAAATAGTACCTCGGATTAAGAACTTTGCTTCAGGATGAGAACAGAAATCGTGCTCCGGTGGCGCAGCAGCAGCTGGAGTCCCCATTAGCTAAAGTGGTGCTTCAGGTTAAGAACAGTTTCAGGTTAAGAACGGACCTCCAGAACGAATTAAGTTCTTAACCAGAGGTACCACTGTACTGCAACTCAAAGTTCAACAAAACAGCTCAGTCTGTAGAGCAGGGGTAGGCAACCTAAGGCTCGGGGGCAGGATGTGGCCCAATCGCCTTCTCAATCTCACCCACAGATGGTCCGGAAATCGGCGTGGTTTTTACATGAGTAGAATATGTACTTTTATTTAAAATGCATCTCTGGGTTATTTGTGAGGCATAGGAATTTGTTCACTTTTTTCTTCTTTTCAAAATATAGTCCAGCTCACCACATGGTCTGACGGACAGTCGACCGGCCCACGGCTGAAAAAGGTTGCTGACCCCTGCTGTAGAGCATGAGAATCTTAATCTCAGTTCGAGCCCCATGGGCAAATGATTCCTGCATCGCAGGGGGTTGGACTAGATGACCCTCGGGGTCCCTTCTAATTCTGCGATTCTATAATCCTATGCTTTAGACGAGCAGCAAGCCTTGCCTACTGCCACCTATTGAACAGTGGGCACCATAGCATCGTAGAGGCGGAAGGGACCCCAAGGGTCATCTAGTCCAACCCCCTGCAATGCAGGCATCTCAAGGAAAGCATCCCTGACAGACGACCATCCAACTTCTGCTGAAAAACCTCCTGGGAAGGGGAAGAGCCCATCACCTCCCGAGGGAGACCGTTCCACAGTCAAAGGGCACTCGACGCCAGAACGTTCTCTCCGATGTCCTCAGTGAATAGTTAAACGGCGGAACTCGCTGCTGCTGGAGGCAGCAGCGACGGCTGTTGTTGTTTAGTCGTGTCCGACTCTTTGTGACCCCATGGACCAGAGCACGCCAGGCACTCCTGTCTTCCACTGCCTCCCGCAGTTTGGTCAAACTCATGCTGGTAGCTTTGAAAGCACTGTCCAACCATCTCGTCCTCTGTTGTCCCCTTCTCCTTGTGCCCTCCAGCTTTCCCAACGTCAGGGTCTTTTCCAGGGAGTCAAGTCTTCTCATGAGGTGGCCAAAGTATTGGAGCCTCAGCTTCAGGATCTGTCCTGCCAGTGAGCACTCAGGGCTGATTTCCTTCAGAATGGATAGGTTTGATCTTCTTGCAGTCCATGGGACTCTCAAGAGTCTCCTCCAGCACCAGAATTCAAAAGCATCAATTCTTCGGTGATCGGCCTCCTTTATGGTCCAGCTCTCACTTCCATACATCACTACTGGGAAAACCATAGATTTAACTATACGGACCTTTGTTGGTAAGGTGATGTCTCTGCTTTTTAAGATGCTGTCTAGGTTTGCCATCGCCTTTCTCCCAAGGAGCAGGTGACTTTTAATTTCGTGACTGCTGTCACCATCTGCAGTGATCATGGAGCCCAAGAAGGTAAAATCTCTCACTGCCTCCGTTTCTTCGCCTTCTATTTGCCAGGAGGTGATGGGACCAGTGGCCATGACCTTCTTTTTTTTAATGTTGAGCTTCAGACCATATTTTGCGCTCTCCTCTTTCACCCTCATCAAAAGGTTCTTTAATTCCTACTCACTTTCTGCCATCGAGGTTGTGTCATCTGCGGCGACGGCTACCACCACCAAAGTTGCCGCGAGTTCTGTCGGGAGACAAAGACGGCTGTGTGGCGTGATGCAGGCATGCAACAGCAGCGTGCCCATTGTGGGGAGGGCCCCTCACTCCCGCACAGGCTGGCAGCAGCAAGGCGGGGGGGGGGGCTCTAACCTGGCCTTTGGCTTGGAGCCAATTTGATTCCCTCCCCCTCTTTCTTTTCATTTCTCCTCCTGCGATGAGGCTACATTTTAATATTTTAATGCTTCAATATTTTAATGTTGTATTTTAATTTTGTTTTTAAGTTGCATTCACTCAACTTATTTTTATTATTGCTTGTTAGCCGCCCTGAGCTCGGCCTTGGCTGGGGAGGGCGGGGTATAAATAAAAATTATTATTATTAACCTCCACCACCTGCAGCTGCTGCAGGAGCCGCAGCCCCTTGCGCGCGCGCCCCCGCCCAGCCTTCCACCGGCGGCGCGCGCGAGAGAGCGTGTTGTGCAAGCGGCAGGCTGGCCGTTGCCCCTGGTTACCGCCCGGGCCCCGACGTTCCATTCGCGCGCCGCCCGCCCCCGCGCGCTCCTGCAGCTGCAAAAGAAGTCCCTGCGCCGTCGGAGGGCGCGCTGCTGGCGGGGGCACGGCGGAGAGGGCGGCAGGTGAGTGGCAGGTGCCAACTCCGGGATCCCCGGTGCTGCGTGCGATTTTCAAGGAGGAGGTGCGGGCACCCACCTCCCAGGAGCCGGAGCAAAGGTATTTTTTGGGGGGTGCCAGCTGGGCCCCGCGACCGTGGGTGCCATGCAAGGTGCACGGCCCTCGCGCCGACCTCTGTGGGTGCCCGGCCCCTTCATGGGGGATTTTGTGGGTGCTCGGGCACCCGGGGAGTCGGCACCTATGTTCGACAGTATGCCAGTCTGTGCCACCCCAGAGGGTGCCTCGCAGCCGCCTCCCTTCCTCGCACGTCGGAGCCGCTGCCAGGAGAGCCTCCTGCCATCTCTGCCCTGCCTCTGTTTCCCACAGGATCGGGCGCAAGGGGGCTGGATCGCCCCTTGGATGCGCTGCCCAAAAAGCCAACTGGCAGAGGCAAGTTCTACAGGGGCAGCAGATTCTGGCATAGATCTTGGCATGGGTCCCAGGGGTCATCTAGCTCAACCCCCCTGCAATGTGGAGTTCAAACCCACAGCCCTAAGATTAAGAGTCTCCCGTTCTACCGAGCTATTTTCGCAGTAGCTTCCTTCCATCTTCCCCGTTCCTTCCCTCACCCCTTTTTCCCTGGTGAGGAGGAGGGGGGCCTGTTTTGTCGTTCCCCTCAGGGGCCAAAAGGTCTTGGGCCGGCCCTGGGTCCAGGGGCAGGTGATGAGTGGAAGATGCAATGGTACAGAGAAGGGGCAAACAGGGAACCGCAGGCAGCAGTAGCAGCTCCTTAGGGTGGCCGGGTGAAAAAGAGTCGCGCACAACCTGTAAGATTTGTGTACAGTGGTACCTCGGGTTAAGTACTTAATTCGTTCCGGAGGTCCGTTCTTAACCACTTTAGCTAATGGGGCCTCCTGCTGCCGCCGTGCCGCCGGAGCACGATTTCTGTTCTCATCCTGAAGCAAAGTTCTTAAGCTGAAGCACTATTTCTGGGTTAACGGAGTCTGTAACCTGAAGCGTATGTAACCCGAGGTACCACTGTAGTTCTTCTTGTTTGGATCAAGCCTAATAGGACAATTCCAGAGGATGCTGAAGGACTACAGTGGTACCTCGGGTTACATACGCTTCAGGTTACATACGCTTCAGGTTAGAGACTCCACTAACCCAGAAATAATGCTTCAGGTTAAGAACTTTGCTTCAGGATAAGAACAGAAATCGTGCTCCAGTGGCGCGGCAACAGCAGGAGGCCCCATTAGCTAAAGTGGTGCTTCAGGTAAAAACAGTTTCAGGTTAAGAACGGACCTCCGGAACAAATTAAGTACTTAACCTGAGGTACCACTGTATTAGGATAGCTCAGCTTTTAGAGCACAAGACTCAGAATTTCAGGGTTATGGATTTGAGCCCCATGTTGTGCAAAAGATTCTTGCGTTACAGGGGGCTGGACTAAATGGACCTTGTGACCATAGCTTTCAATGTTTTAAGGGGAATTCCCTTATTCCGAGGACGCGGGTGGTGCTGTGGGTTAAACCACAGAGCCTAGAGCTTGCCGATCAGAAGGTCAGCGGTTCGAATCCCCACGACGGGGTGAGCTCCCGTTACTCGGTCCCTGCTCCTGCCAACCTAGCAGTTCGAAAGCATACCAGTGCAAGTAGATAAATAGGTACCGCTCCAGCGGGAAGGTAAACGGCGTTTCCGTGCGCTGCTCTGGTTCGCCAGAAGCGGCTTAGTCATGCTGGCCACGTGACCTGGAAGCTGTACGCCGGCTCCCTCGGCCAATAAAGTGAGATGAGTGCCGCAACCCCAGAGTCGGTCACGACTGGACCTAATGGTCAGGGGTCCCTTTACCTCTTACCCTTATTCCGAATAGGATTCATCGCAAGAAAAGGGGAAAGTTGACAGCTATGCCTTGTGACCCCCATCGAACAATTCCATGATTCTTACCTCCTCTCCCACGGGGTGATGTGGTAGTGATTGGTAATAATTTTTATAATCTTGCTACAGGTGTTTGCCTCTTTGTTTAGCCAGCCAAGTGCCACACTTTTAAAATTTGGGTGGAAAATGGTGCTGATTCTGCTTAATTGATTGTGATTTTATGTATACTGTGTTACTTTTATTGTTGTTAGCTGCTCTGAGCCTGACTTCGGCTGAGGAGGGCGGGATATAAATAAAAATTATTATTATTATTATTGTTGTTGTTACCGTTGAGTACCCCCAGAAAAAAAGCACAGCCAATTACTAAATTTTATGCACTGTGTTCTAATGTCTAAGCTACTTTGAAGGGGGTTGGAAAGCAGCTCATATAATTTATTTTATTTTATTTTATGAAGGATTTGCCGGTCAGCTGCTGCAAGGTGGTAGTGTGTTTGTTCTGTCTCGTAGTGTTGGAAAGTGGGAAGAAGGATTGGAGATGCACCCATCTGCTTGTTTAGTTACAGCTTTTTCCATACACACCTGCTGCATTGCTGTTTTAATAGTAAGTATGAACCATGTGTTTCTAGTTATTTGACAAAAACAAAGAAATGCAATATAGTATTTGGAACTGTGTGTGAAAGAACAATAGAAATAATAATACAATGAGTCTAATCGGAAGTTAAATGTATTTATTCTTTCTTTTTGATTCTTTTCATTATTGATTTCTTTTTCCTTTTTCCTTTTTTCTTCATGATTTTCTTCTCTTCTCACTTTTTCTTTTTTCTCTCCCTCCTTTTTCTCTGCTAGGAAAGGGACAGAGTTAAATATGAAAAGTTGACTAATTCGAAGCGAATAGTTTGTTAACTATTGTTAAAGATGGTCCGCCATAGCGAATAGCGAATTGATGTGTTAGTTATTGGTGATTTATTGTTATTGTTGAATCTTAGAGTAAATTTATTAATAAAGAAAAAAGAAAAAGTGTACTAGAGGCTATCCCAGTTGGTTGGTTGCCTGAATTAAATTTCTGGTTACTGGAGACAACTTTTGGACTGTGTTTTTCAAACATCCTATTATGGCGCACAAGGCAAGCTGCGAAGATGGGTTTGTGCTCCTGGTAACAGGCCTGCCGTGGAGAAGACAGCCTCTGTCTTCAGCCTGAGTGTCAAGCTGAAATGCCTCATTAAAAAGGGATAACGAGCGGCTTCGTCTTGCACATGGTGACGCTGATTTCTCTCTCGTAGCCAAGCGATTCATCAGCTGCTTGAACCCAAATGGAAAAGTATGAGATCCTTGGGCTGGTGGGAGAAGGAAGCTACGGAATGGTGATGAAATGCCGGAACAAGGAGACCGGCAGAGTCGTTGCCGTCAAGAAGTTTCTGGAAAGCGAGGATGACAAAATGGTTAAAAAAATCGCCATGAGAGAAATCAAACTTCTCAAGGTGAGCTTGCTGCTGGGGATCTTCAGAAACGTGTAGCTCTTTTCTTTAATCGGTGTAAGTTTCCTGACTTTGGATACTCAGAGTCAAAAGTCAGGTTTGCGCAGAACAATTGCCAGTATCTAACTGCATTATATGGGATGCGGGTGGCGCTGTGGGTTAAACCACAGAGCCTAGGGCTTGCCGATCAGGTCAGCGGTTCGAATCCCCGTGACGGGGTGAGCTCCCGTTGCTCGGTCCCTGCTCCTGCCAACCTAGCAGTTTGAAAGCACATCAAAGTGCAAGTAGATAAATAGGTACCGCTCTGGCGGGAAGGTAAACGGCATTTCCGCGTGCTGCTCTGGTTCACCAGAAGCGGCTTAGCCATGCTGGCCACATGACCCAGAAGCTGTACACCGGCTCCCTCGGCCAATAAAGCGAGATGAGCGCCGCAACCCCAGAGTCGGTCACGACTGGACCTAATGGTCAGGGGTCCCTTTACCTTTACCTAACTGCATTATATAACAGTAATGTCATATATGCTTTAAGAAACAAATATGATTCTAAATAACTTCCGTAGGAGGTATTTTTGAATGGGCCTCTGCTCCCAGCTCTCTTTAGCCCCACAATAAGAATTAGGTGGATTTTTTTCCCTACAGTCTCCCCGCCCCCCCTTAGAATGCAGTGCCCGTTTGAAGGTAGACAGGAGCAAGCAGGTGCAAAGTTGTTCTGGGAACGCATTTTATCTGCATTCATTCTGCAGCTCAGCTCTGATGTTATACGTTTAGGCAACTTTGCGGGTGGCTTCTGGTTTCTGTAACTCCATATGGTAAGATTTTTTTTGATACAGCTTCCCACATGGCCTGGGCAATTGTCGTGCTAATATTGGGCACATATACCGTATTTTTCCGTGTATGAGACTAGGTTTTCCCCCTTAAAAATAATGTCCAAAATTTGGGGGCCTCTTATACATGGATAGATCTCTCCCCATTTTCTTAAATCGGAGTCCCCCCAAATAGGGGTGTCTTATACATGGGTGCGTCTTATAGACGGAAAAATACAGTATATGGGCTGGTACAAATGCACGCATTCTAATCTGTGCTTGAAAGATTGGGAACAGGATTATGTGTTCCCTTTCCCCAACACCTCCACTCTCCAGAACGAAAATCCCCTGCTCACCTTAACCATGGTTAATTGGTTCTTCTGCAATAAGTGCTAACCAGGGTTTCATCTTAATCAGACTTTGAAACTGACTGCTGTGGTTAAGATGGAACTTGATTAGCATTAACTTCCATTTACACCAGATCTGATGCAATGCTTTGCTGAAGCAGCACTACCCAGAACTAAGCCATGGTTTGCCTCAGCGTTCTATGAAAACCCGGGCTCATGGTTTGTCTCACTCCCAGCAAGCCACAAGTTGTAACGAAGGTCTGAAGTTGAATCCTGGCAAGACAGAAGTACTGTTTTTGGGGGACAGGGGGCGGGCTGGTGTGGAGGACTCCCTGGTCCTGAATAGGGTAACTGTGCCCCTGAAGGACCAGGTGCGCAGCCTGGGAGTCATTTTGGACTCACAGCTGTCCATGGAGGCACAGGTCAATTCTGTATCCAGGGCAGCTGTCTACCAACTCCACCTGGTACGCAGGCTGAGACCCTACCTGCCCGCGGACTGTCTCGCCAGAGTGGTGCATGCTCTAGTTATCTCCCGCCTGGACTACTGCAATGCGCTTTACGTGGGGCTACCTTTGAAGGTGACTCGGAAACTACAACTAATCCAGAATGCGGCAGCTAGACTGGTGACTGGGGGCGGCCGCCGAGACCACATAACACCGGTCTTGAAAGACCTACACTGGCTCCCAGTACGTTTCCGAGCACAATTCAAAGTGTTGGTGTTGACCTTTAAAGCCCTAAACGGCCTCAGCCCAGTATACCTGAAGGAGTGTCTCCACCCCCATCCTTCAGCCCGGACACGGAGATCCAGCTCCGAGGGCCTTCTGGCGGTTCCCTCATTGCGAGAAGCAAAGCTACAGGGAACCAGGCAGAGGGCCTTCTCAGTAGTGGCACCCGCCCTGTGGAACGCCCTCCCATCAGATGTCAAAGCGATAAACAACTACCTGACATTCAGAAGACATCTTAAGGCAGCCCTGTTCAGAGAAGTTTTTAATGTGTGGTATTTTAGTGTATTTTTGGTTTCTATGGAAGCCGCCCAGAGTGGCTGGGGAAACCCAGCCAGATGGGCGGGGTACAAATAATAAATTATTATTATTATTAATATTATTATTGTTGTTATTATTATTATGTTCTTGGCTTATAGCTTGTGGGTTTTCTGGGGAATACAAACCATCATAAGCTTTGGCGTGCATTCAGCACTAAAGCAAACTGTGGCTTAGCGCTGGGTAGCATGGTAGCAACAGAACGAGGGCAGGCGCCAAGTCGCCACAATTTTAGCTCTTGAGTACGCACACATTTGCTTGTTCGTGTTCAGCCACAGTATTGCTTAGCATTAAATTCAAAGAAGCCACTACGTTCTAAACATTGTTAGGCAAAGAGGGCTTCCCTCCGACAAATTCCCTAATACAAGTTAGGCGCCAGAACCAGGGCAGTTCTTAACTTTCAGCCTCTTCCGTCAATTACATTTAGCTGTATGTATTAAAGGTTGTGATTCTAGTACCGTGAAATAAACTATATAAGAGCGTTTGTCGGGATTGCTGGAGCATGTGAAGCATTTTGAGTAACTTTAAAAAGCATCGTGTGAAAACGAAAGCTGCAATCCTAAGTCATGTCTACTTGGGAGTAAGCCCTGTGGAACGCAGAGGGACTTGCTTCCAAGTAAACATGCACAGGATCAGGCTGCAAATATTATTCTCTATTTCCTTAGCATTGTATGTATCCAAGGGGCAATTATAGTGAGTGTTTTCAGACTCTCTGTCTGCTGTAGTTTTGTGACGCATTTGCTGTCTCCTGATAGCAATTAAGGCACGAGAACTTGGTGAACCTACTGGAAGTCTGTAAGAAGAAGAAACGATGGTATCTGGTGTTTGAATTCGTGGACCACACAGTCCTTGATGATCTTGAGATGTTTCCAAATGGCCTGGATTACAACAGAGTTCGGAAATACTTATTTCAGATTATAAAAGGGATAGGATTTTGCCATAGTCATAATGTAAGTAAGCTGTTACGTCCGCTTGGTTATTTGTGTTGCTGTGCTGTTTGTTCTTGGTCGAACACATCAGATTTATCGATTCAAGGATCTGAGCTTTTAGTTTCAAATATATGTTGCAGTAAGGGACGCGGGTGGCGCTGTGGGTTAAACCACAGAGCCTAGGACTTGCCGATCAGAAGGTCGGCGGTTCAAATCCCCGCGACGGGGTGAGCTCCCATTGCTCGGTCCCTGCTCCTGCCAACCTAGCAGTTTGAAAGCACGTCAAAGTGCAAGTAGATAAATAGGTGCCGCTCCAGTGGGAAGGTAAATGGCGTTTCCGTGCGCTGCTCTGGTTCGCCAGAAGCGGCTTAGTCATGCTGGCCACATGACCCAGAAGCTGTACGCCAGCTCCTTCGGCCAATAAAGCGAGATGAGCGCCGCAACCCCAGAGTCGGCCACGACTGGACCTAATGGTCAGGGGTCCCTTTACCTTTACCTATATGTCACAGTAGTAAGAGTTAGTTCAAATTACCCAAGTTAACAATGGGAATTATCATTGCAACAAACCTAATTTTGAGTGTTAGCTGGGTAGAATGTTTGCTAGATGTGCCGATTCCATCTACTCAAAATACATTTGCTTTTGAATTTCTAAGAATTTAGGAAATTCTGAGAATTTCTGAGAATTTAGGAATTTTGTGGTGTAATTTCAGGGTTTTCACTACAGTCTAGACTGATGTCCTCGGTATAGAAAAAACTGAGGTTCTTAAACATCTTGCCATCTTTTTTTGTCAAGGAAAAATGGTTTGGCCTCATAATTTAAGATGCAATATAACTTCAGCCTTATGGCACAATATGGATTCCTCTGGAAAATAGGCATAGATGATAGCATATGAATGTTTTTGCATGTAGATTTTATTCTCATGTAAGGTAACAGTTTTCATAGTCTCCTCTTCTTGAACATTCAAAAAATCTGCTTCTAAATTTTTTGTGGTGGGGATGAGGGCTGCTGTGTTGCTGGGGATGTTGCTTTTGTTTCAAACATTGCAAGCTCTGGATGGGATGGAGGGTCTCAGGAGGTGGCAGAGGGATGCTCCTAGAGTTGTTTGGCAGGGCAGGAAGCCTCGAGTTAAACTTAAGATATTGATGGATGCTAAAGAAGGAGGTGGACCTGCCCTGCCAGACCTTTAAACTTCGTTGTGAACCATCTGCCTTTTGCCGGTTGAGAGAATGGTTGCTTCTTGAAAACACTGAAGTGTTGGACAATGGCAGACGAAGTTGATGGACTATAGGGAATTGGCGGAAATGACTGGCAAGATCCGAGACCAGGGTGAAGAGTCGGTGGAAGAAGATTGGAAAAAGTTTAAAGACTATTTATAGAAATATTGTAAAATTAAGGAATGTTAGAAAAATGTTGGAATGAAATTACATGGCTTTAGTAGAAATGTCATAAGGAATTAAGTATAAATAGATTAATAGACAATTAAAGGAAAAGTATGGCAAGAATGTGTTAAGATAATTATAGAACAGAAAACAGAGTAAGATCGAAAGGAATTGCTGAAACAAATAATAGAAGTGGAATACGAAAAGGGAGGTGTGAGGAAGTCGCTGGAAATAAGTAAATGAAATATAAGATATTGAATGAAATTTGATTTATTTTATTGTTGTTGCATTGTTTTGTTAGTTTAATGTATTGTATTGTATGTGTTTTTTCTTTTCTTTTAGTGTTTAAATTTTTTGGAAAAGTAATAAACATTATTTTTAAAAAAAAACAAAAACAAAAAATCTGCTTCTAGGATCAGGAACACAGTGTTTTAAAAACACTCTGCATAATCTGGAAGCCTGAGAAACAATATTTCTGATTGTGTGGAGAGCGCTTTTAGTGCAGGGACAGTACATATGCCATTTTACTTCATTCCGTACATGTTAATGGATAAAAAGGAATCGCTTCAGGTTTTTTGCCTTCTTGTAGCAAATTTATATTATTATTTTATTAGTGTGCTTCAATTTGCATTAATATATTTAAAGCATGGTATGTGATGTGATAAAGATGGATGTTTTTTGGCCAGTAGTTGCAAATCGTCACTCGATATTGCAGTCATCAAATTTGGAGTGTTTCCATGTGGACTAGCCGGCCACCTTGGTGCTTAAGGGCAAAGAACCAGGGCTAATCTAAACACACGCATTCTGCTTTTTTTTTAAGATCATACACCGAGATATTAAACCTGAGAATATATTGGTCTCCTATTCTGGAATTATCAAACTCTGCGATTTTGGATTTGCTCGAACCCTGGCAGCCCCTGGCGAAGCTTACACAGATTACGTGGCAACGCGATGGTATCGGGCTCCTGAGCTGCTTGTTGGAGATATCAAATATGGCAAGTAAGGAATCGTAGAATACGGTATTGGGTTTCCCCTACATTTCCAGGAATAGATCATTATTATTATTAATGACAACAGAAATGTTGCTGTTCAAGCTCAGGGGGTGATAAATTGCAGCCAAAGCAAGGTTTGGTCACTGTAGGGAGGCTGGTTTTGGCACCATCCCTGTAATTATTATTAATTACAATTAATGAATTACAAGTGGCCTCCCCAGCCACTCTGGGCAGCTCCCAACAGGATATTAAAAACAGAATAAAACATCAAACATTAAAAACTTCCCTAAACAGGGCTGCCTTCAGGTGTCTTCTAAAAGTCAGATGGTTGTTTATTTCCTTGACATCTGATGGGAGGGCATTCCACAGGGTGGGTGCCACCACCGAGAAGGCCCTCTGCCTGGTTCCCTGTAACCTCACTTCTCACAGTGAGGGAACTGCCAGAAGGCCCTTGGAGCTGGACCTCAATGTCCAGGCTGAACAATGGGGGTGGAGATGCTCCTTCAGGTATACTGGGCCGAGGCCGTAATGAATATAAGCTGCCTCAGTGTAGCCAGTCACAATCAGCTGCCTGTTACTGTTGTAAAACGTATTTTTGGTGGAGCTGTCTCTAAATATGGCGCCTGTTTTCCCTCCCCAGGGCTGTTGATGTGTGGGCCATTGGCTGCCTGGTAACAGAAATGCTTACCGGAGAGGCGCTTTTCCCTGGAGACTCGGATATTGACCAATTGTACCATATTATGAAATGTTTGGGTGAGAAAGCATCCCTTGTTTTCTTCTGTGAAGCCAGCAGAGATTTGGAACCTTCAAGCTCATAGCGAAGGCAGAAGAAAGAGAGCCTGAAATACTTAGGTTGTTGGATAAGATTATGTTGATCAGTTCCTAAATCCTTCAGGGTCCTGGCTTGGTAAATCCAGATGGCCCTTCTGTGAGTTGACAGCAAGAGATTTTGCACGCCATTAAGGATGGCAGAGTGCAATAGGTCTGATCCATGTAGCACAACTGGATTATGATTAGTAATAATAATTCATGATTAAAGGTAAAGGTAAAAGGACCCCTGACCATTAGGTCCAGTCGTGACCGACTCTGGGGTTGCGGCGCTCATCTCGCTTTACTGGGCGAGGAGCCGGCGTACAGCTTCCGGGTCTTGTGGCCAGCATGACTAAGCCACTTCTGGTGAACCAGAGCAGCGCACGGAAACGCCGTTTACCTTCCCACCAGAGTGGTACCTACTTATCTACTTGCACTGGTGTGCTTTCGAACTGCTAGGTGGGCAGGAGCAGGGACCAAGCAATGGGAGCTCACCCCATCACGGGGATTTGAACCGCCGACCTTCCTAGTCCTAGTCCTAGACTCTGTAGTTTAACCCACAGTAATTTATTATCAGCAGCAACCTGTTTGTCTCCAGGACACACAGAGTCGATTTGCAGAATTAAAGAAAGCAAATAAAAGAAAAACTACACAGCTATCCTAAAGCAAGGTAATCGGAAACAGTGGATTAAAACACCAGGTTCAAAGCCAAGCGCAGGGAAGTAGCAGAAAACTCAGGGATCAAATAATTTGGCTTAAGCTGTCTGCAGTTTTGCGTTCTGAAAACTGAACAGTCTTATAAATGATTATTAATTCCAGGTAACTTAATCCCAAGGCACCAAGAGCTGTTCTACAAAAACCCTCTTTTTGCTGGAGTGCGGTTGCCTGAAGTCAAGGAACTCGAACCGCTTGAAAAACGATATCCCAAACTCTCTGTTGCCGTCATAGAATTTGCTAAGGTACGTGCCTTGCCGATTCCGTAGCTTTCCATTTTGTTCCTGTTGGCAAAGCCTTCTGTTTGCTTTCAGCAGCCAGCCCTTGATAATGAGTTAGGAAGATTGAGATCAGTGGGAACTTAACTGGGAGCTGAGTCAGCCTACCCAGATTTGCTTTTGTTCAGGGGCTAGAGGCCTTTTCAGACACAGAAAGGAATACAGCTGTCCAGTATCAGCCCCTGAGATTGGCAGGAAGTATAAAGCCCCTAAATTAGCCAGGCCTTGTATAAATAAAGGTAAAGGGACCCCTGACTATTAGGTCCAGTCGTGGTCGATTCTGTGGTTGCAGCGCTCATCTCGCTTTATTGGCCGAGGGAGCCGGCGTACAGCTTCCGGGTCATTTGGCCAGCATGACTAAGCCGCTTCTGGCGAACCAGAGCAGCGCACGGAAACGCCGTTTACCTTCCCGCTGGAGCAGTACCTATTTATCTACTTGCACTTTGTCGTGCTTTCAAATTGCTAGGTTGGCAGGAGCAGGGACCGAGCAACGGGAGCTCACTCCATCGCGGGGATTTGAACCGCCGACCTTCTGATCGGCAAGTCCTAGGCTCTGTGGTTTAACCCACAGCGCCACCCGCATCCCCTCGTATAAATACCTGAAGCCTAACCTGTCCTTGCCTAGTCAGCAGAGCAGTACCTCTCTGTTTGCTGCTCTCAAACTCCTGTCATGCATACGCACATTATAAGCTGTGATGCGCATGTAACACACTATATATTCCAGTTGTTTATTAGCTGCTTATCAGGGTCAAGTCCTCACAAAGCAGTGGAGAGACAGAAATAAAGCAACAGAACCTCAGGCAATGAATGAAGCACTGAGTGAATGGAGACAAACCGGGGCATGACAGCTGCGGAATTAGATAGCCACAGTTCCTTTAAGGAGAGGCAGTAGCAAAAAGTTGTGGTTTTAAGGCCCGAAAGCGGTCCAGAACTGCAGGGCTACCATCAAGAAGGCCCCGTAATCTCATGTGCTTGTCGGCCTAACCAGTTTCACCAGTGGGCACATAATGTCGTATGTGTAGTTACGTCTCAGCCATAGAGTTTGTGACCGACAGTGAGACCCTAGCCTAGAGAAAGCTGCATTTTCTTTCTCTAAAAGTCAATGGTAAATCATTTCTCTCTCCTTCCTTCCTTCCTTCCTTCCATGACTTAATAGACAGGACCCGGTGAGCTACCGTATTTTTTGCTCTATAAGACTCACTTTTTCCCTCCTAAAAAGTAAGGGGAAATGTGTGTACGTCTTATGGAGCGAATGCAGGCTACGCAGCTATCCCAGAAGCCAGAACAGCACGAGGGGTTGCTGCTTTCACTGCGCAGCGATCCCTTCTGCTGTTCTGGCTTCTGAGATTCAGAATATTTTTTTTCTTGTTTTCCTCCTCCAAAAACTAGGTGCGTCTTGTGGTCTGGTGCATCTTATAGAGCGAAAAATACGGTATTTTAAGCATGCTTGAAGATGCTCAGCTGATTTTCCCCTTGCAATGTCCTTACAACCCCATAATATTGCAAACTGTTTTTAAAAGCCCTCACCATTTCAAACATTGTTTGTTATGTGGTATGAGGGGAGTAGCTACAGTTTGCCTGAAACCTTGCGGGTGCAGAACTGCTTGCGTTGTTCTTTTGATCCCGGCAAATATCAATGAAATTCAACATTTGGAATTTTCCTTTTTCCTCCTCCACTGTATTTACAAGAAAAAATTTGATCTTATGTTAGCAATGTCTGCAGACTGATCCGGACAAAAGACCATCCTGTACTGAGCTGCTGCAGTGTGATCTGTTCAACAAAGATTCCTTCACTGAAAGGTGTGTGGCTTTTCCTTGTTTAGCGGAGCTGGGCCTTAAAAGGAAACAGTACTGAGAATTTTTGGGCATTGCAGTCAGGGTTTCCTATAACTCTGTCAGTGCCCATAATTCCTTGAGGGGAAGAATGTGCTTCTAGTGGGCTTTAAATTTACATACTGGATCTCAGAGCCCATCTTGGGAAATGAAAGCTTTCAAGGGGAGAGGTGCAAAGAAAAGGTTTAGTACTTTCTGGTTCTCCTTTGACTACTTCACTGCAAACCCCCACTCTCTGCTGTCGGAAGTGAATTTTGAAGTACCACTGCCAAATGTCTAGTACCACCACCAGATTTAGGGCGGTTCCCCTTAAGGCAGGGGTCAGCAGACTTTATCAGCAGTCCCTCAGACCTTGTGGGGGGCCGGACTATATTTTTTTGGGGGGGATGAACAAATTCCTATGCCCCACAAATAACCCAGAGATGCATTTTAAATAAAAGCACGCATTCTACTCATGTAAAAACACCAGGCAAGCCCCACAAATAACCCAGAGATGAATTTAAATAGAAGGACACATTCTACTCATGTAAAAACATGCTGATTACCGGGCTATCCGGGGGCCGGATTGAGAAGGCGATTGGGCCGCATCCGGCCCCCGGGCCTTAGTTTGCCTACCCATGCAATGGGTAGGCAGTGGGTTTTTACATGAGTAGAATGTGTGATTTCCCACATTGTCCTATTTTTTTTTTTTTTTTTTAAAGCTACCATTTGCAGTCATGGAAGTTGCTGTAGTTGAAATTTCTGAATCCCCAGCTCAGATTACCATCTTTTCACGTGAGCCGTATGAACTGAGGGGGGAAATGGAGAGAGGGGAGCAATGGGATATCATGTGTGAATTTTAAGTCCACAGATTATATGCATGCTTCTTGTTCTGATCTCTTTTCCTTCCCCTCTTAAGATGCTGGAGTTATATTTCTCTTCTCCCTTTTTTATCTCCAAGGGTCGCTTTGAGTTTCGCTGTTCATTTACCTTACAAGTTTGTGGTGATATTAAGGTTGAGGCAGAACATATTATCCAGAGTCCTTGTCGCAAGGGAGAGGATTCCAGTATAATAATAATAATATAATTTATTATTTATACCCCGCCCATCTGGCTGGGTTTCCCCAGCCACTCTGGGCGGCTCCCAACCAAATATTAAAAACACAATACAGCATTAAACATTAAAAACTTCCCTAAACAGGGCTGCCTTCAGTGTGTTCAGAATTTCGTCTACAGTGCAATTAATTTAAAAAAGGTTTCATTTTGTACATGTGCTCTTCTTCTTCAAACACAAAAAATAAAGGTTCACCCAGGAACTTAAAGCAAAGATCCAGAAAGAAAGAGACCACCCTTTGCCCAAGAAATCGAAAATAAGCAGGAAAGACAAAGACGATTCCGGTGATGAAAAGAAAGCGCTTGTAATCCAGGTATGTGGAACTTGGTTTATTCTTCCGTATTCCTATCTGTAATGCCATGTTCTGAGTCAGACCATCTCCACTGGTCTTGTCTCTGCTGATGAAGTTCTCAAGTTAAAAGTTGCTGAGAATGGAGGAGAACAAGAAGGAAGGAGGATAGTTCCTGATTAGGAAGAAGAATTGTTGGTGATGCCACTAGCAAATTCATGCCAGGCAAGATACCGTATTTTTTGCTCTATAAGACTCACTTTTTCCCTCCTAAAAAGTAAAGGGAAATGTGTGTGCGTCTTATGGAGGGAATGCAGGATGTGCAGTTATCCCAGAAGCCAGAACAGGAAGAGGGATTGCTGCTTTCACTGCATAGCGATCCATCTTGCTGTTCTGGCTTCTGAGATTCAGAATATTTTTTTTCTTGTTTTCCTCCTCCAAAAACTAGCTGCGTCTTTTGGTCTGGTGCGTCTTATAGAGCGAAAAATACGGTAGATGCCAGCAGGCAGTAAATCACACTGTTCAAAGTTGGAATTAACTCTTTGTTAGCAAAAACACTGTTATAAGGGGGAAAAACGTGCTCTTTTCCCCTTATGGGGTATCCAAGAGCCCATATAGAGTCCTTAAGTGGGTTCCCTATTGGCAGGAGAAAATAACAGAGGCCAACCAGAGAATATTGAGAAGCAAAGCAGCTAGTAAGCCTGATCTCTATTAAACTGTTGCAACAGGGTCCCCACTCATCACACGAAGGAGGGAGGAGGAACCCAGAACAATGGTGTGCAAGCCCTTATATAGACTTTTGAAACTGCCCACCCTATAGCCCAAGACCACCCCCCTAAAACATCATACACGCATCACAGAAGGAGGCGGGTCTACAGCAGAAATCCTGTCTGCCAGGATACCTGTTAATGGTCGCTGGTTGCATTACCTGGGCAGCCTGGCCATTCTTTGGTGGTGGCAAACTCAGCCCTCCGGATGTTTTGGGACTACAACTCCCATCATCCCTAGCTAACAGGACCAGGGGTCAGGGATGATGGGAATTGTAGTCCCAAAACATCTGGAGGGCCAAGCTTGCCTATGCTTGCTTTAGTTCCTGAATGCAGGACACAGGCTCGGCCTATTCATACAAAAATATGCCCTAAAGACAGGATTTGCAAGCAAAAGACAGCGGGGAGGTTTTCCCATTTCCTTTCTCCTTGCAGAGAAATATTTGAGGTCAATTTGGGAGAATCAAAATGGCTTCAGGACTGCTCTCCTGTACTATTTCAGACACGTGGTTTATATACTTCATCATTTTCATCATCGTCTTTCTATCTTAACAATACTCAAGGCGGTTTACAAGCTGAAGAAACAAAAAACGTGCATCTTATAACAATCTAATGCAATTCAAAAATGTGATAATGAAACAGAACTTTAAAATAAGCAACCTACATAAAAAAGTAACATTATTATTTTATACTATTCTAATAATTGTTGCATATCAACATATAAAAGTTAAACAGAAATCCACTCAACAGTTACAATAAATAATTTCTAATTATGTATGTGTTTGCCTTGTACATTTATTTATGAATGTTTAATTTATGTTTGGGACCTTAGAATTCTTATAACACGATATCCGCAGACTTAGCTGTCAGGCCTGAGCAGCTTATCCCCAGTCGTTCTGGACCCATGAATCAGTTACAGAGACTGAAATTCCCCTTCTCCCCAAAGTCACCCATCCCCTCTTCTCCAGGGCTTTCCCCCAAGCCACCTGACACTCATTTTTTTAACACTACGATGCTTGTGTTTGAAACAGGACTTGGGCATGGAATCCAAGCTGAAAGACTCCAAGCTGTTCAGAATGAAGTTGTCCAAGGTTGACACTGAGAAATCGGACAGAGCTTCAAATGCGAGTTTCCTGTATGAGAGTGGAGTTGGGCAGGTCAAGGCGATTCCCTCGACAACTTTGAAAGATTCCAGTAGCAGCCTGGATTATGTGAAAAATCCCAGCACCGTGATCCCTCCCATTACACAGAATTATTCCACCATATCCTCCAGCATCGGTGGAAACCCTGGCTTGGGGTCAAAACTGGGAATGCATAATTACAGGTAAAGTAAAATAACAAAGTACCTTTCAGGGCTCCCTGCTTCATTCTAGCATAGGTCTGGCGCTGTATATTGAGCATGTAGATGCCCTTGCATCTTGCCTAATTCAAGCTAAGACCCACTTCACACATTACATTTATAATTATACAAGAATAATTATACTTGTTTAACCATGTACCGTATATTTCGCTCTATAAGACGCACCAGACCACAAGACGCACCTAGTTTTTGGAGGAGGAAAACGAGAAAAAAAATATTCTGAATCTCAGAAGCCAGAACAGCAAGAGGGATCGCTACGCAGTGAAAGCAGCAATCCCTCTTGCTGTTCTGGCTTCTGGGATAGCTGCGCAGCCTGCATTCGCTCCATAAGACGCACACACATTTCCCCTTTCTTTTTAGGAGGGGAAAAGTGAGTCTTATAGAGCAAAAAATACGGTAAATATTTTAACAAGAATAGTAGTGTTGGGATGCGTCTGGGGAGGCGGGGGCATTTGGCAGGCCCCCAGCTGGCTCCAGCCCACTGGCCAGCAGCTGGGAGAACTCTGGTTCTCAGAACACCATCAAAACTGTGACTCAAGCCTCAGAGACCATTAGGGACTGAGCACGCAAGCCAGCAGAGGTAAGAACTCTTTGCAACGGAAGTAGCAGACAGAGGCATATGTAAGCATATTTACAAGCGTTTATTCAGTGGTCTAAACCACAGAGCGTAGGGCTTGCCGATCAGAAGGTCGGCAGTTTGAATCCCCGCGACGGGGTGAGCTCCCGTTGCTCGGTCCCTGCTCCTGCCAACCTAGCAGTTCGAAAGCACGTCAATGTGCAAGTAGATAAATAGGTACCACTCCGGCGGGAAGGTAAACGGTGTTTCCGTGTGCTGCTCTGGTTCGCCAGAAGAGGCTTAGTCATGCTGGCCACAGGACCCGGAAGCTGTACGCCAGCTCCTTCGGCCAATAAAGCGAGATGAGCGCCGCAACCCCAGAGTCGGCCACGACTGGACCTAATAGTCAGGGGTCCCTTTACCTTTACCTTTAACCATGTAAATATTTTAACAAGCATAGTAGCTCGTTAGGGAGCTGTGATTGGCTGCACCAACCTCCATGGTTGGTGCCGAGGATATTGTTGTATGAAACAGTCCTTAATGCTTAGCACTTTCTACAGTGCTCTGATAAAATAGTCAACCTCCTTTCAGTGTCTCTTAATATATTATCCTTGCGTTGCAGAAAGGGAATGGGGGTCGAGGGCTTAAGTTTGCTGGTCCTAAAACCACTGGGTACATTTGTGACTGAGGCGAGATTTGAGTCAGAACTTGACACAGTTCAGGCTTAAGTTGAAGTGAATGGATCAATCCCGGTGATTCATGGCTTTTGGTTGGCTTTTCTGGGTTCCAGGATTTCTGAGTCCTTGGTATACCTTTTTATGACAAAGTTAGGTCTGTTTTCCATAGGACATATACTGAATAGGTACTTAAAAGTATCCCATGTTCACTATCATGGATTTTTTATGTGTGAGTTCTTCCCATTAACTGTGCTAGAGGAGCATGTTGACACAACTTCCATTTGCTAATTAAGTGGCCTAATTAAGCCCACGTCTGTCTTCTGAGCTTATAACTTCCTGCTTGTGTGCTTCCCAGAGGCATCCGGTTGGCCACTGGGGGAAACAGGATGGTATTCTCAAGATACGACTTTTGATTTGATTGGTAAATGCTGGATTCAGAGTGGAGCTCGTTCTTTTTTCGTTTTGCCCCTCTAAAGGCTTTTGCAGACAAACAGGTCTTCCTCAGTCCTAGCCAACCTGCTCCACTCTTTGACGTGAAGGGCTGAGGAACCTGTGTGATTTTTAGGGAAGTGGCCCACAACAACTTACGCCACAATAAATCTTACAGTCTTTTAGGTGCCCTGCAACTCTTTGAACCAGGCCAGAGACCCTATCTGCAGCCCCTATCTTCATTACTCTTCCCTGGGTTTGCTGCCTAGTACAGTGGTACCTCGGGTTACATACGCTTCAAGTTACATACGCTTCAGGTTACAGACTCTGCTAACCCAGAAATAGTACCTCGGGTTAAGAACTTTGCTTCAGGATGAGAACAGAAATCGTGCTCCGGCAGCGCGGCAGCAGCAGGAGGCCCCATTAGCTGAAGTGGTACTTCAGGTTAAGAACGGACTTCCAGAACGAATTAAGTACTTAACCCAAGGTACCACTGTATTTAATTCCAGCAACGTTTCTGCACGATGCGTGCTTCCCAGCCATGCCCGGAAATAGTTCTGTCTGTTAGCCATGATGCAATGTTTGGAAATGGGTTTTTAAAATAATTTCACGCGATCTCTGGATTTTTGTGTGTTGCATTTCCAGGATTGATGAGAAGTCTAAAAGATACCTCAACCCTTTCCTAAAGCAAGGGAAAAAATCACCCGTAGGACACTATAGCATCAACCTGACCGCATCGGTAAGCTCTTTAAAAAAAAAATTTCAGTGAGAGCAAGCATGCTTCAGAGACTCTGTCACGGAACGCCTTGTTCTAATACCTGTCCTAGGTTTGAATTCAATTCCTTTCTCTTTGTCTGAGAGTTGGTTGTGTTGCAATTCTTGGCTAACGTCCTAATGCAAGCACTGTGTTCTGCTTGAACTGCATGATATAGAAACAATAGGAGTGGTTGGTTTTTGCTGCCCAGCTCCCCAAGGGACCGAGTCCTCTAAGTCCATGATCGGACAGAGATGATGATGATGATGATGATGATGATAATGATAATGATAATAATAATAATAATAATAATAATAATAATAATAATTTATTATTTCTACCCCGCCCATCTGGCCAGGCTTCCCCAGCCACTCTGGGCTGCTTTCAACAAAATATTAAAATACAGTAATGCATCAAACATTGAAAGCTTCCCTAAACAGGGCTGCCTTCAGATGTCTTCTAAAAGTCTGGTAGTTGTTGTTCTCTTTGACATCTGGTGGGAGGGTGTTCCACAGGGAAGGCGCCACTACCGAGAAGGCCCTCCGCCTGGTTCCCTGTAACTTGGCTTCTCATGGTGAGGGAACCGCCAGAAGGCCCTCGGCGCTGGACCTCAGTGTCCGGGCTGAACGATGGAGGTGGAGACGCTCCTTCAGATATGAATGGATGGAGGCAGGAGGCAGTGAAAGCAAGACAGATCTTTATTTTTCTGCTGCAACTGAATTCCTCCCCCCCCCCCCCAGCAAGGAGGCAAGAGAGACCCAGAACCCAGAAGAAAATCTTTCTTTTAAGGGTTTTCATTTTGGTGTGGAGAAGGAGGACATCCTCTCTACGAAAAGTCAGAAATTACATCACACGTAAGGTGGGGTTACTCTGCCTCAGACAGGCCAAGGTGTGATTTTCCTGAGGATTTAGCAAGTTTTACATAGTTCCAGACACAGTTTACACAAAACATTACCATTTGATAAAACCATGGGTAGGCAAACTAAGGCCTGGGGGCCTGATCCAGCCCAGTCGCCTTCTAAATCTGGCCCATGGACGGTCCGGGAATCAGCGTGTTTTTACATGAGTGGAATGTGTCCTTTTATTTAAAATGCATCTCTGAGTTATTTGTGGGGCCTGCCTGGTGTTTTTACATGAGTAGAATGTGTGCTTTTATTTAAAATGCATCTCTGGGTTATTTGTGGGGTATAGGAATTTGTTCATTTCCCCCCTTCCAAAATATAGTCCAGCCCCCCACAAGGTCTGAGGGACAGTGGACTGGCCCTCTGCTGAAAAAGTTTGCTGACCCCTGGATAAGACCATCGAGATGCCCCTCAGACATCCCTCAATGTGGAGCATCTGGGCAAACAATGACAATTAATACAAATGAGGTTCCTAGATATAGGAGAGGAATCCCTTCAGGAACTTGCCCTGGTTGTTCTCTGCCTAAGTGTTCTCAAGCAAGGGGGATGAAGGAGGCAGAGGAAATACTGAGAGTCTTTAGGAAAGCTAAGATGGCTTTGGTTTGCTCCCCTGTACTATCTTAGACATGTGGTTTATATACTTACCGTACTTTTCCGTGTATAAGACGATGGCTTTTTCTTTTAAAATGATATTAAAAAATTGGGGCAGGGACGTCTTATACACGGTCAGTGCATATTGGTGACATGGGATTGGTTGCTTCCGCTAGCCAGAGATTGTCAGAGGCTATTGTGCATGTTATTGGTGGCTGAGACAAGGACTGGTGTTGATTTGCTGTTGCTGCAGCAATTGGGCAAGCGATTGGCGGCTTCTGCCGGCGAGGGGACAGACGATAGGCGGCTTAATTTCTGGCAACTCCCCCCCCCAAAAAAGCTCAAAAACTCTGGGCAATCTCCCCCCATTTCCTTAAGTTGTAGTCCCCAAAAAGTCTTATACATGGTGGGGTGTTATACACAGAAAAATATGGTATGTGTGTGTGCAATTATCAGCATTTATTCTGGATTCAGGTAGGTTGGTCTGACGCAATCGAAATATATAAAATAAATGGACAATTATTTTTTTTAAAAAATCATATTTCGACAGCATTTATTCTATATTTGAGACCTTAGAATTCCTATAACAGGCAGAACTACGGCTCAATGTCAGAGTGCATGTAGGAGGGTCCCAGCATTTTCAGGCAGGACTGGGAGAGACCCCCACCTGAAACGGTACTGGATATCTCCACTGGCTCCCTTCTCCACGGCTTCCTCCTTCTCAGCCTTGGGAGACATCGCGCCAACTGGGCTGATTTGCTTTCAAAATCTAGACTGCTTTTGAACATAGCTGTCAACCGTCCCTTATTTGGCGGGAAAGTCCCTTATCCCAGCGCCATGTCCCGCTGCTGTCCCTTATTGATGATGTCCCTTAAATTTCCCAGGTTTCAAAGGAAGCTGCTCCTCTCCCTGCCGGCCAGGGAGGAGGGAGGCTCCAACTGTGTTCCGTGGCTGCGTTGCTCACCCAATAAGGAGTCTAAGAACGACTGGAGGGTGGAGCTTGCATGCCTTGTGCCGATCAAATCGGCCGCGTTGCCTGGGGACTCGCCTTTGCTCAGCGCTTCCCAGTGGAGAGGTGACAGTGTGGTTTTCCTTGCTGCATCCCCTTTGCCGGGTTGCTGCGCTGTGGGAACCACCGCTTGAGGCTTCGTTTGGCTGCTGGCTGGGCTTTCTGCCTTTGGCTTGGAGGGGCTCAGAAGTTGAACATACCTGTGCTCTGAAAAATCCCTTATTTTGGCTGCTGATCCCTTATTTTCGAGGCCGCTGGTCCCTTATTTTCAAATCTGTAAGTTGACAGCTATGCTTTTGAATAGTATCTCTCTTGGTCCAGATCTCGTTTCCTGTCTGGAGCCTAGTATATCTGAATGAAACTCTGCTTTTAACCATTCCTGCCTTGGCCAGTCAGATGAGGGAGCCCAGAGATAGTGGATGTTGGTACTTTGTATAATCTTTGTATGTTATGGAAAGTGGCCTTTAAAAAAGTACTAAATGTAGACCATGGATTAGGGTTGTTGTTTTTTAAAAGCAACGTTTTCTTCATGTTTTCACCAATTAACGGCTTGGTAACAGGTCTCGAATGAAAACAACGTTCTTCAGACAAACAAGAAACGATGGGAGTTTTCCAAAACAGATGTACGTTTGCCAGAGCTTAACTACGGCTATCTCCCTGAACTCAAAGGGGTGGACGGTAAGAGTTCAGGATAGATATCCAACCAATTATGGGATCTAGCAGCTAAATAATAATGATACAGTGGTACCTTGGTTCTCAAACTTAATCCGTTGAAGAAGTCCGTTCCAAAACCAAAGCATTCCAAAACCAAGGCGCGCTTTCCCATAGAAAGCAATGCAAAACGGATTGATCCGTTCGAGACTTTTAAAAACAACCCCTAAAACAGCAATTTAACATGGATTTTACTATCTTACGAGACCATTGATTCATAAACGAAAGCAATAAACAATGTACTGTACTATAAAATAAATAAAACAGTATCGTAGATGATAAAAACTAAAATTAAATTTTTTCTTACCTGCGCTGATCATTGTCTGGATGGGGGGCTTTTATCCATTTCTGCCGTCGCAATCAATCAGTAACTGAACTGGGATCCACACAGTCACAAAAACAAATTAACTAAAAAAGCCTCAAAACAAAAAAAAACGCAAAATAAATAGCAAAAACAAAAGCACCAAATATCAGCTCCAAATATCACGTCAGAACACTGCAACCAGAAACAGAAGGTTTGAATTACAATGGGGGAGGGACACAAATTAGCAGTGCAACAGGAAACACAGGGGGACTCAAAATGGAGCACGTTCGGCTTCTGAAAAATAGTTCGAAAACCGGAACACCTACTTCCGGTTTTGCAGTGTTCAGGTTCCAAGTTGCTTGTGAACTAAGCTGTTTCGAAAACCAAGGTATCGCTGTAATTTTTTTTTAAGAAATGGGAAAAACATGAACCTCGAATGAACTTTATGAAATTAGACTGTCCATAGGAAAGTAAAAGTACGTATTTAAGTGTATGAAGTTTTGCCGTGCCCTTAGCCAGACACACAAAAGTTGTGAATAAGCAGTTGAGAGAAACGTGTTGTTAGATTCAGCTTTGATGTTTTACATTCCTGGGATAGTTCTTGGAATTAGTGATGTGCTTCCAACTTGCACAGATAAGTTCATTCCAAAAATGCGCTAATTGATGCATGTGTACAAATGCTCAGCCCATAATGATCCACCCATCGGCTTGTACAGGAGTTGTGAGGAATCACGGTGCTTACCTGGCAAGAGTGATCTTTAGTCCAGGTTTTCCCATCCCTGCTTTTTGTGGTCAAACTTCTACAAAAAAAGGGCGTGGAAATGGGGGCGGAGTGGGGGGAACCAGCTAAGCAGATGTGACCCACGTTCAGATAAATGAACATAAATATCAAAATAGCTTGTAATGTTTGTGTAAGCCAAATCAAAAGAAAAATGTGTTAGGCTGCGAGCCACAGGAAGGAGAGACTACTTTCGCAAGAAAAGAATGACGATAAGATGATGTGAAAACAAATTGTGTTGCCTTCGTCCGTAGCTCGGAATTCCAGATTTCTGAAGAAAGAAAACAAAATTGTTTCCGAGTCTCGCATGCCGTCTCTCGCCACAATAGATCTTCAGAATCCGAACCTCGCCCTGCACCAGGTACTAAATCGCTCAGAATGAATGAATGAACTTTATTACGGTCTCAAACCAGGATTAAAAAGCATATAGATAAAATAGCAGTTAGGATTTTTTTTTAACCGATAATTGTTAGAGCAAATGAGGACAAGGAAACAGGCATAGGATAAAACATCTGGATAAAATTCAAGATTAAACATGGATAATGGATGGGTAAAAAACTGATAATTAAAACAGATAAGAACTAAAAACAAACAAGGACACGCAGTTAAAACAACTGTAAGAGCATAAGAACTAAAAGACTTGCAGTTAAAACAACTGTATGAGGCTGCAGAGTAGAAGCCTCTTAAATAGAGGACACGCACAACATTAGAAACTGCTGTGCAGATATGGTTAAAACAGACAATTAAAACAAATGTACAACACTAAATTTAGCAACAATGTCCAACAATAAACTGTCCCAGGGAGTTGACTCAGAATCACCCATGGAACCGAGTTTGGGGCTTTTCATGCCGGACTATTTTGAGTTGGGCGAACTCGCCCAGAGTTTGGGAAGGAGAGGGTAATTCTCCAGCTATTGAGCTAGTAAGTCATTTCTGTGAGATGTCTGTCTCCACAGTCCACGGGGCTTGTAGGATGCAGGATGTGCCTTAGAGAGGTGCCCAAGCCACAGAGGTCCAGGTTGAACCCAGTTGGCCCTTGTGCCATGTGACTCCTGTTGGCTTCTGGGAAACCACTGCTTCGAGACTCTTGGGAATAGAGATGGTGATTTGTAGTGTTTTGATATGCCAACGTTCATTCTCCTTGCCCTGCCTTTTAGAAAGCAACAGAGCCTATAATTATAATAAGAATTTATTATTTATACCCCGCCCATCTGGCTGACTTTCCCCAGCCACTCTGGGCGGCTCCCAATCGAGTGTTAAAAACAATACAGCATTAAGTATTAAAAGCTTCCCTAAACGGGGCTGCCTTCAGATGTCTTTTAAAGATAAGATAGCTGCTTATTTCCTTCACATCTGAAGGGAGGGTGTTCCACAGGGCGGGTGCCACCACCAAGAAAGCCCTCTGCCTGGTTCCTTGTAACCTCACTTCTTGCAATGAGGGAACCGCCAGAAGGCCCTCGGCGCTGGACCTCAGTATCCCGGCAGAATGATGGGGGTGGAGACGTTCCTTCAGGTATACTGGACCGAGGCCGTTTAGGGCTTTAAAGGTCAGCACCAACACTTTGAATTGTGCTCGGAAACGTCCTGGGAGGGACTTTGAGGGAGGGACTTTGTCAAAAGTTTTTGGGAAGCCAGAGTGTATAATCTCTACTGAATCATGCATATCTACATGCTTGTAAAGCCCTAAAAGGCTTTGGCCCTGTATACCTGATGGAGCTTCTCCACCCCCATAATTCAGCCTGAAGGGGCTTTCTGGCGGTTCCCTCACTGCGAGAAGTGAGGTTACAGGGAACCAGGCAGAGGGCCTTCTTGGTAGTGGCGCCCGCCCTGTGGAACGCCCTCCCATCAGATGTCAAGGAAATAAACAACTACCTGACATTTAGAAGACATCTGAAGGGAAGTTTTTAATGACTGGTGTTTTATTGTATTTTTAATCTTTTGTTGGGAGCCGCCCAGAGTGACTGGGGAACCCCAGCCAGATGGGTGGGGTATAAATAATAAATAATTGTTATTATTTTTAAGGGGGTGATGTAAAAGAAATTTAAATTCACAGGGAGTTGGTCTGTCTTTTTGTTTTGAGAATGAGATTTTTATTTTAAAATTTCCATAATACAGTAGAATTGCCGCTACCAAAAATGCATGTCAAATAAGTAGAAAATTGAGGCCTCTCTCAAAAGGTAATTATTAGCTCTTGCCACCCATAGAGGATAGTAGCTGATCCCAGTTCTCACCTGGGGTCTTTCCTTTTCCCTCCCAGCCTTTCACTTTGGGAGACCAAAATTTCCCTGTCTCTCATCCATCTAGAGCTGTGGTGGTGAACCCATGGCACGCGTGCCAGAGGTGGCACTCAGAGCCCTCTCTGTGGGCACGCGCACTGTCGCCCCAGCACTGAGTGAAATGGCGATCTCAGCCCTTGCGCCATCTTGAAACGGAGCTGTAGGAGGCTGCTGGAGGAGCGCTTGTGCCCATGCACACTGCAAGTGTGTGTGTGTCTGTGTCTGACGAAGACGGGTAGTTGAGATTTTTGCTGTGCATAACGTGAGGGAATGCGAGAGGGTGGCTCTCTGTATGCGTGCGTGTGTGAGGGAGGAAGGGAGTGTGCGAGCCCGTGTGTTTGATGTGGATGTATGGAGGAGGGTGCCAGAGTTCATAAGTCCCTTTCTTAAAACGATTGTGTTGTCGCTGCTGCTGCGTGTCTGCCTGCCTGCCAGCTACTCTCTGTGCGTGTGCGTGGTGGAGTGGATCCAGGCCAGCCAGGCATTGGCACCCAAAAAAAGCTCAACAACTCTGGGCAATCTCCCCCCCCCCCTTATCTTAATTAGGAGGCCCCCCCCAACAGGGAGTGTGTTATGCCCAGAAAAATACAGTAAATTGCGGTGTTGGCACTTTGCGATAAATAAGTGGGTTTTGCATTGCAGTTTGGGCACTCAGTCTCTAAAAGGTTTGCCACCACTGATCCAGAGAGTAGGTCTATCAATGGCTGTTAGCTGTCTTGTATGGCACTTCCATATCGAGAGATAATATTTTAAGAGGGCCTCCAAGTGGTTTATGGAAATACCTCTGAATATCAGTTGCCACAGATTTACTCAATTTACTCAATTTGCAGGTATCTGGAATATCTCTGCAAGACGCTTCAGACTCCACTTTCCCCAGAGTAGAGCATTAACGTCAAGTGAGACGGAAGGGTCTCGATCCTGCAAGTGTCTGCAAGTGCTTCTACACCCCTGTTGCCTTTTGGGAAGTGCAGAATCCCTTTGAGGAGGATATACATGGGAACAGGGGTGAGGGCGTGTGTTTTCACCACATTCTAGGTAATGGCAGCAAAAGGAGACAAATATTCCCAATTTCTTTACAGTTGCCAAGGTGCTATAAGACTATAATGTATATAAAATGTCATCTGGATTGAATTATTTCAGTGCGTCTGGGACAAACGATACCAGTCATGGCAGTGTCAGGCTTTTATGAGTTTTAAGTACTGCCCGGCGTCTTTTTCCGGAAGAGGTCTGGGAGTAGCGTAGCTATTTTTTCAGAATCCTAGTACAAATGTGAAGCGCTTCAGTACTTGAACGACTCCCTGGCACTCGTTACACTTTCTCCAGGAAAGAATCTTTCGTCACATGCAAATATTGTCAAGTGAGACGTGGAAATGTGTGTTTGTAAACTGCTAAGCATGATGTGCTGGTTTCCTGCCTCAAACTCCCTCACGGGGAGTCTGCTTTTGTGTTTTGCAAACGTGCGTTTCTTGCTCGGTGGAGCTTTCCATTCTAGATTCCCACTGCGCAGACAGCAAACTCCCTTTCTGTATAATGTGCAGATCAAAGCCCTAAGAACTCAGTAATATTAAAAACGGCCTTTGCAAATTCCTCTTTCATCTTACGAGAAATGAATATTTCATACCTGCAGTATAGATATATTCATCCGTGAGGCCAGTGGTACAGGAGTAGCTTTGCCAGAAATAGCTTGCATGATGCTGCAATGTTAGATCATATAGTTTTTGCAATCTCTAAAGGAAAGAAAGGATTTTAACTGTTGTCAATGCTGACTTGTGTATGTGGTGGCTACAAAACAGATTACTTCTAAGTAGTTCTCCTTGGGTTCCCACTAACCATAATAAGATGTGTATACTGATTGCTGCTCAGATTGTAAGAGTACCTGAAATCTTCTGTAGCAGTTATGTACGTCAGGAGGTCCTACACACGAGTAAGAGTCTGGCAGAGACACATGCCTGACTGGCATGTTCTCTCCCTCCTGGTTGGTTGTTCGGGAGATTCAAAAGCTTTCTCCAGCCCAAACATCACAGCGACTGATACCTCAGAGCATAGCTGTCAACGTTTCCCTTTTTTTAAGGGAAATTCCTTTATTCCGAATAGGATTCCTCGCAAGAAAAGGGAAGTTGACAGCTATGCCTCAGAGGCATCAGCACACTTCAGGATCAGCAGAGTATAGGCAGTCAGCGTTCAGACTCAGTAGCACAGCATTTTGGCTAAACTACGTTTATTTACGTATACGTTTATTTCCCTATGTTTAGGGAAGCTTTTAATGTTTAATGTATTACAGTATTTTAATATTTTTTTGGAAGCCGCCCAGAGTGGGTGGGGAAGCCCAGCCAGATGGGCGGGGTATAAATAATAAATTATTATGATTATTATACACACTTGGAGCATCGTAACTCCGCTCCTTCCTCTTCAGCATCAGACAGCAAAGAGAAAGAACAAAGGACAAATGTCCTACATCACGAAAACACAGTCATAAAAACATCCTGTCTCCGTCACTTCCCACAATGTGGAATGGAAACATACATGGTCATGTGATAAAAATAATCCCATGACTGCAACACGGGGAATGAATCCTAACACTGTATACGTACATCTATGTTTCCTGGTAATATTGCATAGATTCAATTCAACAATTCAATTCCACACTTCTTGTGGACCGCTTAGACGTTTCATTATAATCAAGCGGTATATACATTTTGTTAGATAAATAAAAACATATGGAGTCGCCCTTGTTCCTCATTTTCCCCTTCACTCATCCTAGGCTTGTAGCTCAAGCATGATGACTATTTTATCCTTGTCCTGATTTTTTCTCATGGATATTTTTGTGTAAATTGAAATAAATGCCATTCGTGTGCACATAATCCAGCCATATAGAGGGAATTGTGCACATTTCCTGGTCAGTAGGCATAATCTTCCAACAGGCCTTTTCTTAATAGCGGCATTGGGGGGGGGGGGGATTTCCATCAGAATTGTGAAAGAGGGAGGGAAGGTTTAGAAGCTGTGCTGAAAAGAGAGCTGGACTTCGGGGGGGGGGTTAATATTTAGCTGGAGCCCCACCCCTTCTTATTGCTCAGTTGGAGGGTACGATTGTAAGAGTGTAAGATTAGACAGGGGGCCAGATCACACACCAAATTACACTTCAGGCTGCAGATTACACACTTCTGAACAAGAGATGTAGGGAGGAAAGGCATGTTGTTATTATTATTACGGTAATTTTTATTGAATTTCTATTTTTTTTTATATATAAATGATTTTTATTAAGGTTTCAAAAAGAAAAAATTAGACAGAAAGACATAAAAAAAAAAAATACACAAATACACTATACATAATCCAAAAAAAGGAAAATAAACACACACAAAAAACAAAGAGCAAGTAAAACAGAATAAACAGAACAGTTAAGAACAATATCACTTTTTCATTTCCGTTTTTAAATTTACTTATTTTCTGGACTTCCTCATACCTCCCTCTTTTGTATTCCAGTCCAAATTGTTTGTCCAGCAATTTCTTTTCCACTTTTTTGATCCCAGTCTTTAATCTTAATATAATATAACATCAAAATTTTACCTCTTTAGTACCAAATTTCCATTTCCTTAAACTTCTTTAATCCTAATCTTTAATCTCACTGTAATATAACTTTAAAATTTTACCTCTTAAATACCAAATTTCCATTTCCTTAAACTTCTTTAATCCTAATCTTTAATCTTGATCTATCTATAACTTTATCCTGTACAGCTGGAAACCACTTGTTTTCAATCCAACATCACTCTAACATTCATTAATTTTGCAGTGTTTCTGTAGATAATCTTTGAATTTCTTCCAATCTTCCTCCACCGACTCTTCTCCCTGGTCACGGATTCTACCAGTCATTTCCGCCAGTTCCATATAGTCCATCAGTTTCATCTGCCATTCCTCCAGCGTGGGAAGTTCTTGTGTTTTATTGAATTTCTATACCACGCTTCATCTGAGGATCACAGGGCGGTTAACAATATAAAAACACAAAATAGATAACAGTACCAATTTTTTAAAAAAATGCCCCCCTCCATAATTTAAAAGGCCATAGATTGGCTAAGGCCTGGGAGAAGAGGAATGTTTTTGCCTAGTGCCTAAAGATATGTGACGAAGACACCAGCTCAGTGACCCTGGGGAAGAGTATTCCACAAGCCGGGAGCCACTGCAGGAAAGGCCCTGCTCTCGTGTTGCCACCCCCAGACCTCTTGTGGAGGAGGCACACAAAGAAGGGCCTCAGAGAATGATCTCAGGGTCCGGATAGGTTCATATGGAGAGAGGCGATCCTTGAGGTATGGCAGGTTTGAGCCTTTTAAGGCTTTATAGGTCATGCTTCTTGGAGAATCTGCATACTGACTGGAGAATGTGTTTATAACCCAGTGAATGCACAAAATGCATTTGAGATATTCACTTTCCCCAAAGCCTGTTAGAGATTATGCATGATGGCTGAAGAACGTATAAAAATCCAGTTGATTATATGCACATTTCCCAAGGCCTGTTGGAGATTATGTATGATCGACCAGGAAATATGCAGAGCTCCCCCTTTATGGCTGGATTATGTGCACATTCTCCATGAGTTCTGGTGAATGTACACCCGCCCCCCGTCCCGGATAATGTGAATTGACAATAGGCCTTTCTAAAGAGCTTATCTGAGAAACCTCATCCAAGAAGTTGGAAAACTCTTGTCTGTAAATAATCTGTATCTGCAAGTGCTTTTCTTTGTAGCTCAACCTTCTTAGCACGTTTGCAAGCTCTGGGCGCTGATGACGTTTTAAGTGTATAAATATGTGATGCTATAAAGCACTGTATACATTGGTGGGATAATAATAACAGAACATGTAGCATTTTATATCTACAAAACAGATTTAAACTGGTTTGATAGTGATTCCTTCTCACCACCAGATAAATTGGGAACTGGAATTCTTTAGAGCGAATTCTCAACGCTGTACACAAGCTGCAGTTCCCAGTTCTTTTGGGGAAGCCGTGACGGTTAAACTGGTATAAAACCAATACATTTTTACAGTACAGAAATGTCATTTGTGTTTCCTGTTGGAGTGATCTTGTCTCCGCTTTTAAGAAAAACACAAAAACATGTGGATCATATTGCTATGCAGTCAAGTCATTCCACAAGCTGGCTAATGAGGCTAGCTTTAAATGAGCAAGCTGTGTTTTATTTTCTAAAGCTTCTTAGGATCTTAAACATGGAAGCTGCTTGCTTGACTACTTTCAAGGCGGCAAATTTGGAAAAACTGTACCTCATTTGTTCTCAGTATTACATTGTTAACGGTATGTTCCCAACTGTTTTTTTGAAAAGATAGGATGGGGACGCGGGTGGCGATGTGGGTTAAACCACAGAGCCTAGGACTTGCCGATCAGAAGGTCGGCGGTTCGAATCCCCGCAATGGGGTGAGCTCTCGTTGCTCGGTCCCTGCTCCTGCCAACCTAGCAGTTCAAAAGCACATCAAAGTGCAAGTAGATAAAAAGGTACCGCTCCGGCGGGAAGGTAAACGGTGTTTCTGTGTGCTGCTCTGGTTCGCCAGAAGTCATGCTGGCCACATGACCTGGAAGCTGCACGCCGGCTCCCTCGGCCAATAAAGTGAGATGAGCGCCGCAACCCCAGAGTCGGTCACGACTGGACCTAATGGTCAGGGGTCCCTTTACCTTTACCTTATCGTGGTGCAGCCAAGTCATAAACCCAGCTTTCTTAAGATAATTGCTGCAAATACTGCCCAGCCTCCTGATTGGCCGCTCTTGGTAGAATTTAAACAAATATAGCTTGGGTTAGCTGACCGGAAAGCTCACATCACCACGCAATATGTCCCTTGTTCTACATTTCTGCTACTTTATTTTGTCTTAGGGTAATAGTCTCCGTTAACAAACTCATTTTTTATTGCAAATTTTAAACGATCTACGAATTTGCGGTAGCATTTGGTTTTATAAAGTAACTTTGATCTCTGTGTCAGTGTTTATAGGCTTTTCCCACCAGGAACTATTGTTTTGCTATAATGTGCATTCCTGCAGACGTGACAGGGAAATTTGAATAATGCATGTCAAGGTTTGTTTATTAGGCATATTGCAAGATGGTACCCAGAGTGCCAGTGTGGTTGATATTTATGCTGGTTGAGTGGAATTGCTTTACCAAAAGAAAGGGTTGCACTAGTTGCATGTCACCGCACTTGACCTGTTCAACATGTGATCAACTCTTTAATCAACAACTTGCACTCATAAGCAGTGCTTTTTTTCTGGGGGGCGGGAAATATTTAGGGGTACTCTCATTTTCCTACTCACATTGAAATACTGCCTCTCAGTGAGGCCAAACCTAGATTCACAAAATGTTTAGGGGTGTGCGTACCCATGCGTTCCCTCAGAAAAAAGACCTACACTGGCTCCCGGTATGTTTCCGAGCACAATTCAAAGTGTTGGTGCTGACCTTTAAAGCCCTAAACGGCCTCGGTCCAGTATACCTGAAGGAGCGTCTCCACCCCCATCGTTCTGCTCTGAGGTCCAGCGCCGAGGGCCTTCTGGTGGTTCCCTCGTTGCGAGAAGCCAAGTTGCAGCGAACTAGGCAGAGGGCCTTCTCGGTGGTGGCACCCACCCCGTGGAACGCCCTCCCACCAGATGTCAAAGAGAAAAATAACTACCAAACTTTTAGAAGACATCTGAAGGCGGCCCTGTTTAGGGAAGCTTTTAATGTTTGAAGGATTATTGTATTTTAATATTCTGTTGGAAGCCGCCCAGAGTGGCTGGGGAAACCCAGTCAGATGGGCGGGGTATAAATAATAAATTATTATTATTATTACTGCTCATAAGTATCAGCAGCCTGTGTTTTGGAAGAAAGTGGACTTTGGTCAAATCACTCTCTTTCAACCTAGCCTGCATTGTCACAAGTGTGGCAATGTGAAGGTAAGACGAACCCTGCTCAATGGGTTTAAGCTAAATGTGAACACAGAACAGCAGCCTAAACCAGCGATTGTGCATCAAGGCCCTACCTCTCCACCCACCCTTTCAAGCAACTAGGATAGGAAAATAACAATTATGCTGGATATCCCATTATGTGGGAGTCTAGAGAATGGGTTGAAGTAAGAGCAAGAACCCGAGTTCATGACGAAGGTTCAGGATCATATTTTAGGAGCTGAAATAGAAGGGGGCACCATTGCCCCTGAATCACTAAATATCCCAAGTTAGCAGTGGGCAAGAACAGGTAGGAAAAATTCGTGGAGTCTGTATGGAAACTACACCAGTGGAAACTAGAATGAGAAAAAATGGGAGCTAAATAATGTTTGGGGTGGATAAAGAGCTGCTGTAGTAGGACTAGGAAGACTGATACCACAAAAACCCCGTTCATATCCCACCTCTGACATGAACTCACTAGATTATTTGAGGCAAACCACTCAGCTTCCATCCGCAATATGGGGCAATAATACTGAACTACTTTGCAGGGTTGTAAGGATTGTAACCAGGTGGCGCTATGGGTTAAACCACAGAGCCTAGGACTTGCCGATCAGAAGATCGGCAGTTGGAACCCCCACGACGGGGTGAGCTCCCGCTGCTCGGTCCCTGCTCCTGCCAACCTAACAGTTCGAAAGCACATCAGGTGCAAGTAGATAAATAGGTACCACTCTGGTGGGAAGGTAAACTGCGTTTCCGTGCGCTGCTCTGGTTTCGCCAGAAGCGGCTTAGTCATGCTGGCCACATGACCCGGAAGCTGTACACCGGCTCCCTTGGCCAATAAAGCGAGATGAGCGCTGCAACCCCAGAGTTGGCTACGACTGGACCTAATGGTCAGGGGTCCCTTTACCTTTAAGAACAAATAAAGGCAAATGCTAAGTACTAGCATGTTTATTGGAAGTTCTTCCTACCTTCTAGGACAGGCTTCCTCAAACTTGGCCCTCCAGATGTTTTTGGCCTAGCTAGCAGGACCAGTGGTCAGGGATGATGGGAATTGTAGTCTCAAAACATCTGGAGGGCCGAGGTTGAGGAAGCGTGTTCTAGGAAGTCATATCTTCAGTCCTGGCCCCTTTAACTGACATGAGCTATTGCCTCTTATTTTGAAAAGCATTTCTCACTGGTCTGTTAAAATGGGTGTATATTTTTAAATGTAATCTCCTATCACAGAGACCTTTTTATACTGAATTTTGTTTCGAGGTGGTGGTTGTTGTTTTTTAAAATTCCTGATGGCAACATGCTTTTTACATGTGCTGGATGTTTGTTTTTGATGCTGCCGTTACAGCTAATAAAAATCAATACTATTTGTGCCAGAAATAACTTTGCCTTCCTTGTGGAGTGGGAGGAAACTTCCTTTGCCAGGTGAAACGTCTGTCATGATTTAAGGTGAAACCTTCAGTATATATGTAATAAATTCTGTTTAACTCCTTTGTGGATTGTAAGATGTGCTTATTCTACAACTGAACCCGCTCCAAGGTGACATGAAGTAGCATCATCTTTATACAAATATATACCTCTCCCCTCAAAAGTGTTACCACAAAAATACCATTTTGACTTCAACGCTTGCTTAATAACCTGTAATTTCTGAGCGCTGTGGCTTTGCAATGTTCAGACATGTACATCACATTCTTGTAAATAAAAGCCTTAATCAAATTTCTGTCTGGCTTTGATCACTATTTGGATAATTTATCCGAAAGAACCTGTGTTGCTAAAGGAACAGAATCCATTTATTTGAGCAGCTTGCAGTCCGTTCTGTTAGAATACGCAGCACGGTGATTTGACAGCGGCTGTTTTGACATCAGCTCTACATGATAAGAATGTGTAGATTTCAAAACCGCAAGTATTTTCAGAAGACTATTTCCGCGTAATGATACAGTGTCTAAAAGTCCTGATAGGTTTGGACAAGCATCTCAGTTCTTCCTCTGGCAAGGAGTTGCCCATGTATGCAAACCCAAGCCTCAAATAGATTGTTGTGGTCTCGTTGCCAACTTCTGATTTCAGAAATTCTGAAACTGGGCAAGACCAGGGGGCAGAATTGGTGAAATTCAGCACGAGAGAAGCCAGTAGCAAAAAACCAAACTCATTCTATTTGCCTCTTTACCAGAGATCAAACCTTACAGAATCCCAGATAGTTTCCTTATAGAATTTCAGATTTCTGGGAGAAACATAACCGTTTGCTACGAAGAACCTTTTCCAACTCCATCCAAAATGAATCTTGCTCACCTACTTGTTCACAAATAGATCTTTATCCTAGATTCAGAAACTGCGCAAGCTCACCTGCAGATTTGCCCTTTTCTGCTAACCCGTTTGCAGGCTTACGTCCAGGATTTAAATTCATTACTTTAAAGTGTTCTCTGTTGTGGCTAAGGGGTGGGGGAAGTTAGTACTGCTCAATCCCACAGGGAGTCCTTGCTCTGAAATGAAGGCACAAGACAGGTGTTGATCATCAGGTGAGCTGCGCACAGGTAAGCTGCACGCAAGCTGCTGGCCAGCCCTGTGGAGCCTCCTTTTATTCAGACAAATATGCAAACCAGGCAGATACATTTTGGGCTATGACCTTTACACATCTTCTGGTCCCGAGATCGTGGGGTGGTGCAAAGTTATTTTGGCACCTGTTTCCACCGTGTCGTTTTCCCCTTGCACAGTGTATGACGAAGGAGACAAAAGGTCTCAGAGACAAAGGTTACAGACAGGACACCGCAGACTGCTGAGACCGCAAAAGGTCAGACAGAGGGAACGATGTTCAGACAGCTGTGGCTTGTCTGGGGGGGAATGTGCCCTGCACCCCAGGGTCACGCGCGCATGCAGACTGTGGCTGCCTGCTGGTGGGGAGTGTGCTCCCTCCCGACCCCACTGCCCACTCCGCGATCATCCCTACATCGCTCAGTTGTGTGTCTCTTTTCCTTCACTTCTCTTCCGAGGAGTCCTCACTTTGGGATTTGCCATTCCACAAGGGCATTCCAATGACGGATTTGCCATTCCAATGACGGGCATGTCTGTTAAAGGGAACGAAAGCACGATAGAAAGTGGGCTGTCTGGGTAGGTAAAAAGGCCTCCAATATATCAGCCGAGGTGCGGCCGCTGCCGCCACAATACGGTGAGTATTCGCCTTCCTGGTTTTTGGGGTTGTGGTTCTTGCTTTGGTGGTCGGCGATGTTGGTGTTGTTAAGGGTAAAATGTGGCAGTCGGTTTCCTCCCTGTCCAGCCTGCTGAGCCGCGGCACACCAAAGGCGCTGGACCGTTTTGTCAGCCCTGTTGGAAATGGAGTTAGTTAGGAAAGTCGGATACTATTTGAACATTTCTTGCAGATTGCGCTAACAACAGATAGATTATATTATATTATATTATTATATTATATTATATTATATTATGCGGGTGGCACTGTGGTCTAAACCACAGAGCCTAGGGCTTGCTGATCAGAAGGTTGGCGGTTCGAATCCCCATGACGGGGTGAGCTGCCATTGCTCAGTCCCTGCTCCTGCCAACCTAGCAGTACAAAAGCACGTCAAAGTGCAAGTAGATAAATAGGTACCGCTCTGGCGGGAAGGTAAACGGCGTTTCCGTGTGCTGCTCTGGTTCGCCAGAAGTGGCTTAGTCATGCTGGCCACATGACCCGGAAGCTGTACGCCGGTTCCCTCGGCCAGTAAAGCAAGATGAGCACCGCAACCCCAGAGTCGTCTGCGACTGGACCTAACGGTCAGGGGTCCCTTTACCTTTACCTAAGCATATACAGGATTACAGGATTAAACTGTTCTTAACCTGAAGCACCACTTTAGCTAATGGGGCCTCCCACTGCCGCCACTCCGCCGGAGCACAATTTCTGTTCTCATCCTTAAGCAAATTCTTAACCCGAGGTACTATTTCTGGATTAGCGGAGTCTGTATCCTGAAGCGTATGTAACCTGAAGCGTATGTAACCCAAGGTACCACTGTATTGTGAAAACATTTTTTCAGTGGTTTTGCTTCTTCCACCGTCTAGACAATTTGCTCTCTCTGTAACGTAATAAAAGTGAAGACTATCCATATACCGTGTTACAGTTTGTATTCTGGAGTAACTGTATTCCAGAATAGACTTAGCCTGTGCAGTCTGTAGGGTAAAGGTAAAGGGACCCCTGACCATTAGGTCCAGTCGTAGCCGTTGCAGGGATTCGAACCGCTGACCTTCTGATCGGCAAGTCCTAGGCTCTGTGGTTTAACCCACAGCGCCACCCGTGTCCCTCATAGTCTTTAGGGTAGACTTAGCCTATAATTTCCCCGAAGTGCTTGCTGTTGGCCTGTAAAGGACATCCACACCTTTTCCTTATTTCATTCTCATACTTACTTCTTGGTCCACATTCCACTGGGAACTCAGTATTGTCAATGCTCTCATCATCTGCCGTGGCCAGCTCAACCGTGACATCCTGGTTTTCTTCACCAGAGAAAAGACTTGAATATTTTCCTAGAAAGATTAGAGCCTACACTAGTTTACTGTGCCAGGAAAAGCACACAGACACCATGACGTGCCCATTTTGCCAGTGCTTTTAGCCTCAGACTCTACAACAGGGGTCAGCAAACTTTTTCAGCAGGGGGCCGGTCCACCGTCCCTCAGACCTTGTAGGGGGTCGGACTATATTTTTTTGGTGGAAATGAACAAATTCCTATGCCCCGCAAATAACCCAGAGATGCATTTTAAACAGAAGCACACATTCTACTCATGTAAAAACACCAGGCAGGCCCCACAAATAACCCAGAGATGCATTTTAAATAAAAGGACACATTCTAATGTAAAAACACGCTGATTCCCGGACCGTCCGCGGGCCGGATTTAGAAGGCGATTGGGCCGGATCTGGCCCCTGGGCCTTAGTTTGCCTACCCATGCTCTACAAGGAGGAAGAGGTGTCTGCATCTCAGTCATACACAGTGGTTCAATGAGGCAGGAATTGTGCTGTCCCAGTATTTGCCCCCCAGCAGGAACAGAAATTCCATTTATCTGCAAGAGTGTTGTAAGTCTGGGAGCAAAGAGGACAGACCTGGGCTGCAAACATGATGCTTTTTTTTTTTTAGGTAGGCTAGCTTCAGACAGTAGCTAGCTGATGGATGTCGACTTACATTATGGATGTACAGTATGTTCTGTATTATTTTATGAAGACTATTGCTACAAGTTTGCCCATGCCTTTGGCTGGAACAATAAACTTAGGAACTGAACTGAACATACTAACACTGTCTACATGGCAATTCATGCATTTACAAATTCTCTATAGGAGTCTGGCTATTGACTCTCTTCAGGGTAAGGGCTGTCACCAGAAGCGGCTGCCTTGCAAAATTTACCACACGCAGAAGCATGGGCATAGCTGGGGGGACAGTGAGGGGCATCTACCCCCCCCAAAATCAATAGGTAACAGGTTCTGCCGCCCCTCCAAAAATCCTGGTTACACCCCTGTGTTTCTGGTGCTCTCAGATTAAGAACTGAGCTATGTGAGGAGCAATTAGGTGTCTAGCCTGCATAGAATTGCGGTGGATGCTCTAATCCTGTGGTTCTCAACCTGTGGGCCCCCAGATGTTGTTGGACTACAACTCCCATCATCCCTGAGCTCTGGCCTTGCTAGCTAGGGGTGATGGGAGTTGTAGTTCAACGCCTGGGGACCCACAGGTTGAGAAAGGCTGCTCTAATCCCTTCATCCCGGTATTTCAAAGGGAACATGTGCCTTGTGATCACATTGTCCATTCTGCTACAGCGTTTTCATAGAAGATGGTACATTACAGAATATAGCTTTCGGGCAAAGGACAAAAACTGTCTCTCCAAAGCTACCCACATTTCTATAGTGCTTCAGTATCTGTTTTCTTTGTGGAATTTGTATTTAAGTCGCTCAGCTGCACTTCATGCTAAATACAGACTCCTGGTGCCACGGTAGTTGGGTATAACCTGCTATTCACCAGCCCATGGAAGTAACACTCAATTATAATTATGTGGATAAAAATTATGTGCCAAAATCTAGAAAGAAAGATGTCAGGAGCATTTAAAATTTACATCCTTGAAGCAAGCTCACGTCAAATGCATTAAATAATGTGGATTTGCCTGAATCAGCGAAGCACACCAATTTTGTTGTTTGAAACTTTGAGGAATGAGCTTTGATGCACAGAGTGTAAATACCTGGGAAACTAACATCCTTTAAGAAAAATAATAGGCTGATTATGAACAGCACCTGTAGCTGCTCTGAGGGTGACCAGGTGACAACAGAAACACCCAAATTCATGCATCCATCAGTAAACTTCTATGGGACCAGATCTGTTTAGAATGCCATTTTGAATATACTTACGGCAAACTGAGGCATGAGGTAAATTGCATGAATGTATTTTGGCTGCAAGCCGTATTAAGTTTTTTGCGCTGCTCGTTTTAACTGTTGTCTGCAATATGTTACTGTACTGCTTTAAATTGCTTTTATGTGATTTTATGGCCATGAAATGCACTGGGCTCCCTTTGGGCAGGAAGGGTGGGTTATACATTTGAAATACTGTGGTAAATAAATAGTATACACATGTTACGTAAATAGCAGCTGTGAGGAAGCCTGAGCAGCCTTAGGACTAGAGAGGTGGGGAAGGGGATAAAAACCATCTTCCCCAGGCTGCTATTTCCAGTTTTAGGGAAGTCTCCACTGGTGCCGATGGGAGCTGCTATAGAAATGTAGATAGTTTTGGGGAGCCAGTTTTTGTCAGGGTCATGGCAGGGGCAATAAGTTGAGCCCAGAGATTGTCTCGGCTTTCACACAATGAACACTTCATCAAGTTTTGCTCTTAGTCCCAGACTCATATGCCATTTTGTGCAGCTATCTATGTGCCACTGTCATTTCTTGAGATCCATTGCAAACATCTATTTCCATATTAAGCACATGAAAAGCCAGTGTGACACAGTGAGTACAGGCATGGGCGGGGAAGGACCTGTGTTTGAATCCTGCTCAGCCTCGTGCTCACAGTGTGACCTTGGTCCAGTCACACTCACACACATGCTCTGTCTAAATAATAAAAATGAGAAAACCCAAAGGACGTTGTCCTGGACTCCTTGGCAGAAGATTCTTTATTTAAATCAAACAAAGATTTGGCAAGCGTTCTTGCTTTTGGTCTTTGTCTCTTGAGCACATTTTTAAATGCTTTGGGTTAGCCAGTCTCTTAAATACCATTTTATACTGTTTTTTAAATGGTGTCGTGCTTTTATTGTATATGTGTCAGTACACCACCTTGTTATACATTATGAATTGAGGGACTATATCAACACTTATATAAATGAGTAGACAAAGTGTCCTTCATTTCTAAATTTTTGTAGTGTTTTCCCCACAAGCAACACCTCAACATTTACTAGAATTGCCTATGTAATAAGCTCCAAACAAACTAGGCCAGCTTTAAAGATCTCTCAACTGGGCTTTCTCTAGAGCCCGCTTTGAGACAATGCCCTCAGCAGTGCTGTACGGCAAATTCACGCGAGTTCCAATGCAGGCGCGTCTCTGCCCTTGTATGTCTAATAAGGTAGAATCTGTCACACACATTCTTCTATCTTGCGAATTCTATAGTGAAGAACGAGTTCAACTTATTTTACCGCTTCTATCAAAATTTATACCCCTTCAATATTATTTGGAATCCTCCCTGAAACTCTTCGAAAATACCTCCTGGAAGATTCCTCAAGCTCAGTATCATATGAGGTGGCTAAATATTGCACTTTAGTAATTAAGAAGCGTAAATCTCTTCTGTTGAATGGCACACTGTGAAGTTCTCTTGTGTAACCTTTTTTCTTTTCTGAAGTTGTTGCTGATTTCTTGTTGTCTGATCTTATGGTGTTTAGTGTCACTGGCTTTGGCCGCAATAAACTTGAACTTGAACTTGAAAGATCTCTCAAATGAGACAGATACTATCTTCACATGTTAACACCACAAAACTGCCCCTTCCCTACAACAACCTGATATTTGACACAAAATAAAAAAATTCCTTCCAGTAGCACCTTAGAGACCAACAATGTTTGTTATTGGTATGAGCTTTCGTGTGCATGCAAAACACGAAAGCTCATACCAATAACAAACTTAGTTGGTCTCTAAGGTGCTACTGGAAGGAATTTTTTTATTTTGTTTCGACTACGGCAGACCAACACGGCTACCTACCTGTAACTACTGATATTTGACTGTTTAATATCTGCGAAGAAATGGAGGCAGTGAGAGATTTTACTTTCTTGGGCTCCATGATCACTGCAGATGGTGACAGCAGCCACGAAATTAAAAGACGCCTGCTTCTTGGGAGAAAAGCAATGACAAACCTAGACAGCACTGCTCTTGAATTCTGAATTACAACTGAAAAAATATCACAAACCACAGAAGACTTACCTTCCACAATGGACAGAGCTATCCAGAAAGTCAGCCACCTGCAGGAGAAGCCACCGGTTTGCTTGAGAGACATTTTCTACGCTCTGAGCATCTCAGCAGCCCTGCCTTTAAGAAGAGGGGATGAGTCAGGGCCTGGCACAGCTCTCCGCTGGATTAGTTTGCAAAGTTTGCAAAGTGGACCACAAGGTAAAGAGCGCTGCCTTCCTGCTTTGAATCAGAGTCTTAAAGAGCAACCCCACCCCACCAGTTTTGTCTGGATAGAAATTTTTTTTTGAAGCGTGTTCCAGGAGGAATGTTTACATTTATCGAATACCTCTGTTTTCACCTTGGTATCAGAGAACGGGATGCGCTAGAGAAAGAGGGCAAATGGCTGACAGCTTAATTTGAGGCTCCACCGGCCAGACCTTGTTGTTCTTGCAGTTTAGGTCAAGGGGAGTCTGTAACCTGGGGCAGCAAGTTTCCTAAACTCCATTTAGGAGGCGCCCGCCCCGTGGAATGCCTTCCCATCAGATGTGAAGAAATAAAAATCTACCGTATTTTTCGCTCTATAAGATGCACCAGACCACAAGACGCACCTAGTTTTTGGAGAAGGAAAACAAGAAAAAAAATATTCTGAATCTCAGAAGCCAGGATAACAAGAGGGATCGCTGCGCAGTGAAAGCAGCAATCCCTCTTGCTGTTCTGGGATAGCTGCGCAGCCTGCATTTGCTCCATAAGACGTACACACATCTCCCCTTACTTTTTTGGAGGGAAAAAGTGAGTCTTATAGAGCAAAAAATACAGTACTTGACATCTGAAGGCGGGCCTGTACAGGGAAGTTTTTAATGTTTGTGGGTTTTTTGTGTTTCAGTACATACCCAACTCCCTCAACCATTCCTCATAAGCCTTGGTTTCCAGACCCTTAATCCTCTTTATGGACCTGTTCCACATCTGCTATTGGGTCCCCGGAGCACAGATTCACACAATCGACCTTGCAGGATACAACAGGGTTTATTTGAAATGCATATGCATAGCAAAGGTGCAGCGCAATAAGTTCGCAATCTGCACTCTCAATTCTGAGCGTGCCAGCTTTTTATACATTTGCAGAATACAATACCACCTGATTTCTTGTAAACCACCTGATTTCTGGGAAATCGAAAGTTATAGTAAGTTTCTATTTCCTTACATGGGCATCGCCCCCCTCCATCCTGCAATGGCCCCACCGGCCCCAGCACGCCACGTGGATTCCTGAGTCCTCCTTATCTCTTTACAACCTTGAATAAACATTTGTGAGGCCCCTCAATGCCAACCTTGGCTGTTTAGGTTGTGGGTGAACATATCAGACAACATAGAGATTCTTCAGACAGCTCTTGTTTATTCACAGGCCCAGAACAGAACCGAACTGAAGGGTTCAGCCAGCCTGCTTATATAGAGCTCCAGTACAGCGTAACTGTAACAACTTTCTAAAACTATCCAATCACTGAACGTCACTTTTGATCCCTTATTTGCATAACTATCTACAGTATCCCCCTGCTGGCCCAGGGTGAGAACTTCAGTACATAACATTGGCAATGCCAGCAGACCTCTCCTTTCTCAGAAAGGCTGTTGGGGGGGGGGTGTTTCCTTATGGCCCTACAATCTTTGTCACCCTCCTCCACACACTCCAGTTTCTCAATATCCTTCTTAAATTGTTTACCCAGAAGTATGCACCTCTGTATTTAATGAGCCTGCATGCAGGCAAGCAGGTACATAGGATTGTGTCTAAAATACTGTGCAACTCTCCCCCCCCCAATTTTTTTTATTCATTTTATAACACAAATAAACAACATAAACAGAAAAACAAACAATACAAACAAATTATTGTCTTATCCTTATTTCTTCTAAACATTGTTAGGTGGGCTTCCCCAAGTCCCCCGTATCTGATTTTCATTTTACCTCATCTTTAGCAGTTTACATATAACATAATTTTTAACCATTTTTTTTTTATCACACTTACTTTTACCATAAAAATCTTCACAATTTATCCCTTACAAATAATACAGTTTTAAAATACACTATCTTCTACTTCTAACCCTACAGCCTATATCCACTTCCAAAGCTATTCAAAGATTTAAATATTAACATATTTTTTTCAAGTATTCTTTAAACTTCTTCCAATCTTCTTCCACCTCTTCTCACTGGTCTCAGAGTCTCCCAGTCAGTTCGGAAAGTTCCATATAGTCCATCATCTTCATCTGCCATTCTTAAAAATACTGTGCAACTCTTATTTGGGCTAATCTCAAAATGGTAGGTGGCTTGTGTTTCTGGGATCTACTGCTAGTGTTCTCCACCATACATGCTTAGGTGCAGATGATGCCTGTATATGGTATATAGATAAATGAAAAGAACAAATGGATGAATACTTTCCATCATTTTCTCTTTGAGTAACACCAAGCAGGAAGTCGTTGCTGAAACAGAGGCTTTTACGGTAATTCCTTTTTGCTGCGACTAAATTGTGCTTCAGTCCTGATGGCTTAGTAGTATGCCATTTCTTAATTCCCCAGGTGCCCTGACTGAGAAACTGAGGAAACACTGGCCAGCAATGACTCACATGCCGTCTAGTAGTTAAAAGCTCAAACCTATGAATGATACATGATGAGCGTTATTTTCCACCACAGTGCTGGTACCTAATGCATTAAAGGATGGTTGCAGAGATCTAGTATGATGGCTGCTAGAAATTTAGGGACAGGACAGGAAATATTGTGAGTTTTTCCTTTTTAAAATTGGTTTAGACACACAAAATATAAAGAACAGGAACAATAAACACAGAATCATAGCTGTCAACTTTTCCCTTTTCTTGCGAGGAATCCTATTCGGAATAAGGGAATTTCCCTTTAAAAAAGGGAAAAGTTGACAGCTATGCACAGAATCACAAAGGGCGAGGTAAAAAACAGAAGCCCATTCAGCGATTCTTAACACACTATGTAGTTGTTACTACATTGCATCTTTTAAAAATGTTCATTACAGGCAGTACAAAGGCAGCAAATACCAAATAATACTGAGGAGGAGATCTTTAACCTAGGACATCTGTTTTTCCTTGGACTTCGGTTGATCCAGATATGTGTTTGCACTCTCGTAAAGAAAGCTCACAAGCCACTATCTGACATTTTGAGCCATTTTTCCTCCTTCTGTAAACACAGAGATAGGCAAGGTGGCTCACTGTTGTTGTTTTTTTGTTGTTTTTTTAAATGATATTTATTAAAGTTTCAAAAAATACAAAAAATACAGAATACAAAAAGAAGAAGAATAAAGTTTTTTTTTTTTAAATATAACCAAAAAAAGAAAAAAAAAAGAAACATACCAAATAAACAGTTAAAAAGACATTAATTTTCCATAACCTATCTTCCCTATACTTATTTCCCCGGACCTCCTCATACCTCCCTTTTTTGTATTCCAGTTCAATTTGTTAGTTCAGCAACTCCTTACCATTTAAATTACCCAGTTGCAAACCTTTTTTCATATCTCTTAAAGTATTACAGCTAAAAACCTCTTAGTTTCTATCCAACATCCTTCTAAAATTCCTTAATTTTACAATATTTCTGTAAATAGTCTTTAAATTTCTTCCAGTCTTCTTTCACCGACTCTTCTCTCTGGTCTCGGATTCTGCCAGTCATTTCCGCCAGTTCCATGTAGTCAATCACCTTCATCTGCCATTCTTCCAGAGTGGGTAGATCTTGTGTCTTCCAATACTTCGCGATGAGTATTCTTGCTGCTGTTGTAGCATACATAAAAAAGGTTCTATCCTTCTTTGGCACCAATTGGCCGACAATGCCCAGAAGAAAGGCCTCTGGTTTCTTCAAAAAGGTATATTTAAATACCTTTTTCAGTTCATTATATATCATTTCCCAGAAAGCCTTGGTCTTTGGGCACGTGGCAAGGTGGCTCGCTGTTACTCCGGCTTGGTGTGGCAATGTTCCTGCGGTGGCGAGAGTAGCAGCGCATAAGGAAAAGCGTTTGTCTGTAGTTTAAAGGTGCTGGGAATTGTAGTTCCGGGAGGGGTAAACTATAGCTCCCATGATTCAGGGTGGGGGCGTACACAGTCTCTGCCTGTCCATTTCCATTCACTCTCTGGTGCATGGTCAATGGGCAGCCTTCCCCTCAAAGTCCAGGTGCATAGCGGTTGAGGCAGACAATCCTACAAGCACTTCTCCCCTTCCCCAGGTACAACAATAATGAATTAAATAACAACCCTTTTATGAGACCCAAATTCAACTCCCCAAGGCAGCCACCTCACCTTGCCTTGGGTTTGTGAGGCTAGACCTCTCTCTCACTCTTTGACCTTAAACCAAATAATAATAATAATAATAATAATAATAATAATAATAATAATTTTATTTATATCCCGTCCTCCCCAGCCGAAGCCGGGCTCAGAGCGGCTAACAACAGTAAAATAATACAACATTCTAAAATCAGTTCAAATCAGATTAATGGCAACCATTGGGCTAGAGTTCTGTGAAGATTGCCAAAGGAGGGGGTCAGACTGTGCCCTGGCCAAAGGCCTGGGGGAACAGCTCCATCTTGCAGGCCCTGCAGAAAGATGTCAAGTCCTGCAGGGCCCTAGTCTCTTGTGACAGAGCGTTCCACCAGATCGGGGCCACAGCCAAAAAGGCCCTGGCTCTGGTTGAGGCCAGCCTAACCTCCCTGTGGCCCAGGACCTCCAAGATGTTTAGGTCCTCCATTGGACATACTAGGAGAGGCGATCCCGTAGGCACGAGGGTCCTAGGCCGTATAGGGCTTTAAAGGTTAAAACCAACACCTTAAACCTGATCCTGTACTCCACCGGGAGCCAGTGCAGCTGGTATAGCGCCGGGTGAATGTGATCCCGCGGCGAGGACCCCGTAAGGTGTCTTGCTGCGGCATTCTGCACCCGCTGGAGTTTCTGGGTCAGTCTCAAGGGCAGCCCCATGTAGAGTGAGTCACAATAATCCAGTCTGGAGGTGACCGTCACGTGGATCACAGTGGCTAGGTCAGTGGCTATATCATCTTCTTAAGCCCCCTGTAAACTGCTAACTTTCCCGTTTGATTCCACATTAATAAGGCCATATGGACAATTTAACATTCACAAGTTGCCTGGTGCAGATGGTATCCACCTGAGAGTCCTTAAAGAACTCAAATGTGAATTGCTGATCTTCTAGCAAAAACATATACAGTGGTACCTTGGGTTAAGTACTTAATTCGTTCCGGAGGTCCGTTCTTAACTTGAAACTGTTCTTAACCTGAAGCACCACTTTAGCTAATGGGGCCTCCCGCTGCCGCCGTGCCGCCAGAGCACGATTTCTGTTCTCATCCAGAAGCAAAGTTCTTAACCTGAAGCACTATTTCTGGGTTAGCGGAGTCTGTAACCTGAAGCGTATGTAACCCGAGGTACCACTGTACTTTGTTCCTAACATCAGCCTCCATACCTGAGGGCTGAAAAGTGAGCAATGTGACACAATTTTTTTAAAAAGGGAACCAAGGGGATTCAGGTAAGTACAAAATAGCTAGCTTAACATCTGTTTGGAGAAAGCTTTATTAAAGATAAAACTACCAAGCATATAGAAGAACAGTTCTTGCTGAAGCAGAGTCCTGTCTCACTACCGTCTAGAGTTGTTTGTTTTTTTTTAGACTATGATCAAACAGAGAGAGATGATCCAGTCAGCATTATATATTCAGACCTGTGGTTCTCAAAGGTTGTGGTGCACCACACTGATGTGGCAGGAGAGGATGGCGATATGGCAGGAAGATTCAAGGATAATATATTTTGGGAATGATTCATGTTTTTATGTAGCTGCATTGTTTTATACTTTCTGGGTGTCCCATGATCATATTATAAAGTAGTTGTGTTCTATGCTAGCTATAAATAAATAGATAGATGAGAGAGAGAGAGAGAGAGAGAGAGAGGAGAGAGAGATGATAGACAGATAATAGATATACAGGTGAAACTCGGAAAATTAGAATATCATGGAAAAGTTCATTTATTTCAGTAATTCAACTTAAAAGGTGAAACTAATATATGAGATAGACTCATGACATGTAAAGCGAGATATATCAAGCCTTTATTTGTAATAATTGTGATGATCATGGCGTACAGCTGATGAAAACCCCAAATTAACAATCTCAGAAAATTAGAATATTAAATGAAATCAGCAAAACAAGGACTGCAAATAGAGCAATATTGGACCTCTGAGAAGCATGCATATGTACTCAGTACTTGCTTTGGGCCCCTTTTGCATCAATGCGGTGTGGCATGGATGCGATCAGCCTGTGGCACTGCTGAGGTGTTATGGAAGACCAGGATGCTTCAATAGCAGCCTTCATCTCTTCTGCATTGCTTGGTCTCATGTCTCTCATCTTTCTCTTGGCAATGCCCCATAGATTCTCTATGGGGTTCAGGTCAGGTGAGTTTGCTGGGCAATCAGTCACAGTAATCCCATGGGCACTGAACCAGGTTTTGGTACTTTGGGCAGTGTGGGCAGGTGCCAAAGTCCTGCTGGAAAACGAAGTCAGCATCCCCATAAAGCTCGTCTGTGGAAGGAAGCATGAAGTGCTCCAAAATCTCCTGGTAGACGGCTGCGTTGACCCTGGACTTAATGAAGCTCAGTGGATCAACACCAGCTGATGACATGGCTCCCCAAATCTCTTTTCTGATGAGAGCAGCTTTTGTAACTCATTTGGAAACTAAGGACCTGAGTCTGGAGGAAGAATGGGGAGGCACACAATGCCAGTGTGAAGTTCCCACAGTCTGTGTTGATTTGGGGAGCCATGTCATCAGCTGGTGTTGTCATCAGTGTCAACCACTGATGGGGTTTTCATCAGCTGTACGCCATGATCATCACAATTATAACAAATAAAGGCTTGACATATCTCGCTTTGCATGTCATGAGTCTATCTCATATATTAGTTTCACCTTTTAAGTTGAATTATTGAAATAAATGACCTTTCCCACGATATTCTAATTTTCCGAGTTTCACCTGTAAATAAAGCAAGTAAGCCCACAAGCAATTCATTTCTTTCAAAGAGTCACTTGTGAACACAAATCTCCCTTTCCTGCCTCTGGCACACGATTTGCTACACCTGTAGTACCTCTCCGTTATCAGTTGGGGTTGCTCAAGCCATGGTAGAAGGACTGCATGGTGTCCGGCTGTCCGTCTGACAAAATGCCTGCCTTCTCAGTGGAGCCGTCCCTGAGAATTAAGAAGGGGCCCAGTTCTGCTTAGTTACGTGTTTCATTGATACGTCAGCGAGTGGTGACTATTTCTGGAAAGCTCATAACCCTGTTCACATAAGCCTCAATCTTTACTGCCAGACAGCATGAGTGTACAGTGAGCACTGCAGCTTTAAGACTTTGTGCAAATCTCTGAAACTCCTGTGGTCTCCCATATGGTGTGTCAAAGCCCACCCCCTAAATAAGGCAGGGAAAATAAAGGGGGATAATTATAAACCACCTGAGAGGGAAGATTTGGAGATTAGTTTTGTCTCAGCCATCAGCTTAGGCTGTTCAGTCCAGTCACACCTAGGCTAGTCCCACAGCTAAGCATTCAGAGGTAGCTTTGTGGTTTTATTAACTAGTGTATTGTTGCTGTTGTTTTTCACTTTTTCACTGTATTTCCCCTTAAGAGTTCCCAATATGGTGTATAAACATAAAGCACAAATAAGAAGATCGGATAAAAGAACACCAATTGTGATAAAATCGCTGAAACACAAAATATCCACCTAAACTGAAAACTTATTCTGATAAGATATTCACTTGTACCACCATGCAGCCAGTGTACACCAGGACATAAGGAGACTTTCTAGCAATTGAATCACTTGATTTACCAGGGAAAGATGGTAAGGGGTGCCACAATAGAGAAGGCCCTGTTCCTCATTCTCACAGATTATATCTGTCAGACAGAGCATGGAGCACATCTTCTCTGGCAGACCCAAAGTCTGGAGAGGGACAAAGGCTGTGTGCACTCCGGCTAACTCTGCACCCAGTGTGCTCCCACTTCTGGTTTGGGAAGTAGCGTGCGCATGACGTTAGCCCCGATCCATTGCTATCCTGCATCCTGTGGTAAAATACTATGCATCTCCCCCGAAACCAATTTCAATCTGAATTGAGAAAAAGAATGGCCTAGCCAGCGATCTCTATCAGACAACATCTACACTTAACCAGATCCTTTGAAGGAAGCCATGCCAGTTAGTAGTTTAAAACCAGTATCTGTTCTTAACATAAATAGGATCACGGTGTCGTGGTAGGACAAATTGCCCCTAGTGGATTTTGTCCCTTTAAAGGTAAAGGGACCCCTGACCATTAGGTCCAGTCACAGACGACTCTGGGGTTGCGGCGCTCATCTCGCTTTATTGGCCGAGGGAGCCGGCGTACAGCTTCCGGGTCACGTGGCCAGCATGACTAAGCCGCTTCTGGCGAACCAGAGCAGCGCACGGAAACACCATTTACCTTCCCGCTGGAGCGGTACCTATTTATCTACTTGCACTTTGATGTGCTTTCGAACTGTTAGGTTGGCAGGAGCAGGGACCGAGCAACAAGAGCTCACCCTGTCGCAGGGATTTGAACCGCCGACCTTCTGATCAGCAAGTCCTAGGCTCTGTGGTTTAACCCACAGCGCCACCCGCGTCTGTTAAAACCTACTCAATGAGCTGAGTAAATGCTGCAGTTTTGCAGTTGTCCTGGGCTTCCAAGGGCTCCACCTGCCGCAGAGACATTCTTTGTACCAGAAATGCAACTGCCTCTGGGGCAGTAAGAATCTCTTTCGGGGGGCCTCCCAGTATTTTAATAGTTTGCTTTCCGGAGTTCAACGGGAGGGCTGTAACCTGACATGGAAACAGCTGAAAAGCCATGTGCGCTATGTGCTATTTTCTAATGGCAGTTGTTGAGTTGTTCTGGCCCATCCATGTAATCCTATTCCAATGATGCTCTGGCAGATCATATTAGATCCAGTTCACCTGCTGCCATAAGGAGCGTGTGTGTATATTATGAACAATTTCAAGTTGCTTCCATGTGGAATCACAGTGTTGAAAATTGCCTGCAGCTGAGCAGGCGGCAGCTGAGCAGGCCTTGAGAGTGGTTTCTTCCATAGGTAAACTTCACAGAACATTTGTTCTTAGAATCATAGAATTGTAGAGTTGGAAGCGACCCTGAAGATCATCTCGCTCACCTCCCTGTAATGCAGGAATATGCAGCTGACCGAAACAGGAGTTGAATCTGCAACCTTGGCATTCTCCGCATCATGCTCTAACCAACTGAGCTATCCAAGGTATTACTGATTAACAGAATGAGTTCCGTATAGTTTATGTAAGGATGTAGACTAGCAGTGGGACGCGGGTGGCACTGTGGTCTAAACCACTGAGCCTAGGACTTGCCGATCGGAAGGTCGGCGGTTCGAATCCCCGCGACGGGGTGAGCTCCCATTGCTCGGTCCCAGCTCCTGCCAACCTAGCAGTTCGAAAGCACGTCAAAGTGCAAGTAGATAAATAGGTACCACTGCAGCGGAAAGGTAAACGGTGTTTCCGTGCGCTGCTCTGGTTCGCCAGAAGCAGCTTAGTCATCCTGGCCACATGACCCAGAAGCTGTACGCCGGCTCCCTCGGACAATAAAGCGAGATGAGCGCCGCAACCCCAGAGTCGTCTGTGACTGGACCTAATGGTCAGGGGTCCCTTTACCTTTAGATTAGCAGTAAGAAATAGTCTCTGGTCCATGGGTCACAAAGAGTCGGACACGACTAAACAAAGAAATAGTCCACATTCAGTGGGTAATTCAGTACTCACTGAAGAGAACATTAATATTGCCTTTTCTCAACAGCTTTATGCAAGTAAGGTGTATATAGGAGAGAGGCAGTACCTCTGGTGGGGGACTCCTCGTCCACCTTCTGGGCTAGTTTGTCCACTTTTGGTCTCCATCCTGCACTCTCACTTGTGGCTCCTAGAAGCTGTTAGCATGTGATGGCAGCCACACCCTGGGAACGTCTTCAACTGGCTGGGTAAACCAGGTGAGGGCAGCCAATGGGTCTCAAACCCTTGGTGAGTTCACGCAAATTTAGGCTCTGGCGAACTGAGCAGATGAGACCAATAGTGGGTCCAATGATCAAGAAGGTGGTTTCTGCACATGCTGTAGAGGGAAGTGAGGGGCAGATGGGGCTCGTCAACCAAGCAGCAGCAAGATTCTATTGCCTTGTGGGATATACAGTGGTACCTTGGTTCTCAAACTTAATCCGTTCCAGAAGTCTGTTCCAAAACCAAAGCGTTCCAAAACCAAGGTGTACTTTCTCATAGAAAGTATTGCAAAACGGATTAATCCATTCCAGACTTTTAAAAACAACCCCTAAAACAGCAATTTAACATGAATTTTACTATCTAATGAGACCATTGATCCATAAAATTAGAGCAATAAACAATGTACCGCAGTCACACAATCAATCAGTTAGTAGCTGAACTGGGTTCCACACAGTCACAAAAACAAAACGAAAAAGAGCCACAAAAACGCAAAACAAATAGCAAAAACAGACAGACCACAGTGTAACACTCAAAATGGAAGCGTAACACTCAAAACGGAGCATGCCCAGATTCTGAAAAAAGTTTGCAAACCGGAAAACTTACTTCTGGGTTTGCAGTATTTGGGTATCAAGTTGTTTAAGTACCAAGGCGTCTGAGAACCAAGGTACCACTGTATACATCATGGGTAGGCAAACTAAGGCCCAGGGGCCGGATCCGGCCCAATCGCCTTCTAAATCCGGCCTGCAGATGGTCTGGGAATCAATGTACTGTACTATAAAATAAATAAAAGAGCATTGTAGATGATAAAAATTAAAATGAACATTTTATCTTACCTGCACTGATGATAGTCATAGTTTGGATGGGGAGCTTTTATCCATTTCCTCAGTCACACAATCAATCAATCAATCAATCAATCAATCTGTAGCTGAACTGGGATCCACACAGTCACAAAAACAAATTAGGTGAAAATGCCTCAAAACCGAAAATGCAAAATAAATAGCAAAAACAAAAGCACCAGATATAAGCTCCAAATATCACCTTAGAACACTGCAACCAGAAACAGAAGGCTTGAATTAAAATGGGGGGGGGGACGGGACACACAAATTATCAGCGCAACAGGAAGTACAGGGGGACTCAAAACGGAGCATGTTCGGCTTCTGAAAAATACAGTGGTACCTTGGGTTACATACGCTTCAGGTTACATACGCTTCAGGTTACAGACTCCGCTAACCCAGAAATAGTACCTCGGGTTAAGTACTTTGCTTCAGGATGAGAACAGAAATTGTGATCTGGCAGCGCGGCAGCAGCAGGAGGCCCCATTAGCTAAAGTGGTGCTTCAGGTTAAGAATAGTTTCAGGTTAAGAACGGACCTCCGGAACGAATTAAGTACTTAACCCGAGGTACCACTGTAGTTTGAAAACCGGAACACCTACTTCTGGTTTTGCAGCGTTCAGGTTCCAAGTTGTTCGTGAACTAAGCTGTTTGAAAATCGAGGTACCACTGTATTTGAGAGAAGAAAAGGCTCAAGAGTAAAGTCTACACAAATCCGGAGGGGAGGTCCTAGGACAGTTGGATGGTTCCTTGTTCGCCTCCTCCTGGCAAATCTGGCAGCCAAGCTGATGCCGAACATATTGCTCTGCTTTCCTTTGGACCCCATCAGTAAGGCCGAGAGGGGGATCTTGTTGTTTGGACAGCCCTAGACCTCCACACCCACTGCCCAAGCTTGCACTCTGGGGAAGTCACTTTGGTGCCGCTTACACAGCAGTTTGACTTCACCCCTGAAGGCGCACTCCATTGTCTCTTTAGACAGACGGATGCCGACAACAAATATTCTAGCAATTAAATATGCCTTTCTGCATCTGTGTAGTCAGCCTTAGCCAATTTATTTACATACCGCATATTCCACAAATAAATCTGTGCTCAAAGGGGGTGGCTTTGATTTTGCTCTGAGGGAGAGGTGCTCTTCAATTCCTCGTCCCACCTTTGGGTGAAGCTGCTTCTGTCTGATACTTAAAGGTAAAGGTAAAGGGACCCCTGACCTTTAGGTCCAGTCGTGGCTGACTTTGGGGTTGCGGCGCTCATCTCGCTCTATGGGCCGAGGGAGCCGGCGTTTGTCCGCAGACAGCTTCCGGGTCATGTGGCCAGCATGACTAAGCCACTTCTGGCGAACCAGAGCAGCGCACGGAAACGCCGCTTACCTTCCCGCCGGAGCGGTACCTATTTATCTACTTGCACTTTGACGTGCTTTTGAACTGCTAGGTGGGCAGGAGCAGGGACTGAGCAACGGAAGTTCACCCCATCATGGGGATTCGAACCACCGACCTTCTGATCGGCAAGTCCTAGGCTCTGTGGTTTAACCCACAGCGCCACCCGCGTCCCTGATACTTATCAACATATTAAAATGTAAACCACACACAGCTGTCACTTCAAAATCATTTAATTCTTGCCCAGCCCTTTTACAGCAAAGTTGGAGAAAACTTGAATGTTGCTGGACTCCCAACGCCCCTCAGACCTCACTGGTTTGGCGGTGTGTCTACTGCTCTATAACAAGTCCACTCATTCCAGGTTCCAGTGGGATGGGCTGTTTTATTTTTCAGGGTATTCCAAAACACTGTGGTAGCCTTTACATTGCAAATACGTCTGTCAAAAGATAAACCACTACCAGAATGTTGGTCATATATATCTGGCTCCCAGTACATTTCCAAGCACAATTCAAAGTGTTGGTGCTGACCTTTAAAGCCCTAAACAGCCTTGGTCCAGTATATTTGAAGGAGCGTATCCACCCCCATCGTCCTACCCGGACACTGAGGTCCAGCTCCAAGGGCCTTCTGGCGGTTCCCTCACTGCGAGAATCCAAGTTACAAGGAACCAGGCAGAGGGCCTTCTCGGTAGTGGCACCCGCCCTGTGGAACTCCCACCAGATGTCAAAGAGAACAACAACTACCAGACTTTTAGAAGACATCTGAAGGCAGCCCTGTTTAGGAAAACTTTTAATGTTCGATGTATTACAGTATTTTAATATTTTTTTGGAAGCTGCCCAGAGTGGCTGGGGAAGCCCAGCCAGATGGTCAGGGTATAAATAAATAAATTATTATTATTATTATTATTATTATTATTATTATTGGCAAATATATCACCTAAAGTATGTTAAAGGCAGGCAAATGCTACTTTTCACTGAACAGCAATAATTAAAACAAGCTTTTAAAAAGTAGGAAAAGCCTAGCCTGTTTCACCGTTGCTGTTTTCAGAGCTTGTTGTTGGAGTCGCTATCTTGACCCATTATTGTTTTTAGATTGATGGCAGTTGAACTGTAAATTCCTGAAATGCTCTGCACAGTTTGGCAGCTGTACAAACTGAAAATATCCTTACAGTGCAACCTTATGCACGTCTACTCGGAAGTAAATCTTGTCAAGTTCAATGGGCCTTACTCACTGGAAGTGAGTGTAGAATTACAGCCTAGAATGTGTCTGGATAACTTTAACACCACCCATGCACAAAAGCAAAGTATCCGTTGGCTTAGGGCAGTTCAAAAGATACAATAAAATACATTTTTAGAAGGGGGGAAAAACCGTAAGTGGGCAAAACCCTAAAACAGCCCAATGAGACATAAGTACGCTGCGTGACCAGTATGTGTGTGTGTGTGTGTCTTGGATTGAAGACTGGAGGTGGAGCTGGAATTCTGAACAGAAGGACTCCATATTGCAAGTCTCACTCATAAGGCTCAATAACAGCCTCTATGGATTTGATGAAAAAAGCAGGACAAAAATTTTTAAATTAAATTTCACGAAAGTATTTTTGTCAGAAGAATGAAAACCATGCTGCTTTGCAAATAGGGAGCGCCAAGCGAAACAGCCCTTCTTCCTAAACTTGCAGCACCTGCCCCACGTTGAATCCAGACCCCTTTTTGCATTGCTGACGTAGGCAACAAATAGACATAGGTCAACTCATAGGATTCCTCTAAGCAACACAGTATAGTCAAGATGCTTCATAAGGTGAAACAGTTTTGCTGGTCCCAGGTGCTCTGTCCTCCTCATCCGGATCTGGGCCTGAAAGACCAAGTAAAAATATGGGTGTATAGAGGATAGATTATACGCAGATTGCTTTGGGCAGGTGGAGGTGGTCAGCATTACTTTTTCCAATAACAACAGTGATTAAATGATTAAGCTTCCTTAGCATTGGTACTGCCTGTCCAGTGCTGAAGCCTTAGATTGTCTCCACAGTTTGTTTTATAACTTTCCTTAGAAATATTTGATTGAGTTACTTTTCT